GTTTCTTTTTTTACTTCCGTGTATAGGAGATTGAAGCATAGTTGATAAACTTCCATGGATTTCAGGGCACAAATCATGTGGACCAAAGACAAGAAAGAATTAAGGAAATCGAGGAAGTATAAGATTACTAGAAAAGGAGCGCTAAAAATAAATGACATAACATCCTCGGATTCCGGCGTTTATGCGTGCATAGGTAAATCGTCAAAATTTTGGAAACCTTGATATTCTTCGACACAGAAAAACCAGCAATGAAAATCTTCCTGTTCCAGCGGGAAACTCGCACGCAGAGACGCAGCTGATCGTAAAATTTCGTTCCAAGGAGCAACTTAGCAGCGAGGAGTATCTACGACTAAGCAATTCCGTCCATCGACAACGAAACGCCAACTTGGATTCGGCGCCAGCTAACTCTGGCGAAAATCTGTACACCGATCGTGCAGGTAGAAGATCAAACCCATCATAAATCACAATTGTGACAGAATAATTATAATACTAAATCGGTGTTCTAGCAGCCGCTTATGGGAACCGATTTGTTCCCATCGATAGCGAAGATCTGAGTCACGAACGAGCATTCCCTAGCCAACCGACAAGGAAACCGCATCAGAAGAAGCAGAAGATCAACCCTACACCAGATTCCACGATGATACACAAGGAACACACCGTCACTTCGCTTAATCAGGTGAATCCATCAGATAAGGAATTTAAATTGTATACTTTTTGCAATCTTCTCGTCTAAATTAACAAGCATACTTTAACACGTTTGCTGCCGAGCTCCAGAAGCGAATCAGTGTCTCAACATTTAACCTTCGGACGACGGACCATAGAGGCATCCTCAATTTTTACATTGTTCTCCTTCGTTTAAAAATGATACATTCAACTTCGGGTTAATATCGCGTAATTGACAGCAAACGTTTTATCTGTGAGCCTGTATGCACGAACTAATCTCTCGTCTATGATTCTTTACTTTCTTGCTTCCTATCTGTGGACTAACTTTTATGGTGATGGATATTTGAATTATCAGCCAGGGTACCATGAATCCGTGGAATCTACTGCACCGTCGAGTTCAGGTGCCTCTACTCTCGTACCGCACTTGTCTTATTTTATATCCACTTTGAAGGTGAGACGATCTAAACGATGATCAAATCATTTGTTTCTGACGAAGCTATACTAATCTTTTCTTTATTTAAGATAAAAATGTTTGCATTTGTATTTGACCTTAAGCTCTCCCAACGTCACCCAAAGGTGAAGAGATTGAAACGAAGATGCAGACTCGTCCTTATTTTAATTTATTTTTTTCAGGAGTACTGGCCTTTCCAGAGCGACAGCTCTGTGGGAAGATCCCACAGGACAGCCCCGGTGTCCTTCATCGAGGAAACAGCTGCGACAAAACGCACCACACCCGACAAGGATTCCAGTTTCAGGTACCAGAACGTAGAAGAAAGCGTAGACAGCTTGTATCGTAACACCGCCATTCCTGATGAAACGTTTGGACCAGACGAAGAGAGGATATTCATCGATGTTGATCCTTACGATTTAGAGGAGTCCATGTTTGGACTGCAACATAACGAACGAGTGAAAATCACTCCTGTTACAAGTAAAGAGAATCCAGTGACGTCTATGAAGTCTAACATCGATTACGTGGAGGAATCCCTGAAGAATGTTAAAAGACAGTGGCATGATACATCTGAAATCAAGAACCGCAAGAGTTCCACGGTTAAAGATCAAAATAAGGAAGCGACTACTTCAGAAAATATTGGCTTAGAGGTTTATTATATTCCTGAATCCAGTACCAAACAGGAGGCTGAAAAATCTAAAGAAAATTCTGCCGAATCTTATGACAGAAACAGCGATCGAAGAAGCTATGAGGATGTTTCTTCAACAATGTCGCTCAAGGATGTAGAGGTTGCTTCAAAGGAGGACAGTGAAGAGGAGAAAGAGATTTTGAATAGAACGAAGGAATACGAGAAAATGTTCGAAGATGAGATGAAGAAACAAAAGGTCTACGTTGAAAATGACACGGTTGACGATGGTACAACGACCACTAGAGACCTAGAAGAAGATCTCATTGATTTAGCTATGACGGAGGATCGAGGATTCGCGGAGATGGAGAAGAACATAAGGAATCTGTCGCAGGATCAGGAAGATCGAAACAATTCGTCCAAAGAACCGACTGATTTTCAAGAACGCTCAAACAACGATGACACGAATAAAACAAAGTCATTGGATCTCGTGAACACCACGATAGGTATCACCAATGTCACTATTGATTCTACAATTGCGTCTCTTACTATTTTAGGTAAAGATTTCATTTATAACATAAGAAAATTATTATTGATCTTATAAATTTATTTACAATATTCAGACACTACGGAGAATCTGGTTTTTGAATGGGTCACGACTGACTGGTCAAAGTGCTCTCAGACTTGCGGAGGTAGCGGATTTCAGGTAATACACTCGAAGATGAAGATTAATAAGTTGATATTTATCAAAATGTTATTGATGTTTTAAAAAAAAATTGTTTAAGATGAGAGGAGCACAGTGTACAGTGCGTGCAGCGAAACCAGTAGGAAATACGACCAGGACACCTCCAAGAACCGTAATAGGAGCTACATTGTGCATAGACGCTGGACATCCGGTGCCTCAGAAAGTGAGACCCTGCGGATTTGGTAAATGTCCTCAATGGCACACGAGTGAATGGACCCCTTGCGAAACGTCCAGGTGCTTCAACTGGAAAACTGCGATGCAAAGACGCGACGTTACCTGTCTGATCGAGGAAACAGGAAAAGGGCAACGTAACGTCACCTTGCTCGATCCCAATAAATGCGACGATACAACTCGACCATTGCAGAGACAGGAATGTTACAATGATGCTTGTAAAGGTGTTTGGAGGGTGGGCGAATGGTCCGAGGTAAGTTTTAACACAAGATTTCGTGGAAAGCTAATGGGACACTGTTATTTTTAAGTGAAATCATTTTTAAAGTGCACGGCAGCCTGCGAGGAAGATGGTATTAAATACAGGATCCTGCAATGTGTCTGGTATGGAACGAAGAAACCAGCCGGAAACGCGTGCAGGGACATTCCACGACCTCCGGTGATGAAAACGTGTAGGGGTCCTCCGTGTCCTCAAACGCCTGGTAAGACTTCTTCTAAACGGAGAATCATAGTAAGTGTATAGACGTTGAAATTTTAGAACCATGCTGCTGAAAGATCGCTGTTCTTCCAGACGACTGTAAGGACCATTCGAAATTGTGCAGCAGAGTAAAGACGATGAACATGTGCAGGGTACCTCTTTATCAAAAACAATGCTGTCAGTCGTGTCACTAGACGCTAGGAGAAATTCATAGAAATTATTGATAAAAGGAAAAAATTAGGTAGAAATTCGATGAGATGGCGACAACAGAGAAGGTTATCTTCGCAATGTTATCTTCGTGAAATGCTCACTGATACGCTTGTTTCTTTATAGGATATAACAGCAAATAAAGAGGAAGATGGAATGGAACGTCGAACACGTTCGTTGCATCCAAATGCCCTCTGTTACAAAATGATGTAAAAAAGTATTGAAGAAACAATGTCGACCAAGTTACTTCCGTTGGTAATTGTTCCCCGAATCCTGTCACCCTCGAACAGTGTTCGCATCCGAGTACGGGTTCTTCTTGACCCGGTAAAAAATCCGATTCCTAATTGTGTGCTAATTAAAGCTATAATTTTCAAACGTGTGTAAAAGTGTAGTTTGGCACGACTCCTAATTGCGCACGCTCACACCCCAGGGGAGAGAACGAAGGAATATTCCGGCATTCGTCCAAAAAGTTGAGAAATTATATTGTTGAAGTTCAATGGGAATGAAATAATAGAAAAATGATATTTGGTTGTTGCATATCAAATAAACGATTTTCAAGTGTATTTTCAGGACAGAAAAGTATCTTACAATTGGACTGATACATCAATGACCCAAGCTTGTAATGAAAGGACTTAACATATTGAAAGAATAATTTTTAAAAGTCGAGTGTAAAATTTAGAAAATAAAAATATCCGTCGTCCGAGGGGGAGAAACTTAGGATCTCTGCAAAGTACATATGCATCAGAGCCGAATTGAGGTATTATTTTAAATTACTTATATAAATTTTATTCAGGACAGTTCCCGGTGGTATTATTTAATATAAATATCGTCCATTTGATCTGCAATAACTCAATTATATGTATAATGGTATCCTCAAAGGAATCACGCGACGTATATAAACGTTGGTGTATCGAAAGACGAGCATTAAAGCTGTTCAAATTTTAGATGGAAAATGTTACGAATAGAGAGAAAGAAATGAACAGAACGGTATATGTTGATTGCGCTGTTAACAGGCGGCACAAAAATTCATTCTTCTCGAGGCTTTATTTTTTTACGTGTATCCCTTGTAAACCACACAAACACGATCGATCTCTCTCGATTGATTTTCGAAAAAATGCGTGAAATCATTTATCTTGCCAAGACTGAAATACCGTATTAATTTCTCTTTTTCATCGTTCTCATCGGACTCTCTGCCTTTTCTGTTCGTTACGTCCCAAAGAGTCTTCACAAACATTCCTTACAGGAAGTATATTTGTATTTATTGCGACGTGTTACCTCTCTTTAAGTTCGACGATATGCGATATAATAAATTATTAATGAAACGATGTTTAGTTAACAAATGATAAAAGTATAAAAGTTACTAACAACACGTAAGTTATAAATGAATTATTATGCGCCTATAAGCGCCTCGTCGGGCGAACGTAAGCCAATAGATTCTAAGCAATAAAGTATATAAGTATTGTAATATACTATTTTGTTAATAACCTCTGGCGAAAATTCGTTAACACGACGTTGCCATTGTTAATCGAGACGGTTGAAGAAATTCATTTGTTGTGCCTCTGATTGGTATTTAGTAAACTTGTAACCAATTAATCTGATCCGTAAAACTATCGATAATTTCACTGTAAAAAAAAATATTTGCAGAAAATATGATCGGTTTCGTACATAAAATATTAATATTTTCATTTATTTCAAATAGGTTCTCTACGGTACTGTGAACAGATTTTCGCTATCAACGAATTTGCCTCAACACAGCTAGACAGTTTGCCAAAAACGAACTGACGTGAATGAAAATGAGATATAAAAAAATTAGTATATTATTGAAATCGAGAAAAAAGGTATATATATATATATATATATTACAAGCTACATAAGTTATATGAAAGCACACACGGATAAAAAACAATGACTTTCACCACCTTAAACGCAGGTATTATGCAGAATCGAAATGTATCGTCTCGCGGTAATATTTGTAAAAAAAAAAATTCTATATGTTATAAGTAATTTGGTTAACATTTAAGTCCACGATGATTGTTGTTCGATCCAATTAATATGCATTTCTTTATTGTTGTCTACCAGTTACACATTTACCGCCAATTGATTTCTGATACCTGCATTTTTGTATATACCACGATCTAGCTATGTAAAGTGACTCCATACTATTATACGAAGAGCATTATTGTTCATTATATCTATGTAAATATGTAACTGCCTAAAAATACGAATAAAACCAGAGGATATATCACTGCACAATACCTCGGTTCATTTATTTCAGATACTCTACGGAAGGTACAGACAATTCATCTACTATCTACGTTTATTGCGCAATTAATTGACAATAGATATTAAAATAATTAAGTTGTTGCAGATGAAAGTGCACTAGCACAATTTTCGATACACATTAAGAAAAGAAGTTGAAACTTTTATCATTTCATATGCATCAACCTGATAATAATTGACATAGAAAATAATGAACGTCCTACAGAAATTCAACAGTTTTCTACGCATTTCCTTCAGTCCATCAATCCCCAATCTTGAAGTACCTGATCCTGACTAAGTGGCCACAATTTCTTCAGCAAAGACCATCCCGATTTCTGGGTGACGAGCAAGTACTCGTTCTGCGGATCGTGAAGGTAAGAGTAAGCACCCATGACTAAACTTTGACATATTCTAGCGCACACAGTGGTCTTCAAGATTTTCTTTTCAAGATCCGTCAGCTTCCTAACATCCTGATATCCTTCCACGACGTGTTTACCCATCGCCACATCGCCAGCCTGCAAAATCATGTAACACAAGGTAATAGCTAGCTCGAAGATCAAACAAGTCCGATGGGAATCCCCGAAATCGATCACTGCAGATATCTCTTTGCCATTCGAGCTCATCACGACGTTCTGCTCGTTCAGGTCGCCGTGTATTATTCCCTGTTCGAGTTGCGATGTCACCTGGAGAATGTCTTTCTCAAAAGTAGATATCACCTGGTGCGCCAAGTCGCTTTCAAATGTATCTTTCAGAGCGTAAGTGAACTGTCGCAGTTTTGGTACAGAGTTCAACATCCACAACGTTTTATGGTCGTTGTAGGCAGGATGGGAGAAGCCCATCAGAACGTTGTCCAACCTGGCTATAAAACTACCAACGTTTCGAAGCAATTCGCTGGTAATCGGTACCCGATGTAACAGTTCACCAGGTCTATAGATGAGTAATCTGATGGCGTAACTATCTCTGCAACCATCAACGTTCAGCTTTACCAGGGAATAGTAAGAACCGTTCAGATTTTTAATTGGTAAAGGACAATTAATATTTTGTTGATTCAGGTAGATCAACATCTCAGTCTGTGCCTCTATCACGTGACCTTTCCGTGAGTCCAAAGAGTTGACGATCTTCAGAACGTAACCGTGCGTGCTGATAGCGTTTATATGGGGATTCCTGTGAGACTCCTGACAAATTACGTGATAGTTTCTATCGTCATACGCATTCAACTCGGTTACATTTAATGCCTTTAACCCGTAATGCTGTTCCAAAAGATCAGATGCTATTTGTTTGTTAGTTGGAGGTCGAATCAATTGACCCGGTATCAGTAGCGCATCTTTGTCCTCCATTTCCGGTTTATTGCTAAAAACTTTTAATATCGAAGTTAGAATATTGTATATTGTATATGAAATCTCCCGCTTCTCCTTACCTGAGTAGGTACCTTTGTTTAAAATCACAAACACTGGATTAAATTCATCTGAAATGAATAAATAAATATTTTTCACGCGTGTAAAATACAAAGAAATATTATCTATGAAACACTAAGATTTTATAAATGTATAATTTAGTTGTTTCGAAAGAACACTACACGAAGCATACACGAATGAAACAGTTTAAGAAGTGAACTGTACGGTCATATACGTAATAAATATAGTTGATGCTCAATCAGTCCCACTGTAGGGCGCGAATGTAAAGTAATTGATATTTATGCTGCTGGAGATAGAGTACAGTGTTCTGATATGTCTTTTTGTATACATGTGCTGATACTGTGAGACAATAATCAATTTCTTATCGCAATGATAAGAACATCTAAGAAGAGGTTTATTCTTAAAATCATTCATCGAAGCAATGAACCTTTGTTAATTAAATTATTTACTACCTACTTTATTAGTCGCGTAAAGCGTATCGGAAAAACATTTTTTTTTACGCCTATTCAGGCAGTCGTAAAATTTTCGCACGTGTATATTTGAAAATTATAATCCTTTTAGTTACGCATGCGCGGCGATGAAGCGGAAATTCGACTTATAAATTAGCTGCTTCGCGCTGAAGCGCGTCAGTCCGTCTTCGGACGTCGAACAGAGAGGAGGGTGTACTCCTGTTTTCGACAGCAGCGCCATCTATACACAAACGGCTCAAACTACTCGACGAGTTATCGACTTTCCGATGGTAAGTCGGTAAGCAGTTTCCGCTGATTTTTGATAGATGGCGCTGGTGTTCCCTATTGGTCGGTAACTCGTCCTTCTGTATCTGCAGTCACTGTAAGTATATATAACTGCTGAGCACTTGTCAATTTGCTTCAGGTAGAGGTTATATGTAGTTATAACGCGTATTTTACTCGAGACGGTGTTTAATTTCAATAAAGTTTACTATACTTTTTAAAAATGAGTCTGGTTGCATATGGCAGTAGCGATGAAAATTCAGATGAGGAAGAAAATAACTCTGATACTGGGGATAAGAACCAGGTTTTGACCGAAATTGTAACCACCCAAAAAACAACTGACAAATTATGCTTACCTGTTCCAAAACACTCTGAAAAAGTTGATGAAAATAATGTTAACACAGGCACATTAGAAAAGATTCATTTTGATAAGTTACCTAAACCTAAAAGCATAATCAATGAAATCGAAGATATTATAGAAGAAGATGATATTCCTTTGAAAAAAGAAATTGAATTAAAACCTGAGAAGCCAATGAAGAGAGATCGTGTACCAGTTAAAATAACAGTACCTTCCCTATCTGATGTAAGAATAATTATCACACTTCTTCTTTTAATATGAACTTCTCATAAACTTTTAATATTAATCTATCTTATAAATTATAGTTTCAAGATGTTGATGAGGAAAATGAAACAAAGTCTAATAGGATTAAACCATCAAACGTAAGTATACCTGTAATTCCACCTTATGTACTACACTTAATAAAATCAACTTTTATGTATAATTTTAGAAAGGTACCAAACTTTTTGCCCTACTACCACCACCAAAAGGAGCTGAAGTGAAAAATACTAATAAATTAGTACCGACTACTGTCAGTAAAACAGCTGTAAAAATAAGTCAGGAAAAAGTTCAGACCAATAAGAAGATAAAAGATGATTCACATACAAATAAGGTATCAAAAACAACAGCAACAACAACAAGAGTTTCTATGGATATAAGTTCTGATGAAGATGAAGATGATACAGTTGTAAACAGTAAAAGCAGTAGTGTTACTGATTTCTTTGCTTTGTCAGCAACTAAAATTGTATCTAATCCTGATGTATCAGAATCTTTTGAAAGTATTGCAGATTTAAAACCAGAATCAAGTAAGATTGATTCAGAAGAAGCCTGTAGTCAAGATAACCAGAAAACTTTAGCTTCTGTAGAGTATGATATTTTAAGCTTACCAAGGGAAGAAATATTACTTAAAAATAAGGCAGAAGTGGGCCCAAAATTGCCCGTGCCTGAACAAGAATATAACATTGATACCGAAGGTAATGTGGCCTTTGATGATAAAGCTATTGAATATCTTTGTGGGAGAAGAGGAGTAAAACGAAAACCGAAAGAAATTAAAGACGTAAATATTATTGAAATAAATGGAGAAGATATAAAACCAGATGAAAGAGAATGGCTAGTAAAAGCATTAACAGAAGAGCCTGTACAAAGACCAGTTTCTATGCAGGGTGGGGTTAATTCTCAATCTAAAAAGAAACATCAAATAACATATTTGGCTCATCAAGCTAAAGCAATGGAAATGGAATTAAAGAATCAGTGGGCACAGAATAGGTTGACAAGAAAACAAACACAATCGAAATATGGGTTTTAAATAATGAACGTGTACAATAACAGATACATAATATTCTATCTTTATTTTTGTATAAAAATGAAAAAATAACACATAACTGTAATTATTATTATAATTTTAACTATAACTTAAGAATAACTTGTTTTTTCCAGAAATGTATTCTCCAAGGTTTCGTATTCCTTCTGTTTAACTTCAAGCAAAGCTTTAGCTTGAAGTAAATTTGGTGGCAAATCACCATACTGATTAAGACACTGATTAAGTTCTGCTAATTCTCCTGACATTTCCAAATACCTATTATATTTATTTAATATCTTTTGTGGGTAAACATCTTCAATTTGCATATCCAATAAATCAGTTTCCAATTTCTCTGTAGTTTGTTGGTATTCTTGCAACTTTGTAGATAATGAAACACGATTACAGTAATTATCATCGTGTTCTTTTTGAGCATCTTCGATAAAACTCTCAAGAGAACTTACAGCTTCTTGTAAATTATTCAGTTTTTTTGAAAATATAGTATGTTTTCTGAAAATATCATCGTATAATAATGATAACTGCTTTTCTTCGTGTTGTCTTTTCTTTTCTTCTATTTTCTCCCTTTCCTTTACTATATTCAGTGTAGCATCATTAAAATCAGCCAGCTTTTCAGATCTCATGATTAAAGCTACTTTTTGCAATCCTTCTTTAATATCATTAGGTAAAAATTGTGATTCCAAGCTTAATTTATTCAATAAGGGTGAAATTTCTTTTCCAAATGCGATATGTTCTTCATTCGTTTCTGATATTGCCTTTTGCAAAAGTTGAAATAATGATTGCTGCTCTAGCAGAATAGCATCTTCCCTATACCTGGCATTTGAAGCAATACTTGATACAGAATCATTCTGCGAAAATGATTCCACCTATTGGTTCAAATTTATTTAGAATTATTGTAATGTAGTATGTTCAATAGTTTAATGCTTTGAGATATAAATAAAATTTCATAAATATTAACAGAGCTTACTTCACTGTTATTTTCCATGTTAAATTTAAAATTTAAAAATGCGGTTTCCTTATGACAATTATGAACTGTGTAGGTTCCTTTCAAGTTCTTCTTTATTTCATAAACTTGTCCGAAGAAACTTTCTGAAATTTTGAAATAAATAATTAGGAAATTTAGGATCCGTTTTCACATAAGCATCAAGAGGTTAAGACTGATACAGTTTTTTCAATAACTATATTTATCAAAGAAAAATGCACATGGGCATTGCAGTATTAGCACATCTGATGATAGCTTGCTTACATAAGTTGACAGTAGCATATATTCATAAATCGTTATTTAAATACTCAATTTTTATCGCCTCTATACGTCATGAAAATTCGCACCTATAAGATCAGATTCCGGTAACGGCCGCCTGGAAACATATGACTCGTATGACCGTGTATGAAACGCTGTTGCTGTCGTTTGAGTACGCTTTCATTGACAGTTATTTGTTTTCCGTAACGATAAATTTTACAAGACTCTGAATGAATAAATTTATTTGACTCGAAAATAACTAAAACCAACAAGTATCAGTGCCACCGCACTGTATACTCGTACAGGTTAATATCGAAACAAGTATTTAAATAGTGTTCACTAAACTCTAGATACGATTAACGAAGAAAGTGGTTAGAAGCCGCAACAATGAGCGACGATCAAGCAAATGAACTGGCTGAAACAGTTGAGGTAGTATAGAATTAAATTTATATTCAAATCTCTTTTTTATGATTAATCAATTCCTTGTTAAAAAAATATTAATGTTTAATTGCTTGCCAATTTCAATGTTAATCTATAAGCATAATACTAAGTAGCTGAAAAATTATCATAGCTAAAAATATACATCAAATTTGCATGTATATGTAATTGTTGTTGAATAATGAAAAGTAACTTTTATTTCAGCTGTCTTCAAATGATATTGAGAAGCAAGAAGAAGCAAAATTGAGAGCAAAATTTCCAAATACTGGACGTCCAATTAGTGGGCACTCTGCCTTTTTGCAGAAAAGGCTAGCTAAAGGGGTAAAAATACAAATTTCTAGTGTTTAGGTTTCTTAATCTTTAATACTAAAACATTATTATACAAAAAAAAAGTAGAAATTTCCTAAATTGTTCATAAACTATTTACAGCAAAAATATTTTGATTCTGGGGATTATCAGATGGCAAAACAAAAATATATGGCAAAACCAAAGCCAGCTGGTGTTTTGCCAACAGGTGATGCTATACCTACACCTGAAACTGTACCACAACGAAAAACATCTATTATTCAACAAAAATTTAATACAAGTACTTCATAAAATTTCATAATATTCTTAAAGTATTAAAACTCCAGTGATATAATGTGGTTATAATTCAATCTGAATTTTAAACAATCTCTATTTTGTGGATGGTATTATTTAAAAAAATTCAAATTTCGTAATGCTTCTTTAATGCTTGTCCAATGATCAATGCATTTGTGCAGAAATCTCAAGACCACAATAATATATATAATTTATAGTGTACTGTGTGCTATAGAAGCATTTCTTGAGATTTGTACTCGATAAACTTTTAGCACTTGAAAGAATTGCAACAGTTTGTGACAATATATTATGTTTATTAAAAGTGAGAATATTAGTATTAAATAAGATACACATATATCGTTTTGTTATTTGAGTTATTTTTTAGAAACAGCAATAAATTTGCACTTTAGATTCACAAACATGAAAGTAGAATTTCAAAATTTATTATAAGGATAAATAATAAAAGTTAAATAATTAGGGATAATACAGGATAAAAATATAATTAATAGCAAAGGAGGATGACATGAATATAACCACTTGTATATGCAATAGAGTTTCAGGATAAGACATTATACAGATCTGCATTTCCAAAGTTGCTGTGATGCGCTTAGTAAGACTATTTTCTTATAAGATATCAGATTGTCATAAGAATCTGTATGTAGCATAAATCAATTTTAAATATAGCAGTTGTTTTGGTTATTGTAAACTATATTAGTAATATATTGCAATTTGAACATACTAATATTTATTTAGTTACCTATCCACTACATTTGATAATGAAAACGAAATTTTAAAAACAAGTTTTTACATATTGACTGTCAATAATTATTTTTCAAACATGTGTTAAAGTTCATAAAAATATTAATAAATTTATTTTGTTGTATGAATAATAAAGTATGCATTTGACAATACATTTACCTACACTTAGATTAATATGACAATAGCAATATCATTTTGATAATTTTAAAATAATCCAAGACAGTTTTTTATTATTTTCATTTATTTATTAGCAATATAATCCACACATAACAAGTTGAACAAGTACCTGAGCAGTTTATAATCTTTAACATTCGTAAATATATATTAATTATATACAACTTTAATTTCATTATGCCGGTTAAGTACTGTTTAAGTACTGTTTTTGATTGTATCAAATATTGTCATGTGTAATTATAAGCAGTACAATACTACTGAGTGCACTTCATATACAATACTATATATATATTTTTTTTTTTTCAATTTCAATGTGCGAAAATGCTGTAATTACTTCAGAAACTATAACATCGCGTATTTCTCATTCATACCATTCATGCTTATACTATTGATTGTGATAATATTCTACTTACAAGGGCACTAATTATACTTTGATCAGTTAAACAGTTTTTTTTTAATTGCATAGTCGATTCAATAACAACTAACAGATAGTGCAAATATTATTGTCAAAAAATGTTTGTATTGATAACGAACAATTTTATTATAATAAACTTTATATCAGAAGATATATAAAATTTCTTCTATAAAGTTGTATTATGCTATATATATTCAATATATAAATTTTTATATACATTACATATTAAAAAATAACTTGTATGCATCTTATAATATAATGGAAAAATAAAATTTTTCATTAAATATATAGTTAGTGCTACTTAAAGTGAACTTTTTTTTTAAAGTAATCAGAAAATTGCTATTTATATAGATAATGTAAATAACAAACTTACATAGTTCTTAAATTTAATTCTATTTTTCCCTTAAGTTTCTTTCATTATGTGATACCACATTATTTTAAGTATTAGGGCATTTGATGCACATATATCGATTGTTAATCGATAATTTCTTTCCTGATGCTATTGAAATATTCTTTACCTTAATGTATATATTTACTTGTACATATCTTCTATCAGATTTTCGTACATTTTACAAACAATATTTCTTTTAATTTTGAAAGTTGGTCCTAATTCTCCAGTAGGAATCGACAAGTCGTGAGGCAAAATTTGGAACTTCTGTATTTTATGTGCATTACTTATCACTTTAGAATTTACATTTTGAATTGCTTTATCAATTGCGCCATACACCTAAAATTAATTAATGTGTAAATATTTAGTATTTAAATTTATTTTGCACCAAATTTTTCATAAATAAACTTACCAGCGGATCTCGCGTTTTTATAACATCTGAAACAGTTTTTGCTGTGCTTCCAATAGATTTTAACCAGCGTAAAGTCTCTTCTGTGAATATATCTTTCGGTTCGCCAGTATTAAGATTTATTTCAGTCTATAAACATAAAGTTAGTGTTACAAATACAATTGTATGTAATTCATAATTAATATGGAAATGCATAATGTATTCTACCTTCAGAGTAACCAACATAGTAAGGTATTTTCTTTTGTCTCCAATTAAAATAGCGTAGCTTAAAGTAGGTAACTCCGATAATACTAAGTGTTCTATAGGAACCGGTGCTATATTTTCCCCACCAGCAGTAATGATTAGCTCTTTTATCCTTCCTACATTTAAATAATACACTTTATTTAAAAAACAGCATTGAATGAAGTAGATGAATCCATATTCATATTCGAGAAGATATTTACCTGTCACGTATATGAAGGCGTCTGAATCAATTTTACCTAAATCACCACTATGCAACCATCCATCTTCATCTAATGTTTCTTTAGTTTTCTCAGGATCATTTAGATATCCCATAAATACATGTCTACCACGCATACAAATTTCTCCCTCACCGCTACTGTCTGGATTATTTAGTTTTGTATGAAATCCAGATAAAGTTAAACCAACACTACCTAGCCTAAATAATAATTGAGTTGTTAAATATCAACTGTCAGCTGTGCCAATCTTCGAACATTATTTGTAATTAAGCATACAAAAATAACAGATGGTAGATTAACCGAATGTTTACCTGAAAGACTCATTTAAACTTGCAGAATGCGCACCACTACATTCAGACATTCCATATGCTTCTAATAGAGGTATGTCTAAGCTCAAGAAATATTGTTTTATTTCAATAGATAAAGGTGCGGCAGCAGAGAAACACAGTTTACATCTGTCTAAACCAAGTGCTGTTCTTATTCTGCTCAAAATCAGCCATCTGGCAAATACGTATCCCCAGCTCTTAGTAGAATTACCACTAACTCTATTCATATTATAGTCAAGAGCATGCGATTTTGCCCAAGAGGCAATCATTGTTTTAACATATCCATTGCTACGCGCAACTATTTGCATTTTTTCATAAATTTTTTCCCATACTCTAGGTACACCTAACACAAGTGTAGGTCGTGCTAGAAGTAGGGTCTCAAGTAAGCCACCTTTAAGGGCATTTTTATTTGCAAAATACACTGTGCCGACTAAGAGCAGGGCAGAATATATGTCGACGACCTGAAGTCATTAGAAAAGAAATAGTTATATAAATTCAATAATTTTACAAATTTGTAAAAACATTTATGATATATTTACTTGCGCTGCAACATGAGATAGTGGTAGATAACTAATCAGAACGTCCTCTTTTATTTTGTCTAATTTCAAAAAGCGAATAATATGTTCAGCATCCTGCAAAAGGTTGTCGTGACTTAACATCACACCTTTTGGCTTTCCAACTGTACCCGACTGTAAATAAATAGCTTCAATTTTTGTCCTTATTAATGTTCTATAAAGAATTATAATCAATTATAAAATAAGAAATGCGTAATACCGTATAAATCAAGGTACAACATTCATTTACTGCAAGTGTTTTTAAGACTGCATTCAATTTTTCCTCAGATTCTTGTTCACCGATTTTCAATAAATCTTCCCACTAAAAGATGAATTATTATCAAATGTGGTCTAATAATAAATCTGTGTAGATATCAAGTATAAAGTTGCTCACACTGAGAACGCCTTCTTCTTCTGGCATATCATCATACATGATGATTGTTTTCAAATTTGGTAAATTGTCTTTTATCTTCAATATTTTGTCCAACTGTTTGGCATCTTCGACAATTACGATATCAGCCTGGCTACTTTCTAGACAGTGTTGACATGCTTCAGGAGTATTTGTAGTGTATATTCCGACGGCAAATCCTCTGGAAACAAAATAGTTTTTAATGACTAGATTTTCTTATAAATTTGAGAGTAAATTTTTTAAAATATATTAATTTTTACCCTGCATATATGGCAGCAAGGTCCGAAATAAACCATTCTGGACTGTTGAATCCTATAATACCGACACCGTGGTACCGTTGTAATCCCAATTTTAAGAAAGCTTTGGCCACGGTTCTTACCTCATTTTCGTATTCTCTGGAAAAATTAAAGGAATTAAATTGTATCTTAATGAAGCTACGATATTATATCCACAGAATACATACCTATAGGTGTATGATTTTTTGTGTTTAGTATCGGGTCTCGCTACAAAAGCAACGTGATTTGGATACTCATTAGCTGTTTTTGTTAAACATCCAGGAACTGACATGGGTGATGCCCAAATTTCATTTCCTCTTTCTAATATAATTCTCACGCGTCCATTTGGCTTGGTAGTATAAAAGTTATCTGCTGGTAAAACCTGGTCGGGTCCTATAATGATAAATAATTCAGGAAATTGTTTAAATACAATTAATATGAAAAGTTTGCGAATCCTCACCATCGAGACCAGTTTCTGAACACTTTACATAATATGCACCTTCGTCTACTAATTCCTAGGATGTTTAAAGGGAAATAATATGATTAGTGAACAAAATTAGCGCGTCAATTCCGTAGAATACAGGAAATTAAAATTCTATATAAAAGTGTTTTGCATGTTATGCTGAACATGATTAAATAAATATTTGATTTTACATACCTTATTGTTCGCCGTAAATCCTTTTACTATTCCGTTGGTTTGAACAGGTTGTACCGCTGTCATGTTGTCTGAAATAATATTATAAAATAAATGCAATTGTTTCAAATATAATGGCCTATCTAAATACGATAATCAGGGCCGCCGCGTGTAGGTGTTCAGGGATTGTGATTGATTATATTTAGAATAAAATTTATTTTTATGAGACCATTATGATGACCGTATAATGTATCCGGCTTGAATATTTAGATCAGTGGCTTTATAATTACACAAATGTGTACTTTTATAATTAGTTTTATTGACTTCAAAAGAATGGTAGGGGATTTAAAGTAGGCACAAAGACGACCTACACCGGACAATGGTATTCATAGCAAAAAGTTGCACTCTTTATGTTTTCGTCGCCCAGGAACGTTAAAGGTCACTGTACTTTTCTCACGATTTAAAATCATTACCATGAATAATACTTGCGCGTGGACAATTCAGTTAATTCATGGTTAGTATACTCTAATATGTTCCATAATCGAAATGGGGTAATTGCAGGCATACATGACAAATTCTCAATTCCAATTTGTTTGAAAACAAATTTTATATTATATTTTCGATTTATCGTTAATTTCAAATACAATTTGTTGGTACCACGTACTACAGAACATCCTGCGTATGATTATCAGAGGCGGATTGGCCATCGAGGGTTCGGGAAAATTGCCAGGGGGCCGATAGAGATTTAGGATCTAATTAATTAAAATTAGAGCCCGTTGTGTCACTAATCTTCCGGTAAAAATTGAAGTCCTAGTCCGTCTCTAATGTTTACCATAACACGAATAAACGACTTTTTATTTTAGCTAAGAGAACTTCAGCTCATTTTTCTTGGAAACTCTAACTTAAGTTAATATGACTCAAATGACTTTATAATCAATTATTCAACGTCACATCGATCTAATATTCTAGCGTCATATGAAAATTGCTATGAACTTCAACCTGGAAAGTTAACGCGTGATAGTAATTATTCTATAGGGTGATTCTCTCGCTAAGCAAGACAAAAACCATTAGATTATTTTATTTTTTGTATTAGTAACACTTGAATAATGTATTACGTAAAGTAAACGTAATTTCAAACATAATTTAAGACAAGAAATGAAATAATGTGTGCGTTAGTTGACCTACGCGGACCGATAAGAGGTCAGTGATTAAAAATCTTCAACGATTTAAAGTATTATTATGATCCAATGGTACGTTTAGTCAATGATCATTAATTCCAATTTTCCACAATAATTAGAATCATATGATTCATAATTATTCTTAAAACAAATATTTCGTACAAACTTTCGTTTTACAATTGGGGAAAAATTAGAGAATATGACGTAAAAATATTTTAGAAAGCTGCTTAATTTCAATAAAACGAATCCACGTACCATGTGATTTTGATATCGTAAAAGAGTAGTGGAATGCTTCTATGGTGAAAAAATGCTGTCGCAATTCAAACAAACGGTACTTCTTAATCGAATGCAAATCATTTGTAAATTTTTTATTGACTCATTTCGAGAAACGGAATGATCATTCCAATAGACTTAAATTTACTTACATGGTATAATACTAAAAGTAAACTGCTGCCTCTTTCTCAATATGCAGCGTTGCATCCTAGAGCTTTGCAGGCTCTAGGTATATAAATGAATATTAAGGCCTTTTTTAGTAAATCCAAAATCCATGTATCACGCATAATGAATAACACGCGAAAATACTATCAAAATTCCGACCGTATAAGAGTAGAAGAAAATATGAAACTTATATAACTTTATTTTTATCATGTCCAAAGTGTATCTCAATCGTAGAGGTGACATTAAAATTTTACATACATGATAGAATCATCAACTGATGTTTTCGCGTTATGCAATGGGTCACACAGGGACACAATAATACCCCACAATTGTCGTTCTCCTATTCAATTAATTTCAAATAGATTGCTATGTTGGCAGGGCAATTTTCGAGAATGAAGTTCAGGAATATGAAAAAATAATGGATATTCATTAGTAGAATGCGTCATCCCTTTTGCATGGTATTCTTATAAACCAACAATCTCTTTATCCTAAGAGTAAGGTGATACTAATTCAAAGTCTAAATGATATGTTAATTAAACGTAATTGCAATACACGACAAATATAATTTGCCATTAAAATTAAATTTAGCTTTATATTTAGCTTTATATTTAGCCTGCACTTTGTCCGATCTAAAGTTGACCATATTAAAAGACGATTTGGATCTAGAAATATTAAATAATATTGCATATCTAATGTTCAGGGAACCGAGGATAAGTTATAGCAATGCTTTGGTAATCCAATATTGATCAGAAAGAACGTGTTTTACGATTCTGTTTAAAAATTCCAGCGAAAAAACAAAAGCGATGGTATTGATAACGTTGTGAGGGAATTTTTCTTCTATTGTGATTTTCTTTCACCGCGTCCCGTTCAGAATGGTACCGTTAAACGTCAGTGATTCATTTGAAGAAGGAAAGTGGGTCTATGCGCTCGAATAATTTTCTTTATAAGATTATTGAAAAAGCTATTATAAAAACGAGGGGCATTAAAAACTTTTGCAATACTTTTAATCTGTAGATGGATTAAATTATCTGTTATCTTTTATACAGAATAAGCCTTTGTTTGTTGCAAAATTGCTGTTGATTTTTATTTAATTTCAAAAGATTAAGAGAGCAACAACGTCAGCTTATTATCGCAGAATACTATAAACGAGTAATTTTAGGTCCCGGTTAAGACATCTTGTATTTTATTAATGAAGAAAAGATACGATACCACTGTCGGTAAGAAATGTTAGAGCCGTATAATTTTTACATCATATAAATTCTGTGTCTTAAGTTTATAAAGAAATAATTAGAGACTATTTGTATTCTCACTAAACAAAAATCGATTACAAATGATAATATGAAGTTATTCGCGTATTATATTATTGCCATTGTTATGTTAATGCCGTGAAAGTAGACTTTTTCCGGATCCCACAAACGGTATGTAAATATTATGAGAGTACAATTAAAAAATAAACTTAATTTTTTTTCTCGCAAACTATCTTGAGATAGTTAAATTATATATAGATACTAACGTAACTCTACAATATAGACAATTATTTGGCCCGTTTACAAAATGCTCCGTATCGAAGAAAATCTTACGTTCTTACTTTCGTTCTCTGTTTTGACTATTTTTGGTTAGAGCATCATATACGATATAAATTAATTCTGACAAATATTGGAATAATATTCAAGTTAAATGTTGTTATTGTTTTTGACAATGTTTCGAATAAGAATGGTATTTATTATGAATGTCATGTTATTAGAAAATTCATGATGTATAATAACAAATTTGCATTGGTAAGAAAATTATGTGAAAAGACACAATGACTAGAGAAGATTAAGAGATAAAACATGTGACAATCATGAAATTCGTTTGACAATCTTAGGTGTCGAATGTCTCATTATACCATGATGTATGTGATCTGCAACAAATACATCAGTAGTATCTGTCAGGTAGAATCATCGAGTTTTTCCATTGACGTTGTGGATCGTGATTGGTCCGTCTCTCAGACGAGACGAACATACGACTCGAAACATCTAAATCCACCAATCAACGACTAATATTATTTTTAAAGATAAACAACCAAATAGTTGAATAATATCATTTGATTTTGTACTTTTTCTTAAATTTCTACATCATTTCAAAATCTAAGTTTATTATTATACCTTAGAATTGATAATATTTAAAACGATAAGACATGAACAGCGAACAACTGAAAATGGAAATGGAACCTCCATCCCGTTACCGGTCATCACGTCATTAGTAGATTCTACCAAGTATTTTGAAATCAGTACACTTTTCTTATGTTATACAGATTTTAATTTATATTACTGATGTTTTAAATATAAGAACATAGTGTCTGTCCATATTCGATAACTTACAATATTTACAACACTTTGATACAGTTGATCCATGTGAGTGAAATCATTCAAATAAAATGTTTAGACATCTAAATATTTCTTGATAATAATCATTTTCTAAAAGTGAGTTTTGAATCTAAGTTAGTAAAAATTTATATTTATCGTCGTTCCAAGGAAATTTGAATTAAAACGTACAGTTTAATGTTTTCGACGAATATCATCGCGTCATTTGAAACGTACCTGATTGTTTGTTGAATGACAATTCTATGATGTCTTCACGAGTGTATAAGTTAAAAAGTTACAGCTATCAGTTCTTCACCAGATAACTCCGTGTGGTACGAATGTTCTTACGATACTGACGATATGCTGAGTTTACCGCGTTATCCCACGGACTTGTCGTTGAACCGACGAGACTTGGGATCTGTTTGATGCGATTGAGTTACACGAAAGCAACGGTAACAATACTATCACGTGTGGCGGGGATTCGAAATCTACACTACATAAAAATATTGTACTTATCGGTAACGTCATTTTCAAAACGATTTGAAAAACTGCTTAAAGAAATTCAACAAAATAGATATAGACGTAACATTTTACTTTTGTTGAATATAAGTGTGTTAATTGCTACATAGGAGTACGTAAATAATAGGCTTTTATAACAAGACATACGTAGATTGCTTCTTTTATTAAATCAAAAGTTTATTTTCATCCAAAATTCAATTATTCCTAACATAACCTCTTAAATTTATAGCGTTCTTTTAAAACATATCACGTGTATGTATGTACAATGCTGGATATTGTATGTATGTATATGTATACATATCGCCGCTTATTTAAAAAGAAAATTGACCAAAATTACTTTTTCATTACTGTCCTATTTATTATCTAGAAGTTGAAAGTATATTTTTGTAGGTATATTATGAATAAATTGATAGACTAATAGAAATGATATAAAAATAATACATTATATATTTTTTATGTGATTTATCTCAAATTTGGAAATACTTATTATATCCTAAACTGCTTACAACCAATTAATATAATTAAATCTATAAATAATATATTTTTAGAATGAATTTCACTAAGATTTATATAGTAACATTTAGAAATTCGTACAACTTTATACTTATTATTTTAAACTTGAAAAAAATGTATAATACAGATTTCAAATAGTAGATTATTTCGGAATATTCATTAAAAATTTTAAACTAACGTTGAGTGGCGCGCATAAAACTTGAACTTTTTAAGATATCTACATGCGCATTGGATTCAGTACTAAGGTTAGACAATTTTGTTGCGTGTTATTGTCGGTGCTTTTAAAATTATCAAAAACAAAGTCACGTTTAAGAGTCTCGAGTTGTAATATTTCGAGCAATAATCCAAAATGCCAGGCACACCGATAAAAGATGCAAATGATGCCATAGAAAAATTACGAACAACGGAACGCCCTCCGATAACAAACCGTGAGCATACTGTGCGGGAAATTACACAAACCGATAGACTGAACAAAAAATTATTAGTATCACTTTTGGAACGAATGAATAAATCAAACGGAGAGTTCGATAAATTTATGGAAGAAGGAAATACTAGTTGTGATTCTCAAAATGACAACGAGTTTTAAATAAGATATAAAATGTTATAAAACTTAACCTATCTACTGTTTACGGTCAGGAACACCGTTACAGTTATACAATTGCTAACGCACAAATACTGCCGAAAGGAAAGAAGCTAGGTTTAAGAAATTGTATTCATACACTTATATTCTCAATAGTCTTTGAAAAATTTTACTGTTCAATAAATAATTACCGTTTTGCATATATCAAAGGAAGTTGAAATACAACTTGTTGAATATGTCAACTTTGTCAAACGATATAGAAGATGAACATGATGTAGTAGGTGAGTATAAAAACAGAGACTCAGATGAAGATCAGTTTAATACCAGCAAGAATGAAGATATTGGCTCAGATAATGAAGAAAATACTGCCAGAAGAATTGATCCAACATCTACAAAACGTAGTGTTGTAAGAAATCCTATACCTAAATTAAACACAGAACGTCTAAAAGGTCCTAAAGGACTACATACTATTGAAAAATATTTTGAAGGCTTTAAATTTTATGGAAAGGGATATGAGAAAGTAGATTTAGATAGAATCATAAAAAGGATGGAACACTGGGGACATAGACTATTCCCTAAGTTGAATTTTGATGATTTTCTTGAGAAATTAGAGAAATTGGGTACTAAAAAAGATCTTCAGGTGTTCATTAAAAAATATAGACTAGATATGATTAGTGCAGATGATACGATTAGTCCGGATAATATAGACATAGAGGAAGACAAAGATCAAGATGAACCTATTGATGAATTTGATTTATTAATTGCTGAACAAATAGAGAAACAAAAACAAGCTATGTCTAATGCATCTATTAATAATGAGAATACATTCAATGAATTATTATTACAGTCTAATGTCACCATAACTTCAAAGCCTACAAATACAACTTCTGCTTCACCACAACTAAATAAGACAACTTCTGTTTCACCACAACTAAGCGATGAAGTTAAAGAACGTATAGAAAGAAATAGACAGCTAGCTGTTCAAAGAAGGCTTGCAAGACTTAAAGAAATTGAGGAAGCTAAGAGAAAGAAATTGGAAGATACTGAAAACACACAACCAAAAAATAATTTATCTAACACAGAAATACCCAATGCTACTAAAAATTTAGAGAACAAAGAATGTAAGAGTAATTCACAAGTAAAAAGTGAAGATCATGAATCTTAAAAAAAACATTATTATTATCTGATTTATAGTATGGTTATAAAAATTTTATAAGTATTAATATAGAGTTTAGAAGACAACATGTTTAATAAATGATTTACTATGTAAAGAGCTTAACCATTTTGTTTCCACTTGAAAAAGCATGGTTCATAAAAAAGAAATGTCCTTAGAATGATTTTTATTTTAAAAGTAAGTAAAACTTCATACAAATTATGTATTTATTTTAAGTTCTACGTTTTTGTGTACTAATATATAATACATTATTGCCGCGTATAAAAGCATCACCATATTTATCTTTTAATTGACCATTTACATATTCTTCTGTTTGTTCAAGTGCTATATTCATGTAGCCATCAAGACAAGCTAAAACACCTGTAAAATAATGATTGATTAATTAATAAAATGTTTGTTTATTTCATTAAAATTCGTGAAAGATCTTACCTCGGTAATCTACACCACTATTTAGCTTTACAACAACAGGACGTCCATGAATTTGTTGAATAAATTGAGTTAATGCTTCTTTACGATTCATCTGCAAATTGTAGACATTTATCACATTTGTGAAATGACTTTATAAAAAAGAGGTTAGGATTAATAATTCTTTTTTCTCAAAGTAGTTAAACTTTACCTTAAAAGAGCTTATTTCTTCTACAGTATTTTATATATTTTATTTGTAAACTTTGAAGCACTATATACTTTTGAATTATATGGTTGTATCTTCTCAAAAGCAATAATTAACGGGCAGTTATGCCATCCTCTACTATTGGTAGATTTTGGTTAATTTTAACCCCCTGTGGCTCGGGGGGCTTAGAATACGGCCACGGTATCCCCTGCCTGTCGTAAGAGGCGACTAAAAGGGGGATGTAAAGGAACGAGTAAGATGAGTGGACTTAAAAGTACAGAAAGAGTGTGAGATTTAAAAGTACGAACAAGAATGAGTGGAATTAAAAGTACAGAAGCATATAGCATAAATAATGTAATTGAAAATGGCGCGATAATGCGCATGGCCGATAACTTTTCGTTGGGCAAAAAGGGACAGATCCAAGTCTCTAGATTACACCACCCTCAATAGAGGGAAACTTATGAAGTGAAGGGAAGTTAATTTTAGTAACTTGTTAATTATATGGATGCATTATAAATATGCCTATTCATAAAAAAATGCAGAATCTATTGGAAATATTAATAAAAAGACATTGTTAATGTATAGGCAGTTCCATACATTTTATTAATTCTATTTATTATTAGAAAGTGCAACCAATCAAATTGCACATACAATTCCTGAACCCAAACCATGTAGTAATTACTACAGTAAAATAATATTTTACACTTTTTATAGATATTTTTGAACCTTTTTGCAAATATTGGATATTAATAAAATGTAAAACAGAGATTTATATATATTACGAATGTATGTATTAAACATTATATCCATTATTTACTACTCTTTCATTACTTTACTTTACTTTACTCAAATTAAAAAAAAAAAATTGTTCTACACTTTTATTTGAGAGTGTTTCTTTATTACTAAATAAGAAAATATAATAAAATATAGAATTTGATTAGTATTTTCAAAGATTTGCCATCCTGGAGAGAAAGTTGAAAGTAATTCATTTATTTGATTTGTAATTTCGACTGAAGGGTAATTATATAAATCAGCGTCTCTGTTCTCCGTTGACGGAGATTTTGTTTTCAGATTAAATTTTATTAATTTTTAATTATTATGTTATATTGGTTACCAAAGAAACGCTTTAAAAAAAGGTACTAGGTATTTATTTGTCTAATTCTTTATGTTTTTGTTCTAGATCTGCACTTACATTTATTCTACGATCCTTAACAGACAAATATTAACATTTTGATGCATCAGCCTAATCAATAATTAAGTTTAAATTATGTTGGATACAATAACCAGGTGTAATTATTACCACTATGTTAAGGGTCTTAATTTATAGTCACAATATACCTTTTATGCAATTACAAATGGTTAAAAAAATATAATAAATGTATAAAAAATACAACGATGATGATTTAATATTTGTTTATAATTTATCACTGTTGATATAGGTTGGTTCTCTTATCAGTATGAGAAAATAACTTATTTCATTATGAAATGTAATTTATGTGAGTGGAAATAATTACACTTTTGTAAATACAATAAATAATATTAAATCTGACCACCTATGCATAATAATAGCTTGCAAGGATTTTGTACAAGTAAATTACATTAAAAGGAAAAATTTAAAGGTGTCCTAGGTTTGGTAGCTACTAACAAATATGCAATCAACTTTTCTACTATCAACAATATTGCCCGTTTCCACCATTCTTGATAACTGGTATTTAGGAATGTAAGTTGCTGTGTTTAATGTCTATTTTGTAAATTTTCTTATGTATGAAATAAGATCATGATTTTTATCAAGCTCCTTAAAAAAAGTATAGAATGTAGTAATGCAATAGTACTTTTGAATTTCTTTGCATCGAGGTAAAGGGATATCTCTCAATTAAAATATTTTAACAAAATAGTTTTTGGTGTTAAACAAGTAAATGAACTGTTTATATATTAAATGAACTATCTAATGATTGGTAGAAATGGCTAATAAATAAAATATTAATAACAAAGTATAGAGGATTTATTGAAAGTATCATACTTTGTATAAAGTGCATGTATATATTTTTATATTTTCAATATTTTAAATTATTGTTTTTTTTTATTTTATGAACTGATTGTTTATAACTATGTTTTTCTAAGCTATTAACTTTTTTTTATTATAGTATGCACCATGTTACAAAAGAATTAAAATACTGGAAATCATATAAAAATACATTGTAAAATAACAGGTCAATTTTTGAAATTTTTCATTAAATATATGGAACAAAGAAAATAGGATTCTCTGTACAAAGTTTAATTTATGTACTTTTGAATTAAATTTTATATGTGCAGTTTTCAAAATATATGCATTAAATAATGTGCAATAACCATCATTTAAATTGTAAATGTATACATCAAACTACTATAAGATTAATAAGGTATAAATTTATAACTATTACCATATTTTTATACTTTATTAATGGCTATAAAAATTCATTGTATGTTTATATTGGTAATAATCATTATGTATATGCTACTTTCTATATATGAATATGCATTCTGATAATAAACAAGAAACAAAAAGGTAGATTACATACCTTTATTTTTTCAATTGTTTTCTATAGCTACAATTAAATATTATTGTTTGTATGTGATGTAAAGTTTTGAATGAATAAACTTGATTACAGACACTTAATTTGGGTAATGGCAGTAACAATAATTATATACTTTGTAATATTTGGACTACTGCCTGTTATATTTCATTATTCTTGCACTATACAAAGAAAGATACTATTTTCAAATTTTGGTAAGTAAATAAATTTTATATGTTTGTTAAAATTCTTTCATTTTTTTTCTTACATATAATTAATTTCATATTTTCAGTACAATGGCCACTTAATGTAGATTTTTCAAATCCAGAGTCAGTTGGAATGAAAGGAACAAGAAATTTTTATTTAACAACAGATCAACAAGTAAAAATAGGATTGTGGTTGGTAATTAACTTGTATAAATAATAATGTTATATGCGTTGCTTATTTACAACGAGTAAAATATATTTTTAGGCAGGTGCTACCTCAATCTTTATTAAATAATACCAATATTACAGCAGATGATGATTATGAAGATATTTTAAGGAATGCTAAGCAACCAGTTTTTCTTTATATGCATGGTAATAGTGGTAATAGAGCAAGTAGTCATCGCCTCGAACTTTATAAATTATTTCAGTCTTTAGATTATCATGTTATAGCCTTTGATTATAGAGGTAAGTGTTGAGAATTTTGATGTTAAAAAATTAAAGCTGTGTAAATAATTGTAAATATATTTTTTGTAAATGTAGGCTATGGTGATAGCGAAGAAGCAGAGCTCTCTGAATCAGGTGTAGTTACTGATAGCAAATATATCCTTGAATGGTTGCTGAAATTAGTGAATAATACAGCTCCTGTCTTTGTATGGGGACATTCTTTAGGCACTGGGTATGAAGTTATTTGCTTAATAATACTAGTACTTAAAAAAAGATCAATTCAAAAATCTTAACAAGCTTCATTGATCATGATTTACAGGGTCTCTACTCATGTACTAGCATTATTAGCAATAGAAAATATCCAGCCTGCAGGGTTATTTTTAGAATCGCCATTTAATAATATTGCAGATGAATTAAGTGAACACCCTCTGTCACAGGTATTTTAGATTACAAAAACCATTTAATAATACTATGATACTAACTATGTTTCGAAATGTGTTTAAAAACTTTATTTTTTGCAGGTGTTTAAACATTTACCGTGGTTTCATTGGGTAATAGTTGAACCATTTTATAACAATTATCTTCGATTTGAATCAGACAAACATATAGAAAAGATTCAATGTCCTATTATGATATTACATGCAGAAGATGATGGTATTGTACCATTTTCGTTAGGTGAAAAGGTATATTAATTTTAGTTACAGTTTCACAAAATGTATATAATGTTAATAGATCTTATATTTATTTTATTAGTTATTTAAATCAGCTATAAATTATCACGGTAACAGTACAAATCGTATTCAATTTATACGAATAGATGCATCATATGGTTTCGGCCACAAATACATATGTCGTTACAAGGAATTACCTAATATAATTAAGTAAGTATTAGTTATACTGAAATATATTACAATGCTGGCAAAACTTAGTAATATGTTAATGGTTCTTCCAGAACATTTATAAGCGTACCACATGAGAAGTACTAGTTAAATTGTTTAGTAAAAGTGTACTTTTATGATCAGATGAGGTACTTTTTGTGGTAGGTATTAGTATTTGAATAATATGACGTAAAACGATAGTACTCCATTGTACTATTATGTTTTGTTTAAATTCAGTCATTTTTATTGTTTCAATTTTATAATATACATAATTTTTTAAATAAACAATTAACTTAATTTAATTAGGTTTATAATACATTTATATAGGATGCATATTGCATATGTAGCAATAACAATTATTTTAGTTGAACAATGAAAAAAGAAAGAATTGTATGTATTATACATAAGGAAACGTGGTATATTATTAAAGTTACTCCTGTGATAGTTATTTCAATGCCACCATCAGTATTTACATATTATTTTATATGTATCAACGAATTTGTAACAAATTTACAAATCAATGAATACTCAACCATGTTATTATTTTAAGTATTACGATATGCAAATTATAAACGTATAAGTTTTACGTATATACATTTATCTTCGAACAATTTGAATTATTATATGTATCAGTATACTGTACGTCTTTACACAAATAAAATAATAAAAAAAATAACGAAACAAAAGTGACATTTCTTATTATAATATTACGAAATTTATATTCCTTTTAGTTCCCTTGTACGCATGCGCGAGAACACGGGCGCTACCTATCGGAAATCGTCGCAAACTAAACGACAATTTACCGACTTTCGGATGGTAACATTTGTGATAGATGAGGCAGCTATTCTCTCTTCGGGGTCCCAGACACCCCGAATGCCATAATATCGGTATACAGTCAACGGCGCTTCGGGGTCCCAGATACCCCAAGATGATATGAGGTCGGTATGCAGAGAGCGCCACGATGCAGTGGGGTCCCTGACACCCCCAATACCAGAATGTGGGTACGCAAAAAGTGACACATACTGGTGATACGGGGTCCTTGACACCCCGGATGCCATAATGTCGGAATGTAAACAGTGTCAGTGGTACTCCGGGGTCCCGGATACCCCGAATGCCATAATATCGGTATGTAAATAGCGTTGCTCGTGCTTCGGGGTCCAAGACATCCCAGCAACGAATCAGGTCGTATCCATCACTATCTTGAACAAATGTTGCAGGATTTGTTCGTTTCTCGTTCTTATATTTCGCTAGATGCGGTTAAACCCATCACTATTTCGAACAAGTGAGTTACACGATTTGTTCGTTTTCCGTTCTTATATTTCGCTAGATTCGGTCAAACCCATCACTATTCCGAACAAGTGAGTTACACGATTTGTTCGTTTTCCGTTCTTATATTTCGCTAGATCCGGTTAAACCCATCACTACACCGAACAAGAGAGTTTCAGGATTTGTTCGTTTTCCGTTCTTATATTTCGCTAGATCCGCTCAAACCCATCACTATTCCGAACAAGTAAGTTTCACAATTTGTTCGTTTTCCGTTCTTATATTTCGCTAGATCCGCTCAAACCCATCACTATTCCGAACAAGTAAGTTTCACGATTTGTTCGTTTTCCGTTCTTATATTTCGCTAGATCCGCTCAAACCCATCACTATTCCGAACAAGTAAGTTTCACGATTTGTTCGTTTTTCGTTCTTATATTTCGCTAGTTGCTTCGGGGTCCTTGAAACCCCAGATACCAGAATGTCGGTATGCGGATGCATCGGACCTTCGGGGTCCTTAGAACCCCGCGACAATATAATTTAGATATGCAGACTCGTCGGTGCCTGGGGTCTTTAGAACCCCGCGACAATATAATTTAGGTATACAGAATCGTCGGTGCATGGGGTCCTTAGAACCCCACGTGGTATCATATAGGTATGCAGAGATACTGGCTGGTGTTTAGGGTTCCTTAAGACCCCAATATTATATCAGGGCGGTACGTGGAGATAGTGACTGGTGCTTCGGGGTCCTTAGAACCCCGGATGGTATAATATAGGTATGTAGAGATACTGGCTGGTGGTGAGGGGTTCCTTAAGACCCCAATATTATATCAGGGCGGTACGTGGAGATAGTGACTGGTGCTTCGGGGTCCTTAGAACCCCGGATGGTATAATATGGGTATGTAGAGATACTGGCTGGTGTTTGGGGTTCCTTAAGACCCCAATATGACATCAGGGCGGTACGTAGAGATAGTGACTGGTGCTTCGGGGTCCTTAGCACCCCGGATGATATAATATTGGTACGCAGAAATACTCAACGGTGTTTCGGGATCCTTAAGACCCCAATATGACATCAGGTCGGTACGTAGTCGGCGTCATTGGCTTGGGGGGATAAAATCAGGGCCGTATGAAGAGTGCACAACCAGTTTAATTTCTGTCCAGAGTATATTTAATTTACTTCATTATAGGCCAAGGCCATCTCTGTATCCCTTATAATCCTGAATCCATTACATCTCTCGAACCCTTACATCCCTATATTCTTTTCATCCCTACATTCTTTTCATCCCTACATTCATTTCATCCCTACATTCGTTTCATCTCTACATAACTTACACCGCTTCATCACTTACATCCCTTCATTCATTTCATCCCTACATTCCTTAGACCGCTTCATCCCTTACATCCCTTCATTCATTTCATCCCTACATTCACGTCATCCCTACATTCGTTTCATCCCTACATTCCTTTCATCCCTACATTCTTTTTATCCCTACATTCCTTTCATCCCTACATTCTTTTCACCCCTATATTCCTTTCATCCCCATATTTCTTACATCCCTTCATTCATTCCATCCCTACATTCATTTCATCCCTACATTCTCTTCATCCCTACATTCCTTTCATCCCCACATTCCTTTCATCCCCACATTCTTTTTATCCGTACATTCCTTTCATCCCTACATTCCTTTCATCCCTACATTCCTTTCATCTCTACATTCTTTTCATCCCTATATTCCTTTCATCCCCATATTTCTTACATCCCTTCATTCATTCCATCCCTACATTCATTTCATCCCTACATTCTTTTCATTCCTACATTCTCTTCATCCCTACATTCCTTTCATTCCTACATCCCTTTCATTCCTACATTCCCTACACTTCTGTATCACTTATAATAAATATATTACAAAGACTGCTTCGAGTAAAGGTAAGTAAAGGTAAGTTAGTTTTTCGTCAAAATTTTTCGAAAATTTAGTTCCCTTTATCGCCGCCAGAGGGCGCTGATTCGGCATCGAAATTTTAGTTCAAATTTTTGCCGCAAGGGGGCGCTATTTTTCCCAAGGTTTTCGAGAAAATCTCGAAAATACAGCGCCCCCTAGCGGCAAAAATGTGAACTAAAATTTCGATGTCGAATCAGCGCCATCTGGTTTTGGAAAAAGGAACTAAAGCATGCTCAATTTTTGGCCCTCTGGCGGCAAAAATGTGAACTAAAATTTCGATGTCGAATCAGCGCCATCTGGTTTTGGAAAAAGGAACTAAAGCATGCTCAATTTTTGGCCCTCTGGCGGCAAAAATGTGAACTAAAATTTCGATGTCGAATCAGCGCCATCTGGTTTTGGAAAAAGGAACTAAAGCATGCTCAATTTTTGGCCCTCTGGCGGCAAAAATGTGAACTAAAATTTCAATGTCGAATCAGCGCCATCTGGTTTTGGAAAAAGGAACTAAAGCATGCTCAATTTTTGGCCCTCTGGCGGCAAAAATGTGAACTAAAATTTCAATGTCGAATCAGCGCCATCTGGTTTTGGGAAAAGGAACTAAAGCATGATCAATTTTTGGCCCTCTGGCGGCAACAATGTGAACTAAAATCTCGACGTCGAATCAGCGCCATCTGGTTTTGGAAAAAGGAACTAAATTTTGCATAAAAATGTTGCGAATGTGTTAAGAATGCAGGGATGTTAGGGATACAGAGACATAAAGGATGTAGAGATGTAGGGAATGTAGGGATGAAAAGAATGTAGGAATGTAAGGGATGAAGAGATGTGAGGAATGTAGGGATGAAAAGAGTGTAGGAATATAAGGGATGAAGAGATGTAAGGAATGTAGGTATGAAAGGAATGTGTGGATGAAAAGAATGAAGAGATGTAAGGAATGTAGGTATGAAAGGAATGTATGGATGAAAAGGATGTAGGAATATAAGGGATGAAGAGATGTAAGGAATGTAGGGATGAAAGGAATGTATGGATGGAAAGAATGTAGGGATGAAAAGAATGTAGGGGTGAAAGAATGTAGGGGTGAAAGAATGTAGGGATGAAAAGAACGTGGGCATGAAAAGAATGTAGGAATATAAGGGATGAAGAGATGTAAGGAATGTAAGGATGAAAAGAATGCATGGATGTAAGGAATGTAGGGATGTAAGGAATGTAGGTGTGAAAGGAATGTATGGATGAAAAGAATGTAGGAATATAAGGGATGAAGAGATGTAAGGAATGTAGGGATGAAAGGAATGTATGGATGGAAAGAATGTAGGGGTGAAAGAATGTAGAGATGAAAAGAACGTGGGCATGAAAAGAATGTAGGTATATAAGGGATGAAGGATGTAAGGAATGTAAGGATGAAAAGAATGCATGGATGTAAGGAATGTAGGGATGTAAGGAATGTAGGTATGAAAGGAATGTATGGATGAAAAGAATGTAGGAATTAAAGGAATGCATTGATGTAAGGGATGCAGAGATGTACGGAATGCAGGGATCCAGAGATGGAAACGATGCAGGAATGTGTGAGAAGCTGTGATGTAAGGGAAGCTGGGATGTAAAGAATAAATAAATATAAGGGAGTAATAAAATCAACACGTTCAGTCTTCTAATGCGTTTATTCAATAAGTTAGAAAAATAAATACGGTACACTAAATGAGCGCAGAAAATAAAATAAAGGTTGTGTATGTTTGAAAGGTAGATCCACAATCCTCGGCGGTCGCTACTAGACTGTGACACAGTATAGGAACTATCCTATATAATTATTTTGACAACCGACTTTCGAATTGACGGTTTTATTGCAGACCTAACATCACTTGGGATCACTGGGATGCCAGATCTGTCTTTTTAAAAACAATAGCATGTTTCATCCTTTTTCATCTGTAATCATTGCTATTACATCACTTAAGGCTTATGCGCATGCGAATGGGACTATTTTTGTCCTATTTCTGGCAAAAGTGATTCAAGCATTCTGTTGAAAAGAAAGATTATAGTAGTTAAAATTAGATACATAATTTTGTTTGAGATTACAGTAACTTAAGTTAGAACAATGGCCAGTGCTATATACAACCTTCTGTTCAAACGAACTTCGACAGTCGTTGTAGTTATATTAGCAAGTAGTTTCGTATTTGAGCGATCGGTTAATGTATTTTCGGATAAAATGTTTGAGAGCATTAATAAGGGGGTATGTATAAATATAAGAACTATTGTAAGATATTCTAATAACGATTTTCGTAATAAGTTCAATTCCATGTATGTAATCAGTTATGAAAAGGCATTGAATTAACTTATTCTTTACTGCTTAAGAAAGTAAAACGAACTAACTTTTTGAAACAAAGGGATAAACATTGTAAGCATAACAATGCCAATATGTTTTGTTTCAGAAACTTTGGAAAGATATAAAAGACAACTATGGAGCATAGGTAGTACAATGTTAATTGTGCTATGTTAGATGTTCATGTACATATATAACGATGTATCAAATACTTGTATTATGTTTCTTTCATTACACAAATAAAAAGTAATTTATTACACATAATAATTATTTATTTACTGGTGACCCCCATGACATTCAACGTGTTAAGATCTATGGTCATTAAAATGCTTGTTATAGTGGTTCGATGAAATGACCAAAAAATAGCGTTGTATTTGTGATGGAATCGATGATGAGGAAGAGGAAAGGTCTATCCATCTTAACGTCGTTACTCCACGATGAAAGCAGCTGATATCCAACTTCTGTTAAATTAGATTATCATTAAAAATACAGCAATATATTCAATCTGTTTTTAAAAAGAGAAAAGTTTCATTAAAGTTACCAGTATCAGCTGCCGCTAACGTTCCTTCTTCGTCTATTTCTATTTTAATCTTCTGTAGGATATCTGTCACACGTACCGAACCGTTGGAAACTATGTTAGTTAAATTTGCATCAAATCTGAATACACTTTCAATCCCCAGCTAAAAAAGAACTATGTTGATAACTTTGAAAAATAGGTTTCTTCATAGCGAAACTTACGTGTTGTAAGGTGGACATTAAATTAAGATTGTTCTCAATCTTAAACTTTGGAAGATATATAGTGACGTCTCTTTCCCTTAAGTTTGCTAGCATCGCAGATATAGGAATGGTAGCTAAATCTTTGGACAATATTCGAAGATGTGGGTCTTTTTCTCTTTCATTTGGCATGATCGTTAACATCGACGTTTTACCATCCTGAAAAATTACACCTAACGTTATATAGATATAGAAAACATGTCTCACATAATTGTACTTGGCTTGTTTATCGTACCGAGTACGGAATTTCTAAAATATGCGCTTCAATGGAGGATATGTACGCATATCGATACGTGGACTTATGCTGCATGAAATGCGTTTTTCTGCATTCCCCATTAGGGATATAAAAACATTGCAATCCCGTTTTCATTGGATCGAAAGCTTTCAACCAGCATCCTTTGAAATAGATAATAGAAGTCAGTATCATACGGGTGTCAGGTTGTATGTTGTTAACCAAGGGTGAAGAAACTACGCTGCGCGTTGCTTGACGGACCCAGTCATTAATAAGACGCGCAGTCTTTTGAGAATCTATAAAATTTATATTTTGAACGTCTCCTCTGTAGTGTGATTGCAAAATATTTTTATAACTGTCCAGTACATGTAAGTTTTCATCTATCCACAATCGGGTAGCTAGATCAATTTCTGTGCCATTTTCTTTTCTCTAAAAATAAAATGTATTTCGTGTTTGTGAGTTAAAGTGAATCCACGCAAATGTTGGGATTACTATATAGTAAATGCATTTTTACCTTTAGGGATGCGTAGGTACGTTGGGTGATTTCTCTTATACGCGATTCCTCATTAGGTAATCTTAATTCCGAAAGAATCTCTTGTCTCGTTTTACCATTCGCTCCTTCCATTAGCATCGTTAGAACCGCTTTAACACTCGCTGGTGATGATACTAGATTTTCATCGTGTTCCTTACTGAGAACCTATGGTAGAAATAAGAATAGAGCTTCTCAATTAATGAGATACAAGATATATTTTTATATTCTTTTACCTGTGAGAAGTATGCATTGAAGAGATTATTCCTATCTTCGGCATTAAAGCCCATCTGCAAGATCGAGTCTAGAAACACCTTTGTGTTAATATGATGCTGAGACTTTCTTTAAATAAAGTTGCGGAGAAAGAAACTACATAATCGTTAACAATTTGTTAACAATATTGGGAAGAAATGACAGTAGAGAATTATGATAGTGAAATTTATTTGGAAGAAGAGATTAACCTGTGTTCACTACTGGTGTGCCAAATTTAGATAGAATAGTTTGATTCGAACTGCCAGTACTGCCGCTCGTAATTAAAGGATTCATTATCTTGCCCATGTAAGTGATGGTTCCTGTAGATTCGTCTTCTATATAAAATAAGAAGGGGCGATTCGCATGGAACGTTTCTTCCCCGATTTTATTCCCAAGTTCGATTTCTAGATTAATAAATCAAGTTCAGAGGAATAGAAATAGGTACCTAAAAGATAGTTGGATAACAGTTTTACCGGTGGCAACGTAAGCCGTCGTTCCATTCTCGTTCACTTCTATTCCAGCCTTTTGCAATATATTCGAGACTTTCAGGTGTTTGGAAGTTCTTTTAGTGCGGGCTATACCAGTTAATGTAGCTGTGTCGTCAAAGATATTGCGAATACCAAGCTAAAAGCGGAACAGAAAATTTAGGATATTGAAAAGAACATTGTGGTTTAATAGCAAAAGCGAATACCTGACGAAGCACGGATTCCAAATGACTGGAAAATTCAAATTTAAATTTCGGGATGGACACATCAACAGGCAGATCCTGCATCAACCACACGTGTCGCGCCAGGATAAAAGGATTAACATCGGCGACAAGTTGCTCGATACCATTCTGAGTACGAGGTAGTAAAAGGTACATGGCGAATTTGTGTCCCTAAAAAAGGCATCAATAATATAAGATAACGGAACAGTCAAGGACGAGATAGATTTAGACGTACGTCATACGGAATCCGTAAAATCTTTGCGTCTAACTCGGGAGACTCGGAGAAGTAGAATCTGCCGAATGCGCGCATAAATGGCACGTCTACCGATTCGTTGCCATTTTTATAGAATTTCCCAACTCGTGTGTTCTCCGGAGGGAAGTATCTGCGTCGCCATGAGCCTTTGAAATAGAGTGCGTTCACTATCAGCATCAGCGACTCCTTTACGCTGCTCTCTAGAAAATTTAATTGTATATTGCAAACAAGAATTATGAGTAAAGATAAATAAAGATTATTTTCATTCGTACCATTTTCTATAATCTTCTCGATGTTACCCTCTGTAACATTGCTGACCCATCTGTTTATCTCCCGAACGAGAGGTTGCGAGTCCGACATATTCGCGACAATCACATCGGTGTTGTAAAAGGTTTTCACGATAGCCTCGTATCGTTGTCTAATCAAAATATTCGAATCCGTGTAAATTCGTGTCCCAATATTCAAACTGTATGATGGAGAGGTAGCCTGCAAGAGAATTAGGAAATTAATTAGTAGAGAAAGATAATTATCCTAAATACTAATGGTTGCCTTTCATAAATGTACGTATGTACCTGTAGGGAACGTAAAATAGTGGAGAACTTGTCCCGGGTAGCCGTTCGGGTAGCAGGTAACTGCATCCCTGCGGCTAGTTCATGAGCAGTGTTGTCTTGAGCTCCTTCGTACAAAAGTACCAATGCAATCTTCAACGATATCGGCGATAGAAGAAGATTTTCATCGTACCTTTTACTCATTACCTAAGAGGGGTACCGCAAACGGAACAATAGCAAATATAGTCAGAATAAATTATGTTCACTGATAAAGTCTCTGTTCTATAATTAGAATTTCATGATCTTTACTCTGAACAATGTCCAATCGAATACGTTGAAACGTTCTCCTTGATAGGGTACAAAGTCATCCTCGTCCTCGTCGTGGTTCACGGACCCCTCAAAATCGGCGACATTCGTCCTGTTCGCGTCAACAGCTCGCTTGGATTCGCAGCATCCGATCGCAAGCGTCGCGATGCACAGGACCACCGCCACGTAGCCTGAAAGAAATACAGGAGTTGCTGAAGAAGATTCTTTGAGTTTCTTTCAAATTCAAAGAGACGCCGCTGCGTCGCGTTTGCCGCGCATGGATCTCTCGATCATTAACAATGCGTTAAGATAGAAAGAAATTTCTCACCCAACGTTTGGACGTGCTTCATAATCGCGTGACGATGTATGTTGATTCGATCGTAATTAGAGATAACTGTTACAGCAAGTAGTAATTAAAACTGCGACGCTCACGTCCTCGCTTGATTATACTCGCTCGAACCGAACGGACGACTCCTCGGAATTTAACAGAGCCACGAAGCGGTTCGCTGGGACTCTGATCTCATCTAGTATCGCAATTTGATGTTCGTCGAACGAAGAACCGGTCGGGTCGGCTCGGGTCAGGTTGGTCGGTTAGCCCATCCTCGGACCATCGCATAATGGAAATGGAAGAGAAGCGAGTCATAAAAGATAAAGAGGGGCTACAGGTATTGCCCAGGAAAGGAGCGAATCGATGGATCGTGATTCACCAGCTTCCGGAATCAACCAGCCGCGGGAACAAGTCAAACGCGCGGTTCTAATACGTTCAGAACAGATTTATTTTATCGCTATAACGTTACTTAAATTATTATACATAATTGTCAAGGAAGAAATGAAACAAGAATAAAATTGAATTATCTCATACTCGAAGAGTCGTTCAATTTCTCCCCCTCTTTTTCTTTCCTATTTTCCTGTCTCTCGCGCTGCATCGCCGCATAATTGTCGAGAGCCCTTGAAATTAAAATGGTAGCTACGTTCACGACCTCGTCGTTTAAAAGGCCCTGGGATAATTCCGCTACCTGCTCCTTCACCTGCAAAATGAAATAGCTCGTTAGTAAGTATACGTAACAATCCCCCTCTTCCTTCTTTCCTGATGTAAAAACAAGTTGAGCGTTACCTGATGATTATTGGTAAATCCAAAGCCAATGAAACTAATGGTGCAAATAGGTGTAAAGGTACAAACGACGGTGGTAAATGCTCCGCCTAATATAATTGCAAATAGAAAATGCAATAAGTAAGCTCCAGCACGAATTCCATATAGGAGAATTTCATCGGAGAATGGAAGCAAACTGGTCCCAATTTCGGTAATCCAAGCAGAGTCTGTGTTCTGTTGCGGTACAACAGCGGGAACGAGGTACCCCTCGTACCCCGTCTGAATCGCGTATCCGTTGTTTCCATATTCTGGATACGTTGGATAATGATAGCGATTAACCGGATAAATTTGTTGCTGACCTCCGATTCCAAGCGTTGCGAATGTTCGCTGATTCGTTTCATCGTTTTTCTCGCTCTGCTCGTCGTTAGTTTGATCTTTAATCGGTACAACTGCAGCACCGCACAAATAAATCGTCAAACACATCATTAAACTGCGATACATTTTTCCTTGCAAATAGAATTGACTGACGAAAATCACGCGGTTAAATTTTTCGAAAGACTGCGAGCTAAACACCTACAACCCCTGGCTTTATATACCTCAACGAAACAAAGGTCGTGGAGAGGGTGAACCACCACCTGCAGCAAAAGGTAAAGGGCCTAACGATGCACCCATGGTCAGCGAGAATTTCGCTTTCTAATTCGCATACCTGAGACCTTAAGCATTACGCTTATTGTTCTTGTTCTTCTTGGAAATATAGTTAGGTAGCAAAACCATAAGTCTGTGACTTCAAAATCTATAGCGACGCGATTCAACAAAACGGAACATTTTTTATTCGTTTCCCGAATAATTTTTACTAAATTCTATTCTTCATATACACGTCTCATAAAAGCAAAAAAGATATAATCTATGTAAGTAAATTCTGTCGATACGTTTACGATTCGCGTGGCTGTAGGTACAGTGAAATCTTGTTATATTGGAGAAGACAGGGTTATTATAATATTCCTGCAGCAATGTAACAAAACCCTACTGTACCGACACCTTCGACGTGTCCATTATCTGTTTTCGCAAATTTTCAATCTCGTCTTCACTGCTACTGTTACTACTGTTACGATAATTTTTTCGTTTACTTCTTCTTTCAGTCTTACAGTCTAATGCTTCGTTCTTTGAGCGTTTCCGCTTCCCTTTCCGCTTTCGCCCCTCGAGTTCTCGTTCCGCTCTCTCCAATTCGCATAGTTCTTTCACTAAAGTGATATCTTGATGTTCGTTCTCGTCTCCTTCCACGCAAAAGGAATCCTGAAATTCAACAGAAACGTTACGTACAATTAACTTCTATAATTTCTAACACGATAGGTATAACATCATATTTACGTTTAAATAAGTGTCATCTTGTTCGGGCGCTTGCGAATATATTTCTATGCTCGTATCAACCGTACGTGGTTCTTTAAAAACGAAACCCTGCCGTGCTTTCATCGGGCTTTTGACACTTTTCAAATAGTGAATGTGCATGTCAGTTGTGTCATGTACGTTTTGGGTGTAGCTTACAAAATCATCGAGATCTGTGTCCATTTCAGAACTTTCATCCGAAGAGACTTCGTTTGAAGATACCTTTGCTTCATCCTCTATAAATTCATGTATCTTTCTTCTTTTGCGATTACCATGAATACGTTTCTGACAGCTTTTCTCTTCTTTGCTTCTTCGTTCACGCGATGAGTCCTCAACCTTCGAGTGATTGAAGAAGAAACTGCTTTCTTTTTCTTCTTCTCTTTTAGTTGAATCGTTTAAATTGCATTTAATAAATTGTTTTGAGCTCGAATTCCAATTTTTTCTTACGTTCGATAATTTTTTTGCTATACTTGAATCAGAGGTACTCCCTCTTGAAACATTGGAAGGTTTGTCAGCCGAGATCCATTCCTCACTGTCCCAGTCCAATGTCTTAACAGGTTGTTTAGATTTTTTGTTTGTTCCTTTGGACAAATTGAATTTTGTAGAACTGCATACAGGTTCCATGGGAATTTCAAAATCATCATCCCATTGATCTAGATCTGTCCAGTCATTGAAAACAGTTTTGTTATTAGACTCATTATTTTCAGACAAATTATCTGCTTCTTTGATTGTCTCTTCAATGTTGTCGATTTCTCTCAAAAAATCTTCATCCTGGAACATATCATCTTCTGATTCATCGATTACTTTCGCATTGCTTGAGTTTGTATTTAATTTTGCTATCTCTTCGATCGCTTGCGTTATACTAAGAATCTGTTCATTTTTGGATTTATTAGAATTTGATATAGAATTATCCTCGACTATTCGTTTATCGTTCTTATTTTGAGATTGTTCAGCTTGTATATTTTCAACGTGAATATTACTTTCACATTCATCAGATATTTCGTTCAGTATATCTTCAAATATTCCAGGCTCTAAATCTTCGTTATTAATTATGTCGCTTTCCTTTGATTCACTGCTATTATCAAGCAGGTCTTCAAATTTCGACTTTTCAATGATACGTTCATTTTCTTTTTGCTTCGGCTCATTATCAAATACAGGTTCATCATTACACAAGTTGCTCTTACTTTTACTCCTGTTTTTATTCTTGTGTAAATTACTATTTAGTGGAACAACATCCTCTAAACTAATTAAGCAATCTAGAATTTTAATATTGGGTACTGTAAACTTAAACAAGTTTTTAATCCGGGGAAACTTAGGTATGTAAATTTTATTAATTTTACATTCTTCCTCTGTATCCGTTTCTTTTTCAGAGGTTCTCAAAGCACACGTTGTAAGAAAATCAACTGCATCGTTGTCACAGGACAAAATTTTTACGTCGGATGGTTTTATTATATTTTTATTCTGACTCGTATCACAAGCAGGTGTATTAACATTGCTTTCTGAATGTTCTTTATATTTCTTAGTTGTAAAGAATTTCGTCATGGTAAATTTATTGTCATCCTTTTGTGATTTCGTATCAGAATCTAAAACATATACATAACATGTAAAATGGATGATTGCATTAAACTTTCATCATTTTATTACCTAGAGCTGTAATCTTCTTTAGCTTATTTTGACGCTTATTGTTCTCCTTATCTGCTTTTTTTTTCTTGCCTTTTGTAACTGGAGTTTTTGGTTGCACGTTAATATGCATTTTTAAACATTCTGGCTTAAAAATATCAGGTATCATTCGTGGACTGCTTTGATAAAGCGAAGAGAAAATATTGCTTGTGTTTAATATCCTGTTATTTAAGGAAACTCTTCTAGCCATTGTAGATTTTAATGTCTATGATATTGAACGGATTATCAAAATTTTATACATGTTTTAGATACTTATGGTTATTAAGCTTTTAATTACCTCGTGTTCTTTCCCATCAGTGACCAGAATAATTATGTGACCATCGCGTTTTCTACCGGTTCTCCCCATTCTTTGTACCAGTCGCGTTGGAGAATGTTGAGACACATCGAAACATACAATTAAGTCTACTTCTCCAACATCCAACCCTTCCTCTCCTGTATTCAATAAGATAACATTCTCATTAATTCATTATAATTCCTGTTTGCAACTTGGCAACAAACTTGTTAGTACATATTACATATTTTGTACCTATACTTGTAGATATAAGAACATTAACGTGATTACTTCTAAAATGTTCTAATGCTTTTATCTGCTGCTTTTGTTTCTGTCCAGCTTGACCAACAAACATTTGCGGTTTTATTAATGGTTGACACTGAAGCAGCAACACGTAAATTTCGTTCACGATATCTCTGTACTGAATAAAGAAAAATCATGTTATACCTTAAATTTATATTGCATACATTCGATAAGTACAAACCTCAACAAAAACGATGGCTCTTGTATCAATCTGTTTTTCCTGACTGCTTGTAAAATGATGCGACAGTAATTCTTTTAACTTTTCGAACTTCGTATGTCCGAATACAAGATCTTGTGATATCTAAAATTTGTGAATTACATATAAAGACAAACACAACTCTCTGCGTTTAATATGTACACGAATTTATACAAACATTTGCTGCGTTGCTTTCATTAATAGTTTTTACATCCGGAAACGGGCCAAGATATTGTTTTATGTCTTCAACCAACTCCAACAATTGAGTCTCTTCATTCATCCAAAACTTATCAGAATGATCTGTCGATAAAAATATATAAAAAAGTACTTAAGATAAAAAAAGACCATGTATCAATTGTATTCGTAAAACATAAGTTACGTACTCTGATAAAATTTACAAAATGCTCGGAGACCATCTCTGATCATAAGTTCGTAAGCATGATACATCGTCATTAATATATTTAGTGTTTTTATAATTTGTCCATAATTTCCTGATTTATTAGTTTTATTTTGAAAGTCCTTTAATAAATGATATATCTAGATAACCAAGAAAAGAAAAGACAATCTTAATTTTATAAGTTGGAAGTATGAACAATGAAACATATGAAAGTTTAATTTACCCTTCCTTTAGAAATATTTGCTGTATCTCCCTTAAGAACATTATACTGCAGTAAAACTTTAACATGACGATCCATAACGAAAATATATCTCTCTTTGTATTTTGTTAGTTCATTGTTAAGTGGTACTAAAATTATATCGACTTTTCTTTCATTGATATACGGTATAATATCTGGGGAAGTTTCGTCTCGCAACTCCACATGAGCGATAAGCAAGTTTTGCAACACCTACAGAAAATATTATTTATTTACTCCTGCAAATTGTAGTATAGTTATAAAAGATATCGGTAATGATTTTATATAATTTAATATAAATAAATTATACCTCATGAACATTATCAATTTTGTTGCCTGGTGTTGCAGAAAGGGCTAATACTCTAAAGTTTTTATTTTTCTGACTTAGTAGTTGAATGCACTAAGAATAGAAAACATACAATTATTTAACATGTGGATTTTGTTGCAATTTTTCTTATAATGTTTTTATATGAAATAACTACCTCACAATACGAATGTTTTCCTAAAGCTTTGTGAGCTTCATCTATAACTACACATTTTATTAAATCAGCAGGTACAATATTTTTATGTAGATCATTGTAAAAGACTTGAGGAGTAGCGAATATTACTCTCTTTTTCAACCAAGCTATTTCTCTCTGTTTCTGATTGATTGCTCCTGTAACAGAATATATTAATAGTAAATGAAATAAAAGAAAGAGTTTAAAATATATACATCAATCTACCTGTAAGTTCAACAGACTCTATAGATGATATACCCATTATATTGTGACAAGCAAAAATTTGTTGAGCAACTAAAGGTTTAGTAGGTGCTAAGAACACAACTCTTCCACGTGGATACCATCTCCAAAAATTATACATCATAACTGCTGCAATAAATGTTTTTCCCAAACCTGATAAGAATTAAAAACAAAATATTATAAATCTTAATAAATTCATTGCTTTCTATTGTTCTTATTATATGGTAAATGCAATTATCCTTACCAGTGGGTAAACAGACTAAAGTGTTTTTGTATAAACAGGCTTGAACTATATTGAACTGATAATCTCTCACAGGATAGTTTTCCGGATAAATCCATGTTTTTCCAGCTGATAAATCAAACCCTTTTGTTTCTGCATCAGATGAAACTTGGGTATTTTGTGTTGGTTCCATTTGAAAAACTCAAATGTCACATAAATTTAATGATTTGACACATTTTAATAAAACGACAAAATATTATTAACATAGTTTGCATTTGTAAATAAATAGTCGTTTATCTCATTAACCAATTCAACGTTTAAGCACTTCTGATATTTACATCAATAATTCCAAATAAAAATATTATAAATTTAACAACATCATAATCAAAATCTTCGTTAGGAGGCACATATGGTTATAAAAAATTAAATACATAAATATTATGCTTCATTCAAATTTGAACATAACCTTCCATTCTTAAAAAATCATTCATTTTTCCCCTAGGGAATCAGCAACATTTTTACCAACTGACGAAAACAGGGTTTCCCCGATTCATTCGTGAGCGCGAAAATTTTGATGTCCGTTACAAAAGGAACATTGTTTGTACATATCATTAGTTACATATATTAACATCTGTAATTATAAAACACTTCTCTATAGATACTCCGATACTGTTATAGCAGGAAACGCGTATCAATTTATTTAAAAAAAAGTAGCGCTACTCCCGTCTAAAGGTGTGAAAAAGAATCGTCGCAAACTAATTAGAAATTAATTTATTATACGTAAAGATATACAGAAAAGAATAGGTTTGTTTGGATCAGTGAGCATATAAAACAGATGTACATATACGTAATTATTCTTTACGCAGCTATAGACATACAGTGCTTGATAGAAAGAAACTAAAAGCCGAAATGTGATAGACTAGATCCCCCTGATTAGGTCGTATGATTTGTAGATAAATGACTATTTAATGCAGCTTTATGAGCAAACTTTTTCAAACAGATCAAACATTCATGTGTTTTTTCGTTTGTGTGTACTGATAAATGTTTTTTCAACGTTGCTTTGTCCTTAAATATTTTTTGACACGCACTGCACTCGTACGGTCGCTCTGCTGCGTGTACTAATATGTGGCTATTCAACGTTGTCTTTTGTGTAAATGCTTTATGACATACGTAACACTCGTATGGTCTATCACCAGTGTGGCTTAACATGTGCTTCCGCAACGAAGACTTCTCTTTAAACGTTTTCTGACAAATGTGACAGGAGTGTCGTTTATCACCGGTATGAATAAGCATATGAGAATTTAATCTGGTTTTTTCTCTGAAAGCCATGTCGCATAATTCACAAGCAAATGGCTTTTCACCTGTATGTATCAAGGTATGCCGATTCAAATCGGATTTCCGGGTAAATATTTTATCGCAAACTTTACAGTCATACTGACCACCAGTGTGCAGTAACATATGACTATTAAGATCAGATTTCCGAGCGCATGCCTTATGGCATATATGACATTCGTGTGGTTTTTCACCTGTGTGCACAAGCATGTGAGAATTTAATTTCGCCTTTTCCCGAAAGGTCATTAAACATTCTTTGCATTCGTACGGTCTTTCGCCGGTGTGAACCATCGTATGTCTTATTAATTCAGACTTTCGTCTATATGTTTTCTCGCAAATATTACAAGCATGCGGTTTCTCACCGCTATGCGCTAGCATATGATTGTTTAGTGCTGTTTTCTGCGTAAACGATCTGTAACACATCGTACATTTAAACTGTTTTTCACCTTCGTGTAACGTCATATGCATGTTTAATTTTGCCTTTTCCCTAAACGCGGCAACACATATATCGCATTTGTATGGTCTTTCCTCGGTGTGGGTAAGCATGTGCCGATTTAGACTAGATTTCTCTTTAAACGTTGCGTGACAAACATCGCATTCGAACAATCTTTCTCCTGGGTTCATCGATTGGTTGTTTTCAGAATCGTCCCTCTTCATAAACGCTTGATGTACCGGATCGTGATCGTACGGTTTTTCCGATACATGCATTTGCATGTGATTGCGTAGACACCATTTATACGCAAATCGCTTTTGACAAATATTACATTCCAACGGGCTCATCCCAACGTGGGTTAACATATGAATATGTAAACTGGAATTATCTGGAAAATTTTGGTGACAAACTTCGCATTGATTACCACTGCAGTGCAGCCTTAAGTGGGTAACCATAGAATCATTGTTCAAGAACCATTTCTTGCAAATGGAACATTGTATTTTATAAAACTTGGGTTGCTGTCCATTTGTACAAAACCCAGTATGTTTCTCAACATCTTGTACTTGTATAAAATTTGCACTTGCCAAGCACCTTTGCATAGCCCCATCTTCTTTATCGCACAAATTAGTACCAGTAATTTGTGCTGTCCAATTCTGGTGACTACTAGACTCTCCATCTAATTCAAGTTTTACCTAGAATCAATGTTTCATTGGTTCAATGATTCTTCTACAATAGAAATTTGTTCATTAACAATCATTTTATGAAATTTACCATTTCATTAGAGAAGTCAACCTCATTATTTTCGATAGGTAAAAATACCTTCTCGAATGTCCCAGAGCAAATGTCCTCCATGTAGTCTGGATCAAATCTATCCGGTTCTTCCTTAAGTACAACGCTTACAATGTTTTCGTCCTTAAAGTAAGGTTTAAGTTAGAGTCCTTGTGGAAGCATTGTATCGTATGGTGCTGCTGTTTCATAGAAAACGTTTACCATAACCTGACTGTCTATGTTTAATGCATCCATTGGTTCATATTTTATTTTAAAATCTTCCATTTGCTGTAATTTATCCTGAAAATTAAATCAATTCATATATTTTATTGTATGCTGCTCTACAAACACGCAAACTGATTACAAAAGATTAAATGTACATTCCAGAGTCACGTAACCTTAAACACACGATGAATATCTCAAACGAATGAACATTTCTAATTTGTTAAACGAAACGCTTTATAAATGACAGATTACTTATTTGTTCATTCGTATAAATAAAGTAATTGAAGTAAAAGATGATTTGTCTATACTTACAGCGAAGATTACACATTTTACCTACAAAGCAAAACATGCAAACCAATATTTATCAGTTTTGCTTCGTGTTTTACGTTTTAAGGTACACAAGTTCCATTAAGCGAGTATCAAATACGTATTTTTCTTTTTTCTAAAGAAATTAACACTTTCCAATCGATCGATTTAATTATCTATCACGAAACTATACTACGCGTTCCACTACACATGACAGGCATACGTTACATAAATACCATGCATCTACTACGCGATTATATGTATATATACATATAAGTTCGATGTGAGCGTATCATTACATGTATTTTACATATACGTTCTGCACGGAATTTGAAGTTGAACGATCGCGTTCGACAATGATATTTTCCATTGATTTCAAAATTATCTGTCTGCAATTGTTTTCCTTCCGCGGGAGGGCTTGAAATTCAAATTTATTAATTAGGCTCGTGTAAAATTGAGAGGTTAATTAATTCCCTGTACCGTCCCGCGAGACTTCTTGTCAGCGGTGAACAGTATAAAGCGTAAAGTATTAATAGTTTGCTACCGAGATGTCACACACCACTGTATATAGAACCAATCTAATGTTCTTTGTAACGATAAATACGTCCAAAGTGTCCTCGAATAATTTTTAATTTTTGATTTTTGAACCGGATCGAACAAGTATTCGTTGAACGTCATCGAGCGCGATCAAACAGAATCAAATCAATTTATCAATGACTATGTTATCAAGTATTTACGAGTAAGAGTACGAAACGATTTTTCGCAACATTCGAACAATGCGATCAAAATGGATTATACATCGTGACGAGTGTCCTCGACTTGTTCAACATTTCATCTATTCGTTCTCTAAAGTGCGAGTCAAATTGAGTTGACAAAGAAAAAAACGCAGCTCATAAGCGGGACTTTGTCTTCTTTTTGTCTTCAGAGTGTGTCTGTGTAGCATTAACGTTTATTAATTTGTTCTATTCAATTTACCAAAGTTTTTTTTCTAATTTGATTCCATTCTTAACAAGAACCATGTCAAAGTCAGATTCACCCAAATATGTGACAGCACTGTTTTCCTTTAAAGGGAAAAACAATGATGAAGTATGTACCGTGTTAATTTTCCATTGGTAAAGATGCTTTCAAATTCTAATTATTTCTTAATTTGTTTCCAGCTATGTTTTAAGAAAGGAGATGTGATTACAATAACCCAGACTGACGAGGAAGGTTGGTGGGAGGGTACGTTGCACGACAAAACAGGCTGGTTTCCATCTAATTATGTGAAAGAGTGCAGAGTTCCAGGTACTGATTTTGCTAAGCATAAAGTGTCTTAAAGGTTCCAATGATTGGTAAAGCTTGTTACTGTACTTGTCTTTGCTCAAAGACAGCGGTGTTTCCGCCGTTAAGGCCTCTCCAGAAAAGATTCAGCAAGAATCCCCTACTCATCAGAAACTTAATCGCGATATCGTGCTAAAGGATATAGTAGACTCTGAAAGAGTAAATGTAGCAGAGTTGCAGGGTTTGATAAATAGCTTTTTACATCCTCTAGAATCTGCAAATATGTAAGTATTCATTATAGATAGTATATCTGGTATGAAAGATTCATATTTCATAAGATGTTTGTTTAAATTTAGACTGAGCAAAGAAGAATATAAGCAACTTTTAGGTAACATACAGGAAATCATGGAGGTACATCAACGATTGTTAAATAATTTGGAAACGACGATGGCTCAAGGTTGCGCGTCGAGAGTTGGTAATCTTTTTCTAACGCTTGCACCAAAATTAAAGTCCATACATACAGCGTACTGTGGAAATCATCCACGGGCTGTGTGCGTTTTAGACCGGTATAGGTAGGTGCGAAATGCGAAAAACATCAAACACAGGCATCACACTTGAAAATGAAATTATTTTCGCGTAGGGACGAATTGAACGATTTCATGGAACGCAACGGAGCGATATCGCCTGGTATATTAGTATTAACTACAGGTTTAAGCAAACCTTTTCGAAGACTAGACAAGTACTCGGCTATGCTTCAAGAATTGGAAAGGTATACGGAGAAGAACCATCCCGATAGAGGCGATACGCAACGTAGTATAGTTGTATATAGAGAAATAGCGGTGAGTCGTCGACTTCGTGGAATTGGAGTCTTGTTCCCTTGCCAGAAATGACTCTTTCTCTTTCGAATTGCGTAGGATCGATGTGCGTCCATAAGAAAGCAACGAGAATTGGCGCTGCAAGTGTTAACTAGCGGCATCAAAGGATGGGAGGGAGAAGAGCTAAGTTCGCTCGGGGAAATTCTTTACGTTGGATCCGTCACTATAGCAAATGGAACAAACGGGCTAGATCGTCGGGATAGATATTTTGTTCTTTTCCCTACGACGCTCTTGGTTCTCAGCACCAGCCCTAGGATGAGTTCTTTCGTCTATGAAGTACATCCGGGAATCTTTTCCCATTATCTTCTATGAGCTACTTGGTTCACGCGTATCTTCTAACTGACATGCTATTTTCTTTTGAAGGGAAAGCTTCCTTTGACGGGTATCAACATTATTCGGAAAGAAGATTCGGAAGAAATAAGGAATGCCTTTGAAATTACAGGTAAGATGGACGTTATGTCTATCCCTGGATGAATAAAAGCTGTCTTTTTACTTTAGGACCAATGATCGAGAGCATACTCGTGCTTTGCACCAGCAAAGAGGAGCGGCAGCGTTGGATCGAACTTTTGATTCAAGAACAAACGGCGAGCAACAGTCTCGTGAAATCGCCTACGACCTCACGTGTGAGTTCTTATCTACCTCCGTACGCTCGTCTATCGAGATATTTTGCAAAGTTAGTCAAGAAAAAGATTATACGTCCCGAGTTGCTGAAGAAACTGCTTTATTTGCAATACGTTCTGAAGCCGGACATGAGTAGCGTAAAAATGCGAAGACCCAATGTTACCACTTACGTTCTCTTTCCGACGCGAACGAGTAGCGAGGAACGCGAATCGAATTGTTCGGAAATAGACAGCTTCGATACGAGCAAACTCATGGAGAAACGGTCGCATGTCGGGCCAACAGTGTTGCGTAAATCTACCTTGACTCTAGACGTGAAATACGCCTTAGGTAATATGGATCTTAGCACTGTAGGAATAGGAAAAGATTCGTCGAGAGAATTGGAATCGGAGTCGGACAGTATACAAGAAACTAGTAAAAGTTTACCCGTTTCTGTTTTCAATTCTGCTGGTGGTTGGATCGACGCCGACAATAGGAATGAAACTGTTGGCGCCAATGATCGATCACGATTTACCAATCAATTTCCTCATTCGTTTCCAATCGCTGGTAACGTAGATAAAGAACGCGTGAACGACGTTCTCACAGACATATGTTGGAAAAATAATGAACGCGTTCAAGAGCAACCTGTTAGCGCTGCTTCTATCGAACATCCGATCGTTCTCACACGTAATTCCAACACCGAACATCGATTTCGAACGTCCACTCTGAGGAACGTCGAGCTCGATTCTCGCACGAACGTCAGCCTCGATTCGTTGGATTCGGGAATGGACGAAAGCTATCGATTGAATTCATCCGAAATTAATTCATCCTGCAAATCGTATACTTGCATCGGTAACAAGCGCGACACCGAAGGTCCAGCAAGGAATTCATACGGCGAAAGCGAGAACGACGAAGTGAAATTCGAATGTCAATGCGTTTGCACGTCTCCGTTTGATTCAACCCCTCGAGACAGCGCTCATCTGTCCGATTTATCAAGAAACGTCGACAATGTTCTGGATACATTGATTTGCGACACGAGTGCTTCGAACGTAAGCTCTTCCACCCAACCTTCGTGCGAGCTGAACGAAATGCGACTAGCAGAGAACGCGATATCTCTAGTTCCGGATAATTTTGAACGTACAACGCAACGAAGGTTTACGCAACCGATACCGTATTCGCATCGGACCGATGTCGCAAGAAAAGTTGGAAGAAAAGCGGCACACCCGAGTGGTGGTCCGCTCGTCGTTGAAAACGATTATCCTGGAACGAGTGAAATCTATACGTCGGGACTGTACGTCCATTGGTGGTTGAAGAAGTCCGTACCATTGTCTGGATGCACGGAACAAGGCAAGCTTCCATAGCATGGCTGTTTTTCTTTCTTCTCGTTCAGTTAACGTTTCCCTTTTAGCTACTAATTGTACCTTAACGAGCGTACGCTTTCGTTCCACAGCCATGTTGTGCGAAGTAAGCTTTCGCTTTGCTAATGTCCCCCGATGTGCACAGCGACAGTTCCAATTCAAGCAAAGTATTGGTTATTTTCAATTCGTAGATGAATTGTTTAATCTATATATTAGATTATCCTCTTTGCTTTTTAGTATATAATACCGACGTAACAGAGCATGTTATCAAAATCTATTTCATCTTGATATGTTCATCACGAGGAATCATTTTATCGTTATACTTAGTTTCCATTCATCTAATCGGTGTTTCTTTTCCTTGGCCAGATTTGCAGTCAACCGAACGGGAAACTGCAACAACAGCCGCAACCACAGCAACAACTGCAGCAGCAGCAACCAAGATCGACCGTGGAGCATTGCACCCCCGTAGGAATTAGAACACCGTGGAGTATTGCCTCGTTACGACCAGCACCTCCTCTGTATACTGTCAGAGCATTTGGTAAAACTGATACCAGTTTGGATTTATCACGCGCACCACGACCGTGTAGTACGAATTTATACTTTAGAAATGGACTCTATTCGCGATCGTTTCGAATAACAATAATAATAGATTTTCTCGTTTTCAGAGGAAAAACAGTTTGAAGAGGACGCCATTATATTGAAGGTGATCGAGGCGTATTGTCTGTCCGTCAATGCTAGATTTACCGTCCATTCTGGAGAGTCGACTTGTAGGTCATCGATTACATTGCTTATAGTTAATTCAATGAAAATTATTTTCTCATTGCCTCGTGTGTTGCATTTGTATTTTAGCAATGTTGGAATATGATTCTCATAAATCGCGTGACAGGACGTCTTTGATGCATAACAGAGGAAATTTGGATTTGTGTAGCAACAGGTAAAGAACGTTCTTAATTGTTCGATTCGTGTTGAATTATACGAGACACACGACTTAAGTACTGATGCGTATATTCATCACGTGTATATAGGGTACTGTCGGAAACTGTGAAAACGTTGAAAAGTCAAATGACAGATTTACAATCGCAAATGTCGCTCTTGACGAAACAACTTGACGAAGAACGAAGATCGAGACTTTCCCTAGCGGCTACTGTAAAACGTAGCATGGGTGTCGTGGATGGATCTGTGCCTTGAACATTCTTTTTTTTTTATTGGCAAGTTTTCATATCAACAGTTGATCAACGTTCGTATAATGGAGGTTGTATTTCACGTTGAAAGTAATATTTTGTCCTTTTATAAATTGTACATGTACCGCCGCGGATTATTCAGAGACGAATAAACAGATGATTGAAAAAAATTACCTTTGAACCTTATGAACCTTTGATTCGTGTTTTAAAGTACACGTCTGCTGTTATTAATGTTTGGAGATAGAAGTAGATATAAAACGAAAGATAAACGACACACGAGTTCACGGTGAAATCTTTCGTTTAAAACAATCCATCGGTGAAATTTATTCGATGCGTTCATCTTGGTTTGTTTTTTATCAGCTCCAATTCGTTTACTCTGCTTCGCGCGTGTTCTAACCTATGCCATGCCATTTGCAAAACCTTCTGACTCGCATATCCAGATCCTTCGTGCGGTTGTCCTAAATAATAAATCTAATTGAGTATCGAAGAACGGATAATAGTTTGAAATAAATCGTTCGTTTACCTGTCGAAACTTGAGTCAAATAGTTTATTTGTTCGCTCAACTTGGATTCCACGTGACCTAACGTCTTCAAAAACTGTTGCGTTTGTGCTTCGGCTTGTTTTAGACTGGATTTTTCTTTACTAAGTTCTACGAAAGCTTGGCCTACAGAATAACAAGAATTATTTTATAAACAACAGGAAAATGATCATTTAAAATGACAGTAGAACCTAACCTGCACTTTGTAGACACACGATGATATCCTTCTCGATAGTTTCTAAAATCTGTATTCTTTCCATGGGTGGCGTCATTGTGACTCGGTGTTGAAGATGAAATGTTTATTTAATTGAATTCAGATCAACCACATTCGTGTCAACGAGACAAACGAAGTGAAAAATGTAAAGAAATTGTACGATACAAAAGAACACGAAACACAATGGTCCGTTGTAGCGCTGCTTACGTATGGCGCTGCTTACAACTCATGGTTTTAAAATGTGGCGGCAAACGATGAATGCGATATTTGAAAGAAAGTAGAAAAATCGATAGGAAAGCAAGAGAAAGAATATGTTTGAAAGAAACATAAAGGAACAAAGGAGTGATGGAGAAGAATAAAAGAAGAAATCAACCAACGAGGATGGTATCGTTATCGAGGAACTTATACTGGGGTACTTCCATATTGGTGGGGGCGGGCCCCTTGCGTATGCGACCGGATGCGTCGAAATGGGAACCATGACAGGGACAATAAAATCCACCGGCTATCATACCGGCATTGGGAATCGGTACACAGCCAAGATGCGTACAAATACCGGTTACGATCAGCCATTCTGGTTTTATCGTTCTTTCTTCATCTGTTTGAGGATCTCTTAATTCGTCGATGTTCACCGCTCTCTCTTGTTCGATCGTGGACTCCGGACTGAAGTATTAGAAAATTCGATTATTAAATATAAAAAATTGAAGAATCATTAAAGTCTTACCGATGATAAACGAAGACTGGTTTCCCTCGCCACTTCATAATCGCTACCTTACCGACCTTTATGCCTTGCAAGGCAATTTCGATCTGCGCTTCCGCGAGGACGTCTCGCGAAGGGGCCAGAAACATAACGTAATGTAACAGGTGAGATTTTACCCCGTACATAAAAGCAACTCCACCAACTAAGAAACAAAGAAACAATATTCTGTTAAACACCTCTGTCTATTTGTTTTCCAGGGATCTTTTCTGTTTGTTTCTTCTCGGCTGCTGCAGCTGCGTGTATGCAGTTAAGGTTGCCAGCATTAAGGGGCACCTACTGAAAGATGCCGCAAAGGTTGAGACTCTTCGCTCATCGACGCTTTCCCTGGCAGATACGTTTGGATCTTGCAATTTCTTCCGACGATACTCCTGAAAGCTGACTTTTGGCAAATCGGTGTGCGCATAACGAGTGTTCACTGAGCATAGCAGCGATCGTAAAGAGACGAGGGAACGCATCGACGCTTCGATACGCGACATTTCTTCTATGTTTGATCGATCAACCTTTTTTTTGGCAAGGTTATAGTTTGCAATTGTTTCCAAAAACAATCGAAAATCTGTTACTATCTATACGATATTCCTTTATCCATGTAATAAAAATAAAATAAAAATAAATTTGAACAGAGTATTTTTGTATTTATGAAAAATAAGATGGAAGAAAAATCATCGTCCGAGTATTTTCAGAAAAAGAATATCAAGGTCGATCTTCTCTATCCTTGGTAAAGTCTCGGGCATACAAGCCGAAAGTGACGAGGTTTCTGGTCGGTTGCTTCAAAGCGAGGCTGACACTAGTTTGCCCGTCGTGCGGGCGTTCGGTGTAAGTAAAGTGTTCGATGGGAAAGAGCGAGTGATCGAGTACGCTCGGCATCGCTAAAATATTGGAATAATCGGGATACGTGGCCGTAATGTTCAAGGTGGTAAACGTGGTGTCGGAGGACTGGTAGGAGCCACAGGAATCGAACGACTGATTCTTGCACTGTATCACAGCGCACACGCGGACACCTGCTTGTACGTACGCACCGTACAGGCGAACCCCGTCGTAAACGACCGCTCGATAATTGACTCGAGGATCGATCGGACCGCTCGTGCGGACGTCGAAATCGCAACAGAAGTCCCTGTAACAAAGCTTCTTGGTCATTGAAACCTCTAACGGAACGGATTCGTACGCGGTGAGATTATCGTGCAGAAGACGTATCAAGTTGAGTTTCTCTTCCGGCTGCTTCCCCACGACCGCGAAAGATTCTAGTGGAACAATCGTTTCGTCGATCAGAATCTCCTCCGTCCTTTTGCTCGGCTCATTCTTCTTTGGGACCCGAGAAATCAACAGCCGATGCAAGGGGGAGGCTGTAATCGTCGCGTTGGCTATTCCTTTGCGACCTGAACGTTAAGAAATTTGCATAATAAATTTGTAGACATTTTAAGGAAACTTATATTCACCTAGATAGATGCCGCTTCCGGCGTTTCCATTGATCGGATCATGATATCCGGATACCAAGAGATTCGCGTTCTCGGCAAAGGACCATGCAAACTGCGTTTGGACAGCTGAAAAAGTGGTTGCCATTTTCCTCTTTCTTTTCTTGCGTTGATCACGATGCAACTTACCCGTTAAGAACGGCACTTCTGAAAACCAGGCTGTTGTATACACAAAATTGGAAACTCCTCGCATCCTGGTCAGATTCAAAGCCGGTACCCAGAATAATATATCAAAGCAGATAAAGGTGCCAAAGGTGACACCAAAGTCGGTATCGAAAGTAACGATTTCCGGCTCTTCCGTGGTATCGAATCTATACTCCATGTAGAGATTTACTTTGCGGTATCTGCGAACGAGGAACGGAACGTCTTGATTATCGCAACGATTCGATTCGATTCGATCTTTCGTGGATAAGATTGATTACCTGGCAACGATTGCTCCCGATCGATCGAACACCACGTTGGTGTTGTGATAACTCACTCCATCCGCGCATCTTTTACCTTTTGGCTCGCAGTACTCTTTCTCGGCAATGTTCACCACTACGTAGATGCGATTCTGCCGCGCGGCGCATGATAATCTCTTCAACGTCTACGCGGATAATGTAAAATTTGTGAAAAAAGATGCTCTCGTTGAAACATTTTTAATTATTACCTCGCTCACGTTGCTGATCCGATTCTCGGTACAAGGGATGTAGTTTTCGAGGGGGGAAGGAATCACAGTTGCCCAGGAATCCATGTGTGCCCGACTAGGCATGTACAAAGATGTTAAACCATCTTCAGGGAACACGATGATGTCGGCATTCTATGAAACGTCGACAAAATTTATCCGATTTCAACTGATCTTCTCGAACGGTTTCCTTCGAAAAGAACTGTGTTAATTTTTACCTGTTGACTAGCTTGTTCTATGTACTCCACGTACGATAGACTGTTCTCCCTCAAAGTTGTCGTACCGTCACTCCCTTTGTGTGTCGGGGTAAACTCCACCACCGCTGCCGTGTAATAATCAGCCGAGTCTCCAGCACACGTCACCTGTTGGCACACGCGAGGATTTTGGTTAGTCGAATTTGGTTTAAGGGTACTTTTGACCACTTACCGGTTGATGCATCAGATGCAGAAGAATCAGTAGAAATCCAAGATTGATCCATGTTCCACGAGGAACAGCCATCGTTGCTGTCCACCACGACATTGAACAGGAAAGAAGGAAACACACCTGCGAACAAAGTTCACTTTCTGTTATTCACTATTTACTTCCATTTTTGTAGAATCATGATTTTTTCTCAAAACGGAGTTGTATCATGCTCAAACGACACAAATTTATCGCGAGTTACTGTGTACTCAGACGTAAGACACACAGTTGCCGATCGCAATACTATCAACGGTAGTTAATAAGAAGCCACGACCATAAAGATACGAGAAGAGCTGACCGCACGAGTATCGCGAAGAAAGATAACGCGCGCGTTCTCGAAACCGTTTACCTCGATTAACGATTCCACGCAGAGTCCGGCGATTCACTGTTGACTCGATCGTTGCATCTACTGTCGAATCGGCTCCGGTGAATCATAACCAGTAGCAAAGAATTTTCCTTCCCCCAGTTCTGGAACCGTCTCGGTATTTCCCCGCGCACGAGACTAATCACCGTACAATTTCAATAACATCGGCTTTGACATCGTTCCGTACCAATTTTCATTTACTTTTACCGATAATACCTACCGAAATGAAGAGCGCAGAAAATATGAACTATTCGCAGACTGGAAGCAGCAAAGATATCGGAGTCACGCTACGCGATGTCTTTTTATACGGTAGCGCGATATTGTCGCTATCGCTATTGTTATCGATATCGTTCTATTAAGGATCTTGGTTGGATCGTTGTCGTCACGTCGCGTGTACCTAGTATATTATGTACCATGTACTCTCTTTATATCAGGTCTCTGCCTTTCTCCGTAGATAAATAATAGAGCAAACGAAGGCGTAAAAACCGTTCGTTATTCGTTGAACGAAACGACCGTGACCACTTTTCCTCTTCTGTTTCCGTTCGATCGCAAATCGATTGTTCTCTGCTCTATTCCTTTGACGAAATTTATTCGTCGTTTTGTATTATGTATGTAGGGCGACGTTATCTTTCACGGAGGGTCGCGAGTAGTTGGCGTGACTCGTTGCACCGGAACCGTGTAATATCGTTGCTCGCGACAAATTAGACTGCTCGCTAAACGCGAAAGCTTTTGTTAGAGCTCGACGAATCGCTTGGAAAGTACTACTTGGCTGGCATCGAGCTGCTTCACGGGTTTATTTCATTTCGGAACAAGAGGTTTTACCGAAGGTTCGTATCATACGATCTCGCAAGACGCGAATCTGTAATGTTTCGCGACGGTGGTTCGAGCAAATTACCTATTTTTTTTTTTTTTTTTTTCAAGCGAGACGAATGCGAGACTTTGTCGTTTGCGTAACATTCTGTTATTTTTATTTCATTACACGGGTAAAGAAATATTATGCCCTTTGGTATACGAGTAATTAACGGTTCAGGGGATTAGTAACAGATTTTCTCAAAAAAAATCGACAGCTTATCATACAGGTGTGGAAGATATTTTCTTCGGAAACCCGCGTGATCGATCGTCTGCTTTTTTATTTATTATCCTATCGATTATCAGACGCCAGATGAGTACCACTCGTAAAAATCATCGTACGATTCTCTGATAAAACGTGAAAAGTGAAATTGCGTGTTTTTTCGAAAGTGGAACGGTACACATTCGAACGGAAAGGTGATGAAATCGGTGAAAGGGGCACGTGATAGAGGAGCGTAAGACGACGATCGAAGGTCGCGATCAAAGCGGAAGCTGAACTCGAGGGGGAGAAGAATCGGTTTGGTAGGGAATGGTTCGCGTCGAATGACTGGTACACGTATATTTTCAGAGGGTGGTTGGGGGATGATGGTGGAGGTTAGGATTTTGCAAGGTGTGCCGTAGCGTGGAAAAGGTGGGGATGGGGAGAGCGCTCGCGCGCGATCGAGGGCGTCGCGAACCCATCTACCTATACGTATGGGGTGGAAAGCTGGCAGGGTGGCGACGGTGGGGGTTAGCAGCCGCGAAGCAGCAGTGCGTCGCGACGCTGCCTGTCACGCGGTTGCTGCTTCTCTCCTATCTCGACCCCTTCTTTGCTCCTAAACGCGTTTCCTCCTCACGCTTTCCTACGCTTTCCCTACTGTTACTCGATCGTCTTTGAAATCATTCTACTCTTCTCCTACTCTCTTACCCTCTTACCCTCTTACCCTTTGCTCTAACCCTTTACGCTCTCTGCAACGTTTCCTCTCCCCTTTCCCTCCTACCCCTTATCATCCTCCACCTCCTCCACCTCCTCTTCTTCTTCTTCTTCTTCTTCTCTTTGATCTTCTTTTACCTACCCTCTACGTTCCTGGGACTCTTTTCCCTTTTCCACTTCCATCCTCCTCCACCCTCATCGGTCCCCATCATCCGCATCGTCGCCCTCCGTTTCTCAATCTTCCTACCGGTTCTTTCAATTCCGATAAAAACGTTCTTTTCGATTTTCCTTCGGTCTCTTTAGTCATGTTTGCCTTCGTTTTCCTCCCTCTTCGATTCGATCCGAAACGTTTCCACCGATCCGAATCTGTTTTCCAACGCGAACCGCGGTCCCGAGGACGCGGAGTACCGTAGGCGCGTGTACGAAAATCCGGCGAACTACAGAGTTCGGAAGGTGGCGAGGATCGACGAAGTTCCGAAAAGGGTGCTCCTCTTAAGCGGCCGGAAGTCCCAGTAGAACATTAACAACAGAGGACGGTCTCTTCCTCTGTTTCAGTGAGTATAACAGTTCCTTTTTCTCCTATCTTTCCTTCGAACATTTCAAAATCACCGTCTCGACGATTTGTAACCTTCGGACGGTACGAATTTGTATTTCGAGAAGGGTAAGACAATTATAGCTCGGAGAGAAATTTGTCTCCCGTAGAGGCAAAGTTACGGATCGGTCAAGGTTACTTATGCACTCGTCATCGGGAATAGGTACGATCGCGGCGAGAAGAAACGAATTATCTCTGAATAACGTTCGAAAGTAGCGATGCGCGTGGTGAAATAATTTTGTTCCGAAGAAACTAGAGTAAAGTTTGACTCGCGTCGAGGGAGGAGTTGGTTGCGATTCATCAGGTACCATCCTCTCGAAGCGTCGCGTCGTACGAGTTGCAAGGACGCGGAAAGTAGCGTCGAGGCGAACCTAGTTGAGGGAGTAATCTGTTTTGCGAGTATCTCGACCGACATCGCCCCGTTCCTCTTTCCTTTTGTCTCGAGACGCATTCGCGAGAAGAAATTGAGTTAGAGAGGCGAACTTGCAAGATTTCGAATCGCTCTTGTTCCATGCAAGTGACTCGCTTCAAACATTCATTTTGCCAATATGCGAGTAACTCTCACCTATAGAACCCCTGCTTTTAACTCGCGCGTTATCGGCGATGTTTACGCACTTAACGTTAAAAAAAGAAAGAAAAGTTACGCCGATACGCGTGTTTTGAAAAATATTTACCTAAGCTGCAGACGATCGCGCGTACGTTTAACCTTTTCGAACACGGAGCAGAGATAAAAGCTTCGTTCGCCCTATTTTTAAAGCTTTTCACTCGGTTGATGGTCAATTATAAATGCTGTTTCTCCTTTCTTGGCCGGCAAAAATTTCGGAACTTCTTTCGTCTTTTAGCAAACGAAAGTAGCGAGATGATCGAGCTAGCCACGAGACGAAGATAGAGATCACGATTCTAACTCGATCTATCGTTTTTTCAGCTTCGCGATGTCGCAGAAACATCGAACCGATCGGGAAAGATGCGATTGCCTCGGAGAAATTATCCAGCGAATCGACACAAGTGGCCTCCTAAAAGAAACAAATTGAACGAACTGGACATTAACGCGTCTATTTTCATCTAAACTCGACATCGAGTCGACTTGGAATTGGAATGCCGTAGACCGCGGTAACCGGCATCGTTGGAGCTTGGCAAACTTTAACTCGACGAAAGGAAAAAGAGGAAGAAAGGAAGAAAGTCTACCCCGTTTCCCGGCCCGAACGGATTGTCGTTATTAATATAACAATCGATCGTTAGCCGGATCAGCGAGTTTGAACGTGCTTCGTCGAGCCTTCTCGATCGTCAGGATCGCTGGACAAAAAGGTGATTGACGAAGGAGGGATTTGCGAAAGCGTCGAAGGGGAAAACCTTGTTTCCCGGGGCGAGACTTTAATTAGATGGAACGCGGCTATCTGTATCCACGGTTCCGGAAGTACGTTCATGTAACGCGTATAGAAAAAGCTCCTCTCGATAAGCTATTTATTAAAAATCGGCGCCGGAGTTCCGCGAAGGGAATCGGAAGGTCCGGTGTTTGGCCGGATGTAGGTCGATGCTCGAAGCTCGTTTATTCGGTGTTTGCGTGTCCGAGGGTATCTCGTCCCAGGGGAAGCTACCCTACGCGTACTCGGAAACCACGTTAACCGTGTATCGCGTGTCTCTCGTTACGAAAGTATACGCGACACGGTTAACGTAGAGTGACCACGGGGAAAATTTCATGGGAAATAATTTAGCGAGAAAGGAGGAAGGTTACGGGGGAATTGCGGAGGAGCGATGTAAGGGAAGGAAAAATATATAAGGCCGGTATCGATTTACGGTAGAAAAGTAGCGTGTAGTTGGACGCGATAGTTGCGCGATTCGAGAATTCTTCGTTTCTTAACGAATGGCTGCCGAAATTGGTGTCCGTTTCAAGCGACGATCCTCTCGCTTCCAAAGCGGGATCGCAAAGAGATCGATCGTCGCGTTATTTATTCTTGGCTCGTCCTCGACGACCAGCAACATCCGTTCCACGTAGAAAGCGAACCAACGGGAAAAAGGATTATTTTTAACGCGGAGCACGGAAATGCGCACCGTTTTGCGCTATTGACATTTCAACGAGCGAACGGGCGATTCGAATCGATTCGAAAAACGAGAAAAACGAGAACGATCTGGGTGGTAAATCGCGCACGTCCGCCGAAAAATGTTTAATCCTTTCCTCAAACGAGTATTTCTTCTATCAAAGGTTGGCATGGAGCGAAAAGCGGTGATTTTGATAGCAGTCTTCGGAACAGTCGGAGGTCTGGCAGTATTGGCGGTACTCGGTTTAGCCGCCTGGCTGTTCCTGCGAGCGAAACAAAAGTCGAAACAACGGGGCGAGGATTTCGAGCAGCAGGACGAACACGGGGATGGTTATAGCGTCGACCGGAACGGGAAGCTGACGAAGAAAAACGGTTTCTTGAGTTTAAAGACTCCGCTGATCAGCACGAAAGCTTTCGGGTAAGATTGATACGGGTTATCGCAAGGAAGCTAGGTTGTTAGCGCTTCTTTTTAGCTTTTAGACAGAGAGAAGGAAAGGAAACATCTACGTACGTGTGTAAGTACTCAGGTTTGATCAATGAGAATATAACGTTGAGCCGGTAACGATGTTCGCGACTTACCAGTCGTTATCTCTTATCGACCAGCAAACTGATTTGACCGACAAAACACCTCGTGAAATGACTCGTTACCAACGACGGAAAATTCGGTGTTTCATCGGGGTAGACGGTGCGGCGCGGGTTATTCGACGGGGAAGGGAATCGATTCGCTTCGTTGGAAAATTTGACGAAAATATTTAAACGATTTCTCCATCTATTTGCCAACGCGGCTGTCCCGATAAATGACGTGTCGTAGAACAAACGACGCGATCGGGGTATATATCGGGAGTATACTAAATCGGTGTTGTAACGAACAGTTACGGAGGGTCGCAGACGAAATAAATCAGCTGTCGAAACCGTTCTTCGATACGATGAAAGTTCGTTCGAGTACGATATTGCTGGTTATCGTTAGCAGAGGTGATACGGTTCAACGGTTCGCTTCGAATCGAGCGATAAACTGGAGAAAAAATTGTCAACGACGAGAAACCGAAGAGGTGGCGCGTTATAAATTCCGTTATACTCTCGACAAGGTGCCAATTGGAAGGTTGCCAAGTAGCCTGCTGTTTCGTAGCACTTAAATCGGCGAAACGCAACAGATATGCCACTTGTTACGTTGCATACTATAACTGTTTAGCTCGGAGCGCAACTCGCATCGCCGCTTTGTAACTTTCTGCTGCGAGAAAGAACGATAGTTTCGAGTTAAGATTTTCTTCCAACGAAACGGTCCGATAACGCGAACAAAGAAATGGGGAAATTTCGCGATGACCTTGCCTCGCTGGTGGAAACTAACCCGGGCAAACACCGATAATGCATCGTGCACTGTATCTGACAGATATACATTAAACCAGCGTACATACTAGTATGCAATGTATGTCACGTCGTCGACAAACATCCATCTGGCCCCGTCACCGTCCGCTCCGAGTTTCGAGGGGGCAGAGAGCGCGAATTTTTGTCCGCGTTATCAGCGTCGTTCGAACGCTATCGTTGCTACGATCGAATAGGCGAACGCGTGGAAATTGGGTCAACGGCGCGAGCGAATCTTTGCTGGTTGGACACGATTGTCTCCCTTTGGCTTAATTACATAATCAGATTGCTGCCAGCCGCGACTAGATGGACAAAGAGAAGGCGGAGACTAGCCGAGAAGAATATAGATGAAAGGGAAGCGTGTAATTAGCCGATGAAAACGATAAACGTTTCGGACGGCAGAAAAGGAGAAAATTGCAAAGAAGAGTAGGGTAATTGGTAGAAAGATGGACGGGTGACTGCTGCTGGTCGATCGTGGATCGCCGAAGGATCGTCGGGCTCGTAAGATGGTACATACGTGCGCACGAGTAGATAGAGAAACGACGGCGACAACTTGAAACGGACATGTCGAGTGAAGGAGGGTGGAAAGGAACACGGCACAGAGGCAACGACGAGAGAATAGGGGAGGTGAGGTGAAGAGACGAGGGAATGGAGACGAAGCAAGGGCGTACGGTGGCTGATGTCGGATCGGTCGGATGGGGGCAGGATGGCGGAGCGACGAGGACGATAGGGGTGTAGGGTAGTATAGGTAGGTAGGTAGCGAAGGTGGGTAGGGGTTAGTCCTGCGAGGCGTGGGGGTTGGGAAAGACAGACGGGACGCAATGGTTGGAGGAGAAGGAGGGCGCTTGGGGTTGGTTAGAATGTTAAGGGGTTAGGGGTTTAGGGGTGCGAGAGGTGTGCGATACGGGATAGACTAGAGTGGAATAGGGGAAGGTAGAATCGGGTGGAACGATGGCATAGGTAGGAGGCGAAGGAGAGAATGAGATGGCGGAGGAGGAACGAGAGGGAGAGAAGGGAACAGGACATGGTGGGGGTGGGAGAAAGGGGTAGCGGTAGGATTCTGGGGGTTGAAAGCAGCTGAGAGCAGTGTACGAGTAGGTCATACCACAGAGGAGGAGAGGTAGTTCGCGTTCAGCAAACGGCTCGTCCGTTCGGTTGGACGAAACGTAAAACAGTCGTTCGACCGGCACTACTACGCTCTACGTTCGTATCAAATCGAGACGAGTTCTCGGTTCTCCGTTCTTAAATTTCCCTGGTGGCTGGTGGTGTCGTCGTAATTTTCGTCCTCGTCCTCGTCCTCGTCCTCGTCCTCGTCCTTCTCGTTGTCAGCGCTGTTTCCGCGAAAGAGGACGGATCCTCGAGGATCGAGAAAAATGGATACTCGCCTAGCGAAGAGCAATGGCTGAACGTCTCGTTCGCGAGATCGAGAAACCTTTGTCGATCGTTTGCCAAGATTATGAATTGTCGCGGCTAATTGCTTGATCGCGCTCGCTTTCCTCCGAGGAAAGCATCGTTCGACGGAAAAGATATTCCGTGTCTTCGGTGTACGGACAGCAAGGATTTCCCCTCAGCGAAGACACGAAGAATCTTTTCGCCCTCTTTCGCCCTCCCGGTCCCGTTTCGTTGTCCGATCTTCGATCGGTACCCTGATCGCGTCGCGACAAACTTCGAATTCGAAAACACGAGCAGAAAGAAGTTGAAGAAGTTGAAGAAGAACGAAGAATACAGAGAGACGAATGAAGGAGGAAAAGAAGGATCTTTTGTTCGACGAACTGACTGGAAAACAAACGAAAGGCGAGAAATCCTTTGTACGTGCGAGGAAACAAGAGCGGAAAGAAAGAGACAAAGGGTTTAGAAACGACGTGGAAAATATAACCGAACACTCACGCAATAAATTGTTATCGTTGATCGTTACTCGTCTGTTGTTAATCGTAAATCTTATTGTTGAAACGTTATCTCGTCGAAACATTTCACGTTAAACATTACCCTAAAATAAGATCTCGTTACCTTCTTTCATCGATTCAACGTTTTCTATTGTCTTCGATTTGAAAAGGGAAAAAATCAAAAGCAGCGAGGAAGAAAATCGATCGGCGTCGACCAGGATCGAAAGAAAAAAGAAATCGACGCGAGGGAAAGTGGAAGATAATAAGATTCAGATAAGAGAGAACGAGTGATCCAGAAGAAGGGGTAGAGTTGGGGTAGGTAGTGGCGAGTGCAAGTAGGGGTGAAGGATAAACTAAAGAAGGGAAAGGAAGGTGAATTACCTGTTTATGCGCGCAAGAGTATCGAGTCTGAGGACGGTTCGAGTGGATCTTGAGCGGCAAACGATCGGGAAGAGGAGGAGGAGGAGGAGGAGGAGGAGGAGGAGGAGGAACGAGGAACGAGAGGACGGAGAAGATGTTTGGCAGAGGACGAACGACGATCGAATGATGCGATACGGCTGGTCGGGAAACGTTTTAAACGTGGGAACGCAAAGAAGGGAATAAAAAGGAAGAAAGGAAGGCTGGTAACGGCGCTTTGATCGAATCGGCGCACTTTGACACGTGTGTACGCGTAGTTTTGAAAGAAGCACGAGAAGAAGAGTAGGACGGCGAGGTTTGGAGCGGAGACGCGACGTCTAGTCGTAATCGCACCGATCGATACGCGATATACGTAGACGTATATCGGTTACGGTGTATCGATCGGACGAATAGGTGTATCGAGCCGAGGAGGATCGATCGCGGCAAGCTGGAACCCGCGAAAGCCGAACGCGGCGGATACTTGGTTCCTCAGTAGTTTCCTTCGCGGAACGATCGAATATGGAAATCGCAGCCTCTGCAATGTTGGATGGCCTGAAAAATAATCGAATCAGCAAGTTGGCACTGTCGCGGTTCTTGTCGCAGAGTCTGTGAGTAAATTAACTCGGCCGTTCGTCGAGCACGTAATCGATTCGACGCGGTACGAGTAAGCAGGGTGCTCGAAAGCATCGGCACGTAGCGCGCAGTAATTGATTGCTTGGCTTTTCCTATGCTTTAGCCGCGTTTCATCGTCATTCAGCCACTTTAAATCGCAACGCGTAATTCTCGACTCGCGTATATCGCGACCACTCGCTTTGCCGCGTTCCACGTCCTCGTGGCCGCTTCACCATCGTCAATTACGCTTACGATCTACGCATATCACAGCTACGATTCGTCCTGTACCGATCGGCAAAAGGCATCGATCGTCGCCTAGCGGAGAGAAAAAAATAATAGTAAGAGAGGAAGGGGGCAGGTCGGGGAAGCAGAAGGGTGGAGGTATTTCTTTTTTAATTTGCAAAGTACGGGAACGCGTACAAAGTTTCGATCGACGTACGACACGCGCGCGTATTTCTAGAGAAACAGGGCCATGCCCCGAGAGACACGCGTGCATAACGTTAACTCTAATCGATCGTGCATAAAATCGTGTTTCGCCAGTTGAAACAGGCGCCGGTTCTAGCACGGTAAATATACCGTAGATACATTTACGCCCGCGTTTTTCTTTCATCCCTACGCTATTTCAGAACGTATACTTTACGAGCTTCAACTTTGCCGACTGGCAGAATTTTTGTCCCGTTTTTATTCAGACCGTTTTTAGGAGCAACGGTGTAGACGGAGAACAGACGTGTTTACGCTTGCAACAGCTAGAACGATCGAGCTGTTTTTCCGCTTGCGATGAGAAAAAAAGTTGGATCGATCCGAGTGAACGAGGGAGAGCAGATATCGGGGATGCCGGTACGGCAGACGAATCAGTCGTGCCTCCGAGATCGATACATTTCGTTCGAGGTTATTTTGCTCGCGTTATTCCCAGATTACGTAATCCGCGAGGACGCGTACTTTGCTGGAAATTACTGAAAATACCCGGGAGAATCTATAGAAAAGCGAAAGGGTAAATAAAGGAAGGATGGAATAAAGAAAAAGTTTCCGATGGGGTTGAGGGGGGCGCGCGTTTGCGCGACCGCTTCGATTCGCGTGGTTCGTCGTGGAAACGAGGAAGACGAAGAAGGAGAAGGTTCTGCGCGCGTTACTCCGTTAATCGGTATTCGAATCGCCCGTGGCGATAGACCTTCTGACCGAGACATCTACGCTATCGCATATTTGACGTTCGGCCCGTTAAACGGCACGAGGACGAGTTCCCGCGGTTGCGCGCCACCACGACCCGTCTGCAACCCATTTTCATTTCTTTTATTTCCCATCCGGCTCTTTCCCGGCAACCAAGATGCGAGTTGAATCGAAAGGACACCGGGGCTGGCCCACTTTGTTCCCCGTTGCCTCGAGCTTTTAACGGCAAAGCATCGGGAACAGGAAAAGAAAAAAAAAAAAAACGTCCGATCGATGCCATTCCGTCCTTTCCGTTAGCTCGTACGGAAAACGACCTCGTCGATTCGAATTTTCGTTTCGCTCCGTCCTTCGATTTTCTTTCGGTTACTTTTACCGCTGACTCCGTTCGATTTCGAATCAGTTAAAAAAAAAAAAAAAAAACAGAGAGAGATCGCTATCGGGGTGATTGTGAAAAAGTTTCATATCGATCGGCGCGAGTCGAGTACCGGTATAGAGAGTAATTCGTCAAAGATAACCAGCGGATCGAAGCAAGTTCGAGGGACAGCTCGATTCGCGATAAGGCAAGGATTTTATGGAAAGTGGTGGCGGATCGAAGCGTATGTAAAGGCGCGAGGGGGTGGAGAAAGCGGAGAGATAGAGTAACAGAGAAAATAGGATAGGTTGAGGACAGGGGGTAAGGGGTTAGGGAAGAGGGGCCAGTAGCGACGGCGATGGCGATGGCGCGGTGTGCCGTTAGTGCCGGTGGTGGCGGTGGTGGTAGCGGCGTCGGCGGCGTCGGCGGCGTCGGCGGCGGCGATGATGATGGTCAGAGAATAAGGGCACGGAGAGGTAAAAGAGTATTAGAGTGGGGGCTGGCGAGTGGAGAGAGGGAAGGTTTAGAGCTCGAGTGACGAGGAAAGAGCGGGTAGCATAGAAAGAGAAGAAAGAGCGAGGGTGGATGAGGAGTAAAGGGAAAAGTAGGGGAGGGAGCGTTTGATCCCTGGTGCGTAGGAGAGGTTCCCCATGGTGTCCGGAACTCGTTTGCCGAGCATCGAGGTGGCGCCAATGTATCGAAAGCTGAAAGGCATCGATGCGTGTACCAGAGCGGTTAAGGGTTGCTTACCACCATAGAAAAGTTCAGTCTGTGATGCGACGCGTTTGCGAATCGAAGAGGCAAACTCGCGCGTGTTTACCGCGAAAACTGCGAGAACGCGGTGCTCTGTGCTCGATTTCCCTTCGAATCGACCGCTTTCCTTCGTTCCACCTCCGATTAACACAGGTAGACTCGATCCAATTTTTCCGATTATTTTCGACGTTTTCTCTGTACGATCTTCTCCTCTACTTTCTCGCATCTGTTGAAGACAAGGCGCGGCACATGGATAAGAGGGATAAGGGTATAGTGACAACTAGCGATCGTTAACCACTCGATTTTCTCGTTAAACGTCGGCTCGACGAGTCCTAGGGATATACGGAGTAACAGGTGGTTAAGTAGCGGAACTTGGCAGTGATCAAGCGGCGAGAATACTTTTCGTCTCGGCGGCGTCGTCGTCGCTTTGTTTTGTCATCCTCGGAATTCATAGTTAACCCTTTACAACTGCGCAACCTTTTAACACGATACGCGCATTGTACGCTCAATTTTCTCAGCTCGTTTCTTCGCTGCCTATCGAAAGAACTCGATGATCGTTTTCTCTTCAGCTTCGTTTGCGAAAACGATGCTGATTAAACAGTGGCTGGTTTTCGTCGAGATTCGAACGACAGGTTGGCAAGTCGCGATAAAGCATTTTTCCTTGCCCTCGTAAAATTTATAGCCGCGTGCACAGCGACTAGGAACCTGTTGCTTGAACGTTCTTCGGCATTGACCGAGCCGCATCACGGCCAGGAACTCTCTTACCTTTGTTGTGCGCGTGCGTTTCGATCGATCGTCTCGCTCGTAATTTGCTCTCGTGCCAAAAACTCCAACTTTTCGCCACCGAGGAAAGACGAAAATAGTCTTTCCAAGGGACGCGTCGCTTCGTTGACTTCCTTCCCTTTACAAAGGACGCGACGAGAGCTTGCTCTATGTAGTACCTCACGGTCATCGATTCGAGCCTTTCGTTGATAAAGAAACGGATGATAGTCCGATAGCAGTGAAAAAGCAGAGAGAGGAGAGAGACGAAAAGGGAGAAAGAGATATATAGAGAGAGAGAGAGAGGAAAAGAACGTACAGTGAAAGGAAGGTAGGAAGCCTTCGACGTGGACCGAAGGTACCAATCGGTCGGCTCTGTTTTTAGTGCTAGACGTGTGGCCGTGATCGTTATTAATTAACATTAACGCGATGATTTAAAGGGAAATGCTTGCGTGTCCGGTGAGATGCGCGCGCCGTGTGTCTATCGACCTTCGCGAACGTCGTTGCCACGTGCGCGACCTGATACGTCCCTGACTGCTTTCGAGATTTCTCGTTCGTTTCCGAAACATCGATAATATCGTACGATATGCCTCGAAGCGTACAATTTGCATCCGATTTTCTATTAATCCGACAATTGTAGCGCGTTCGAAGGTCGCTGGTAGGATGGATAAGGAGAGGGTGGCAGCGGCGCCGTTGGGGATGGTGATGTTGTGGATGGATAGGATAACGGTGCCGAGCGAGACGACGTTGGCGTCGGTGTCGTGGACGTTGGTGGTGGTGCCGACCAGAGTGTATAGCTAAGATCGATCCAAAACCCCTTCTTTCGACCGACCGACCGACCGACCGACCAACTGACCGAACCAATTCACCCCTTTCTCGACGCACGAGCTCGCATTTATTTATCGTTCGTCATCGTTCGACCTCGTGAAATGCTAATTACTTTATCGAAGAATTGAAAGCGCCAAATGACGAGCGTACATCAGATACGAGATACGTTGACGGTGACGCTCGTCGAAATGGCGTCGCGACGTTCCATGCACGCGATAGTCGTACACTCTCACGTTTTCTAACGTTCTCGCTGTCTAAATTTTGGAATTTGCAGGAAGTTGCGTACAGGTGGATAAAATCCGATCGTGATACCAGGAAGCTGGTGGATCTTAGCAAACTTTCGCGCAACTTTTTTCCCTATTGTTACGTTCCGTTGCGTTTCGTTCTCGTTCGAAACGGACATCGATAATCGCATCGAGACGGGAACGCGGACGCGTTTCCACGGATATCGTGGCTAAAAACTGTCTATCGGAACGATAAAATTATGTGGGCTGCAGTTTCGAGATCATTGGAAATACTGGTTGCCTTCTTCGAGTATTACACCACCAGGTAAGGAATGTGCGTTAAATCGGCAATGTACGGATGTACGTTTGGCATGATAGCGTGTCTCCCCGACAATGAGATACCGTCTCTGATGCGCGTCCGATTAAACTTTTCTGGACGATGACTCGCGATATGGGTGCACTCTCTCTTTCTCTTTCTCTTTCACTCTCTCTTTCTCACTTTCTCTTTATCTCTCTGTTCATTGTGTGTGTGTGCGTGCGCGCGCCTATACTTCGGATCGCCCCGTTCTTCGGACATTTCTCGCCGTCGCAACTGGCCTTTGGAAAAAACTGATCGCGTGAAAAAAAAAAAAATATATAATTTGGCAATTTCGAAGAAGACCAACTCGGGGAACGTTTCTTTCTTCTATCTTTCTTTTTTCAGCCCACTGGACGAACTGTCGCGAAAGGTTAAGGTTACGACACCGAAGGAAACTTTAAACTTACCACAAGAATTTGTTCTTTTCTTTTTTTTTTTTATCATAGTTTCCTCATTGTTTTCTTTTTTTCTTGTTATTTTTATTCATTCTTCTTTTGTTTCTTTTGTTTTTATTCAAGTCCGAGATTGCCAAAGACTCACCCGTTCTTTTGTTTCATGCATCCTTTCGGCGTTACGATTGGAACCCAGAGCGCAATTGGAGTAAGTATATACGTTCGAGTTGGCGAATAGCGAAAATTTTAAACTCGTTCTCTCTCGTACTGCTTCACTTGACTCTTCTATCTTCTCTTTCAATTTTCCTTCCTAACGGGAATGTCTCGTTTCGCCAAAACGGATGGCCGCTGCTTGACACGTGTAAGTAGCTCTACCGAATCAATCTATCTAGATTTCCGATTCTTTCGAAAGCTCTGTTGCGTTTCCAAGCGTTCACAGCTTGCCCTTTCGTTCGCGCGCGCCGACCATCTTCTCCCCCTTTAATTATCGCTCTTTAACTAAGGCGAGAATTGCGCTCCTAGTAACGTTTCACGTCAAAGGCAAACGCAGTTAAAACCCTTTGGAAGCGCGCGAACCGAAACGATACCCTCGATCGAATCGTAGCTCGATGGAAATGAAAGAGCACGCTCGTAGACGCTGGTAGACGCTCTTAGACGCTCGTAGACGCCTGTAGACATTTGTTGCACCGTAGTTTCGATATACATCTACCTTTACATACATTAGCTCCCAGAGTCGTCGTTCATCGTAGCGAGTAGCGTCGAGATCGTTATTTTAGCTCCACTAAAATAGAGTCTTGTATAGTTGTCACCGTAGCAAATGTTCTTAGTTCGTAGAGTCGGTGAAGAGTGGACGCGAAATCGGGGTGACGCGTGATCACGCGCGATACTCGGCAAAACGGAATACAAAAGAAAATAAAAAAACAAATATGTATTAATTTGTGAGCAGAGTATAAGAAGAAGAAGAAGAAAAAGAAGAAGAAGGTGTGAAGAAAATGTTAGAGAAAGGGTGGATTGTATTTGTTTTAGAACGACCGGTAGTCCGGCGAACAAGTCGGCGACATCGACGGATGGTAGCGGCGGTGCTGGCGGAAGCGGAAGCGCGGTTAGGGGGACGGCGGGTGGCGCCGGTGCAAGCGGATCGGCGTCGGGGGCGATCGGGATCGCGGGCAGCAGCGGGTCCGGCTCGGCTTCCGCGTCCGGTTCCGGCGTGGGAAATGCAAATGCCGGAATCGGTGCCTGTGCGAACGCGATCTCTGGCAGCGGCGCCGGTGGGGTGGTAGCTGCAGGTGCCGAGCCTCGCACCCCGACCGCTGGGGCGCAAAACAAACAGCTGCAGAACGTGAAGGGCGATCATCCCTCGGTACGTCGGAAAAACTACGTCCCTATCTAACCGTGTCTAATCGAGTGCCGATCTAACGTTTCAGAAAGCGTTCATGCAGAGCAGATCCATGTCGTTGGTCGATATGTACATCGACAATTCGGAACCGAGCGAAAACGTCGGTCAAATTCACTTCAGCCTGGAATACGACTTTCAGAATACTACGCTTATCCTTCGTATCATACAGGTCGGTTCCGATTTCCCCGCCGATCTTCGCCACGTAACAAACGGACGCGTTTCAACCTAGCTTCCGATCCGTTTCAGGGTAAAGATTTGCCGGCCAAGGATTTATCCGGGACATCGGACCCTTACGTTCGCGTCACTTTATTGCCGGATAAGAAGCATCGGCTAGAAACGAAAATCAAGAGGCGCACCCTTAATCCTCGATGGAACGAAACGTTTTACTTCGAAGGTAAGAAAAGTAGAAAATCTGGAGGAGCAAGTGTGCAGTAACGATCAAGTATACTGCAACGTATCGTTCGGCACGGCGTTTATTTTTTTCTATCGTCATAGGTTTCCCGATACAGAAGCTGCAAAGCAGGGTGCTGCATTTACACGTGTTCGATTACGATCGGTTCTCGAGGGACGACTCGATCGGTGAAATGTTTCTTCCGCTTTGTCAGGTAATTTCGAATCGTAAAGTCACTTACCTTCGGCCAGGTAGCTAACTGGTGGCGCGATGATCCTAGGTCGATTTCTCGGAGAAGCCCTCGTTTTGGAAAGCTCTGAAACCGCCGGCAAAGGACAAGTGCGGGGAACTGTTGTGCTCGTTGTGCTACCACCCCAGCAACTCCATCCTGACGCTGACGTTGCTGAAGGCGAGAAACCTGAAAGCGAAAGACATCAATGGAAAATCAGGTATGTTAATCGGAATCGAAAGAAATACACGTACGTTCAGTCGAAGGAACCAGATGAAACGATTGACCTTGTCGGTTCTTCGAACACCTTCAGATCCGTACGTGAAGGTGTGGTTGCAATTCGGCGACAAGAGGATCGAGAAACGAAAGACCCCGATATTCAAGTGCACCCTGAACCCGGTGTTCAACGAGGTATTCTCGTTCAATGTTCCCTGGGAGAAGATCCGCGAGTGCTCGTTGGACGTGATGGTGATGGACTTTGACAACATCGGCCGTAACGAGCTGATCGGACGGATTCAGTTAGCTGGTAAGAGGCGGCTTCTTAGAATGCATTTTTGGGCTAAAGATACGATCGATGACGCATCGATCGGTTGGATTTCAGGGAAAAACGGTAGCGGCGCGAGCGAGACTAAACACTGGCAAGACATGATCACGAAACCTCGGCAAACCATCGTACAGTGGCATCGACTGAAGCCGGAGTAAAAGGTTCCGATCGCGAGTATCGGAAATCGTCGATCCAACCCAGACCAGTAGCCATTCAGTTTCACAGTGTTCTCGAGTTTGACGCCGAGCATCGAGGATGATGATGGTTTCTCGATATCGCCGACCGTTTCGATTCCCATTTACTTCTAACGATTAGTCAAGAATCGCGTCGAACGCGTCGAGAACCCGTGTATTCAATCTTGTTCTCAAACCTTTCTATTACCTCCGTTTCTTTTTCCCCGCGAGTTTCTTTCGGATCGGGGCGTACGATCGATCCCTTTGATCGATCTCTGATTATTCCTGACGCGACGATACTACGCTAACCAGCAAATGTATTTCCGTTTCTTCGTACATTTTCGTTGAAATTCTGCTAATCGCTCTTCTCGCACGCCCCGTTCGTTCGTTCGTTCGTTTTCCCTTTCTTTTCCCAGTTTCCGCGCAACAACGACTCGCGTGGAATCGCGTGGTTTCGAGCGACCAAGACGCTCGAGCGCGGCTGGCCGGTCGGCCGATCGACGTTACTTTCGAAACATCATTGACATTTACATCGAACGTTATTTTTATGACCGTTTTTGCACGAGTAACTTACGTACCGAGTACGTAATACCGTTGCTTGGGATACCTGTTGACGCGATTCAGCGTTTTCCCCCCGTTACCCGTTGCCCGTTACCCGTTATCCGTGGTGTCGTCCGGTGTCTAACGATTCCGTCGTTCGTTCCCGCGAATGCGAACAAAGTCGCGGCAGAGTATCGATTGGCTCTCCTTTCTTTTCACTTCCTTCTTTCTTTCCCTCACCATCCCTCGTTGCACTTGTTCGATTCCGTAGACGATCCCCTTACCCTGTCCGTATCATCAGGTCTACGGTTTCAAAGAATTCTTTTAACAATTATTCGTCGACAACGTTTCGACGAGCGATCGGAACGGGACACCGGGGACGTAATGTTGAATTCTTACTAGTAGAAGAAAAACAGCGACAAAAAGCAGCGATATTTTTGACGGAATTTTTGTATCGACATAGTCGGAGATCTTTTGAAAGCGATGAAAATTGTGATCGGTGTTACACCTTCAATTAATCTTAAGCGTTACATTCAATAGTTTGCTGTTGTTGACGATAACGTAGAACGATCCGCCGTGATCGTATTCAGACGACGATTCGCAGATTTTTGCATATATGCGTATACATCACACGTGCAAAACATTACATGAACAAACGGATACATATATATATATATATATATACACACACACACATTGGTGCTCGAGGTGTGCGTGTGCGTGTACATGTAAGTTCGAAATAAGAACAAGTCGGCACGCAATTGGCAGAAGTTAACGAGACGTCTGCGTGCGTTCGCGCCTCGACAATGACGCAGGAATATTTTTAACTTCTGTTCGACGATTTAATCAAGTTATTCACTCGCGAAAGAAGTGGCGAGAACGCGTATTCGAGCCACCCACCCTCGTCCGATGTTGTTTGCCGCGTCGCGTTGCGTCGCGACGCGGCGAACCGTGCACGAGAATCTTCAACACGAAAACACACGCAACATACACTGTTGAAAATACATCTGCACGTACACGCATCGTATATGTGTGCACGTAATTATCGAGTAGCACAAAGAAAAGAAAAAGCAACAAAAAAACAAAAAACGTGTAGACTAACGTTTGTATATCGTAGCCTGTGTATTATATACCGTTGTACGCGAAACTTTAAACGAAACCAGACGTTTCGATTTCGCGTAAATTCGATTCAAACGAACGAAACGTCATCGAATCGAATCGATTAGAGTGACGAAGGATATATGTGGGTAGAGTTAGAGTCGCGATCAAACGATTCACGTTGGAATTCACGCGTTAGATCCCCATCGTGCGGTCGTCCGCGAAAGGATTGGAATTAGAGGGACGACGAGGTTTAAGGAAAACAGAAAATAGAAAAAAAAGTGCCAAAACCTAAACGTAAACAGCGAAGAGAAACGTAAACGAGACGAGACGAGACGAGACGAAAGACGAAAGACGAAACGAAAGTTTTCATCGTCGAGCATTATTTGTTCGATCGTTTATATAGGCGCGTGCCCGGACGTGATCGCGGACGCTGATCGGTACGATCGGTGAAAGCACGTTTCTCCGTATAAAATACCGTGTAGTTATTACGTACTATGCATATCCGATGGTGATAATCGAACGCCAGAGATTCGTGAAGTTGTTCGAGCAACCGATTCATTCAACTACGAAAGTTTGGCGGTTTAACGCGTTCCGTCGCGTACAGCTGGAACGCGCGTTTATTCTAAAGAGAAAACGAGAAAACGATATATATAAAAAAAAAAAAAAAAAAAAAAAAAAGATAAAACAACTCGTAGAGTCAAACGATTCGTTGAGATACGTAGTAGTGTGTATACAGCTAAGTACGCGTTAGTTCGAACTGGATGCGAATTGGGCCTTATACCATGGATTACCTCAATCGTAAGCAGCTTGCGAGACAAGTTTCAGTCTGCGATAACGATATAGCGAGCGTTAAGATTTTAATTAGGCGCGGGAACACTTTGCTGCTCTACGTTTACGAGCTTAGCGAGCCAACTCGTTTACCAAGTCCGAGTTACGGATTCCGCCGATCGGTCGATCGTGTCAAATCTTTCGCTCTCCTATCTTCTCATTCTTTCTCTTTCTCTAAATTTCTTTCATCGAAAACTCAGGAGATGGCGAAGAGCGACGGAGAAGGGAGGAAAGCGGGTCGAGTCCATCTGGTGAATTCAACTCGGACGGAAACAAATGATATAGTGAGAGATGAGAATTTAGGCAAGTTTGAACGCGTGTCGAACGGTGAAGAGATAGAGGGCAGAAAACGTAGGAAAATACAATTAGTTAGAAAATGTAGCCGACATAAAGTGGTGCGGCGTTCGCTTACTGGATACGCGATAGAGCCGCTCGAACGATTTGCCTGGAAAGGGAACAAAACAAAAAAAGAAAAATGATAAAAGGGTGCTTTTTTTTCTCATAATGTCGCGTTCAGACTGTTGGAAAACGGGAGGAAAAATGGTATGGTCGGGAGACGGGAAAAGTGGTAGCAGGCGGGAAGGGAAAAGGAAAACGAAACAAGGTGGAACGAGAGGGTGGAGGAGGTGGTTGTGGAGGGTAGAGGGTGGAGAGAGGAGGGACGGTTCAGGGCGATCGATCGTTAGTTGGTTGGTTCGGTGGTACGTGTAAGTCGAGACAGCTCTGACGCGTATCCGGCCCTCGTAGCGCGCAACACTATATATTTTTTAGCTTCGTATTGCATACGCGTTCGTTAAATTTGGATGGTGCCGGGTGAATGGATCGAATCTCAAATTCCACGTATTCGCGAATGTTGAACGAAAGTGAAAGAAAGCGGGCAAGCGTGTTCGCGTTTTCCGGCTGCAGCAACAGCGGTTGCTGGTTGCTGGTTGCTCGTTGTCGCGGATCGTTACGAGATCCGCGTACCAGCCCCGTCGCTCGCGACCGCTTCGACGCTCTATCGTTTCCGTGTCGTAGTTATTCCCTGTTGTATCCCGAACCTCTTACCCACCCCCGCCCACCTTCTACCCTCTAGGTAGACCGCGAACAAACACCCTCCTTATATCCCCCTTTTCATCCATACCTAACCCGTCGAAGCGCATCAATTAACTCTTTGCCGCTTAGCCGTAAGCTCGATATCGCTGTGTGTTTCCTTCGAGATATCGTTTTACGTTTACGAACAAATCGAACAGATGCATTTATTATTTCCAGAATATCGCTTGATGCTCGAGATACGTTGTATATCCGAATAAAGAGAATTTCGTTTGGAAAGCACTCGTCGTATCGGTTTATTTCTGTTAATTGCTGAAACGGTACGAATCAGAAAGCAGAACTAATGAATCATGAGGACATGCCTATAACGTTGGTACGTTCGAGGAGCCGAACGACGGTCGATACCAATTTATAAGAGATCCTTTTCATCGAAAGCCGGGTCTTGATACCCGCCGTGTTCAATGCCAGCTGATACAGGTCGGCGTAATACTGCGAAATCAGAATTCGAATAGAAACTAAGGGAACGGTAAGAAAAATCAAATGATTTACCTCGCCGGTGCTTTGGTCGTCGTACGGTAAGTCGGAAAACTCGGGACTGACCTCGGTGCAACGGACGCGCATGGTTCGCGATGGCGTTACCAAAAGCGTCTGATTGGTAAGCTTTTAAAAAATTCAACGAGAATTAACAGTCGACGAGATTGAATCGCGGGAATCGGAATCGGATGAATTACCTCTTTAGCCACGCAACCGTGCATCTCCTTGAACTGCAAAACTATCTGTCGAAAATCACGAGTCGCGTTCCATCGTGACCAGGCGAAGGTATACGTGGTGGAAAGAATCGCCATACATTGCCGCAGATGGTTCTCCGCGGCCGGATGTTTCGTATTGATTCCCGTTAGATAAGCAACCGCGTCTCGATCCGGGAAAAGATCGCATCCGAGTTGTTGCAGTCGCTGCGAGTCGCTCTCCGTCGATTAAATGACAACGCGGAGAGAATAACATGATTACGTACCTCGATCAGCCGTTCTAACTCGTCGTATTCACCGAGGATTCCTTTCAGAGGATTATTCGCGTGGCCGGTCAGCGAGTTTAAACAGACTCGATCTTCCTAGAGGAGCAAACGTGCAGGACAAAAGTAATAAAAGGTTTGTACCGATGGAAAAAGGGATAGAAAATAAATGCGAAGTACCCTGATCACGAATTCGGCCTGTACAGTGGCCGCGGTTATTCCAAGCACCACCCCGCCGTAATCGCGGCCGCTCTTTCCTGATTCCGGTTTCATTTCCCAGCTCTGAAAGGGAAGATTAGAAAATTTATAGGCGGCCAACCCGTGAACGCCCAACCTTCCGCTCCTAAACGCGATCGTCTGTTGCTCCTCGTTGAATTTCACGTCGTGAACGTGCTTCGTTGACCAGATTTCCTTTTCCGGTATCCACTGGGCGATCAACGGTGGTTCGAACCAGAGAATCGAACTGGGTAATCTGTAGTATAAAATCGAATTGTAAAGTTGCATTCGATAGAAGCGATTCGATAGAAGTATTAGACCTAAGAGTGATCAAAACCAGCGCCTCCATCGCTGCTTCCAGCGCTTTCATTTCTGCCTCGATTACTTCCGGTGTCCTCTCCGAGTCAGGAGCCGGCTGCGGGGTCTCGTATCGTCTGGAGAACGCGACGAACTTGGGCTCCTTCGGCAACTCGACTGTAACGAACTCGAATCATCGTCCGGGATCGAGACTTCTTCCCCGCGACTACTCACGAGATGTTAGATAAGTTTCTTTCCCGAGGTCCTTCGGTTGCGGCGGTTGATAAAGAAGATCCACGCGAAACACTCCGCCGAGAATTCTGTATTTTCGCAAGTTCACTTCGGTCGTCTCGCATCGAGTGAACAATAATTTTCTAACTTCCAATCTGGCGTCGTCTGTGAAATAAAAAAAGGGTCGCCTAGCTTGTTATTAAAGAATCTCATCTTATTCTTCTTACCTTCCCTCTCACGAATGATTTCGTTCGCGGTGGGCAAGTAAGGTAACAGTTCCGTTTTCAAAGGCAACAACGAGGCCGGTGACATCGCCTGATCCTTGCCAGGGGATCGAGGCGTTTTTTTTTCTTCCCCGTTTATTGCCCCGTTTAACTGGTGCAACCGGCGGCGGATTGACTATCCGCTCTAGGATCGCTTGTTTCTCCTCCAGCCGCAAGCGTCGCCCTTCCGCTTGCTCTTCCCATATACGAAGCTTCTCTTCGAGTTCCTTTCTCTCGAACTCGACGAGGTCTGAAACACAGTAGAAAAAGGAAAGGATGTAGAAAAGTAGGGGAGAAGGGTAAACGATGACGTACCAGGGAAACTACCCCATAGCTCCAGCAAGCGATCAGGGAGCTGAGGAATTCGATAAGAGCGCGTTTCCATCGAATAATGATCGTAAGTTAGCCAGAGTCCTCTGATCGCCATGCGGTGGCAATCGACGTCCACCGGAAGCTTGATCGTCGCGTCCATCTCCGCGAACCGTATCTCGATCGACTTCCTATCGAGAAAAGGATCAATACGAAATCACGCCACCGGCGCTAATCGAAAGATATCATACTGTTCTTTGGCCGTGATGGGTCGTTTCAGTCCAACAGGCAAGATGATCGGTGCCCAGAAACAGCACACCGCGTTGTTCGTCGCGCGGACGTATCTGGTCGTCTTCGTGTCCTCTCTTATCATGTTCGCTTCGATGTTACGGAGCAGATGATAGCAAGCGAAATCTATCCACCTTTGTAGCCTCCTTCGCAGTTCGCTCGCGATCTGTCCTCAGGGAATCCCTATTTTAGTTTCTTTATATCTTCCGGCGAACGAAACTCGACACTTGCCTCTTTGTATTCCGCTTCGTACTTCTCCGTAACTGCGCTGGAAAACCCAGCGATCTCCTCCAGCTTACTCAACAGCTGAAACGATTCCGTTGATCGTCGTCGCGTATTGTTTGCAGGAAATATATCTATACTTACGCGGGTTATTACTCGACACCTTTCTTCCACAGTGTCCATGGTCGCCTCTTCTTCCTCCAACGACCAAAGGTAGACGAAGGCGTTGGTCTCGGACAAGGATCCGGGATCCGGTAGACCGTCGCAAGTCATGTAACGGGCCCACTGAAATATGTTTTCCATTGTAGAAAACGATGGGAGAAAGGCTTTTCTTTGGACCCGAGATACCAACGCGTTCCTGCTGTTCGAGGATCCGCTCGTACTCCGCGTACGCCTTGCGGTGCGACGAGAGGACACGGGCAGTTTGCTCCAGCTGCTTCAGTCGAATCGCCGCTTCCTCCGTCTCCAAACGCGGTTTCTCTTTCTCGTTGTATTCTTCCAACCGTATCTCCTCTCGCATATCCTTTATCATCCGATCCCTGGGCGAAAGAAAAAGAAAATCGAGGAAAGCCGGAGGAAACATAATTACAGTTTCATCCTTAGTTACTTGATTTCAGGTTCTTCGACGTCCGTCGGAGTTCTCTCGGTTTTCTCGGACTTTCCTTTCGCCTTTGGCGAACCTTTCTCGCCCTTTTTTTTCTTCATCTTCTTGCCACGTTTCTTGGCCGCGACCGGGGTCGCTTTCTACACCGAAGCAGATTCGAATTCGAAAAGCTCGATCATATCGGGGAAACGGCCGCAGATTCGACGAGACTAGAAGATCTCGCAAGCGTCGTTAACCGAATCGTGCGACCGTTGAGGAGAACGGTGAAATAACCTGCCAATCTTGCCATTTTTCAACCTGAAAACATCCTCGAGAGTTGTTCGAAAAGAGGCGACAAGAAATGATATGCTTTTTCCTACCAAGGACAATACGCGATGCGGTTCGTCGATCGATTTGCTGCGATGCCTTCGCGCCGCTTTATCCTCCGGCTCCTCCTCCTCCTTGTACTCCTCGTACGATAGCTCCGATATTTCCGAAGAAACGCGTCTTTCCTCCGCGAATTGTTCCTCGATCGGATCCCTGGAAAAGAGACCCGGACGCAATTTCTAATTCCGTCTGATCGGTCGATTCGAGCGAACCTCGAAAAATCTACCGCGCTCTTCGAGATCGAACGGCCGACAGATTTATCCGAATCTCTCTCGATCGGTTCGAGCGAGGAGGTTCGCGACGACGAGAACACCGACGACTTCGAATCGCGTTCTTTATCGGACAGGCTCATCTCGTTCAGAGACGTTTCGAAAGAAACAGGAATGCTGAACTTTCAGAAGAATTGTAAAACAAATGTCGAGCGTAGAAGAGCCGAGTGCATATATGTATGTAGTAGGCTTCGCTATAATCGTATCATGAAAGTTCGAAATAGAAGCAGACGTAAACGATATATAACAGACGATAAATAATGAATAATCGAAAAACTTAACGCGAAGGAAGAGCGGATAATGAAGAAGGAAAGGTATTTTTGATAACGAGAGTGTGTGACGATATATCAATGCATATTCAACAGGCGACCCTTTGACCCGGAATAATATTATCGGAAGGTCAATTACCATGTCATTTCCTGCGACGTATCGGTGTTTCAGTTCGTTCTTTCGTAGTTCGCTCGCGTTACATTTCGACGACAGAACGAAAAATATCGGTGACAAACGATAAGGAAAGTTGACTTTGAAAAAGATCTAACTGAGAGAAGATAAAACGCGATGTTTGTAAGTCTCCTGCGTCTATGAAAAGATTACAACGAAAAACAATTTATAATAGGATAATTTGCTTGCAGACAAGCAGCGCTAAAGATAAAAAGTCGAGAGACCTCGAAAAATCTTCGATAGCCGCGTTTTACGCGGGGAGAAGCATCTTCGTTACCGGCGCTACCGGTTTCTTGGGTAAGGTGTTGATTGAGAAGCTGCTCAGATCCTGTCCCGATGTGCGTGAGATATTTATGCTGATGCGTCCGAAGAATGGACTCTCCATTGATGATAGACTGAGAAAGATGCTTCAATTGCCCGTATGACGATAGATAATTGAACAAACGAATCGGTATACAACTCCTCTATGATAAATCTTTCTTTCTTTCTAGCTATTTGATAAATTACGGGAGGAGAAACCATCTAGCTTCGAGAAACTGATCCCTGTACTTGGCGATACTAGCCAAGAAGGGTTGGGTTTGCCCACGATCGAACGCCGGGTGATAACCGATCGAGTTTCCATCATTTTCCACGTAGCCGCGAACGTTCGATTCGACGAGAACTTGAAAAAGGACATCATTTCGAACACTCGTTCAACGAGAGACGTCTGCATACTTGCGGGATCTATGAAAAATCTGGTTGTAAGTAAAACTGAATTTTTCATTACTATTTTCTGTTCCATACCGATCTTCTGGGTGCTTGTTCCCGAAGGCGCTGCTACACGTTAGCTCGGCGTTCGCCCAAGCGGACAAGCCGGTGGTCGACGAGGTTGTCTACCCTCCCATCACCAATTGGAGGGACACTGTTAAGATGGTGGAAACCCTGGATGAACAGACTCTCCGAATCTTCTCCTCCAAGTGAGTCTTATTCTCCGATTCGATTCGACTCGATCGACAATTCGAAACGAGTCGGTTTTCCTCTGATCGCAGATACCTGGGTTCGATGCCGAACACCTACACCTTCAGCAAGCGACTTGCGGAACAGGTGATCGACGACTACTCGAAGGACTTGCCCTGTGTGATATTTCGGCCGTCGATAGGTAATTAACTTTGTGGTTGATTAGATAAATTTAGGGTAAGATTATGATACGCGTCGCAGTGGTGTCCACGTTGGAAGATCCCATGAGCGGCTGGTTGGATAACTTCAACGGACCCGTGGGGATGCTGATCGGTGGAGGAAAAGGACTATTGCGGGTGATCTGCGTCGATCCAACGGCGTCCAGCGACTATCTTCCGGTCGACGTGGCCATCAAGGCTATGTTGACTTGCGCCTGGAAACGGGGACTGCAAACGTACGGTAAACGTGAAATTGAATCGATACGGAATTTTACCTTTCAGATGCTTTCAGGATTACCAAAGATCCCAGCGTTCACGTGTACAACTGCACCTCCTATCAGGTCCGCCGGATCGTCATCCAAGAGTTGGTCTCGATGGGTCTGAGGATCAACGAAAAGATACCGTTGGAGGGAACAATTTGGTATCCCCGGACGCATCTAACATCGAATCGTTTCATCCATTACGTGATGACTTTGTTGGTTCATCTTCTGCCGGCTTTGGTGATCGACGGAGCGCTTAAGCTGTCGGGACGTAAACCGATGTGAGCGAAAACAATCGCTCTTTTTAATACTGTTTTTTTATTTTTTCTAATATCGCGTTGCCTCAAACTCGCAGGCTGTTCAAGATCCAAAAGAAAATCTACTCGGGCGTGGTGCAACTCGATCATTTCCTTCACAACGAATGGACCTTCCTTAACTCCAAGATGCTGGACATTTTGTCGAAGGAAGTTCCGCCGGCGGAACGTGAGATCTTTGGCTTCAACTTTGATAATTTCAAAATGGAACAATTCTTCGAGTGAGTTCGACGTTAGATACGAGCTTGTACATCGATCATCGAGCTTTTTAAATGGTTCTTCTTCCTACGAACAGGAACTGCTTGATCGGGGCGAAGCGTTACCTCCTGCACGAGGACTTGAATCGAATAGAAGAGGCGAAACAACATTACAACAGGTACAGGTCGACGAATACCGCGTTAAATATCGATTTCACCCCCGTCGACCCTGTAAATATTCCGCGGCAAGTTTGATCGATTCGCCCCATTTCTCCCTCCCAAATAACTTGCCGCTTTACGTTCTACGTTCTAGCCGATTTTTCCGCGTTTAATCTTTCATTTGTTCGTCCGCGTAACGTGTGAACATTACGCAACGCGATTACATTCGCACCCTCGTCGGAGTCGTCAGACGCGATAGAGGTGGAGGACGGAGACGCGGTGGTAAGAGCGACGCGAAGTGACGTTCGATAGCGGGAATTTCCCACTCGGAAACGTCGAGTTTCCACGATTCTCCTTCTGCCGTGGTATTTTTAGACGCATACCATGTTAATTTTACCAGATTCGCGGCTCGACTTTCGGTCAATTTTAGAGAGGACACGACGAACGAACGGATAAACACGGCAACGACAACGCTTTGCTTTTCAATGTTGCAGGATGATGTTCATCGACCGGATATTCAACGCGTGCATGGTGATATTGATAACCTGGCTGGTGTTCAAAACCGGCCTCTTTTCGTACATTGCCGAATCGATCGGTCGTCTCTTCGACGGATCGTTTCTGGAGGAGTAATGTCCTCGAATAATCGTGATTAATAAAAGGAAATATAAAAAGTAGAAAATAATTTGCAAAATTTATCTCCTGTTTCCCCCGATAAGATCCTTCTGATCGCTCGCACAACACGACCGTCGCGTGTCGTGCGAGTGCCGTGGAATCGCTTCGTGGTATCCCTTCTCCTCGACGCGTTCTTTCCACCGCCAGCTCTCACTGTTTCCATTTCTTTTTCTTTTCGCGTTTACTCGCGGCGACGATACGCGACAGACTGTCCACGGTAGAACGTGGAAACGAGCCGAGCGGAAAGTGTGACCGAGTGAAAAGCGAGCAACGAGTGCGATTAACCAACGGTACCGAGAGTAAACAGTGACGTGGAAAGGAAAATCGGTTCGGCGAAAGATTTCGGATCCGAAAGATCGCAGGCGGGATCGCGATCGCGATCGTGAACGCAAATGGAAGTTGGAACGACGTCATAGATAGGTTGCGCATGCGTGGCCGCTATCGCGAGTCAGACGAAAATATAATCTTGTTTTACGCGCTAACATTTGTACACAGAGGCTTTGCGAGAAAAACCTTCGGCAACTAGGAGAAACTTACGGGATAATTTGGTAAGAAGTCGCCCTGCTTGCTTTTCCGGTGTAACGGAACAGAGTTTTTCGTATTTATACGTCGCGATGATATCGCTCCACCTTCGACCTTTAAACCGGCGCAAATTCCGAATCCCAGTACGCAGTGTGCTCTTGAATCGATCTGGATCAAATCGATATATCGGTCCGAAGCTCGTGCGGTGATGGTGGTATTCTTTTAGATTTCGGCAAAAACTCAAATAGTGACTCAAAACAGCTGTCGTGCCTTGCTCCCGTTGGTACAATCGCGATACGGTTATTATAAAAACGGTGAATTATACATAGTCGAATCAACGACAGACTCGTTCTGGTCGTGTTAAAATATTCCAGAAAGATGGGAAAACGATCGCCGATTATCCGCGTTACCCGTTAACCGAGCCTCGAGTTCTTAGAAAACAATTATATTGCCAATTGCGATAAGAATAACACACCGTAAGCGGTGTCTCCTTCTAATTGTTTATTCGATACCCCACTAACATTTCCCTACTCCACCGTATTGTTGTTTTCATCGCTGTTCCACGATATTTTAATCGTGTGGCTCTTTTTATTGGCACAACACCGACCTTCGTTTCCAGTCGTTTCTAATTCAGCGAATTAGTCTCGGAGCGACACGAGTTTTAAAAACCACAACGCGGTTCTAAATGGCATCGGTTCGTTTAATACATTAAATTGATTTATAGGGATTATCGTTTCCGTAATGCGTTGCGGATTGTTCCACGAAAGCCACGAGAAGAAGGAAGGCTCGTCGAAGATGAGCAACGCGTACACGGAAACGGTTCTTCGGAACCAGAGTTCCGAAACGAATGCCGTCGAGGACGTGACCGAAAAGATTCAGCGTCTCTGTGTTACGGGCGATAACGAACACATTGCTCAAATCAACTTCCCTGAACTCGTCGTTTCCAAAGACGACGATAAATGCAAAGAAGAGAAGAACACGGAAGACAAGGAGGAAAGGGAGGAAAATGTGGAAAAAGAAGTAGAAGAAGAGACGGAAGACGAAACAAACGAGGAGGATGAGAGTGATGATAACGACGACGAAGACGACGACGACGAGGGGGACGATAACCTTATCGAACGTGGACCGATGAAATCGAACGTATTCTCCTCGCCTCGCGATCCACCTTACACCACGAATTTCGATCAAAACTTGTTTGGGCGTATAAACGAAAGAAAGTGGTGCGATTACACTAAAAGCGAGGAAAAGATTAATAAGAATTGTTGTACCGCTGAGAGTAACGAGATTGGATCGCAGGTGTGCGATTTGAAAGATGAGGTAAGGAAAGACAGAGATTGTCAGAAATTTCACCTATAAAATCCGGTTTTTTACGGTTGTTTCAGTTCATCCCTCTATCGCCGATCGACGCCAATGACCTAAATGAGTACCTGTTGCTAGAGAACGTGTTAAACGGTGCCTTTCAAGCGGCTCAACGCTCTTCCAACAACGAGAATCGAGAATTCTTCGATCCCGCTTATTCTCCCCTCTCGACTATCTCCACCGATTCCCTGAGGCCAACCACGGGATGGCAGAATTTCAATCAAGGTTTTCTCGATTCCTCTCCCGTGACCAACGACGACTCGAACTGCGAGCAACGACGACTTTCACTAACGAACAAGACGATCGAGACAATCTTCGATCCTCCGATTAACGCGCCCGAACCGTCCGTCTACAGGTCCACCCAACTATCCTCCCGTTGCTCCAGCTATTCGTCCTCCTCCTCGAATCAATCCTACGGCGATGCGGCTAGTCCATACACTTACCAGATGCCGTATACCCCGCCGGTCGACAAGCAAATTAACAAGGATTTCGAGAAATTCTCCATCCAGAAACAACAGGACACGACCGAGTCCACGGAGGAAATCTACAACATCGGTAATCCAGAGTTGTTGATGAAAGTGTGCCAGGAACTTCTGAACAGTTGCGAAGGGGGAAAGAACGTGGAAGTGGACGGAACGCGGGAAGAATTCTCCGCCTTGACTGGAATTAACTACGATCAAACGAATCCCAATTTCTCCCCTTCTCCCTCGGACGTATCGTGTCCGGACTTTGTTTCCTTATTAAATTCGCCCTCGAACTTTTCGTCGTCGCCCACGACCTTCAACACCTTCGAAACTATCAAAGCGACCAACACTACCGACGATTCTCAAATACCAAAAATGGTCGCCTCTTTCGAATCGTGCCACAGACGGCAACGGTAAGTCTTGCCACAGCTAAGTTGGCGAGGTTGAGAAACTGATTATCACGCGTTCACAGAAAGTACGAACAGAATATAACGCCCTGGCCTTCGTTGAATTTACCATCCGTCACTGCAAGCGACAGGCTGAAGGAACAGGTGAATCCTAAAGAGGTGGAGAAGGCTATGATGAACCTGCTGAAACGACCCGTCGAGGAGCTCGCCAAGCAGGACGAGGACGGGGACACGTAAGAAGAAGTTCGATAGAATTTTCTTCGAGTCACCACGATCTAACGTTTCTCTTTCCCCGACAGAATGCTAATGTGCCTGGTTGGCAATCCGGAGGAATTAGCCCGGAAACAGGCGTACCTGGCACCGCTGGTCGAGCGGTTAAGCACGATGAAAGAAGTTCTCGCGACCACCAACAACCGTGGAGAGGACGCGCTTTATTTGACCGCGATGAATTGTCCACAGTTTCCATACGTTACCGGATATTTAGCGGCGGCGATGCTGGAGAAGAACATCGACGTTAGCCAACGACTGTATCGTACTCGCGTATGTTTCGATCCTCACCCTCGTTTCCCTTCATTTCCCATCTGGATGATCGATCTTTCGATTTTTCTCAGGGTAACTCATTGATACATTCGGTCGCTGGGCAAGGGGACTCTCACATAGAAGTTTTGGCCGAATTATTAGCCCTGAGAACGAACCAGGGGAACGCGGTATTCGATCTGTCGAAGCGTAATTACGATGGTTAGACTGGCCTAATTACGATTTCCCACTCAATTTTTTCGATGATTAATTGAAACGTTTTCGCGTTCGTTTGTTTCGCAGGAAAAACCGCTCTGCACGTCGCGATAGAATCACACCAGCCGTTGTTTGGCGGCAATTCGTCGTTGGCCAGCGTGAAGATGCTTCTAAAGTACGGAGCGGATCCTCGAACGAAGGAAACGGAACGCGGCGACACCGCGTTGCACTTAGCCGCGTCCAGAGCCTGCGATCCCGCTCTCGTAAAGGTACAACGATCCCGTTCGCTGTTTTCTCCATTTCTATTTCTTTCAATTATCTAGGGTGCACGTTCGACAGGTACTGTTGGACGCGTGCGGTTCCGAATTGGTGAACGCGATCAACTACGATCACGACACGCCGTTGCACGCGGCTGCGAGCGTGTCGAGGAACGCGCCGCTGAACCGACAAACGGAAGTCTGTTGGCTGTTGATTCACGCCGGAGGGAACAGGAATCTGCTGAATCGTCAAGGGAAAAGCCCGTTCGTCCTGGTCCCCCCGGATAGGAGGGAAGCGCTCGTAAAGATCTTCTACGGCAGACCCTAACGGGCATGAAATTCCCAGGGAAAAAGATTGATTGAAACGTTAAAAAAAAAAAAAAAAAAATCGTTAATTTAGTTAAGATAAATCGAGACAGGAACAGGAGAGATATGCAAAGTGTGCAAAGTGTAAAGGAACAAAGCTAATGCTCGATGATACCGACGTTCGTTATTTTCCCAACAGTGTGTCCGGCAGTTCCGGTGAAACGATGGCATGCCCTTCCGGCGTGGAATTGGTACGTAACGAGTGGCGGATAGGTTTCGAATGTGTACGAAGGAAGGAGGAGCAACGATTCCACGGCTACAGCTCACACTGTCAGTCAATATAAAAGCGGCACGAAACAAGTGTCCATCTTAATCCCGACGATCGAACGATTTTTATTCGCCGCTCCTCCTCCACACCGAGACTCTGATTAATGTTTTACTCTCGGCGACTATGACGCGCGTCCACCGCGACCGTTCGCTCAGACTTTGGTCGCGTACGTTTCGCGACGAGCGGTTCCTCGAATATCTGCCGAGTGTAAACGGAAATTCCACTGAACGAGGATTAACGATAAGAAGGAAGAGCGTGGAAGCGGAAGGAAATGAACGCGATACTGGCAGTGATAAGTTACGCGGTCTTGACGACAGCCGCGTACGACATCAGCGAGCAATGCAAAATTCATGAGAAAACTATCGTCAAGTGCCGATGCATCGGAAACGAGGTAAATTCTCCCGCTGATCCGCGCGCAAATCCAACGGGTCCGCGTTGCTAGCGTTTTTCTGTTGCAGGAGTTTTTCTTGCCGGAAGGGTACAACTACGAAAACGTGACCAGCCTGAGGATCGCTTCTTGTACTATCGCGAATCTACACTTCTCAAGCTTGACGGAGGCGAATCGGATCACGGAGATCGTTGTACAAAACATCAGCGAGAGGCTGATATTCGAGCTGTTCCTCACCTCGAAGAAAATGAAGCGATTAAAGTTATCCAGGATTCGGCGGATACCTTTGATCACTCACGACACATTCGTCAGTTTGAACAGCATCGAGACGTTCCGCATCGAGGACGCGAGGATCGACAGGTTCGAGGAACGATTCACCGATCTGAAGATCGGCAATTTTTCCATGATCAACGTCACGATCGAACGCATCGACCAGCTGAATTTCTCGCAACGAAGCGACACTCTGCGCATAATAGACAGCGAATTTCGAAACGTCACGGATTCTTTGAATTTCGCTTACTTCTCGAGCGTCGAGATCGTTCGATCGACGTTTCGGCTGGGAAAACCTGGTTACGTGTTGATCGAAGGCGATCTAGTTTTCCTGGAAAATTGCGTGTTCTCGAACGCGAGCGCAAACCTGGTCGCGAGCAATAGCATCGAGATAAACGGTACCTGCGCAGACGGGAAGAGCTCGATGAGGCTCTCGTCGAGTAAAATTGAGAGCGCGAACAATCGTCTGCCCACGGAGATCGTTTATACTAGGAATAAAGGAAACTCGGATGCTTTTCATAATCGCAATAACACGGTGTGCATCGCCGGAAACTGCAAATGTCCAAAAAGCAGCGGTCAAAGTGCGCGACGACCGACTACCTTCTCGACCTTCGCTTCTCGTTTCCTTTCGTCGATCGTTCTTCTCCTTTCGATGCGTATTTTTTTTTAAATATTTCGAAGAGAACGATATACCTTTCCCTTTCACTCACAGTATCCCCTTTTTCCTTTTTCGATTCGATTTTATATAAAATTGAATGAACACTCTACGTTGTTTCTCGTCCTCCTTGAACGAGATCTCTTTCGCGACTAAACCGTCTGTTTTTCTAGCATCGTTCATTTTTATATATAATAAAGACTCTTTACAATTCTATCAATTTCATTTTAAATCCTTCGATGTCCTCTACGAAAAAAAAAATTCAAAAACGCGGCAGAACGGGCGCGTCGACTCGGTCGATAGAACAGGAAATCCGGTGAAAGTAGCGTGATACTGTGGAGAGAAAGTGAAACTTTTCGAATAAGTCGAACCGTCAGATGGCGGAAGGAGTGTCGCAATGTTTCGCGTTTCGCGGGCTTACGAATTTAAAGTTTGAAAATCCCTTTCTATCGAAACACAGATGGTACACCGGTAAACGTTTCTCGGTATAAATGAAAATTTACGAAGGAATATTTTTCAATGGCAGTTCGTACCCGATCAACTTCGTTCGAATCGAATAGATACGAATAATAACTCGTGCGTCTTTCCCGCGTTCGCGAGACAAGCTATGAACGAGGGAAACGCACACGCTCGACTCAAAGTGCCGAGAGTTTTGACGGGTCAGTAACTCCAAAAATATTTATGTCGTCCTCAACTATTCTTACTCCCGCGACATGGATATTTTCGGCTAATGTTGGGTAACCCCGAGTTACTGCGCGTTTTCCCCGCTTTTCCCCAATTACAACGATTCGGGGTCGTATCGCGTCCCTAAATCGCTGACGTTTCTTTTTTTTTTTTCTTCCAACTCGAGAGCCCTTCTCTCCGGTCTTCTCAGAGATTTCCGAATTCGGAAGACGAATGTGTCCCTCGTGTTTATAAAACGTGCCGATACCGTGTCGCAGCGAACGGCTCGTCGACTAAGCTTTTCTATTTACTACCCTAGTAGAGATCACCGGCTTCCGGCGGGGATGCTTTTGGTCGTGCCGGCAGCCGACTTTTCGTAAACGCTGTTCCATAAATCGAACAAGACTCCAGCTGTCCCCTGACCGACGACGAATCGTCTTAACGAGACTAGGGTACGGACGAGACAAAACAGAGCTATTAGCGCGAAGAAGGGAAGAAGGGAGGAAAGTATCACGGCTCGGTGTTAAGCGTGCGAACGGACGGGGAATACTCTCAGCATCTGCTTTTTCGAATACTCCTGGACCGCGTGGGAACAGAACGCGAGGCCTAAGAAACGCATAGAGAAAGAGAGAAATTATTTCGATGCTCTTTATTCTATGCAAGCTGGTGCGAACAAACACGCGTGCACGTATACGTATGATATGTACATTCGACGTCGGTACTCGGGGTGCGATCGAAAACGCGAAATCGATAACGCCGAGAGTTATCCGAGCTGGCACGACGACCGACCGGACGTCCCACGAGACCATCGAAAAGTCGGTGTCGCAGCTAGCCACGGAAATTCCAGAGTCCGTTTCGTCGACAGAATTAAGAGAGACGAGAACTCCTCGAGGCGCGGATGGTTAGGAACAGAGACGCGTCCGATCGCGTCTAGGAACTTGATAAAAGCACTCGATTCTTTCGATACCGTTTCTCCTCGGCTGTTACTGTTACTGTTACTGTTACTGTTACTGGTGCGAAGGATATCGATGGCCGTCGGTACTCGTACGAGCCGGACCGTTGATGCTTTGGACGATCATGTTTAGACGATCCAGGCTGCTCCCGCTGACCTGGAGCGACTGCGATTCCACCGTGTGCTCGAAACCTGCGGATCAACGCGAAAAACAATCGAGTAAGATAAGTAGGGTATCACGACAGGTGGTTCGAACCGATGGACATCGAGGAAAGAGTTATCAGATTTCGAAATTCGTCGCTTCTTCTCGTTCTAAGGTTCAGCCTCTTCGTGCTCCGTAGCAAGCGCTAATTCGGTCGGTTTGCCCGATTCGTTGTTACAATCGCTCTTTCATTCGGTCTCATTAGCGAGAAACGCAACTGAGAGCACGACGAAATCTGGTCGCGACCGTCGCGGCGACGGCGACGGTGAAACTGTTCTTTGTTTTCGATCGCGCTTCGAATAGCCTGGTCGACGATCGAACCGTTTGACCGGAAGAAAAGCGAGGATACGGGTAAACGAGAAAAGTAGAGAAAAAGGAGAGAGGAAGGTTTCGACGGAGAGGGCATTAGCGAATTCTGGACGCGGCAAGGTATGTATTTTGGACGCAGTTTCCGTCGCGTTTAAACGAGCGTTCCGCCGGCGAAAGGATGGCCCGGCGACGATGCGTCATACTAATGTACCGTGGCAATATATGGCACTTTCGAGCGGACAGAATTTTGCGCGTCCTTCGACGAGCGGGCTGATCATCCCGGCTCGGCGAGGAGATTTTTCGTGAAAAACGCCGACGGAAGGTTTCGATCCGACGAGTCAAGACAAATCCGAAAGGACTCCGTCGAGCAGGAGGACGGTTAATTAAAATAATCGCGGAGCACGCTAGTGGGACACGGTTCGGTAAATTCGTTGGCATCTGTTTGCTCGGCGAAAAGCACTTGTTTCTCGTTGTTGCAACCACGTCTATTCCTACCGTGCGGGCAGACTCTTTTTCCTCGCCTCGTAGCCACCGACGTGGCGGAGGCGTTGCGCTACGATCATGAATTATAGGCTGCTGCGTCTAACGAGAGTCTCGTGCCACGAATCTGCATCCCCTCATCCCCCGGCACCCCTTCACCGACCCGTACCCGTTTCGTTTCCCTTCGCGTTCACCGCGAGAATATTATTTCCACCCGTGTCCGCGCGAAACAACCGTGACGAAAGGCCTCACGGGGAGTAAACTAAGTCTCGCGACCTAGCGCCACGGTGTACCATTCCATCTTACTTCTCGTCGCCTTGAATTATGTTCCACGCTTGCCAATAGTCGGGTATTCATTAACGCTAATTAATCTCGAGTTATTTTAATGGTCGGGATTGCGCGCGCACCGATTCACTCTTGGCTCCGAGACGACGCGGACGACCATTGTCCCGGACCGCGAAACATCGTCCTCCGCACGATCTTCGACGGTTACTCTTTTCGATAGGGAAATTTTGTCGCCCACGGGGCTGCGTATCGCGTGTTACGCGACGAGAGACGCGGCCACTCGCCTATTTTCGGAATCTAGGCCAATTAATTCCGCCACGTATTCGGTAGGTCAGAAAAAGGGAAAGTCGGGCGAAAATAAGCGTAAAACGAGGGTAAACCTAGAGATGCGATTCGCTTTCCCATGGAAAATGGTGCGAAATGTAGAGATCGTCGCGTTCGAATGGGTAAGTGGTGAAACGAGAGACGAGAAGGGAGGAGAGACGGGAGAGGAGCGTCGCGACGCGTGGCGCGTGGCCGGTAGGCCGTCGCGAGTCGCGACCGCCTGGTATCGGGAGGACGGCGTAGCTAACGTCGAGAGGAGCTCACGGGTGGGCTATCTATAGCAAGCCAGTGTAACCGAATAGAAACCGAGTGTCACTCAAGGGTGACAAAACTCATTAATACCGATCTGCTTAATGCTCCGTCTCGTGTCAGGCATTAATCTACTTAAAAATACCAGTAGATCGCGGAGCGATCTACGCTTTTGGATGCGAGCAGCAGGAGAGGAGCGACCGCTCCTTAATAGACGCTTCCTGTCTTTCCGCGCGTTTCAACGACCACGCGAACGAAAATTACCGTTTCGCGGATAGAATCTCACTCACCGTTGATGGGTTGAAACCTTGCCAAAGGGTCCGAGAATTGCCTCAGTCTTTCCGTCACGTATCGCGACGTGCCTGCATTCTGCAAAAAAAAAAACAAGAAAACATGTTACTGCGATCATCGGCATAGCGACTAGCGAGCTTCTGATTGTAGCGTTTCGCGTTTCGCGTTCCTCTCTGCATTCGATCGTTCGCGAAATGTAGGTCAATCGGAGCGTTCGGCTAGAGAGGCGGGCGAACGTCGCCTTTCCACAGGGTTGAGTGACGAGGGAAGAGGGTTACAGGAAGGAAGGAAGGAAGGAAGGGTTTTTCACGGATCCATGAAAGGAAAGGAGATGCGAACAGCCGAGGATATAGATCGCAAAAACCGTTCGAACCGAGAGGATCTGCCGTGACCAGTGCGGACCGCGGCGGCGTAACGCGCTCAACCACCCTTTCGCTTTCTTTCTTCCATTCATTCCTCCGCTCTGCCGACCACTAAACACACTCGGTACACATTTTATCCGAGTCGGTTTCCTTTATTTGTTTCGGCGCATCTATATGCAGCGTCGCGGCCAACTATTCTCGGAGTAAAAGCAGTTCCTCGCCGCGCTATCCATCGTCTCGCGTGGTGCGTGTTGCATCCGTTCGTACACGCATCCACAACTTGTTACGATGATGTATTCCTCTGTCGAAGTCTCGGGACGTCGAAACGTCGTCGATGCTCGATGAAAACGCTAAGCCGTCTACGAGACGAGCTTGCAACGACGATAAAAGATAAAAGTCGACTGGAGGGCTTTTCGGTAGATGAAGGCGGTGAAAAAACGAGAGAGAGAGAGAGAGAAAGAGAGAAGGAGAAGCGAAATCGAGGAGCTTTTATCGTAAAGTAGGATACGTTAACCGCCCCGTGTTCGTGGCTAAAACGGCTGCTTTAAATAAGCGCGGTGTTTGCTCTGGAAGATAGGTTTGCGTGTCCTCGATGCCGGAGGTCGATGCGAGTACTCTTCTTTCGCGGCAGAATCTCTCGAGCGTATAAAACGTCGAGTTTATCTGTTTGTCGCTCGTCGAACGTCCGGGAGCGTCGGGAATCATCGATTCGTTCGCTCCGCGTCTAATATCTACACTATCGCTAACGATTCGTCCCGTATAATTTAAATAAACAAATAGTACTATCTCTCCGTAAATGATACAAAGTATGCGAACAGAATCGAAATGAAATTTCGTCGTTCGGAAAGGAAGGAAAGCAAGCGCGAGTACAGCGAGTCGAATCAATGCCCAGCATCGAGCTTATATTTAGCGAGAATACGAGCCGACTGCTTTGCGCGAAACACCAGGGAAATATATTTCATTGTATAATCCCCTGGTGAAGAATCCCCTCGAGAAACGGTTGGCTAACCCGCGAGTTTCTGTTTCTGCCGACCGCGATCATCCAGATTCTTCGATTTTTCATTTCTCTCCCGTCTTGTCCTTTGAACTGTCTTTCGACCATTATGTATACGCTTGTAAATCGCGAGTATTCGCGTACGGACAAAGAAGAATACGTACCGAGTTCTCGGTTGAACCGTGATCCTGAGCCGGCGATGATCTGTTGGTCTGCAACAACGCTTCCAATCCTTCGATGTACTCTATCGCATTCCTCAGGATCTCCACTTTCGGTAGCCGTTGATTTGGATTGTTGCTGGTCCTTCTTTTTAATACTTCGAACGCCTCGTTCACCTAAAAAGATCGCAACGATAGAGTGATTGAAAATGAATGTTAGATCGATGAGATGCGATGCGACGCGACGCGACGCGACGGAGACGAGAGCGTTTCGAACCGACCTTCCTCAAGCGTCTCCTTTCTCGCAAGGTGGCCGCTTTCCTTCGATCGACGGTAACGGTTTTCTTTTTACAAGCTTTGCAAGCCCAGAGAAGGCATCTCCGAGGTCCGTGAGGCGAGGCTGTCGCGTCGAGCACCGCGTGCGGATGGGGCACGTGCTCGTTCGACTCGCTCTCGTTCGATTCGTTGTTCCTATCGTTCGGTTCGTTGGACTCGTTCGGCTCCGTCGAATCGTTACCCTCGTTGCTCTCCTCCGCCTCCACGGAAACCGATTCGAAATCCGCCGAAGCGTCCACCGACACGATCGACGACGCGTCGTCCGAATCCAGCGCGTATCGAGGTGTTCGCGACCTATCGATCAAATTCACTATTTAATTCAACTAGTTTCCATTTCTCTGCCCGTCTTCCTTCCTTCCTTCCTCTCGTTCGATTTAAAGGAAAGATAACAACACGGTTGTATCACGAAGAAGAGTTGGCGCCGATTGGAATCGTTCCAGGTGGTTGACAACGCGAAGCTCGCGACCCAAGCGTTGCGACGAGTGATAAAGGTTAGCGGACGCGGCTAAAGAGATCTCGAAATACGAGGTGAAAATGGTTTAATGCCGCGATAAAGACGTCGCCGAGTTTACCCTCCTGATTGCGATGAGCGACGATACGATTTCCAGTTCCTCCTTGATTTCCACTCTCATTTGTACGCGCGAGTTAACTGGTAGGAAGACAGTAAGGAAGGAAGAACGAGCGGTTTAATTGGATCGTCGGAAGCGTATGTACCGGTAACGCTGCGAACTAGCCGATTCTAGCGCGAACGCGTTATCGCTCGTCTCGACGATGCTTCCCGTTGTTTCGTCCACGTTTCTCTCGGACAGGTATCCTTGCAGGTGGTAGTCGATCGATGGGTGCTCGATGGACGCGTAAGCGCGTCGGCGACGGTGATGATGGTGATGATGATAGTGGTGATGATGCCGATGATGATGGTAGCGATGATGACGGTTTTGAGTGTGGTGAGGGTGATGCCGAAGTTGCAGATGATGATGCCGATAAGCGTCGTAGGACTGTCTAGCGGCAACTTGACACGCGTAAGACACCGTATCCGTCACGAGGGTCATCGTATCGCGGCCGAGATCCGTCCTGGCGAACGATCGTGCTCGTCCGAAACGGAAGTACAGGATAACTTTGCCCGAACGTTTATCTCGAAATTCGAGCGACTGTCATACCGAGCACGAGGTAACTTGGAACAATGTCGCGAACATGGCGAACGATCGCGTTTCGGATGAGGTGCCGGGCCGGAAGATGGACCCAAAATCCTTCGAGATGGAGAGATCGTGACGAAGTCTGGTGTAAGATTGAACCGGCGGGCTTTTCGGTAGCCGGCGCGTGGCGGTAAAGCGTGCGCCAGCACGGGCCGTAAGTTCGTACACGCTCGTCGAATTTCGTAGCCGGTCGTAAGCGTTCGCACTCGCACTCGCACTCGCGTCGAAGCTTCCTCGGACTCGGGAGAAACGCGCGCGTACCCAACGACGTTCGAATACTTTACGAGCTACGTTTAGCGCTTGGTTACACCCAGATGGATTATTTTCGACCAGGAACCGACCAATTAGAGAGCGTGGAAATTCTCTGCTATCCATCGCTGTACCGCCTCCGTTCTTTCCTAACTCGACTTAGTGGCTGGCGAAATGTTGTCGGGGGGTGTGGTTTAATCGCCGATACCGCGTTTTCGCGTCTTCGAAACTTCTCTTCCGCGTTACTCCCGCGTCTCCGTTCGTGCCGACTCACCCCTATCCGCCACGATCCGCGCCAATTTTTCATACGCGCCAATGTCAATATTTCGATACATTGCCTCCTAGTCGGACCGATTGAAATCCTAGGACGGTGAAACGGAAGAAAAGGAATAGATATAGATATAAAAGAGGAATCCGAGGATTTCCGACCACGTTCTTCGGATAGTTCAGATCGACCTTGAACCGATAACCCGTTTACCTACATAAGAAAAGAAACGCGATACCGTAAGCGAACCCTCTGAATCCTTATAGATAATAAAAGGCGGGAGAATGGAGGCGGAAAGCGAGGTTAACGAAAAGAAAACGATGGATCGATGGAGAAACAAATTTCTCAAGTATAGCAAACGCGTGGATCGTATTGTTGGTGGGATAGCGAGGATGACGATCTCCGGATACGGTTGATCTCTCTGAACATCCGTGGGGTCACGCGCGCATCGGCCGCGTTGTCGAATGGAATACGTAAGCCGTAAGCGGAGAGAGGAAGCAGGGATGGGGGAGGAGGATGAGGGTGTAGAGGTGGCGGTGAGGGCGGCGGTGGTGTATCGCACCCCCGTAAACGGGACGGTTCTCGTGAAATCTCGGAACAACTCGGAGGCGATCGTGTCGAAAACGAAGAGAGAGGAAGTCGCAAGGCGGACGATCCAGATACGAGAAGAGAGACGAAAAACGGGTCACTCTCTCCTCCTTTCAGGATTCGGTGCCGGCTGGGATACCTACATCCGCCAAAGCTGAAAGTTCACGAAAGGGCAATGCCTCGCCCATTTTTATGGCGAAACGCGTCCACGACGAGAATCAACCGCGTTCACGCGTTTGTCTCCTACCAATTTTCTCCTGGTTGGTATATCTACCTAAAGGTCAGCCGACGTTTTCCGTCGCTCACGATCGCGAATAGGACTCGGTAGGGACATCCTACAAATATTCCTGCTCGATATAAAGCTAGCGGATCGAAATGGTTGTCAGCTGCACAAGGGGTAGCAGAAGCGCGAAGGGATGGGCTGCAGCCGGATATGGAAAAGGCTCGCGCGCGCGTCACCGCCACCCTCTCCGCGTCGCTGTGTGTGTACGAAAGAGAACGGGGCAGAACAACGAAGGGTCGGGGAGGATAACGATGATCGGTGAAAAGGAGAGGAAAGGTAAAACGTGGCGGGAAGGGAGGCGAAGGGGAAAGCAGAGAAAAGCTTGGAACGCGGGGTGAGAGAGCGTAAGGGAAAGAGAGAGGAGAGAGTGGTGCAGCAAAGTGGCGAGAAGAGGAGAGGAGAGGAGAGGAGATTAGAGCAGCGGACCAAAAGGAAAGAGGGTGGTAGTGTTAAGGGAGAGGGAGAGGGTTGGAGCGAGGAGGATGGAGAAGGACGGCGGGATAACAGGAGGGAGAAAGGGGTGTTGGTAGGAGAGAGGAAAGGAGAAGAGAGGAATCGGTCGGGTCGTGCGTTGCGGGCTGCTGCGGCTCGGGCGCGACAGTTCTAACCCGACCATTGCCGGTTGATTTTCGCGAGCACCGAGCACGGGGAGAAGGTTGTCCCCCCGCCCCGACGCGACGGTCGGACGATCGAACGGTCGTACGGTCGAGCCGTTGATCCGTTCCCGGTCCGCGACCCTTCGACAACGCGGTCTCGTCTTCTTCTCGATCGCTTTCCGTCGCGTTTCGTTTCTCGATAACACCCTCTCGATTCGCGACGATACCCAACGGGCGAGGCGACGGAAGAAACACGGACGTCAAAGGAACAAAGGGAAGAAAGGGAAGAGTGAAGTGGAGGGGCGGCAAACGATAAAGGGAGAAGGAAACGTTTTCGTACGGCGGAACATCGAGCTACGGCATGTGGAAACGCGTTGAACCAAACGAGATCGTCGTCGTTCTTTCTTCTCCCGCGAGGACAAAACGTCATTGCGCGCGTTCGACTCTCAAGCGTTTTCCACTATTTCACTCGAGACGGACGCCGAATTTCAATACCGAGCTTTTATACGCTCCGTCGAACCAACGTAGAAAATCATCGCCGACGCGATTTTCGACGCTTAACTCGATCGCCGCTACGATTACCAGCCGATTCCTCCCTTTAGAATTGGCTCGTTCAACAATTTAATCGCCGCGAGACAAGTCGACACGCGAAACCACCACTGACGCGACGTAATCGACTCGAGAAAGGGTTAAAGCGTGTGTTAAATCAAGAGAAACGGTTCCGTGAAAATTCGCGCGCGTTTCTCGTGCGCGCGAAACGAAATTGGCAATGGCATAGGGGGTGGGGGACGAACGAACGAGTTTCAAGATAAGTTCGCGTTATTACCGAACGTGTTCGGCGGTCTTGCTCGAACCTTTAGTACCACTGTGTTCGATACCAAATAGCCATTATCTCTATCAAATATACGTATATGTATCGTTATAGTGTCATAGATTATACGATGTTACTCGTTGAACGATAGAACGAAATTAATAATAAAAAAGCGCCGGACGCTAAAAAAAGAATAGAAACCGAAATCGAATCGAAACTGGATGATTGACGGATCGGTGGTTCGTTTTGTCTGCCCGTACGCTTTCGACTCGCGCTACCTCTCGTACCCGTCCTACGTCGTTTTCAATCTCGATCCCGATCCTGATCCCAGATCCAGCCCGTAATCACGGTTACCGTGACCGTGCTCCTCCTCTTCACCCGCGTTTCCCGGTAATCGCAGTATTTCTTCACGGTGCTCAATTAAACGCAAGTACAAAAGAAAAAGAGAACGCGCAAAAACAGAAGCTATTTTTTCCGAATCGCGCAAATACAATTAACTCCGTCGACGTGGAAAATCTCTGTCCAAAAGCAACCTCGACGAAACAGGCCGGGAAAAGAGCTCTACCTCGAAACCTTTTACTACACGAAGCTACGTATTTTCTTTCGGTCCTCTCCGATATCTCGTCGTACCCGGTGAATCACGGCGAGTCGAGATCGCGACGGAGCGGTGCACCGATCGAGCCGATGAAACGCAAAGCGGCCCATCTCCGCGATACGAGGGAAAGCCGCGTCGCGTCGAGTTGACGACATCGGGAAACCGGAGGATCGAGCCACGCGATCGAGACGATGCCCGTGATAGCCCGCTCGGAAAACCTATTGCCCCGAGAGAAAAGTAACGTGGATAAACAAACTTAGCCATGTCATGGGAATCTATATCTTCGAGAGATTATCTCGGGCAAGTATCGATTAGATCGGGAATAACCGATCGGTATGGAACGCGACGCGACGCGACGCGATGGGATTAAAGCGGTGGAAAGGCGGTAGACGGAGAAGGGAAACGGAAGGAAACGACGGGAAAGAAAATGGAACGGAAACGAAGGGATACGGGAGGGGCGATTGTCGCGAGTGCCGCGGTGCTCGCCAACTCGGTATATAGGTCAGCAAAAGAGGTCACAGGTGCCTCGCCCACAACGACTAGCAGCTAGCAGCTCGTCCCGTCCGTCTCGAGCTGGCAAACCTTTAGGATCCTCTGCTGTCACCTGCAATCGAACCGCACCGCCTTTCCAACGCGATCCGAGTTCAACAACGTTGCCTCTCGATAATACCGAATATTCTCGTATTACGTAAGATCTTGACCGCGTCTGGTCGCGTTTCGTCGCGTTGCACCGCGGTGCGCCACGCCGATGGAACGGAATATTGGCGACGAACGTTCGACAGCCAAGACCGATCGTTCTTTGCTGTTCACAGCGGTCCGGCCAGCCATCAGTTATCGGCGACCGCTCTGTTGGGTAGTCCGGACGGATCGCGACATCCTTTGGACGTATGCGAGTTCACCGAGGAGGATTATCGGCACCAGGGTTCGAACGGAAACGGCCACTACCAGAACGGCAGGTCCGGGTCTGGTTTGTGGGAATGTCTGATAGGATGCAGACGTCGTTTGGATCAGCATATGGCTCGAAGACGGGTAAATAACGATGACGCGGAATCTCGCGTAACCTTCCTCGACGACTTGCTGGGCTTTTTTTTCCACCCGTTCGCGTTCCGCGGCCTCGACGGACGCTCTTTCTCGGTCATTGCCGAGCGTACACGCCGCGCCGTTACGGATCAGACCGCACGCGACCCGTGGCCTTCCGATCGCGCCGCAACGCGTCCGTGAAATCGATTCGTGTTCGCGGGGTTCGCGTGACTAAACAATCGCAACCTTCGCGCCGATAAAGCAAGAGGAAAGTGGACGGCTTGATTTCCGGTTGATCGGGAAATCGCGTTATCGTCGACGCTCGATCACCCTTCTTAACGTTCTACCCCTCCTCGAGGTCGATCCAAGCTATTTATATCGCGCGGGATCGTTGGATCTTAAACCATCGGTGGAGGAAGTTCAAGGACGAATCGATACGACGTTTAGCGTTTACCCTGAAACGCAACCTTGCTCGCTAATTAAAAATACCGATTCCTTTTTTCATCCAGGTGGAACAAGGCTTGAAACTGTACCGCGCCCACAAACAACAGGCCGCTGTTCGAAAATGGAGGGGCGCTTTGAAAAACATCAGACAACGGGAAGACAAATTTGCTCTTCTCGGATATCTGTATCAAGCTTACATGGACTGGGGAAAGTACAGGTATCGGTATTCTATACCGTCGTCGGTTTTCGAGTCCACTCGTCGAATTAGCGACGCGAGAGGAACTCGTACCGTCTTTTTTCCCTGAATATAGAATATAGGCTAACGCGGCCTCCACTTTTGCACCGTATTTGCATCGTATAATTAATGCGGGACGACCTCTCTGCTGTTGCGCGTTTCGTGACTGCTTCGAATAAATTAATCTAAACGTGCTTTGCGAAGAACGAAAAAAGAACGAATTGGTACATAATCCTTGAATTCGAGTCTACGAAGCAGGAAGAGAGAAAAGAGCTTAATAGAGAGATCGTAACCGAAAGATAGTGTGTTTGGTTAACCGGGCGAAAGAGTCGGAAGAAGCTCGAAGATCCTTGACACGGTAACGAAGCGTTTCCGTTTCCGTTTCCGTCGGTTTCTCGAGGCGAAACGCGACAAGAACCCGTGAACTTTACTCGTTACCCTCCATATAAGCTACTTCTCTTTACGAACTCGACGTAAATAAGGATAAAGGAAAGAGAAATCGCGTCGTTTCAGGGATAGCATCGACTTTGGCCACAAACAACTGTGCATCTCCGAGGAGCTGGACTCGCCTAACATGCGTGCAGAGGCATACTTGAATTTGGCGAGGGCACACGAAAGATTGGGCGCGCTCGATAGAGCCTTGGATTACGCGAGACACAGGTACTCGATTTTATTTTACCTACTTTCGAATAAATGCAATCGTTATCGTAACTCATACGCCTTCGCGCAGTTTGTACAACGAATGCGATCAGTGCGCGACCGCTGGACTGGTTCATCTGACGGTAGGCAGAGTCCACTTGGAACTGGCTGGATTTTGCAAAGCTTTGGAAGCGTTTCAGAGAGCGCACAAAATTGCCCATTCCATTCAAGACCCCTCGCTGGAGTTACAAGTAAGCCAATTTATTCGAAAGGCAAGATGATCGGCAAGGGATTACATTAAATCGATGTTCGATTCATAGGTATACGTTGGTCTGTCGGAGTTGTTCTGCAGATTGCACGACGCGGATAAAAGCGCGAGATATGCCGCACGGGCGTACGATCTCTCGAGGAGTTTACAATTGGGCGATTTGAATTCGCGCCATCACAGGGCGGCTCTGCTGCAAATGGCGGCGGCGCTTCGAAAAAAGGGCGAACTCGGTGACGCCCACGACTATTGCTCGGTATGTTTCAAGTAAAGCTTTCTATTGAAAAAGTTTGATCGTTTAATTGGTACAGGAGGCAACGCGACTCTCGCTAGTTTCCGGGGATCAAGCCAGCTATGCCCGAAGCATACGAATAATGGGGGATATCTATCGGAAGAAATCCGACATAAACGTAAGTTGAGCGGGAATATCGCGCGTACCGTCGTCGTAATTTTTCTATTACGCACATTATAGAAAGCGTTTCGGCAATACGAAAGCGCGATGGGTTCCGCGGCAGCGACCGGCGATCGTCTCTGCCAAATGGAGGCGATGGACGGTGCCGCGAGGTGTCTCGAAGCGCTTCGACTTCAGCATAAAATATGCAATTGTCGTCCCCTAGAGTTCAACACGAGACTACTCGAAGTTGCCGGATCGGTCGGTGCTAAGGTAAAACGACACCTCCCCCTATAAATCTATTATTGAATCGTAATTATACATACTTGTTTCATAGTTCCTGGTGCGAACCGTGAGATCAAGGCTCTCGCGGATTTACGGTTCCCTCGGTGACGAAGAACAAAAGGCCCATCACGAAAGATTAGCCGCGGCGATGGAGGAAGACTTGGAATTGCGATGCGGTAGCTGCAACGAGCCGTTCGGTCTCGAGGCCGATTCCTTGGAGGCGCTTCCCTGCTCTCACATATTGCACGCCAGGTGAAACGAACGTTACAGCGTACATAAGTACATACGTACAACGTGATCATTGAAACGAACAATAAAACACAGTGTCGATTTGTGTTCCGTTCCATTCCACTTCCTTTTCGTTCCCTTCTGTTCCCTTCCGTTCCATTCCCATTCCCATTCCGTTCCGTCCCGCTCCGCTCCGCTCTGTTCCGTTCCGTTCCGTTCCGTTCCGTTTCGATTCCCTCCGCGGCCCGTGTAATCGAGACACGCGTGATTTACAGGTGCGCATACGACATCTTGAAGAGACGCGACAAGAAGAAGAAACGTCTGTGTCCCGACTGTCACAAGTCCGTTAGTTCACGATTGTACCTGCATTGCGAAGACCCTCACGGCATGAGTACTTTGAATCATAGTTCCTTGAGTCTGGCGTCGTTGAGAGCCAGCAGTCTAGCCACGCTAGACGATTGTCACGCTGCCACGAGCAGCGTTTAAACGCGATATCTGTTCGAAACGCGGATATCGTTCGGACGAAATGCTCCTTTCTACGCGATCATCGATGACACGATTGTCTCACGCGCATACGCGTGCCCCGATTCCGACGCGAATGAAAACACCCGCACGAAACCTGGTGACGATCGTTAACCACGAGCACGGCAAACGATCTCTGCTCAAACTATGCGGTGTATACGCGCGATTAAGCTTGCGCAATCTGCCAATTAACGATTAGCATTTAACGTTCTATAACGCGGATCACCGATCGTTTCACTATTCAATTAGGATGAAGAAATTTTAAGGAAACTAGCACAATTCGATGAAAATTAATGGCAATAAAACTGCACATTCTGTTCACTTGTCTTCTATAATCATTTCCCTCCTTCTTCGTTTTCTATACTAGAATCAAATGAACTTATAGTTTACCTTCGCGTAAGTTAAAAAGTAACTAGGTTTTACAAACCTGAATTACAAGTGGAGAAACGTGGAGATGAAAAATTCTTCCTCTGTATCAGCTTTTCAATTGATTTGATTCGTTTATCCGAATCGTTTGAATGTTCCAAGATACGAAAGTATACAGTTTTTGTACTAACATGTGCGACATCTAGAGTACGATTACGAAGTTAGATTAAGACCGCCATGACAGCTGATGCTTTTCGTATCGCTTGACGTTTGGTCAGAACATGTCATTTTGTACACTTAATTTCAACAAATGGCAGACTTCTTTTTCGATTTTGATACATCGCTTGCAGTAAGTAAGCTCGTCCCTCTTCAATATATATTTGGTAGCGAGTTTTGTTTCGAAAGGCTGGCAAATGCAGCAAGAAAAGTACGGAAACGTATGCGGTTTCGACGAAACTCGGATCGTGGTTCTGTTCGTGCACGCAGAAATTTAAGCTGTCCGTGTAATTCCTCGAAAACAAATAATTGCTTATGCAACGCAGCATTCAAAACCTATTTAATCGATTCTTAATATTTTGCTTTCATCCATCCCTTCTTTGTACGTATACCGTTTCTAAAACACCCACTACGTACCATTACCTCGAGTAGCCATGGAGGTACGTCGCATAACCTAACCAATGTTTCGATCCCTTCAAAGGTCATTAACACTGTTACCTTCTTCTCAAGTATCGCTACCTTAATTTTTTCTCCGTTATCGCATCGTTTTCTTCCATTTGTTTCTTTGGCCAGTTTATACATATCGTTTTAGCAGAATTGGCAGAGTATATAACCGTCGAATGCTTCGAAACGGCTTGCGCATCTTTATTGTATCAAAATTTTGTTTGTTTTATAGTCGAAAAAAAAAATATTTTTCATCTAAAAATTGCTGCATCAATAACGCTTTTCACATTCCCTTCTGTTTTTTTATAATCTGTGTAGAATAGCAGTTTAGAAGATGGTCTGGATTGTCCATTGGAAGAAGATGATATTGGAGAAGAGGAGGAATACGATGCGCTAAACGATGAAACTTTTGGGTCTGAAGCCACGATTGGCGATTGGGAGAAAGATCATGAAAAACTTGCAAAGATTACAGAATCCAGTCGTCCGCAGCACCAAAGTGCTGGAGGGAAAAAAGTAAATACGTTTCCTTTAATCTCTTCCTGTCTTATTCTCACCGGCAATGGCAGAATGACTGAATTTTAATAATAATAATTACAGAATGGAGTCCATACCGATATAGAAGATAATTTATCTCATTTGGTGTTAGATGAAAAAGAGGGTATCGTCCCCAGACCTGGGGTATGGGATAGTCCTAATTTATCTGTTCCTAAACCTCGCCCACCTTTAACCTTACCGTCGGCTTTAACGAACGTGTGCACCGTCGAAGAATTGGAGAAAGGTCTAATCGCGAATAGACCTCCCCCAGGATTAAATAAGCTCCCTCAGACGCAGCAACAGAAGCCCGATGGATCGCTTTTGTTCAATTCCCTATCCGGTCCACCGCGTTTCCCACCGGGGTTGGGTATACCACCCCCGCATCCCGTTGTTTTACCACCAAACATGAGGTTTCCGCACCCTCCGTTCGTGCAGCATCCTAGACTACTGCCCAGTAAGTATATTTTGCTTTGATGAGCGAAACGTGCATAGCTTTCTTGCAAGCTAATAATAATTATTCCCACAGATCAACCCGGAAATGTACTGAGATATCCTGTAGCACCACATTTAATGCTGCCGCATCCTGCGCAAAGACAGCCAATTCATGGTTCTTTTTGTAACAGTTTCCCAGTAAGTTTCGTTAAATTACATGCAGCCACATCGATATAACTGTTTCAAAGAAAACAATATATGTTTGCAGCAACCTCCACATTCAAATTTAGGTCATCCTCCATTTTTACGGCCCGATCATGGCATGATGCCTCCTTTTCCTACCAACCAAACTAATCATCAACAACAACAACAACAACAACATTCTTTTCCGCATCCTGGAAATCAAAGAAATCAAAATTGGCCCTTTCATCATGTGGAACAGCAAGGAAATCATCAAACCTTTTTTAAAAACAACCAACACCATCGTAATTACGACCGAAATAATCAGCGACAATATCATTATCATCATCAGTATCAAGGAGTAAATGGAGTAAGCAGTTCTGGCGAATACGATGAATATGCTGATCTTATGACTAATCGAGAGAAGCAGTGGTTAATTAACATTCAACTGCTACAATTGAACACAAACGAGCCATATGTTGATGATTATTACTATACCGTATTCTGCGATAAAAGAAATAAACAGAGCACAAATCAGGATCAGAAGGATAAAAAACACAACAATAACAACAACAATGGCTACCATAGAGATAATAGGTAATTATTATTTTCACTCCTTTCGAGATTTATTTAGAATAGTTTAGAATAAAGTTTCATTATTTACAGAGATCGGGATCAGCAATCTCATCATGTACTTCCGAGGCCAGTAGTATACACGCCAATGCAGTTTGAAAACTCGTTAGGTAAACTACAGTTCGCCAGCGTAATTGCACCGCGTAAAGTAATCGACATGGATGTAGTACCAAACAGTGATCCTCAGCAAACAACGCAAATGCAACAGAAAGATACAAAAAGAACGAGACAGTTGTTGCTTGAAATTGAAAGGGTATTTATATCAGATGTTGAACTCGATCATTTTGTCGTGTTACTTGAACAATCGTTATTTTTCTTCTCTATTTTTATCAGTTATACGTGATACAATTGAAGCTTGAAGATTTACACAATCCTTTAGCTCTGCTGAGTGAACAACAAAATCAAGAAGGAGAAAATGAAACAAACGTTGTTAAAAAGACTAGCCCGGAATTAATAAATGCAATGTTGATGGCTCTCCTTCAGTTAATACGAGACGATAAATTAGCAAGTATGCTAAGTATTCGGAAAGGAAAGGTAAGGAAACCTTAAGTCGATCGATTTTTCTCACTGTTCATCTCTATTCTATTGTGCAGACGCTGTTGTTGAGGTTCTTGCCATTCGTGAACGTAACGGACCATCGTAATCAATTAGAAGAGCTGTGGAAGGCTATATTTCGAGGATTAGCCGTAATAGGTCGTAGAGATTCTCATCTGTTAATATCCCTACATTCGGAATTTCAACGTTGGTTCAACGACGTACAAGATTTCGGGACGATACTTCGTCTAGCTCGCTCGCTATCAGACTCTGTTAGTCAGCCTATCAAGATCAATAGTTTGGCTTTTGCTCTTACGAACGAGGTTTGTTTACGATTTTATTAAAACGACGCTTTATTTTTATTTTTTTATTTTTTTCGGTTTTCTTTTTATATCTACATTTCAATGCTTTTCTGTTTAGTTTGGTGTATCCGTAATTGCCTCGATGCTTGAACAAGCAGAAAACTTATACCCTACGGATGATTCCTTATCTTCGGAATGGTCCTCCTTCATAGCAAACATCATCAAAACAATTGGTGAAACTCCGCCATGCGTTGCACCTTGTCAAGCACTTAAATCGATTATCTCATTTAAAAAGCGGAAGGTACACGACTTTGGAACTTCTACTAACCAATGCTAATCCTTCCGAAAAGTCGATGATCGACATCATTTTATAAAAACTTGCTTTTCGTTACGACAGAGGAAAGAGAAATTATGCTGCAGAAGAATTGCAGTAGATACTTCGATACTGCTACATTATTGTCGTTATTAATTTTTCCATACGACGATTATATTTTATCGTAATCGATATCATTATTTTACAGAGTAGACCTTTTATGTGTATCCTGAACGCAGCGGCACAACAGTCGAGATTCGATTTATATCGAAAATAACGTGTTCAGTTCGGCGTCTTGTTCTTGTGCCACGAATGTTTTAACTTTTTCCTTTTTTTCTTTTTTTCTATTTTTTTCTCAGTTATGTCTACTATGTAAAGGTATAAAGTCGATTATTTTCAACGCATAAAGTACACGTGCTATTCTTATAAGTTCTTTGTTCGTAATTTTTCTTCATTTTTTTTTTCTTGTAAAATATATTTCAAGTTAAATTTGCACGATATTAAAATGTAAGTTTATCAGTGTCGTTTAAACACAAACGGTTTGTGCTCGTTTTTTCCGCGCGTTATAGCATAGCGATTCGCGATCTCGAGGGTAATGTAATTCATTGTTTCAAGTTCGATCTTTCTGTCGTCGATATCGTTCGATAGTCGGAACATCATTTTTCGGTTAGACGTAAAAATGGATACTGTAATTTTATGTAAGTTTCTCTAGATCTTTACTTTTCTCATTCATTCTTTTTTTCTGTTCTCTCTTTTTCTTTCTAGGTCTCGGTAAAGTAAGTTTTCTCGACTCTGTTGCGCCAAACGATTGGTAATATGTACGAGCGAACCGAAGGAAAATTAGGTAACGGCAAATATAGATTTTTAACCTTGTTTACAATTTCGATAAAAACTGCATATCGTTATTCGAGAGATTAATTTCATAAGATAACGCTTTATCTTTGCGCAAGAATGGTTGATATCTAAAAATAGTATAGTTTGTTCGTTTGTATTATTTTTTTTTTTTTACAGCCTAGTGAAAGGCAGAGAAATCGTGTATGCAATAATTATATAAGTTTGTATGTCGAGAGAAAAGAAATATGCAGTTTTTATATGTAACAATTAACAAAGTAAACTGAACGAACATCAGCGTCAGCTGATTTCAACTTCTTGTTTATTGTTTGTTCGTGAAATATATCCCCTTCTCGTGTGTGTTCGTTAAAACATGATTGTTATCGGCTAAAATATTTGCGTACCTATTTCGTGATCGTAATTATTATCCTATCGCCAGAAAAAGATCGCTGCGACGAATCTAGCGGAGGCGCGGAAAGCGATTTGAAATATACGACGACATGGCCTTTAGTATACAGTATAAGTGGTTACTTTTTATCGCAGTACACATTAATAAATTCTTATGTACATTTAGCTTGTACATAGAGCGACTCTGATGAATGAATGACTTCATATATTTTGTAATTGGATGCGAAAGAGAATTTATTTTTCGCTTCCGTGACATAGCGTTACGTCATTTTTGCAAAGAAAAGAAAAGATTATAAAAAAAAAAAACAGAGATATGATGAAAAAGAAAAAAAAAACAAGATGGATCGCGTTATTTTTTACGATGTCTAGAGCGATCATGAAATCGACAAAGTATAATTCGGCATTTTCAAATTTTCATACGATAACATGTATCGCATTAGATCGCGGTTCAGTGCTAATACTCTTCTCGCAGACCGTAAGATTATGATTTCTAATTTCTACAAGAATCAACTTTAGTAGGATATATGTTGCACTGTGTCTAACCGAATTGTTATTAGATTTTACAAGCTTCCACGTTTTGAACGGTAATTCCAGCAAATCTTCTGCCTTCATATTCGTAAATTCGGTGTAGCATGCGAGTACAGTGTCAAACATAGGATACTTGGGTTTACGTTGCGGACCGATTCTACTTGAAATTTCATGGAAAACTAACTATATTTAGCATTTTGTAAGATAACGATCAAACGATAGCCGAGTTAAAGTAAGCACGTTTCGATTCCTTACTCTCGGATAAAGGATATTTGTTGAAACTGTACAAATTTTTTAATCTTTGAAAGTAAACTGTATCATAAAGTTTCAATCGTTTTATCCTTTGCGTCTCTTACAGATTGTTTTTTATTATTCATTCATTCATTCATTCATTCATTCGTTCGTTCATCTCAAAACTCATTGTCTTATACGTATGTGCATACGATCCCATGTATGAATTAACTATAATTACGTATATTAGATTTCTTTCTTTTTCAGAGATAGCCGTAACGATAACATTTCTGTATAGTATCGAGCATGGTAAGTAAGCTTCTTTGAGTTCCCGCCTTCCTGGCCCTCATCATATACTTCCTGTTCTTCAGGTTCCGGGGTTGCGGAGTTCCTGGTCCTTCCCAAAGATTTTTCCTTCACCGGGCTTCCTCTTCACAGAACCAGTCCCAAGGGAAACGGTGAAGGAGAGGCTGCTACTACTTCCGTATAAACATTGACGCAGAAGAATTTTAATTGGTATTTATGTTTTAATGTTTATAATATTCTGCTTCCTTCTATAACATCATTTCCCTTGGGCAACCTACTGTACTCGATACTGTACACATATCATCTTGATCCACGTAGCACATTACGCGAAGTAAAATGTTCAATTTCATTTATTAAGTACTTATTTTGGAATACAAAACGTAGCACAGTATTTCGCGGAGAAAGTATAGGGAGAAAGATAAATTATAATATCTCGGTACACCACAGGAAAAAATGTGTTTCATCTTTTATTGAAAATATATTTTTATAGGAATACAATGTTTATTGCGTTTACACGAGATGATTGTAATGATGTACTGAAATATAAGATTATCCTTTTAGTAGGAAATCCTCGGGAAAAGGTAGTATTTCGTATTACTGTACCCAGAATGTCCCGATACGCGAAGTTCGATATTACTATTATACTCTCTCCAAAATCACAGATAATATTGATATTACAATAGACTTTCGTTAAATAGCCGCGGTGAGGGTAAACATTTTTCAAGATTCCAAACTCTATGGTTAGTGCCATTTAACAGATTATCCCAAAAGAAAATTTCTTTTTCGAAAAATAAAGAAACTTAGAACTATTGGTTTTACACCTTAAAACCGATAATGAAATTATTGCATTTCAATGCGGTGTGAAATAGGTTCGATGGATCCTTCTGAAGGAAAGGATCAGAATTTAAAAAATAGCGCGTTCGCTCGAAAAATTGGTTTTACTACTTTATGTTAACCGAATCGTAGCTCTCAGCTCGATATCGTTTTCTAAAAATTATCGTCTGATAAATGTTTAGAAAACGATACCGATTACCAGGTCACACCGCGTGGAGGTGGCTACGATAGTGACCCACCTAAAAGAATAAAATTCTCAAAAAGAGATAAGATTAAATACCAATTGAAACGATAAGATGTTGAAACAGAAAATATAATTTCAGCAATAATTGAGAAAATAACAATTGAACAATAAAATTCTGAAAGAGAAAGTATAATTAATACCACAATTTTTCAATTATCATTGAAATGGTAGAAGCCGAGAAGAGAAAATCTAATTACCATTACAATCTCACAATCAGAGATATTTAATAAAATGAGAACTTACCCAGACTATCCATCCGAAGATGGAGAGCGTGAATGATCAAACTCTATGGTTTACAATGATCTATATGTGCCAAAACCACACCATAAAATACAATAAAGCACATGCAGGTACACGGGGTTCCACACCACACGTCACATTAATGCACCTGTATAAAAATGTCATAACACATGGGAAACACCATGGGCACACACAGTAACACATGTAGTAACACACTAATAAATCCATACACGAATATCCATGGTATCAAGCCGTACCGGTATATATTTAACAGATTGATTCGTATCCTTCACCGGTCGCGATAAGACTGACTAGATTTGACCCCCTTCTAGGTCGCTCTTCGTCGAGTTGTTGATATTAGGATACCGGCGTGCCCAAACAAGCATGACGTTCCGCTTCACCGGTTCTACGGCCAGTTGTATTTAAATACTTCTATCTGATATTTGTTAATATTTATTTAATTATTATTTTTAATTTTACAATTGTTTATTAATCAAATTATTGTTATATCTATTGAAATTTTTGATGTAAATCGATAATTAGATTTTTCTTTTCATTTCTGTATTACCGGCACAGAAATTTGTTTCGAGGAAAATGACGTTCGCAGTTCGTTTCTAATTGGCGCTGTTGTTCGCGCAACGTTTTCTGGCGTGCCGTTCGTTCTGGCTCGGCTATTCTTTTCACGAATATTAACTGATGCGACGGCTTTTTTTCCCTTATTACGTATCACCTGGTATCAGTGGTTTTTCAATAAGTTATTCGTTTCTTCAAAAGTGTTCAAATACTATTTGATAACCTAGCAATTCTTATCCTCAGGAGGTTGCCTCGCATTGGCAGGTGTTTCATTGTCATAACGGCTGAAATGAATATTTTTCTTTGGAAAGGTCATTTCGCTTTCCTCGAGAAATTGCAAGCACTCCTCGTTTGGTCTACGGCAAACTGTTAAAATACACTGCCGATTGATTTTAATATACTCTACGAATGAATGCAAGCGACGTGGAATTCGTGGTTAGCAAAAGTTTGTGTTGCTGTGTAAAATTTTAAACGAAACAGTGTAAGTAAATCAGTTATCAAAACAGACAACTTTAATATTCATAATAGTAAATAAGTATAACGTATTTAACTTCTCTCTCATCGTATTCTTTTCTGTCTTTCTTCACCTTATTCTTCATGGTCATCAACATTTCTTTAACTTTCTTTAACTGTAATATTATACTGTTATGCTGTGAATTGATTCAAATAAATAGATTATAATCTCTTTCGTTTCTTATCATTTTATCGTGTTTACATAATATAGTTTTCTACTTTCACCGTTCTGTATATTATTGGATATTATAAAATATATAAGAGTAAAAATGTGTAATCTTTAAGATTTATGCCGAAAACAATAATATGTTGTGATATTTTTAACAGTTTATTTGAACTGCCTTCAATAGTGAGATCATCTTGGTACCACCTGTTGATTTACTTCCAAGCTTAACATCTTCACTTCCCGTTTAGTTTAATATGTTTACATTTAAACAGATGTTATAGGTTAAAACATTATAGAAACATTTGCCAATATAACTGGTTAAAATTATCTTCATAAATTCTTTGTTATCGTTACAGGAGAGAAAATGTATAGCAGAAGGTAACGATTAAAGAAGATCAAACTATGGCCAACAGAAAAGACAAATCGTCTGCAGGTTTTGTAAGTATCTAAGGATTTGATATTAAAAAGTATATATCAATGCGATAACTGTGAAATAACATGCATAACGTGAAATCTATCGCGTTTGATTATACAAAATGATTTAGTTGCAACAGAAGGCAAAGTTTGAAGTCAATGTACTTTCGACTGCCGCTTTTGTAACGCATTCGCGCTTTCAGAACGCATGGAATTAATTGGATAACAAGGTCGTGCGAGATCGAATTAACGATGAACAGGATAATAGAGACAATAGGACACGTTAGAAGTACAGAAAATTACGTGGAAGCGCATTAAATGTAAATGTCAGCTGACAGCGATACGACGTCATGTGTAAATGTATGTTAGGCTTCCTGTCCTACAGTTATCGGTTGTTTAGCAAAGTAACGCGATAACGAAAAAAAACTCCACTTGAAATAGGTTTCAGTTTCAAGAACAAGTATCGAATGGTATATAAGGTTTCGTAAGAACGAAGGTGGTTCGCTTCTGTTCTAGTCTGACTGTCGTCTAAAATCGACGATGACCATGTTAAGTTTTCGAACATGGTCAAAGATACAAAAAAAACACATGCTATTCCATACGAGACTGGATGGTGAATCGTCCAAGGTGAATTGTCCCATGCATGGAAAAGATTACGTTCTCAAAAAAGTGTTGCAGGCCGTGTAAATATTAGGACAAGGTAGCGAATTATCATGGTCGCTACTTTAACGAGCGTTGAATTCTTTCGATCTCACAACCGTGTTTCCTTTCCCCTTCTTTCTCTGTTCGATCAACTCGCGCGGCAAATCGTCGATTCGACGAAATTCGATGAAAGCCAAACGCACACAGAGGCGCGAAGTAATCGTTTGAAATGAGAATATTTTCAAGAATTCCCGATAGACCGTGGTATACTAAAAACCGGTCTTTCCTCTCTTCGCGTTCGATCAATGGTAACTTTCAAATTTTCTTCCCGATAATTCGACGAATCTAACAGTCGAAGAGATGATAAAACATGGAAAAGAAAAGGGAACGAAAGGAACTTAACGCGGCCGTCGGTCGCGCTCGATTACATCATCGACCGTTCATGCAACTGATCTCATCCGCGTGCGCAACTTGTTCTTTTTTTATTGTTTTCGTTGGCGAAGAAACGAGACCGTTGCATTTAGAGATGCAATCGCGTTAGATCCGCGACATTTCCCGCGAAACGAGCCCCGTTCAGATGGTAGATACTGCTAGCTTTAAAAGTGGTTCACGCGGGTCGATGGGCGCTAAACAGGGCTCCAGATTCGACTCTGTTACCTGGCGAACAAATCATTCATTTTACTTTCTCTGTTTATCGTTTTATTGTTGTTATCGCCAGAAAATGTGCTTCCGTGCTCTGGCGGCAACAGTTTTATGCGAATTACCGGAGCCTTGAGCTATTCGCGGCTATGACACACTTGTTCGAGCGGTCGGTGACGTCGAAAGCATAGGACGTGAGTCAGTAGAATCGATGACGGTCGTGTGGAAGCGTTACCGATCGCTAACGTCCAAATATAATAATTGGCTACCGTTCGCGTGGTAACCGCTTTTTATACGTAGAAACAGATGGAAGAGGAAGAAGCGGAGGCGTGAAGAAAGTTAGCGAGCTAAGCGATAGTCGAGCGATAAGCAACGGGCCATGGCACGGAGAAACGGTTCCTCGTTCCGACGATGAACATCGAAAGCCGCGATCGCAGCCTGTTATACGCGACTCGATTTGACTGTTGGCCAACTCTACGACCGGACGTGGGTAGACTGTCCAGCCAGTTAGTACGCAAGCGCGTTTCTCCACCAAGTCTCCTCGAACCAACGCGATCCCGATCTTCTTCCCTTCTTTCGGCTCGTTCGATGACTCGCCGGTGATTCCGTTACCTCGATCTCGCCTACAATCCTATTCTCGCCAGTCGATCGGCGATCGATCACGGAAAAGGAATTCGATAACACTGAGGCGGATCTCTTACCTTCGCACACTTCTCTTTATCTTTGCCGATAGTGGAATGCAAGGTGTGACGTTTGATAATATCATGATAACGTTCTCCAACATAATTAAAGAGGCGCGCACGATATCGCGTATCAGTTCGTGAACGAGACATTTCGAGAAACAGGAGGATCGGCTAATTGTGAAATAAATCGTGAAGAAGGTTTTTCGAAAGTGTTGCCGAGTTTCGATGACTCGCGTTGTTGACGCGCGCAACTGTCATCACCGAAAACAAGACATCGCTCCGTTCGTTGGTTTAAACAGTTCGATTCATGATTACGGATTGGGTAAGATTTTATCTATTTTCCTTGAACTTGTCGCAAAGTAGATAATAAGAGAGAGAGAGAGAGAGTTTTGGCCGCGATTATCGACCTTGATTACTTATGTTAGTCGAAAGGCGATCGAATGCCGTACGCGTACATAGCTTCCGCGTCCGAACGTCCGGTAGAATCGGATCACATTGCGGTTTGGCAGTGCCGATTACGCGGCGAAAATACCTCCGATTAATTTAACGAGTTTCATATTATTTTTCAGCTGGATACATGGTTCGGCCGACCAAAAAAGTCCGGGCGTGGAGGTGGGGTCAGAAGTGGTTCGGGAAACAACACGATACCCCGGCCCCACTCCGGCGATGATTTCAACGAGATCGAACAGCAACGTTGTATCATCGAAAGGATGGATAAAGAAACGATGAACGACAGATTCGAGGAGATGTTGGTGAGTTCTCGATCGTAGCAGAAGAATGCAGCTAATTGAATACAATACTATAATATCCGTTTTTGCTTAAAGGCCAACATGAATCTCACGGAGGAGAAGAAGGAACCGTTGCGCCAGCAGTCGGAAACGAAGAAGAAGGAAATGTTGGTGTTGCATTACAAAGGTAGCATACAGGAGAACAGGTCAAAGTTCGATAAACCGGCGGATTACATACAATATTTGGCGCAGCCCGACTTGAGCGTTAATAAAATCTACAACTGCGTCGAATCGTTGAGAATAGCGTTGACCAACAACCCCTTGAGTTGGGTTCAAGAGTTTGGAACGAAAGGATTGAAACAGGTTTTAGCCACGCTCAACGAATGCTATCGAAAGTAAGTATTCTTAATCAGAGGACAGCAAAAAAAAAAATCGTATCATTCTGTCGTCGCATAGGTATACTCGATATTGTCCTATCAAGAGTTTCTAATGTTCGTATTGTTCTATTCCAGTGCCTTCATATATTACGATAGGTAATTCACGTAAAAATATTCTATTCGCTTCAATTTTATTAGCAATTTAGATTTTTTTTTTGATGCATCGTTTCTTTTTTTTATTCCTTAGCTTTCGATATGGATGCGTGTGTACGAGTGAGCGAAAGAGAGAGAGGGAGAAAAAGTACAAGATGATAGGCAAGATTGTCCAGATCCCGAATTTTTTAATTATTTTTTAATTACTTTTTAATTTTTTTACGCTAGCAATTGATCTGTTTTTTCAGTGAAATATTGCGGTTACTCGTAGCGTTACATAGCAGGAGGACGCATAGTTTCTGTTAGTTTCTGTTCTTTGATTCTTTTGCATGATACATCACCTGTCTGTGTAATGCTGCGTGCATCGGTGCTGCTCGACTGATCGAATGAATTTTTCTCGCTTGTTTCATTTCATTTCGAATAGTCGTGCAGCTTTCGTCGAACGATCGTTAATTATTTATTTATTTTATTTTGTCCACCGAAGTTGTCTATCTTTAAAGAGACACTTTTCTATCCTGTGACAGCGACACCCGGTACGAGCGTATCCAATACGAATGCATCCGATGTTTAAAGGCCATTATGAATAACACGGTTGGCATAAAAGAGATGTTGGCCCACCAAGAGGCGCTCACGATCGTGGCTAGATCGTTGGAACCGACGAAACCATCGGTCATGTCCGAGGCTGTGAAACTACTGGGCGCGGTTTGTCTTATATCCAGCGATAGTCATAAAAAGGTCCTAGACGCGATCACTATGAACGGAGAATTTAAAGGTAGAGAGAGATTTCTACCGATAGTGCAAGGACTGATGAACAAGAAGAACGAAAACTTGAGAGTATGTGCTTTTCGTTCTTTCTTTCTTTTTTTCTGCTCGTTAACAGATGTCCTGAAAGAATCTACGTTCTCTCGATAGGTGGAGTGCCTTCAGTTGATAAATTCCATCATCTCCTCGGCCGAAGAGTTGGACTTTAGGTTGCATTTGCGAAACGAAATTATGCGAGTCGGTCTAGCGGATATTTTAGAGACGTTGGAAAAAGACGAATCGGAGGATTTAGCGAGGCACTTGAAGATCTTTAGCGATCATAAGGAAGAGGACTACGAAGAGTTCGTGCAGAGGTTCGATCATGTTCGATTGGAACTGGACGACGTCAACGATTGTTTCGAAGTGATTAAAAATATGGTAATGGAAACGTCTGCTGAACCCTACTTTCTGTCGATACTTCAGCATCTCTTGTTCGTCAGAGACGACGCGTTAGTGAGGTACAAAAAAAATTAGAAACATTGTTAGTCAGCGAAAGAAATGCGAGAAGTCCAAGCATCATTATATCTTTAATTTCCTTCGACAGGCCGGCGTATTATAAATTAATAGAAGAATGCGTGTCGCAAATAGTGTTGCATCGTTCAGGCTGTGATCCAGATTTTAGCGCGACCAAACGTTTTCAAATCGACGTGCAACCTTTAATAGACACGCTAGTGGAAAAGTCACGAGCTGAGGAGGAAAGACGGCTGGTCGAAGTGTCGCAGAAATTGGAGGAAGCCATAGCCAGTAAACAGGAAGCTGAAGCTAAACTTCAGCACGCGGAAAATAAGATCAGGGAGTTGGAACAAGGATTGGGGAGGCCGGCTGGAAGTAACGCGGTGGGCTTCGAATACTGTCTACTTATTAATTTTATTCGGTTTTTTTCATTTCTCATGGGTACACAATTTATATGTAGAAAGGTGGGGTGGGTGCACCTATCGTACCTGGGATGGGACCTCCGCCACCACCTCCACCCCCTCCACTTCCGGGTGGTCCTGGCTTACCGATGGGAGGAGGACCGCCACCTCCTCCGCCTCCACCGTTCCCAGGCATGGGAGGACCGCGTCCACCACCCATGCCCGGATCCATGGGACCGCCGCCGCCACCTATGCCAGGTATGCAATCTGGACCTCGTCCACCGCCGATGCCAGGAATGGGCATCGGTGGACCGATGCCTCCACCGATGATGTTCCCAACTACCCAGGCTGCGCAACCATTACCTCACGGAATGAAGCCGAAAAAGAAATGGGAGGTTGAAGCTCCATTAAAAAGAGCCAATTGGAAAGCGGTGAGCATCGCTACACGCTTATCATTTTTTCTGTTAAAGGTCAATGAAATGATCATACTTACAAAATGTACTATATACATCGTGTCTTAGATTTTGCCGCACAAGCTTACCGAGAAATCTTTTTGGACGAAAGTACAAGAAGATCGGTTAGCGAGTCCCGAGATATTGGACGGACTGGTTCAAAAGTTTGCGTCCAAGCCGACTGGAAAGAAGATCGACGACGTCGTGGACAAGTACGTCGAATCACCTTGCAGTTACATGGACAGGTTTTTAACGAGATTTAATGTTCGTTTTGTAGATCAGCTTCCTCGAAGAAAGTGAAGGATCTAAAAGTTCTGGATGGCAAAGCCGCGCAAAATATTCTGATACTTTTGAGCGGCACTCTGAAGCACATGTCGTACGAAGAGGTGAAATCTTGTTTGCTCAAATGCGAAGGACCCGTTATTTCGGATAATATACTACAGGGATTGATACAGTATTTACCACCACCCGAACAGCTGTCGAAATTGCAGGTTTACAAGGATCAGTACGATGACCTGACGGAGGCCGAGCAATTTTGCGTTACCGTAAGTATTCTCGTGTAATCTTGGAAAAGGAAGTTGCTTGGATTAAGTGGTATTGCAAAACGACAGATAGCGACGATCAAAAGGCTATTGCCAAGACTGAGGTCGTTGAGTTTCATGCTGCGATACGAAGAACTGGTGCAAGATGTGAAACCCGACATAGTAGCGGGCACGGCGGCATGCGAAGAGGTGAAGGGTAGTAAAAAATTTGCTAGAATTCTTGAATTGATCCTGTTACTTGGCAACTACATGAACTCCGGCTCGAAGAACGGCCAAGCGTTCGGGTTCGAGATCAGTTTTCTTACGAAGGTATGTTGATCACCGACGATCAATCGTTGCAGGTTGAATATCGATCTGGTTAATGTTTCAGTTGACCAGCACGAAGGACGTGGATAACAAGCAAACTCTTATGCATTATCTGGTAGACACGATAGAACGAAAGTTCCCAGAGTGTCTTAGCTTCTCGGAGGAGTTAGCGCACGTGGATAGAGCAAGCCGAGTTTCCTTGGAAAACGTTCAGAGAACCTTGCGACAAATGGATTCCAACATACGAAATCTCGAGCAAGATTTGTCGAATGCCAAAGTTCCTCAGTCCGACGATGATCGTTTCGTCGAAGTTATGGGCGTATCCTTTTTCTTCCTATCGATATCGATGATTACCGAGTGTATCGTTAATGATACTGAATAAATTTTCCTTAATGACATTTCACAGCCGTTCGCGAAAAAAGCACGCGAATCGTACGAGGTGATGCAGAACATGTTCAAGAATATGGACGGTTTGTACAGCGAAATTTCCGAGTTCTTCTCTTTCGACAAACAAAAGTACACGATAGAAGAGTTCTTCGGTGATGTAAAAACTTTCAAAGATGATTTCATAGTAAGTGCGATCGCGGAAAGAGAAAAGAAGGGAATGCGATTGTTAACGGCGTTTTTCTTAACTCACGCTGTTGCCGCGGTGTTTTTTACAGCAAGCTCAGAGGGAAATAATCAAATTGAGAGAAGGCGAAGAGAAGCAGAGGAGAGCGAGGGAAGCCCGCGAGAAGGCAGAAGCGGAGAAAGCGGCGAGGGCAGCGCGGAAACGCGCTCTCGTCGACATGAACGCGCACGAAACTCAGGAAGGCGTTATGGACAGCTTAATGGAGGCTCTGCAAACTGGTTCCGCGTTCAGTCGACCGGATCAACGACGCAAACGGCAAACGCGCGCCGCTGGTGGTAAGTTGTACTGGACCGTGTACTCTTCGACGATATCTATGAAGAAGGAGAATGCGCGTCGTCGAAAGTTGCATGTCGCTAAACTAATGTACGAATCGAAAGAAGCCGAACGACGACTCGCGTCTAAGGGGGAGGAGAGCGAAAGCGTAGTTACCGGGTCCCTCGCGGCACTTACGACAGATCCTGATTTCCCGCGATACAAGACACCGGAAGACAACCAAGATCTCTATAAGCAGCTGTTGCTCGACCAGGCGGCAAAAACGCCCCGACCGGAGAGACGGTTCTCTAGGGTCAGCTCTTTCAAGAGAAAGAAACAGGACGATATCGCGTGCAAAAAGATTCGTTCCGATCGTACGTCGATCGAAGAAACTCCCAAGAGGGACGTTACCCAGGCGTTAGGTCTGCGACGAGAATTCGAGGAGAACGAATTCTCATCGAACGATTCGTTCCGGTATCTAATGTCAGAGTCTCGCGTTTGTTACGACGAAAATCGTCGCGTCGTCGCCTCTTATAAATCCGTCATGGACGAATTGAAAAGACACGCGTCGAGCAACGGCCTGGGATCACCGTCTCTCTACAAACAGATACTGATAGGCGAAGCACTGAAACTGACACCGGTCAAGCAGAGGCGCGTTATAGTGAGTAAGAAACGTAAAAGAAACAGCCTGGTGCGCCGTACCGTCAGAACTCGCAGACAGAAGCATTCTAAATCGAAGCCGGCCAGAAGCGCGCGCAAATCGTTCGGTTACCTAGGCAGTCCACCTAGCGCAAGCGTGTCTTTGATAGTCCCACCGCTCGAGGACGCTTCTCTTCCTCCCGCGTCCGATACCGCGCTCCACAAAATATCCCGATCCGTCGACGACATAGCGATGAAAATCGGCAAAACGATCGCCTCGCCGTTCAGGCTGTCACGTGCGAGAAATTTCGACGATGTCGCTCGATGGAGAGACGAGAATCAAAACGACGTATCGACGCGACGATCGAAGAGTAACTTTTCAAGTCCGAGACGTTTCTTTCGAGATAGAAAGTCGAGCCTTTTCCAGCAACACGAATCTACCATTAACGCTTTCGAAGAATTCCGAGGATCTTTTATAAACGTTACCGACGCGACAGCAACGACGACGCCAAAGACTACGACTGTATCGCCGTCTGAACTGAAACGCGACGATACCCTAATGGCCCCTGGGAACAACGGACAGACAGTTCTAAAGAAAAGACATCGAAGAAAGATTTGGAGATTTTGGTAATCGAGTGGAAATCACTATCTAGATGCGACGCGTTAAGACTGATTTTTAATAAGTTCCAATGGAACACGGTTCCACGTTGTTATAAACAAGACTGCTCTCGATGCTGTGATCATTGTATTTTTATATCGCGACAAGACTGAACAGATTTTACATGTACGACAGGGTTATTTCACGCGTTTCCTATTCCCTTATCAAGAATCTCGATACACTTTTACTGACATTGTAATTTTTCTATTTTTTTTTTTTTTTCAAAACTGCCCAACAGGACCGACTGCCACGGACTTGTACATACACTTTGTATCGTTACCTTGTCGAGGAATTTTGAAATTAAAATTACTGAAAATGCGCGTGAGCTTGTATCGATCTGCTGTAATCGTATTCGTTTGTAAATATCGTAATATGTTTGAGTAAATAAAGAGATTTGTTGCACCATCGACGGAAAAGATAAATTGCCTGTCACAAGCAGGTCGACCTAATCGGGATTATCGGTAAATTAGGGTATTTAGAGATTATTGGGACCGAGAGCGATTTCGAAAGCACGAGGTATCCCGTTTTAAATATATGTTTTTCTTTACTTTTGCAGCAGAGAGAAGAGCTCAGCTCAATAGAAGTCGATCGCGTACCGGATTAGTTGGAACTGGTTTACTGGGAAGAGAACTTTCGACGTAAGTATCTGGCGACGTAAAGACGGAACAGCTTGTCGTCGAAAAGTTTCCGTACGACGAGGAACGTTTGCTCGTTTCTCGTAGCCAACGATGCATGCATGATACACGTATCGCGGTCGTCGTGTACATTGGCTTACGATTATCGTTTTATTGCAAAAGGTATGCTCGTGAATAGCGAACACGTTCGCAAACAAGTTGAAACAACCATCGCGAAGGAAGGATAGAGGGATAACTCTTGAAATAATATGTTGCGTAATGTTCATTGTTGCAGAGAACTTTTAAGCTCGGCGTAATCCATGGAATAACCCGTTTCCGTCCTAAACTCGAAACTGTGATGGATCGAATCTTCGTTTTATCGATATTGCGATAAGAAACCGGTGAAACGAAATAGTAAAACTTTGGGAAACGCTCGAGTAACGACGACCTTTTCGCGTTAACCAGATGCGTTTCCTTCGAGTTACGATAACTCAACCGGCAATGTCTTCCTTTTGTTGGCCGAATCTTTTAGAAATAATGTGTAGTAACGCGCTGGCGTGCTATACGATCAAGAAACTTGAGGAAAAGTAGATGAAGACAAGAGTGACTCGCTTAGCTAATTTTCTGTACAGTCTTTCTTTTTTTTTTTTTTTTCTATGAAACGAACGATCGATTTTTCTATTTTTTAACACGTAATATCACGCTGATATCGCAGCGACGACGTAAACAGCATTTTCTGTGAACGCGAAATAAAACATATTGTACATACATGGATATATGATATATACAGAGGTATACGTCCGTAGACACGGATCGTGTGTCGTCGGGTGGTCGCGTAAGGTCCCGTTTTCGAGAACATTGACTGCGAATACGATACGTACGGCTTCTTTTAGCGAATATTAAGTCTGTCCAGTTTCCGCAAAAATTTTTAAATCGTGCCAAATTCAGGAAAAATATTGAATCATTTTACCCTAAACGAGATCGAAATCGTTGAAATGTAAAGAAACATGTTGGGACCGTACGCGTACGATTAGCTGCAGTAACAAAGACCAATTTTATTTTTCGAATCTCCTAATCGACGACTGTTTATATTGTACCTATTAATTATCGAATTTTAAGGCAGTTGTATCTATATTGTGAATATGTGAATTTAGATAGCATCAATACACATTACGATCAACATAATCGACCGTCGTGCGTTTTTATTTCGCGGCGAAAAATATTTATATCGCAACGATATAGCGTGATTCATTAGTTGGATGCATGTTCGATAGATCGATAGAATCTCGCTCTCGATTGGTACGAAAATCACGGATGCAAAGTATGTCGCGTGCGTGCACGCGCGCCTCTATCGACGCATTGGCGTAACCACGTGATTAGCTTGCCGCGAACGAGATATCGTTGGATGGATAGACGCGATCGATAGTACGGGGCGTAAGGGGATTTCGTTCGATTCGACTCGAATCGAACGTTGGTCGTTAAGGGTTACTTCCGGGTGTAAGTAGCGAAGACGAAGAAGGAAGCCTTGGAACTGCTGCTACACCAATGTTCCTGGTCTCTGTATCACGTGTGTGCGCGTGCGCGTGCGCTTGTACTCGCACACCTGCGGGAGAACGGTTGAATCTATCTGCAGGCGAGGTCGCATATTCGGGCGAGCAAACATGTATCCCGTACCTTTCCCGACATACGCGTGCCGTGGGTGAACCAATGCGCTGCCAAGAAACAGTAACAACGTGTTTCCAGTGTTTTCAAAGTTTTCGGTGTTACTTCGTTTGTGTCGTGACTCACCGATTCCTGAGTCAACCTTCGGGAGCTGGTTACGCGTTCCCGATCTCGATACCGTCGTCGATACGATACGTTTTCGACTCGGTCGTAAAGCTGTGACACGAGTGAACGCGCGAGCCACATACGCTTGCCCGCCCATTCAACGAGACTTTTAAACATTGAAGTATCTCGAACCGATGGCTCGTGACGCGCCCTTAATCAGTCTCGTCAACGAGAAGGAAAACGTGTTCGTCGCTTCCATCCAACGTCGAAGAGTCGACGGTGCAACATCGTATCTCGATCGAACGACCAGTCGGCTAAGAAGTTTAGATTCTCGCTTCTCGTGCGAATCGATTCGCAACGCTCTTCGATCAGGCGAATCGGTCGTTGGTTCGTAAACGTTTCCGTCGTTTAATCCGGTCGTCAAAAGGAACAGGAAGTTTCGAGCTTTCGATCTTTGACGTGCTTTGATCGATCGTTGAATCGTGTCACGTTTCAACGGTGAAACGTGTCGCGCGACCCATATAATATGCAAAGGATACAATGAACGTCCCCATCGTGTCGGGAGATATCGTCGACGACGATGCCCACAAGCCGCGTTTCATTCGGGTAAGTAAGAATCCTTTCGATATATTCTTGTTGGTTAAAAACAAGAATATGCGTTGGGTGTACGCGCGTATGTCAGTGTGTATATTCATAAGGTAGACGGTCGATCAAATAACACCGTCATAACAATGATTCATCCTTCGTTATTGATTTTATTTAAATTTAAAACTTGATACACTTGTTCAAGTATTTCGACGAAATCTCGATTAATTGGAAAGCGCTGCTACTAAATTTCTTTGCCGAACGTAAGCGGTGCGCCATCTTTGAGGTTATCGTTGAACAACAAAGGTTAAATATTTTACGCGATGATAAAAAATGAAACAGCGGGATATTTCGATTATTTGAAAATTTCTCGTTATTTTGACGCGCTTCGAAATCGATCGTTAGTTTATACGATAGACGATTAGGAAAGTGAAACGCGGAAGATCGAATTCTTCAACTTTCTCCGTTTATAGCCATAAAATAGCTATTTGGTGCGTTTCATCTTCCGCAGAGGTATTAGAGTGAAGAATTGAATTCGATACATTTTATAATTTTACGATCATCATATCGAATTGAAAAGCTTTGATAATCGTAGAAATAATAAAAGCAAAAGTTTAAATGGCACATAGGGAGGTTATTAAGTTGAGCGCGAGGTTAAAAAAGTCGAAACTAACCGATGTTACGCGAACCGAAACGATCTCGAACGAAGTACAGAGCGTCGAGGCGAAGTTTGCCGAACGATGGAAAACGTTGATGATGCCGATCGTGACAAAGAGGAAGCGACTAAGAAGAAGGGGAAAGAGTAAATCCCGATCGTTCTGTAACTAGAATACGATGGAAGGTGAGCAACCGGTGGGCCGTGTTGGGCGCTAAGCTGGTGCGCGTCGATCGCCGCGAGTCGACGGTGATCCATAAATCTTCTCGTTCTCTCTTCATTTCTCTCTCTCTCTCTCTCGACGCGTCCCTTTCCCCTCAGCCCGGGAATCGCGATTCTCGCCTTTCGTTCTCCCTCCTTTTTCGCGAACGCAATACCGTTCGCCAGCCCTGGGAATTCCGCTTTCCCGTAGAAAAGAAACGCACCACGGAAACATCGAACGCGTACTTTCGTCTCCTCCGTGAGTTTTCGTCGTGCCCAAAGTTCCTGTCGCGAGTGGAATGTGTACATAGTTTTCCCGTCGATCAGACGGTACCAAGGCATCGCGCAACGCGCTATGTAATCGAAAGAGAGACGCGCATCCGGTCGCGACTGCTTCGAGACAGTGCATTCGAACGGACGTTGTTCACCGTACAAGTGTACGTCGATTCGTTTTGAATTTTCTATCGAACGTAGTACGTGCGTGCAAAGCAGGAGGTGAAGGAACGTCAGGGATCTGAATGCAACGACACGAACGCGCAGCGATCGAAACGCCGGTCGCGAATCGGACGGTTAAGTCTTTGCGAACGTTCTATTCACCCGAGAATCATGCTGATCCTTCCGGATTTAAGGTTACAGGTAAAAAATCAATCACGACAGAAGATTTTCCAGAAGTTTCCTTCGATCCGAATCGACGAATCGTTTTCGAGCAGGTTGAAGCTACGGGGGAGGACGATGAAACAAGCCCGCGTTTCCGGTTTCAACGCGAGCGTAAACAGCATGCCTCGGCTCCGCTAGACCGTGGATCGTCCGGTGAACTCTGAACGCGATTCAACGTATAACGTTAACGATCGTCGGTGGGAAAAGCGCGGTATACCTAGAAGGTCCCCGAATCCCCGATTTGTCGCCTCGCCGCGATCGTGAATGTTGTCGTTCGGTTGTTCGAGAAACAATCCCGTTAGTGGCCCGTATCTCTTCAAACTCGTTTCTTTCGATCTCCTCTTCTAGATAGAACGCGAGACACGGAAGTCTCGATCCGTTCCTCGTCGTCGGTTCTTCATCGTTCCGCTTAGTTGTCAAGTTATCGTTGAGCGAATCTCGTCGCCGGATATCGGGCAGTAACGCGATCGCGAATCGATGAAATTCTATCGAATCCTGCTGGATCGACGACGAAGCGCGCCGACCTTAAAATTACGCCGCTGGGTAGAAACCACCGCGCCCGAGCAGGGAGATAGAGCGGACGTTATCCTTCTCCCCACCATCCTGGTTGAAGTTTCTCTCCTTTCACCGAGAAGCAGCTGGCTCCGCAGAGTCGTTGGTAGCCTCGGGAAACGATGTACCACGGAAGCAACGACAGAGTTGTTTTAGTCGTTCGACGCGTTTGCGGGCAACGGTAATGTTGCCGGGGTTCGCACCGTTTCGAACGAGCGTGTTCCGAATCTCCTTGGTCCCCGTTTGCGGGCGGGAAATCGGTCGAAGGACCGGGCTGATCGTCCTTCCTGCGCGTCCGCACGCTCGTTACAGTTGGCCAGGTCGGGAATCGGCGAACCGACGAAACGTAAAGCGCAAACGTTCCGTGAACGAGAAGAACGCGAGGCTCACCTCAGCTTCCTCCGATTCGTAACCTCGAGCGGACACGGTAGAGCGCTCGATCGGAAGAGAACGCGATGCGGCTGCGGGAACGGATACTATGTTGAAGTGGGCTTACTATGCGTCTCTGTCGAATAAACGCGACGAACGGCAGCGAGAAAAGGAGAGAGAGAAGAGGACGGGAGAAAACGCGGCAACGCGATACTCGCGGATAAGAAAAGCTTCCCCTAGTCGATCGGAGGATGCGGATACCTTGCGAGAACCGTTAACGAGAAAATGCCTCGGGGTGAGAACGCGTTTCCGCTCGAGACTTCGTCGATCCGTACGCGCCTACTTTCCTCGCGATCGCGTTTTATTAAGGAGAAACAGATAATTAAGGAAATTTGAATATTCCGCAGGGTTCTGATCCGAGGGTGGCCACCTGCCGAGGGAAGCTGCAAAACAAACGCAGCAAGTTGAATCAAGAGATAAACAAGGAGCTTCGATTGCGAGCCGGTGCGGAGAACCTGTTCAAGTAAAACACCTGTTACTCCGGCTATACGTGCTTTACTCGCGAGGATCTGCTTATTCTCTACCGATTATTAATTTCTGTTCCAGGGCGACCACGAACAGGAAGCTGCGAGAAACCGTCGCCCTCGAACTGAGTTTCGTCAATTCGAACTTACAGCTATTGAAGGAGCAGCTTGCCGAGCTAAACAGCTCGGTCGAATTGTACCAGAATGTCGACAGGTTGGTAAGATCCTCTTAAGAATCTTTTCATTTCGTCTTCTTAATCATACGTGCATGTGTCTTGTTAGCGATGAACCGGCGATGCCGATGATACCGTTGGGACTGAAGGAGACCAAAGACATCGACTTCCGGGACCCATTCAAGGTGAGCACCGCTTTGAACGCGATGACGAAGCCTTTCGATTCCCTGGATTTTCTCATTCTAATGGAGGCACCTCTGATGAATCTTCGAACAACTTCTCCTCGTGTTCCTCTTCTCTTCTACGATCGACGATTGGTTTCTTCGATTTTATAAAGATTCTTGAAAAATCTAGATCGTCCGAAGCTGGACCGATCTCTAGATACTCTCGCATCGTCGTCGTCGTCGGTCGTCGCGGTTCCAACGTACGAGAATGTTCCTCGTTTTTCTTGCGTATATTGCCGATGATCGGTACCGGCTTTAATCGCGGCATCGTCACCACCAATGTACCGTTCGTCGTGTTTCTCTTGGCCGTGCTGTCGTCCACCGACACCTCGCAAGGGAGAGTCAGCTGCAGCACCTTTCCCTTGATCGTCACGCGCACGTAATCGGGTTGGACGTCCACGTCGAGGTGGCAAGTGTCCAAGTACCTGAAAGCATTCGTGATCGCTTTCGCTATTCGAAATTTCTGCATTTAATCGATTGCTCACTTGTACACGGCAACCTCCAGCACAACACGATCCTCGTACTGTTCATCGTTCAGCTTGAACGACACTTTTGGCTGATTAGTATTGTACGGCTTGCCATCGGGGCTGAATAACTTCGCCTCGTTACTAATCCGCGGCTCCTCTCGATTCCTCTCTCGATTTTTCAATTCCTCTTTCCTGGATAATCGTTCGGCGATTGCGACGCGTTCTTCCGGCGTGTGACGACTGGCTCGTTTCCAGAATCTTTCGTCGTCGTCGTCTTCTTCTTCTTCCTTTTCTTTCAGTTCCTGCGAGAACCCGTAACTCAAGCAAGCGTCGTAGAAACGCGAGATCTGTAAACTCTAAGAAAATTCGTATATTCGAACCGGCAGCGAAGCGATCCTCTCGTGATAACCGAGTATTTCCGCTCTCCTCGCTTTTTCGTATCTCGCGTAGCTCTCCGCGATCTCTCCTTCGAGACGAGCGTAAACTTGCAACGCTTTGATGCGTTCGGATCGTTCGATGGGTACTCCGTCCAATTCCTTCAGCTGCGACAGTGCCGCGATTGCGTATTCTCTGTAACCATCGTAATCAGCGCACGGATTTCCCATCAGAAACAGCTGTTCCAATCGTTCGTTGCACCTGTTGGTGTAATCAATGAACTTTACTTGCGTATCTCTCTACTAATGCATCGTTTACCTTAATCTCTTGATCCCTCGCAGATCGCCGATGAAATTCACGGTCAAATCCAGCTTCTTCAGACTCTCCAATCCCTCCAAATTCTCGATCGCTTCTATATTATTCAACGCTAGATTCAGATACTCCAACTCCTTCAACCTGCTCAGATTCTCGATCCTCGACACGAGATTGTTCTGCAGCAGCAGAATCTTTAAATGTCTGCACGTTTTATCGATCAGTTCGATTTTCTCGATATTCTCTTGATGCAAAGCTATCTCCTCCAACGTGGATATCTCTCCTTCGTTGTGCTCCGAGCGTTTTCGTATCAGCTCGAGCGTGATCCTCGTCATGTTGCCTTTTACCGTGACGTTTGCTGCCGCTAAATGGTCGCTTAGCAGCGCGTTATCGATGTAACCTTCCTTGTACGAAACGATAACTCGTGTTCCCTTACCGTTTCTTGTAGGACTTTATTCTCGAGCACTACAGCGAGGATGGAGGAAACTACGAAGAAGCTATCGCGGATCTCATGGAAACTCGACAGGTGAGAAAACGAGACGTTGTCATCGCCTGGTGGTTGTATACGAAACGAGTATATACAAAGAAAGAGGAATATGTTTTCAGGCGACGAGAACACCGACCAGAGACGCGGCTGGCATCGCGTTACTGCTCCGTTATTACAACCAGCTGTACTTCGTCGAACGGCGATTCTTTCCCCCCGATCGAAGTCTAGGCATCTACTTCGAATGGTTCGACTCGCTGACCGGAGTGCCGAGTTGCCAGCGGACGGTCGCCTTCGAGAAAGCCTCGATCCTCTTCAACGCGGCCGCTCTCTACACTCAGCTGGCCGCTAAGCAGAATCGTCTGTCCGCGAGGGGCTTGGATCAGGCGATCGACGCGTTCCTCAGGGCAGCTGGTACCTTTCGTTACATACACGAAAACTTTACCAACGCACCGAGCATGGATCTTGGACCGGACATGCTCGAGATGCTGGTTCAATTGATGCTGGTACGCGTTCTTGATCCTTTCAGAGAAGAATCTCGCTGCGTTCCTACAATTCTGTACGAGCTGTTCTGTTTTTGTTTCAGGCGCAGGCAAGAGAATGCTTGTTCGAAAAGCTGGAACTTCAGTCGAGGGACGGAAGGAATATCGACGTGTCGTTGGACCTCGCGCAGGAAGCGGCACAGGTAGCTTTTCGTCGAATCTCGGATCGTTATCAGTTTGATTTAATTGGAAACGATCGATCGCGTTTAGGTTGCAACGGTGTACAACGACGTCCATGGACTGATTTCGCGCGAACCCGTCCGAGACTACGTCCCCGAGACGTGGATTTCGTTGATATCGGTGAAGCGGGAGCACCACTTGGCTCTTGCTCATAAGCACCTCGCACTCGGACTGTTCGACCGTTCGATCGCCGAATGGCGCCCGGAGACGAGACTCGCTCTCGAACACGCGCAAAGGAGCGACGGGAAAACGCAGTTGGACGTGATCGTGCCGCGGGACGATAACGAGAGGCAGCTGTTAGGTGCGTAGCCCACGAGAAGCAACTCGAGCATCGAGCTTGGACGATCGTTCGACGACGATCGGCCGTTTGTTTCAGGAAAAGCCCATTTCAGGGAAGCTTTGGCGTTGCACGAAGAGAGTCAGAGGCTACAGAGGATGTGCAGAGACTTGAAAGCGAAACAAGCGCTCGCCAAGGTCTTGAAGAGAGTGCAGGAATCCACAGTGGATAGCTACAACGTGATCGGAGACGAGGATGACTTCCGGGGACTGTTGGATCCTCCAGATATTATCGGTAAGAAACGTCCGATCCACAGAGACAGATTCGTCTCTTGAAATTCTGCTCTAACGCGTACGATTTGAAACAGCTTCCACCAAGTTTCAACTGAGCATCACGCATCCAGACTTTGGACAGCACGGAGTGGACGATCTTTTCAAGTCTTTGGGCCCGGTGGCTATATTCTCGGCTAAAAGGCACTGGACGGCTCCGCGTTTAATTCAGCTACAAAGAGGACCCGACGGCGAAGGATTTGGCTTCAGCGTCCGAGGAGATGCACCCGTGATAATAGCCGCGGTCGATCATAATTCATTGGCCGACGTAAGACTTTCGCGATTCGAGAAATCCCTCGCTACGACCTCTTGGAAATAACTATCCATTTTAAATTCTCTAGTTAGGTGGAATGAAGGAGGGCGATTTCATCGTAGGAATCGGCGACAAGGACGTGAAATGGGCTTCTCACGAACAAGTGGTCCGTTTGATCAAACAGTCCGGTGATTTTATTAACTTGAAGCTGGTTACGCCTATGGATAGAAATTACTTAAAGGTGAACGCAAGCCGAGAAAACGTCGAACGGTGTTGATCGAGAGCATAGATCATAGATTAACGAGAGATTTATCGGTTCTAGAGGCCTGGTAAAGCCAACCAGCAGGACAAAGGAAGCGTCTCGGCGAGTAGCTCTTCCGGGATCTCTTCCGGTCAACCGAGTCCCGCCGGTTCCGTGACTACCGCTCACGTAGCCAAGAAGCTACCTTGGAATCCGTTCAAAAAGTCGACCACCCAGCGCGACAGCAGGGACCTGACGTTCGATAACGTTATCCTCAGATGACTTTTCGAATGCTACACGCGAGCCTCGAAAAAGCATCGGAACCGCGAACGTGCATCGATAATCCTTCGCAGACGTTCGTTGTTTTTCGAGACTCGCGTCTCGTCGATACCACGACGAGTTACCAGATCGTGCCTTTCCCTCGACGCATCTGTCAACGATTTTGTATAATATTTTATTCGACAGATACGTATACTTATCGCGCGTGCCCATACTCGATCGATTTCGAGTCAACGCGCCATTCGATGGAACTCGATGACCCTCGATACGCGATTATGTACAAACGTACGGTGAAACGAAGGATAGCGAGTGAATTTGGTGACAAATTTGTTCGACGTTATCCTTTGTGAATATACTCGTATGTAACATGCGATAATTATATTTTCTTCGAGAAGTAACGTGCAGTTTATTTTTTTTTTTTTTTTCTACTGTTGCAGGACCGTTTTCCGCTTTTCATCCTTCGTCTCCTCTCTCATCCGTCACCTATGAATCATCCATCGGTACAGAGATTCGATGAAAATCAGGTGTTTATTTTTTACTCGTCTCGAAGAGCCTCGAGGCTAAGGTTGAGTAACGAAGAGGACGTGCGCTATCTTCGTCTCGTTTTCCTTCCTCCTGCAAGCGCACGTATTATTCGGATGATTTGAGAAAGCGTGCTCGCGTGTATACGCGGCAAGGCGTACGGTAGATAGAAAAGAGTAGAAAGGTAGGGTACCCGGTGCAATCGAAGCGCGACTTTCACCGAGCCAAGGTGGTCGTGATACACGATCGATTACGCAAGCGAGTAAACGAACGCGAACGAGCGAACGGGCTGAGAAGAAACGCTAGTCACGTGTAACTTGCGATCGTGGACCGTCCACGGCCACGTTAACGCGTATTCTTTTTCACGCGGAAACGCGTTAACCGGGGTCACCGGAACAAAAAGTACGTCTAACGAAACAAAAGGGTAGTGACGCAAATAACGATGCGCTGCACAAAAACAAGCGCGTCTCATTGAATTCGGTTGTTCGCAGCATTCGACACGCTGGGTAAAGTTCATAGGTTCTATTCGAGACTCGTAACGCGACGAGGAAAGACCCGATAGCCTTGATGCTCAACGAACCGGCCGAAAATGGGATCGCGGTGAAAGTACAGTCTAGGAATTACGAGAAGAAAGTGAATCTTCGAGTGGCCGTCAAATTCGAAAAAACGAAATAGCATAGAATCACCCGCCTCGCTCTGAATCGGTTGATTTTTTTTCCCGTTCGATCGCGCGATTAAAAATGAATCCGGATGGTGTGCAGGAGAAACGGAAACAGAGGAGGAAGAAATGACGGAAGAAAAAGCAGCGGTAAGAGCGTGTAAAGGAAAAGGTGCGGTAAGAGTGGCGCGCGTACCACGATCTGGCCTTAAATTGATCGGGCGGGTAAGTAAGCGGGTTACTTCGATCCAAGTTGGTCGACGAGTAAGATTTCTCGGTAGAACGCGTATACTACTGGTGAACGACCGAAGGAACCGTCCGTTTCCGCGGTTCTAACGCGTTCGTTCGAATTCCAAAAGGCAACCACGCGTACCGATCGAGAGAAAGTTCACGCCGCAATTTCCGATACCTCCAACTACGCGCGTCGTTGGTGTTTCTTCGAGGAGAAAGGTCCTCCAGTTCCGGCGAATGTTATTCCATCATGATCCTTGTGCTCGCGTTATTCATTCGCGTTCCACTCGCATAACGAGCACGAGGACGACGCGAGAAGCGGTCGAAGAGTGCTAGAAAGCGCCGCGAAGAATCGTCAGGACAGTTATTCTTTCTCAAGTAGACCGATGTCGGACTTTCTCCTGAACAACGAGTCGACAAATGGCGTAAGAAGTGATCGTGTCTCTCGTAATCGTTGGTAGCTTGCTTGAAATTCGAACGAGCGAAACGAGGACGCGGCAAGGAAGGGAGGGAGCAGGAAGAGGAGGAGGAGGAGGAGGAGGAGGTGGAGGAAAAGAAGGTGAAGCAGCAGGAGGAGGAGGAGAAAGAAGGGAACTGAAAACGCAAAGCAAAGCGTAAGGAAAGCATCGGTTGTCGTGTCTAGTTCTTTCCGAGTAGAAGAATGGCCAAGTCGGGAGAAGAGGATTACGGATGTGCACTAAACGAAGACACGGGGACGATCGCTCGAGTTGAACTCCGCGAGGATGATGCGATCAGGGAACAAACGTTGGACCAATTCCGACACTGGATTCAAAAGCATCCCGCTATAAAGCGCTGCAGAACAGACTCGGCCTTTCTCCTCAGGTTCCTTCGAACGAAGAAATTTAGCGTGCCGATGGCGGAAGAGATGCTCGAACGCTACTTGACAATTAGACAATTGTATCCAAATTGGTTCCAAAATCTCGACATCGAGGATCCGGACATCGAGGCCATCATCGACGCTGGCTATCTGGTGCCGTTGATGGAACGCGATCATCACGGTCGTCGGGTGATACTCTCTTGCGCTGGTAAGGATCACGGATTTCTATTTCACATTTGAATATGTACAACTATTTTTTTTTTCTTTTTTATTGCCTTTTTACCTCGTTGTTTCCGGCCATTCACGTTACGCAACTTTTACTATACGTCTACCGTTTTCTGTTCGAGGACGCTTCGATCCGTACAAGTACACGTCCGCTCAAATGGCTCGAGCTCACAGCTTGGTAGTAGAAGCTCTGATGGACGACGAGGAAAATCAGGTTCGCGGCTACACGTACATCAACGACGAATCCGGACTGACGATGGGTCATCTCAGCGCCTGGTCTCTAACCGATATCCGTAATATGTTACGGTGCATCCAAAACAGTACACCCATGAGACACAAGGAAACGCACTTCGTCAATATTCCAAGTTACGCGACCAAAGTCATAGAGTTTGGCATCTCCCTTCTTAACGACAAGTTAAGAGCACGAATCTTGGTACGTATTCCCGCGAACGAATCCCTGAACGTTTTCTTAGATTCATCTTCTGAGTTTTCTTCTCACCGAAGGTACACAAGAGCCTGGAGGATTTGAAAGCGTCCGTCCAGGATCCAAGAATTTTGCCGAAAGAATACGGAGGAGAGATACCGCTCAGCGACATGATCGGTACGCGTTTCGTCCCGATCCTCGGGTAACGAGTATTTAAAATTATCGAGTATTTCTTGTGTTTCAGCTGCTTTCAAGAAAACCTTGAAGGAACAAAGAGACCGTTTAAAAGCGCTCGACGACATGTACATTGAGATCTCGTCGACGGAATGTCAGCACACTACGAGCGATACTCTAAGCGGTATACCTGGTTCTTTCCGTAAACTGGAAGTTGATTGATCCTCCTCTCTTTATCTCTCGTTGATTTTTATACAGTCGCGCTGTTACTTGTTCGCGCTCCTAGTTATTTATTGTTATCTCGATGTATCAGAATTCTTCTGCCGGTGGTATTAGTTACCTACTATCGTTTCGATTTTTATATGCGACATAGAATAAGATGCGACGATTATGCGCATCGTTAGCGAAATAATTTCATGTTATCTTTTTTTTCTTTTTTTTTTGTTTTTCCTGTTCTACGGTATAGAAACGGTAAAGGTGTATGGCATACGTCCATTCGTGGCAATGTTGAGCATGAAAGAGGAACGTTTAGAACGCACGATTGTTTCAAACATCCTTTCTGTTGATAATTTTATACAAGTTAAACCCAACAATTTATGCTACATCTTTATCGGAGGATAAAAGTAATATAACGCGTTCAAATGTACACTCTATCGACATTGTTCTTTGTTCAAACTTCGTCCACGGTTTCGAGCTCGCATTCGCGCAGAATTTTTTCCAAGAAATCTGCATTTGAGGGTGCCGTAGTGTAAAGGCTACCTGTAACAAGCATAAAACAACATGGTTTATTTAGATCGTTCGAAAGCGGCAAACGACCAATCAATTACTTATCTAAGAAATATAAAGCATACGTTTACGCTTACACTTACCTAGGAAGTGTTTCACATTATTGTCGGATAAAATAACTTTGCAATTATTTCTGTGTAATATTTTAAATCCTAAACAACGGAAACGTTCGTCCGTTTTATAAAGAGTACTGTTCTTCTGCAAGTTCAAGTGCGGTTGTCCGCTGAACGGATTGATAAAGTCTGCCCAGTATCCCATTCCCTGCAGTTTCGCACAGATATCCGAGGCTGCTAATACAAACTAAAGGAAAGAGTAAGAATAAATTTTCCCTGTAAATCGAGCCGGGTTACTTTATCTTTTCTGATGCGTACACCAGCAGGAACATTCGTGCTCTTTGATCCTGGTCACGGTCACTTACGTATTTCGTTAATTTTTCCGTTTCTAATTCTCTGTTCCATCTCATTATTTTTGCATTGACCGCTTGACTGATAGTAATTATAGTGAGCTGTACCGAACCGATGTCTAAGCATCCTTGAAACAATTCCCCTATACCTTTTCTCAACAATAGCGGACATTCTTGAGCGACACACCGAAGGATCGGTTGTCGATTGTTGCTTCTCGAACGATTTAACGGATGAAGGGTTTTGTTTGATTCAGTGTCTACGGAAAGCGATGTTTCGTCGTTCGGGAAATTAACTAGCTCCGTTTTCGCGTGGGCAGTGGTGGTCACGTCCGACCAAGCGGGACCAATGCCTCCTGGCATATAAAATCTAAACCCTCTCGGTGTTAATAATTCCCAATTCGAATTTATTCCAAGCACAGCACCATCTACGTCTAAAAATCAATCGTTTTACGTGAATTTGATCGAGATATTCGCGTAGAGTCAACTACAAGTCAACGAATACGCTTACCATCCAAGTTTTCACTATTTGTTCCAACGATCTTATACGTGCTCGTGCTTTTGTCACTCCGTCGGGAGTAATGATTTTTCGAGAGGTAATTATATAGTGCCGTGGCATTGGTTTTCCTTGCATGATTGAAGCAAAGCATCTGAAAACAATGACGTCGCTTAGGTTATGTTTTGCGATTGCTCAGGACACCAATGACAGAAAGTTGCAGCGACGCCATTTACGGCTGTCCCGCACTTCTCGATATTGTGGTCAATTTGGTTTATGGGAGAAAAGTGCGCGATTACCGTTGGGTCCTAATTCACATGCTGGATTAAAAATTTTCGTATCGAAAACACTGTTTAGCGCTTTGAATATTTAACCTTGAAACGCGTCCACAATTATTCGTATACTTTTACATACATAGGTAAATATGGATCATTTTTTATTTGACCAACCAGACATCATACCTATCGTGCGACGAGTTTTCGTTCGTTCTGCGCATGATTGTCTCGCGCATGCTCTGTCTGCGCAAGCGCGTAGTAGCGTCGCGCAGCATACCCATTGCTCTTGTATTCAGTATACCCGTCGCCCTTCGAAGACAGCACGCGTCTCCTCGATTCTCTTTTTCTGTTCACCGTGTATATGAGTACAAAGTTCGAAATTAGTATAGAGGGCCTCTCTGAGCTGCGCGAAACAAGTACGTTCTCTTGTTGAACGAATAACACAAGGTTGGCCAACACAGAGGCAACTCGCGTCACTTTCCAAGTGGAAACACTCGATTCGCTCGCCAGATGTCACGACGCGTTCGTCTTTTTTACCGCGAACCGAACAAAAGTTTATTATCCGCGGTTGCTTCGAATCATTCGTAACTCTTATCTACAGATTCAGTGCGATCTACGTTATTGAAAAGTTTCAGTGAAAAAAAGATCGGCGTCGCTTGCATCCGATTCTGCGTCTACTCGATTTTGAAATCGATCGGGTCGTTGATACCGTGGAGTGCGGACAATAAAAGTCGAATAAACCCGGCTTGTGCGTGTGCGATAAAAACGAGAAATTCTGAGAGAGGAGGATTTTCTAGCAGTTACAGACATTTGATTCGTTCGAAAAGTTCGCGTCACTTTGCCATTTCTAACCTAGAAAGACGAAATGGCAGAATCGGAGCAAGACTTTGGAGAGCGTGGTGATAGCGACAATCTAAAAACGGATAAGCTGTTTATTTTGAAGAAATGGAACGCCGTGGCCATGTGGAGCTGGGACGTGGAGTGTGACACTTGCGCGATTTGCCGGGTTCAAGTGATGGGTGAGTAAATTTGTTGCACACAGTTCATAGGTTAGGACGTTTATTATCAACTTGCTTCGTCATCTATTTTATTCGGAGAAGAAAGAAACATTTTTTACTATTCTTCGCGTTATAACAAAGTACGTAGGAAATTTTATCGTGTAAACATTTATATGAGTTCAGATAAATCAAAGTACGGTCGCTTCGTGCGCCCGTAGTTTTTGACGTATATACCAAATTGCGTAGACGCGTGGAGTCGATACAATCGATAGTGGTGGGAGTGGGAGACTCGTTAAAATGCGATTTAAAAAGCGGAACGAGGACTGACGGAACAAGAATGGAGTAGGTAGAAGGAAAGTAAAAAGACATCGTGTCAAACATTATGTTTTAATAACTTACAAATTTACATACAAACTTAACGCGATTAGTACACAACTTCAAAGATATATCCATTGAATTCTCCAGAAATTTGGCAAGCACCTTACGCCCCAGTGGCACACAGTAGAAATGTTTGTCAAATAAGTACGAACGACGCATTTTTCTTTTTACAACAAAGGTAAAAACTTAAATTGTACAGATGAAATGTGAGTAACGCGTCCAAAATGGCGTTTATTCCTCGCGATATCATTAGCCGAGATCGTACGTTAAACCGTACTATTACAGGAATGTTTCGTGACGTTGTTCTTCTTTCGTCGTAGTACAGAGATTCGGAATGGTATCGCGACGACATAAAAAGGTATTTTCTCGTTCGCCCGAGGAGGGTGGTACGCACCCCTGGTATATTCGGTTGCAGATAGAAGGCGACCGAGAAAATCGAAATAAGAGAATGAATAGTGGAAAGGCGTGGCGCGTGGAATCGAGATTCAAATCGACCGTAGCGGTCCCTAGGGGTCTAAATGTTTCGCGTCTCTCTCTCTCTCTCTCGAAACAGTACTTTCGAGTAAAAAGGCGCGAAATACAAAACAAGGTATCGGGGGCGTGTTTCACGAATTCGCGGCTTGCGCTATTCGTGTATTTCTTCGCTGTGTTCTTCGTCGCGTCATCTCGCTAACCGACAACGATTTCGACGATTAAAAAATAGACGCGTATTATTTTTATCTCTCTGTTTCTCAACTATAACTTACGATTTAATTCGACGATAGATGATGCAACTGTTTGCTAACGCAGATCGATATAACTATGTACAAACTCGATGCCGAGATGGTTCGCGTGCTGGAATTTATTGTCGCGATAGTGAAGAACCATTTGTTCTTTTACCAATGATGAGGTTACTTATCTCGTTCTCGTATCCGCGTATAAGTACGCACACGTATACTAATTAAATAATTTGCACTTGTCGTTTAAACCTACTCGTATACCATTAGTAAAAGTACTAACTTGAGGTAGACCCTGTAAAACTATTGAATAACAAAAATAACAGTTACGCACGATGTTCTAATCAAGATCGTTCTTATGAAATAGTAGGAAGGAACTATACGAATTGTTCGTTTCGTAGCGCGGAACGACGCGATGTGGCCGAGATTTCCTAGCGAACGAACGAATTGATTGATTGGCTAGCTATTCGAAATTATAAGATTCGTTAACAGCCCATCGGCGTAGGCTTTATGTTCGCGATCGCGCTCATTCTTCTCACCGGACCGGTGAATCTCTTTTCAATCTCTTCGAGAGATCTGCCGCGCGTTTCCGGCACGCAGATGATCACGAAAACGAAGCCGATCAGGACGATCGTGCCGAACAGCCAGAACGCACCGTGCGCCCCGATCTCCGACACTAGATCCTCGTACGTTTTCGTCACGACGAACGTGCACGACCAGTTGAAGGCAGTCGCGACACTGGCAGCGGAACCGCGGATCTTAACCGGCAGAATCTCGCCCATCATTAGCCACGGGATCGGGCCGAATCCCAAGGAGAATCCGATCACGTAAATGATCAGACTCGCTAACGGTATCCAACCGAACGTCGACATGTCCGAGCCGTTCTCTTTCATGTAGAAGAACGTACCGAACGTGAATAACGTGATACACATCGATACAGCGCTTATGTAGAGCAACATCTTTCTGCCAAGTTTGTCTATCACGGATGCAGCGGCGAACGTCGAGATGAAGTTCACCACTCCCACGATGATGGTGGATATGTTCGAATCGATGCTGCTTCCGGCGTCCTGGAGAAAAAGCAATTCCACAGTTAGGCATTTCGTGTCTGAATTAGAACGCGGCCGTGCGTGTTCAGCATGCGTACCTTAAAGATTTGTACGGTATAGAATATGACCGCGTTAATTCCTGATAGTTGTTGGAAAAACATCAGACCAAGGGAAATGAGGAGCGGCTTCAGGTGGTTCTTCTTGAAGAGTTCCATGAACGCACCCTGCGATACGTGTCGTTCGCTGTCAACGTGTAACTTCTCGACGGCCGTTAGTTCGTCGGTAATGTCGGTTCCCTGGCCCCGCAGCCACTGCAGCGATTTTCTCGCCCTTTTCGTTTTACCTTTGGAAATGTACCACCTCGGGGTCTCGGGGATCGTGAACATCAGAATCATGAACGGTATTGGCAGGCTAGCGCCCACCAACGCGAGATTCCTCCAATCCAGATACATCCCGGCCACGAAGCAGATCAAGATTCCTGAAAAGGCAAACGTTTTAATTACCGATGCCACGTAAGAAACCCTAATTATCGAAAATTGCAATAGAATATCTGCTACCTTATATTGTTCGTAATGCGACAAAGTTGTTTAAAGTAATCATTTTCTACTGTCTACTGTTAATTACTTACATAAATATATGTAAATTACCGATTACCGTTGACCTTCACCGCATTCACTGTATTTAAAATGAAAATTACAAGGTTCTTACCGGTGTTACCAAAGGCGGTTGGAAGTAATCCAAGGGTTCCTCGAACCTCCGGCTGTATCGTCTCGCCTAGGTAGACCGGTAACGAAAGGGACGCGATACCGACGCAGAACCCGCAAAGGGCTCGACCAACTAGAATCATCGCGACATTGGTGGCCAACGCGATCAATAGCCAGGCTGTAATAAATAAATCGTTAGTCCGTATCCTTCGAATCTTCGATACCAAAGTTCGATCGTAAACCTACCTGTGATAAAGGGCACCGCTGTGCCCACAATCGTATTCCTTCTGCCCAGATATTCGATGCACGGACCGCCAAAGATGCCTCCGAAAAGCGCGCTCAAAGGCATGATCGATCCGATCCACATACCCTGTAACGAGAACGATACTTATTGTTAGAAAAATCTCGTACGCGTTTACGATCAAGGATAGAGGATCGCGGTCGCGGATTGATCGTCCTTCGAATATAAACAAGCACGAAAACGAAAGGAAATGCTGAGAAAGGAAGGAAATCGTTAACGAGTCACGTATCACGGTAAGATGGAAGGAGGTGGAGGAGGTAGGGACATTGACGAACGCGGAAGCACCCGCGGTAGAATCGGTAGCTAGATCGCGTTGAATTTATTTCCTACGCGGCGCGGCGCGGCGCGGCGACGTCGAAGGTTGCCGTCGACTCGATCGAGAGAATCAATCGAGGCTGGACGAGCTACTGGGAATCGATACGCGATGATCGTAATGAAAAGATCGCCGCGGCGTTACCAGAGACTGTACCCTATTGACGCATTCGAGGTTAAACTTTCAATCAACCATTGACCCCTTTCGATATCGATGATTCTCGGCGGCGTATAATATCGATTCGATCGAAGTTCGGCCAGCCAGACGATCCGGAACGAACGGTTTGACCGCCAACATCGAATCTCTTCTGTTTTCTTTATCGGATGCACGTAGACACGTCGTGAAAAAGGAAGCTCGCGTAATCGTGGCATACTTTTGAAAACAAACGTGCGTTGTTTAAGAGCGTGTCTAGCCTTGACTCGTACTCCGGATAAGAAAAAAGAATCCCGGATAACGTTGTTTTATGATTTCGTTCGAATATTCAAGATTACGAAATGTCTCGATCACGTTCGCGAGGCACGTTTGTTTGAAAACATTCCCGCCCCGGATGATCCATTCCGATAGCTTATAATAGATCAATTGTGTTTAGTGTTTTCTTCACTTACAGTTTCCTTAGTAACCTCGAACGAGGTCGTAGCATTGTTCTGCATCGAAACTAGACCCGGCGAGGTGTAGGAACTCGCGTAACCGACCACCATCGAGCCCAGCGATACTGATAAGGCTGCCAGTACCTGAAAATAGATCGAATGAAATTTTTAAAGAAATTCATCGAGTTACGATTCATCCCCGTAGTTGATCGATATCGAAACAGAGAAAACTTGATATGTTTACGTTAAGCGCGACAGATCGATATTCGATAGGAAAGGTCGATCGGTGGTTAGACAAACGCAAAACGCGTGCGCGATCGAGCGTTAGATCGGGAATAAAATCGAGTAGACGTAGATTAATAATGAAATTACACAACGTTGCTGTCGATACCTGAGTGAAGGTGCATTTAGCGACTGGCGCGTTGCCCGGTAATTCGATGTTCACATGGGTATCTGCTCGCATAAGAATCTTCATGGTTACGATAGTTACGATAGAGAGGAAACGAGACAGGGGTGAGAAGACGAACGAAGAAAGAAACTGATCGTTGATGAAAAATCGGCGAGTTTTCGACGATCAATTCGCGTCGCGACGAAGCGACACCGTGACTCGTAGCAATACTCGTAGACGACGAATCAAGCAGAGGCTACGAGGAACGTTTCTACGATCGTTGCGCGATCGTTTCGTCTAGGCGTTAGAACCGCTCGACACGCGAAACGAGCGAAACGTTCGAGCATGCGCCAATCGACGATCGACGTCGATTTAGAAGTTTGAGTCGGAACGAAATCGATCGCGTTACTGGCGATACGTTAACTATCGACGCGTACGCGATCCTAGATCGAGCCCCTCTCGATCGCGACTGTCTTTCGCCTCGTCCTCGTTGCCGCTGACGTCGCCGTCGTTGTTGTCGTCGTCGTCGTCGTCGTCGTCGTCGTCGTTTCACTGATGATCCGTTTTAGCCGTTTTCGTCGCCGCTGTTGTCGACGTTCCCGTATTATATTGACACGGTATTGGCACTCGGTAAACCGACGGGTGGTTCCCTGTTTATATAGGGGAACGATGCTGGGGGGCCGCGACTATCCCTTCTCTCTTGATCGAGAGGATCCGTTGTCCGCGAATCGGATGATTATACGTACGCGTGCGTGTGCTCGCGCGCTGCGACATTTCGCGTATACGCGTGAGCGTGTAACTCGTGCCATTCCTTCGTGCCTTATGGCACGTGGGATCTCTTTCAATTTCGAGGGACTAGCGAGACAAAACGAAAGAGAGACAGCCTGTAGCATGACCCGAAATTAACAAACGAGATCAAGAACCCGTTTTCTTACGCCTTTAGTCGTAAGACAACGAGTTTTAGTTTCCCTCGCGAAACAATATGGAATTCATCCAGTTTAGTTGAAACGCGCGCCCGTCGAGATCTCGCGGAAGGATCAAGATAACCGTCGCGAGCCTCCGATCTCTCATTCGCGACCTTCTTTCGCGTTGCGTAATCCTCTTTGTCGAAGAGCTTTGCTCTTCTTTTCCTTTTCCGCGATCGAACGAACAGTCCTCGTTTCCTCTTTTCAATCGCTTCGGGTTCGATTCGCTTCAATTCGGTTCGATTCCAGTTCGATTCCGAAACAGGGTGCGCGTAAGTTTAGCGAATTCGCTGCATTATTGTATTTCCGGGGTCGCGAATCATTGCCATCAGATAGTTTAACGCGGTTCGGGAGCATCGCCGGGATACGTCAGCCACGTACTCACGTACATGAGAAGAAATTAACCTGCTAATTATTGTCAGAAACGCGCAAGGCCACCGTAGTTGGGTACAAAAGTGCATGCACGCGTGCGATGTCGTCTTTTGTTTCCCGTAATTGCTCGTCTTTCGACGGTCTAAGATCAACTTGCAAGAAAATTATGCGCACACCCGCACACCTTCCTTCCTCTTCGATCTCTTCCTTCCTTCCGTTCGTTCCCATTTACGTCGATTACGTATTTATTCGATTGGAAATCGGTAATGCGGCACGAGTAAACAGTCAACGTGATTGGAATAATAGACCCTCTGTTGAAACGATAAGAAGAGGAAGGAAGACGTTTGGTATTTTGTAATTTCGCGAGATAAAAACGACGAGTCGCGTGGCAGAGCTTTCATAATAACGAGCGTGCATATCGCACCACGTTTGTAACGTTTATTATCGTACAATCGTTTGCGCAATATTAAATGCAACTATACGCAAGGTGGATGTCGTAAACGCGAAGATCACGATGCCCTCTCGAGTTTAGATCGATCGAGTAGGACGGAAAAAAGTACGCTTGACATTCGATTCGCGGTCGTTCGCGCGATCAACAGATTCGTTTCCTCTCGAAAAGCTCAATCGCGATCGCGATCGCCGTGTTTGGCCCCGTTGCGACCACAACCCGCTTTATCGTCCGCGATATCGACTCGTCTTTCGATCCTACACGTCGAGGAGAATCGTAAAATGGTTCAAGGATGCTTCGCCGTACTCTATCCTTGAGCTCTGTACGCGAGTAGAAACCGCGAGATCTTCGCCATTTTCTCGCGGCAGTTTAATTCGTCGCCTCGACGGTACTCGAAAGTTCCACGCACACGCGAAAAGAATTTTACCGACGCTCGTTCCGTTACCGGTTTCTCGATAATCATCTTTCGAGTCTCTTCTTACGCAAGTGCGATTTCTGGATCGCCACTTATTCGCTAGCAGTATCCGTATATAAGAAAAGAATGTTAGCGTTCCGAAGAGAAAGAAGATAAGAGAATTAATTACCTGACTGGTAAAACGCATGAGCGAAGGTTTAGACTCCTTTGGTCCTTGCATGGTTCCATGAAGTTTTCCGGAACCCACCGCCGATTCCTTCATTTTGATATCCTGCGAATTCATTTTCCGTTTGTTCCCCACTATCCCCGCGTACGGGGATTCCGAGTTGAGCAACGGATCGAGCTGTTTGTAGTCGTGATCGTGATCTTTGTCTAGGGGGTTGTATATGTGGGACCCGTTCAGGGCCTTCTGATGGTTATTCCTCAGGTTTTGTTCATAATAGTGATTTGTGGTGAGGGTGGTCCCGTTGCCAGCAGAGAGCACCTTCTTCTCCGCGATCAGGGCGGTCTGGCTGTTGAACGGGCTGACGTTTGTCACGAGGGTCGCGTTTGACGCGCAGTCTAGGTTGATGACCGAATTGGTGGTGGTCGATCTCGCCACCGATGGCACCCTCGTGTAGTATTTCGGAAGGATGCTTCGCTCCTGAAAGCAGAAAATCAAAACGCGTGAACGTTTCGAGATAGCAATTTCGTTGGTAATTGTAATCGAAAGCCGTGCGTTCCGCGAACGAGAAAAGATTTCGCTAAACGGGGAACATTCTTAATACCTTAATCCACTAACGATCAAACTTACGCGGTCCTCGATCGATCGTCCGCTTCTTGGCCGTGCGACCGTACAATCCGCTCCAGCACGCAACTATTTCACAGAAATTCAACTAATTTTTCTTTGCTTTTCGAACACTTGACGGGGACACAATTGACGAAAACTGTCACCGAAGAAAGCGCACGGTACACGGTCTTGAAAACGAACGAACGATCGAACAACGTTGCGGAACGCCCGAAAACAGCGTCCGTGATGGAACTGTGAAGAGTTTCGAAGGGATGAAAGTTCGATGTTGGAGTATTTATACTAGTTTCGTTTATCGATAATGGTGTTATGAGAAACAACACCGAACGAAAGAAAGAGAAGAATAAACATAGCGATTATCGTAACGAGCCAATGATGAAAAGCGAGGGACGAGAAGGCAGCGTGATTCTTAGTCGCTGATCAGATGACTTTTACCCCTGGTTATCTATAACCCATGTTGAACTTCATGACTAAACCGTGAGTTCTTTTACTTTTTGCGAACGATGCGCTCGTGGCATCGAGCAGGGTTACATACATACGCGTAATTAGACAGAAGGGCCTGGTACTTCGATATGGACGATTCATTGATTTCCAAATTTTCCGAACCACGTGTACGCTCTTCTGCACTCGTCCGACGCTTTAACGTTAATGATTCTTCTTCCCTTTCTTTACCCCTCTCTATCTATCTTTTGTCTATTCATCGATTTCCGTTGAAAATCGAAAACTATAGCACGGGTTCTCGCGTCAGCTAGCCTAGATTTGCAAATAATCGTTTTTCTATCCTACTGACGAATAATCGCGATTGTTTCTATGCAAACGCGTCACCCATCAAATCTTTCTTTCGCATACGCGTGCCACGTTCCAAATTTTCCATTTTCAACGGCTACTCGATTCTCGCGAATACGTCTCGTCTTTAATGGACCGCGAACCCTTTTCGATTCACGAACTAAAACGCTAGTTTCGTGATTGTTCGTACCATCGTTCATTTTGCATCATTTCGTATGCGATCAATTCGTATATCCACTTTCTTCCCTGCTTTCGTTGGCCAACGAAAGTTCTCGCCTCCGCGTAGTAACTCGGGGGCCATTTTCGCAGCAAATTAGATGTCACGATTACTGCTATTGTCTAGCTTTCGTCATCGTCCGCAGCCTGTTTGCATTTCGGGGTCAACCGTTTCGTTGTTTACGCGTGCTATCGTTTTCTCCTTTGGACGCTACCGATAACGCCCGTTTTCCCTCGGTATCCGATCGTCCTCGATACTTCGCCGCAGTTTCTCGGTAGCGAGGTCGTCGCTTGCTCTCCAACGCGTCCTCGTTCCTTCTCTCCTCTAAGAAGAACAAGAATCTGAAAGATTTTTTTGTCTTTCGCATATCGGTTTCCCGCGCAACGCGTCTATCTCGTTCCGTTGGCGATCAGCGGGAACGAGCAGTCGCCTCGAGGATACCGCGTGCGCCGCACGCTCTGCTCCCGAGCTCGCCGGGTGCAGGTCGCAAGGGGCCGTCCTCGTTGCCAGTGATCCGTGGCGGTATCTGTCGGGAGCATCCTGTACCGAGTTGCGATAAAGAAGCAAGTTCGACGTCGGTTTTCTATCGCTTACACGAGCCGCGCGATTCCCTTATCGTTCGAGATAATTTATCCCGTGAAAATACGTAAGTATATCTTCGTCGATATTTCAGCGTCTTCTCGGACGATTCTTGAAACCGCGACAATCTCATTTCCCAAGCCGTTACTATACCGCACGGACATCGCGTGACGCGGTAAACTATTGAAAATTCAACGAAATTATGTAAGCCCTCTCGCTTCGAACGTACTCGAAATTAGATTTGCCATTACGTTTCCAGAACGCGCGCTCACCATGTGGATATTTTTAACCCTAAGTTCGCGTAGTCCCATCCATTCGACGAATACTATTTTCGTTTCTCTCGATCTTTCTTGAAAAAACAAACAAAAAAAATAACGCGGTTCCCTTTCCATTTCGAATAGAACGGTAAACACAAGGTCCATTGTCCGTTTGCCTTTCTTCGACGATTATGTTTGTCGAAAAATGAGCGAGGATGATAGGGTCCATCGACACCCGGCAAGGAATCAAATACCGTACATAGAAAGCTGTGAGAAAGAGAAACGAGTAAATGCAATTGAAAAGCAATCGTTCTTGTTGTCTTTGAAATATCTCATAAATTTTACAGAGAATTGCGTCAGGCGTATTTACCGTGAAACGTACAAAACAAATCCATGATCGCAGCGTGGCATGCAAGAAGCGATGCATTCGATTAAATCGCTTTTTCAACATTGTAATGCGCGCGCGGGATCTCTGCTCTATATTCTAGCATTTTCTTCCGTCTTTCGAAAGCAGACTTTGTTGATTTTAGTTTTAGCCGCGTTTTATTCGATTCGAGGAAGAACGATACTCCGGATCGGTACCGAGCGAAAATTTCATACGCGTAAGTAAATACGTCACTCAGTTTTATCTGACCGATCTTAGCCTGACCGTGAATTCGTCGCTTGTGTACGCCTGACGTTAAGCGGTGCGCTTTAGCGTTACCTGCAAGTGCATCGCGTGCGTGTGCGCGCAAAAGTGCAGCCGCTGCATTTAACCGGTGCACCGCCGGTCTCTACTTTCTTGCCGCTAAAGATAATCTATCGTTACGCGTATAAAGTTTTCTTGGCGCGAACTTTGCCTCGATGGCATTGAAGTAAAAAAAAAAAAAAAAAGAGTTGAATGTTTCTGAAAAATACTATCGAACGAAGGTCACCGCGCGCGAGTTCGTTTAGTTTATTAAATAAAAAGAGGAAGCAGACAGAGAAGGAGAGACGAAGAGAAAGAAAGCCACGATCAGGGACATTGATCATCAAGGATATTATTGGGTGCTATGCGTGCGTGCGTGCGTGCGGGCTATTGTACGTACAAAGGATAGAAAGAAGCGATACGTCGCGCTAAGGAAATCCTTCTCGGACTTTTTTTCCCCGAATATAGACGCGTATTCCATGCTTTCTCGATTCTCGACACTTTCCCTCGCCGACTCGATTCGGAGAAGATCTTTAAACGCGCGTCAGCCGGCTTGGATCTCCTCGACGCGACGAATCTTCGATCAGCTTCGTCCGTTCGGGAAAGAGCAGCCATTCAGAAGCGAAAAGCGTTACACGTTTTTTTCTACGCACGTTTCGAGGCAAAATTTGCGGTAGACATAGAGCAATAGTGACGTACCAGCGGCGTAGACACTCGTTGCTGACGAAGCATTTTAGCGCTGCGTCCGTGACAATTAACGTAGAAATAAGTCGACTGCAATGCCCATATCTTGCTGGCCGAAATATATATTATGCTAGGAAAAGCGACAATAGCGGGGAGTACTAGATAGAGTCGGTAATCTTCGATATCTAGACCTGTCATTATTCACGATATACGACTCTTTCATCAGCTGTTATCAACGCATTTTAAGCCACCTCGGCGTCTTACCTATTTCTTTCCCTATTTTCTTCCCCGTATTCTCGAGAACACCACGAGAACGCTCGCATCCGTTACCGATCGATACCGATCGGTCTCTTCCCCTGAATCTAATCGAGCCTCTTTCCTGTCTCGTTGTCCATCTCGTGCGAACATTTCTTTTATTTCTCACCGCAATATCGCGTTTATTAAATAGAGCGTATAACGCGTTACGACAATAAAATGAGAATCGCTTTCTCGAAACAATTTATAACGCGTTGTTTTCTGCATCGACTTGTTAGACAGCATCTTTGAAGAGAGTTCATAGAATCGTTGTCGCTAATACAGAGACGGGCGGCTCGACAGTTTCTCGAAATAGTAAATGCGCCCAAAGTTATTTAACCGGGTCGCGTTTTGCTATTTGGCACGTATGTACGTGTAAAGTGCACAGTATGCGCTCCTCCGTTCCACCGTCGGAAAGTTTTATCAAGATTACGAAAATATATGTACACACGATGAAAAAACAAATGAGAAACATCTGACAGAGTTATTGCGAACGAGTGTGAATGGTATGGAAGAAGCAGGTCCGAAAACACTTAGAAACTAATGATGACGATTAAAAAATAGCATTTATTGAAAAACTTTTCTTTGCATTACAACATTTTTTACCATGTTTCGGTACACGTCGGTCGACGTTTCCGGTGGACAAGTCCTACAAGACAATCCAAACTTCGATATTATTCATATTCTTACGTTTCGTTCGATTCGTATGCGATAAGTAAAAATAATGGCGATATCGAACGCGATATCGAACGGTTTTCGAACAGAAAGAAAAAAAAAAAAAAAGCCACGAGTAAAATAAAGAAGGAATAAACCGTGTGTTTCACTAATTCGTTTGTTTTACTATGCAATGAATTGGTCGCGCGTTGTTTTACCCTGGCGATCGATAATTTCCGGACGAGGGAAGTCCGCATCCAAAGACACGAACGCTTCAATTGAAACGCGAAAACGTCGCGTTCGAGATATAAATTATTTACGATATATCGATACCGCGAACGTTCCCGAATATCGCGGGCCGTTTCGCGCTCGTTTCAACTCGAGACGCCCGGTAACCTCCGCCGACATCGATGCCACGCGGCGGTCGTCGATCTTAAATATAGACTCAAGAAATTTCATTAGGAAAAAATAAACAAACATCGACGGATAAAAAGCATAAACGCAATCTATGGAGGATAATAGTATTCCAGGAGTATATCGAGTTAGAGAGCGGAGATGAAATGATTTAGTAGCGGGGTGTGCAGGGTGTAGGAATAAAGATAGCAACGAAGCAAAGAGGAAACGAGACGAAAGAGCGAGAGAGATCGGAAGGATGATAAATTCCACGCGTGTATACGATAAAATTAGATGAAAGGAGCGAGCGGGAAGAAACTCTTGAGGAGAAAAAGTAAGGGAAAATAAAAATGAAAGAGCAAGAAAAAGGTAATTCGATTGTCATTCTTGTCAATTACAGCAGAGGCAAAAAGAATGCAAAAATGTTGAGCAACAGTATACATAATTATGTAGCAAAGATAAGGTCGAGTGGAAGAGATAATAAACATTGACAATTCGAAATTGTAACAGGCACGCATGACGATTCCGACGACAATAATGACAGTGGTACCGGCATGTCGATATCGGTACCGGTACCGCTGGTATCTGCAACACCAACGTCAGCGACAGCGCCGATGAGCACGTATAGTGGAACTTTCCAGAAGCTCGAGAGGGGAGGAAAGAGCGAGGCGGTGAGAGTACGAAATCATGGAAATACACGTGCGAGGAAGAGAGATAGAACGCTCTGTAAGAGAAGGAAGGTATGCGAATATGGTTATCATGGTAGGCGAAAACGAGCCGGCGGAGAAACGGCTGGTTCGTTGATTGCGGAGCGTTCGATTGCGCGTTACGTGAGAGATAGCGTGGGTCTTACCTTCGTTTTCGAAAATGGCACTAGGCACAGAGGCCATGGCTGCATCATCTGTCTTCTGTCTCTGGAATTGGACATTTTGCCGGCGCACCCCGAACCTTGCTGTCCTGTCAGCTGTTGTTTCGTCACTTGGGTCGTGACGGTAAACCGTGTCGTATCGAATCGAATCGAATCGAATTTCCCTGCCACCGGACTTTCTTCTATCAGTTCTTTTCGATTTCTCGTGAATCGTATAGAAAGATACTCGTGCAGTTTATCGTGTGTGTCGTATCAGCGATCCGGTCGTTCGAGAAGTAACCAAATCGTTACCTCGATGCGTACGACTTTTGATATCGATCGAAACGTGCCACTCGGCCTGTTTTTTTTTTTTTTTTTTGTCTTTTTTTTCTCGAGTACCCTCAATGTGCGCGCGCGACTTTTTCTTTCTTCTCCACCTTTCTCCTTTTTTTCGGTGAATACACAACTACCCTCTCGTGTGACTTCAGAGAGAACGGTCAAAGGCTAAATGCAGCGTTGAACGATCCGTTGTTTCTTAGCCTGCTCGAATCCACCACCACTGCTAAGTTGTACCAGCGACGCCACTGCTACCCTACTATTCGTGCAGTGTTTCCTTACTCGCTCGCACTCTTGTTCTCTTATTCCCTTATTTCTTCGTTTTCCTTCGCGCTACATCTATCGCACCTGCGATTCGCGCCTCCACGAACTCGATGGGAACGGCTATTTTCAGTCTCGTCCCGTTGCTCTTTTCGACCAGACTTATTTTCACAATGTTTAACACGACTACTATCTTTAAAACGGTTCTCCGTATTTTCCTGTGGCTAGTTGTCGACTGGTCCAGTTGTGTTGATCGTCGGTATACGGTGTTGCTTCCTTTTGAAACCACGTGACCGGTGTGTTTCTCTTCAGCCGGCTAACCACGTTTTCCTTCTTTTTCTTTGATAATGGAAACGTGATGTGTGTAAAGCTTAGACCGTTTGAAATGTAAGTAAAATGCACTTTTACGTATGTTTGGAACTTTGCTATAATCACATCGGGGGGGTTTGTCTCTTTTATATAGAGTGCGGTTGTAAGCGCCGCTTCCTCCTCCTGGGGCGCGCACCTCTGGTGGGGGATGGACGCCCTTGCCCCTTCACGCCTCTCGTCCACCACAGACCCGTTTCACCTCGTCTCACCGCGCCCCACCTCCAACAACCCTTGCCGTTTAGTTGTCTCGTCTCCTTCGGTTGCGTCGAGTTGCGTCGAGCGATCTCGTGCCACGTCTCACCGCACTTTGCTACGTTCGTCTTTCCCTCCTTTCCCGCCTTACCCCGTTCACGGAGGCGAGCCTCCCGAAGCCGCGTCGCAACGCCACGCGTCGCTCTGCGGCTTCTTACGCAAATTCATCAGATTCGAAATGCGAAAGAACGTTTATATTCTGTGTTTCCCGATCTTACGATTCATCGATTCTAATCGAACTGGCGCCTATCGTTTATCATTTATCATTTATCATTTATCTTTTCCCTGTATCGCCTGGAACGATTCGTGGAAACGCGCGTATCTTTCGCTGTTACGAATGCAGCGTCACCGACGGATGAAACATCAGAATCTGTCGGGTTCGTAGATCCGGTGACGATCGATAGGAAATGAAATCGGAATTTCGCGTTTCACCAGCGACTCGACCGCGACGCGAATATCCTCTGGGCTTTTCGCGGAAGGTTCCAGTCGTTCGACCTCGTTCGCTCGAGACCACCGTATACAGTCGCCCTCGATCCTGCCCGCGTGCACGTACGCCTATCTCGCATCTCTGCCGCTATCTTTATTTCCTATACCTTTCTTTCCCGGTAACTACAATCGAACTAAACGGTTCCTACTCCTTTTACGTTGCCACGATTCCCGTATTTAATATAGGATATTTTTCCCGCGATACACAGTCAGCGCCTCTAGCCGCGACCGTACGATCTTTGTCGTTAATCAAACGATCGGCATTCTTACTCGGTCGTAGATAATTCGTAATCGGGGACGGAGGTAATAGAAGTACTCGTATAAGTAAAAAAATATTGAAAAAAAAAACACACGGTAACCAGTTTTGTTTGCGTCAGCTGTGTTTTCATTACTTTCAACGAGGTTTTTTCTCTTCTTGTTTTTATTCGATGCAAATTATTTTCCTTAATGCGCACCATCGTTTACACGGAATACACGCGACAGCGTTTTAATTAACGAGAACGATGAATTTCGGAGCATCGGGACAGCCGATCAAAGGTCTCGAAAATTTCGTTTAGTTTGTCCGTGTTCGCACGTGACGAACTCAACGTCACGCCTCGCCGACCCCGAACGTACCCTTCTCTTCGCTCACGAATTACCGCGTCGCCTGGTCCAACCTGGAAACCAACTAAAGTTCTCTAGAAAACGTCGATACAGAGGAATATTGCGTCGTACAAAGCTCGTTCGTGTTCACTGCGTCGCGCCGCGGCGTCGCTCTTGAACTTCGCGTTGGCGCGCATCACGCTTTACAAGTAAGACCTAAATGCAATCGCAAATTTTCCAATACGATACAGCCAACCTTGGGAACATCGTTAAATGCGTTTTTCTTTGCCTCGCATCTTTAATCGCCTTGGTTAACGACTGGTAACGCATCGTACATAATGTAATCCACGTAAGCGAATATTTGTAAATACGTAACCGATGATTGTTGCAGCGATCCGACTCACCGTGATCGCGATACGTGCCGCGGTCGATCGTGGAAAGGAATCATTCCAGTTGAAGATACATGTTTAAAAAGTACAGCGTTCGATAGGACGATTAACGGAACGCTCCCGCTAATAGATCGATCGCTTTCTCTCTTCCCAGTTTCTTCGGTGGTCAGAGTTCCTCGGCAATTGTCGCGTATTGTTACATCACGGAACACGGTCAACTCGTTGATCGATAGGGGTCAATCGATGAAGCGAATCGTTGGTATCGAATCGAAGGAAAAATACCTGGTAGCTTCGATCGTGGAATCGTCGCGCCGCTTGGGAGTTCCGTATACAAAGGAAAGGAAAGGAAAGGAAAGGAAAGGAACGAAGGAAAACGCTTCGAATGGATGAATGAAAATTCGATGGAAACATTCTTATTAGCAAAAAAAGAAAAGAGCCCGTCGCGTCGGGAGAAAACGGTCGAGCAATTTTCTACTCGGCGACGGCTGCTCTTTATACGGGCGCGTTTTAAATCGTGTTAAATGTAAATGCGTGACAGGAGGCGATCACGAGCAATTTAATAACGCGCGAAACACATTGTCAGCGATGATGCAGCGCGCAAGCCGGTTAAACTATATTGTCGCCAGCAGAAGCTGTTTTCTCTCGAACTGATTCCCGTTCGATCAAATCCCACCGTTAAATAATCGATCTTATTTCTTATTACGAACAGTTTCGATAACCATCGTTGGTCAACGAATTAATCGAACGGTTCGCAATAAATCGCAAGCTTTTCGATCGCTCTCTGTTCATCCTGGACAAAGTGGAATCGTAGAATGGAGCCGAGCCGAGTCGAGGCGAGATATCGACGGGGTCGCGTTCTTCGAACGTTCGAGAAAGCTCTTTCGAGAGTCGAAATGATCGATGCACAAACTATACGTATGTACATGTAGAGGCGCATCCCGATAACTATCGCAATCTCATCACCGTTAACGCGATACTCGGTTTTCCGTGTCTAAAACCGGTGTACGATAAATTATTTTCTCGAATCCCATCCAGTCGCAATTACTCGTCCGAGTACTAGCATCTATTTCTAATTCCGTTTCGTCGATAAATTACTATCCCAGAAAAGTTACCGTCCTTTTCGAACGATTGCTCGCGATTTAGATACCAGCTGGTCTCAAAATGGATCGATCTGTTTCACGATGAATAAAGGAAACGCGCGTGTATTGTATTTGGTCAAGTCTAGTCGTACCAGTCATTCTCGTCCTGAGAATGAAGAGAATAAGAATGGAAACCGAAGGAAAGGAAGGCTCTAGAACAACGAATGTCGCGGTGGTATTCGACTTACGATCGTGTGTACTACATAGTAAGGGAAGTTGCCAAAATCGTACCACATTCAAATTTCGCTTAGTGTTGAATCACGGCTCCAGCTAGCAACATCTTTTATAAGCTAATGTATCAAAATCAGTGTACAGTAGCTGTCCTAGATATTTTTTTTAGGTTTTTAATTATAATGCACAGGTCGGCAAAATTGTACCTTTGTATCACTCGTTTTCAAAATGCAGACATACCAGAGCTTCATATTATGCGTATACACTATTTCGCGTGGTGTTATCTTGTTGATCAGAGTTAATTGGCTGAATGCCCAGTTGGTTCGCGTAGGACTCGGGGGCACGGCTGACACGTTTGCCCGGATCCCCCGGTGCGGGTCAACGAGACAACCCTCGAGAACCATCGGTCGGGAATTAATCGGTCAACCGTTTCGTTTCATCGGAACCATCCTACTACCAGAATCGATCGTATCATCTTTACGACGATGATCCATAATTTCCACTACGATCGATTCAAATCTTCCTGCTTCGTTTTTTCTATGCTCGCCATATCGGATCGTTAGGAATTACATCTAACTTAGCCACTTGTGCGTATGTACATACGTTAGATAAGAATCAGTGGAATTTTACCAAGATACGAGTACTTATTGTTAGTACATTAGATACAACCGGCTCTATTCGATTTTATTGAAAATCAAACGATCAGTCATTATGTGTCGCCAGTTGATTTATGTATATTACTGTACTAATCGTTCGCCTTTCAATTTTCAGACGCCTGTCTTCGGTGTCAAGCGGAAAGCAAGAAGGATGACGGCCGACAGGATTGCGTTGTCGTTTGGGGAGAATGCAATCATTCGTTTCACTACTGCTGCATGTCCCTCTGGGTGAAGCAGAACAACCGTTGCCCATTATGCCAGCAGGAGTGGTCCATTCAACGAATGGGAAAATAACCGAAACGTGGAAGTGGAACGTCGTTAACCGGCGTCTCTTCCTTTACGTCTACCAACTTTCTATCTTGATTCTTTTTTTTTTTTTTTCTTTCTTTATCGCTTTCGCAATTTTTTTCTTTTTGATTTATACCCTTTGTTTTATTCGATCGCGACGATAAATGCAACCCGTCGCAAACTCCGCGTTTAAACTTTCTGTTTCGTAAATCATAAAACTTCTTTCTCAATCTATCATAATATAAATAATTTAATCTACCGCAATATATAATTTCATTTTAAGACGCCGTTATCGTGGAGACGTTGATCCTTTTCAGCTGATTATCGATCGCACAATAAAAAACAAATGTTAATCTGACGATGAGGTGCAAAGTGCAAAGTATTTACATACGTAAGCATTGTCACGATCGCGAGTACGCGCGATCTTCGATGGACATCGAACTTTTCTCCCCGGAAGTCATAGATGGCGCATAGTTTTCGATCGATAAGGGAAGAAAATTCGTGTCCACCTACCGTTAGTTTTAGATTACCTTCGCTAAATAGCGTTCGATTACACGTGCATATGTATATTAGTGCTTATAACGATTTACTTGGCTCGTATTTCGAATACGTGCCTCGAAACGATTGCATCACCTGTGTGGAATGCCTGTGAACGACAACGATCAATTCGAAAATCGCATCATTTTTCCGTTACCTTTTACCTCCTTGTTTCTAATTTTCAGACAAAAAGTTTAATTGGCAAATGTGTTTTATCCTCGATCTAGTACGATTCCTATGCGATACTATGCGATATGGTGTAATCGTGATCCGAGCGCTCGAAGGTCGCTCCTTTCTTCTCCTCGTCTCTCTTTCCTCCTTCCTTCGTATCAGCGCCATCTTCCGTCTCTTTTTCTCTCTCGTCTCGTCCTTTCTCGTTTCCCCTCTTCAGCCCCGAACCGTCCCGCCGTTTGATCGTTGCCCGGCTTTACGTGTCGTCATAACAGCGCGGAGGCTCGGCTGCAGCCTCGACCAATCGAACGAGAGAATGGTATAACAACGCCTATATTTATGACCTCGCAGTTGCTACCACCTCTTGTATCTCTTTTTTCCTCTCCTTCTCTACATTCTACATATCTGTCTGCCCTACCACACCGTCTTCCTCTGTCACTCCTGGCTCTGTATATGAAACGCACCTATACACAGAACAGTAACTCCTTTCCCCCTTCGCCGATACCGTCGCTCGTGCTCCTTCCTTCTTTTTCAATCTCACCTATGTCCTGTTCCTCTTGCATGTATGTACGTGTAACTATGGAAATCTTGAACATGACGAAAATATGAATAAACTTTATCAACGTTCGAACTTTTAGCCGGTGGACTAGAATTTTCACATCATATTTATAACTTCTGTGTAATTTCATATTATCGTTCTTTTTTTAAAACTAACAAATTAACCGGGTACACAGGATGAACTAATTTTGTTTTAGCTAGCATCGAAGTGTTGTTCTGTTAATTTTACGGCTTAGTTCGCGTGATCAATGATCAACGAACTGAAACAGGCCGAAATTTTCCATTACCGATAAAGAGAACGTATCGTTTTAGGGCGTTTCGCTGTTATTAGGCGATGAAAGGTATGCGAAACGGTGGGGGATCGAGTTAAATAAAATCCAATTATTTCATTAAATTTTCGGAGATGTGATTTTGGGGATTTCAAATGATTGTATCTATGGAGACATGTTTGTATGTGTGTATAGAGCTATCGGAACGAAAACAGTTAGGTATCGATAGGGAATGACGTAACGAGAGGCAAATTTGCTCGTCATGGTTCTCTCGAAAGGCGGACACAAGAAGCGCCGAGGTCAATTCGAGTCGAGCCTCCATGAAACCTCTTTTCATTGGTTCTTTTCCAGTATGTAATAGGCTATATAAGTACAGGCTCATAAAAATATACACTGTAACTTATTTTGTGCTACGTGCCACTTATCCAATTGCAATTTTTCAATCTATCGCTTTCTAATGCAAGTACCGATATAGAAATGCGTTTTTCTTATATGATGCAATCGGAATTTCTTATGATACGATGCGTGAATTCGCCGTATCGCAAATACCAGAATGAAAGTTGCAACATATTTTAGACTCAGCGTAAATTCCAGCAATTCTTTTACTTTTCATCTTCAAATTCTTTGCATCAGATTTTTATTATGTTTTTGAAGATAATTTATAACGCTAACCTTGTCAAGTTACATTCCTTAACGTCACTTTATTGCAAAATCTTTCGTCTCTTGTATAAGAAGTTAAAAAAAAAAAAAGAAAGGTTTTTTCGTTGAAAGAAAGGCGGTGATTGTACCGAGACGAATCGTAAGATACAATCTCTGTCACGAGAGAATGGACTACATTGTGCATTGTTAGTTGCATTCAAAAGACCACCACCACCAATGTGGTCTTCTCTACCCGTTACTTCACACTTTGTGGTCATATATACGGTGAACGAAAATTAACGAGTACCGGAAAGAAGCCAAGGTGCCGTTGTCAAGTACTGAAAGGATATGGGGGTTTATTCCATGTTATAATTGAAATACGTGGGAGAAATATATAAAAATTAATTTATTATATTTGAAATACAATTCTTGATACAACTTCTTCGATTTTCGTTTTTAAAATGTGACAAGCTAATCAACAAATTCGACGGCAATGACCGCCTTCCTTATCGACGGTGGTGATCGCCACAAGGATGTTGCAGGTGGTGACATCCAATAATTTAGCGCTGAACTATGGTAAAACTAGTTGACCATCCGGTAAAATAAGGGTTGAATCATGACGGTAAAATAAGTACAATTTGATTTTATTTTTTTATATTACATTTTATTTGTCGTATATTTTTGTACAAATATATTATCAACGTAATATCAGGGAATCTTATGTTTCAGTTTGCCAAAATCCTTGAAAACTGATTATCGAGAATGACTTGCTCTCCTATTACTTTGCATAATCGACATTCTACCGTATTCAGTTGCTTAATTATATGCCAGAGCATTTGAAAATACTTTATTTTGCACATAAATAGAAGTACGATGATTATTTCTCATGATTCTTGCTGGTTAAAAGGTTTACAAATGGCAGGTATATGTAGCTACGTGATTCGCGTCATACTGCGAAAATTTGTATACATACTTCTTATTCGTAAAACGATAATAATATCTACATTTTGTAAATTCCTATCGTTATATATGTATACCTTATACAATCGCAATTATAAATCGGTTTGCCTGATCGATGACTTTTGTCCGCATTGTACTTTGATCTTTTATTCGATCAAGATAAATGGCATTGGATAAGTAATCTTACAAATATTTTAATAGTAAAATGACTATAGCCTGAAAATTTTCATTAACTTTTATGTAAAACGCTTAAACTCGAAAGCCTGTAAATGATTGCAGTTAAAATGTAACAACTTCTGCGAAATTCATTCGGAGTTTCACGCTCTTAACAACAATTTCTGTTTATCGTACCTTCAATCTTCAATTATTTCCTTCATTAATGGTACTAATAATAAGTAAGAATACTGAATGAAACGCACTCGAGCAGAGATTCAACTCTTGTATAATTTGAACCATTTCGTCACAATTACTTCTCTCTTTTGGTGCTCAAATTCGCGTTATACGCTGTTGAATAAAATATGACTATTCGATTGTTAGCTTAAGTACACACGTAATAACAGCGTTTACGAAGATATTTTTATTCGATAGATTTTCTTTGAATTTTTCCATCTCACGGATGACTTCGCAGATAAACAACAGCGAAGTCGATATTTAATTAAATACTGAACTTAAGAGTGTAACAGAAAACAAGAAACGATACTAATTACGAAGGCACTTGAGTGTACAATATCTCGTTAAATAACTCGATATAAAAAATATCTTCTATAACGATAATGCCTATCACAGGCAATACAGGCATTTTATAAGTTCACGATCTAACGTTTCTAACTTAAGGCCACGGTGGAATGTAAGTTTGTCTAACGACTAAAGGCCACTTAAACGTTTCTACAATCTATCTACTTTTTTAAAGTTTAACACCTAACAAGAAACTAAAAACGATCGTAGACCCGATTACTTTCGTAACCGATGTCCGTGTTAATTCTTTAGATCGATTCGTCAGCAATTCGTATGCCGGGAACCTCTCATCAATGGAATTAAAATACTTGGACTTTGAGCCTGCCTAAGAAACGGATGTTGTAACAATTCTGTTGCCGTCGCTCTTTGGGCTGGATCACGGACAAGCATTCTTTCAAGGAAACCTTGAAGTCGTGGACTGACCTATACGATAACATTAAACGTAATTAATACATTATTTTCTTTTACATACGGTTGAATTTGTAAAATATTTTCTAGCGTATTTGTAATTTACTTTGTGAGAATTTTTCAATTTTGGCGGGGGCATATCTCTTATACGTCGCATAGCTTGTAAAGGAGGTTCGTTAAAGAATGGTGGCTCTCCGTCAACCATCTCAATGATCATTATACCTAGCGACCAAATATCTACTTCGGGTCCGTAAGGTAACCTGAATGGTAAATGAATACATACATGTATACTTTGAATAGAATATGCATAGCAATTATATGTATTACCTGGAAATAACTTCGGGACTCATCCAATATGGTGTTCCAACTAGAGACTTTCGCCTCGGCAATTCTTGCGATACTTGAGCACAAAATCCAAAATCGGATAACTTTACCCTCCCATCGGCAGTAAGTAATATAGAGTCAGATTTAATGTCCCTATGAATAACCCCTTGAGAATGTAAATATGCAAGTGGCTTTAAACACTGTGAACACACTGTAGCTATCTGACTTTCATCCATGCGAGAATGCGTAACGATATCTGTGAGTGCTCCACCTTCGAGGTACTCCATCACAACCCATAGTTCATCGTCTACCAAGAAACTGTCGTACATTTCGACGATATTCGGATGATGATAATCTCTCATAATAACTACTTCGTTGAAAAGTAGTTCTCGTCTTTGCTGTTTTCTTAGATCCATTTTTTTCACTGCCACTTGACGATTCGTATTCTTTTCTGTCGCTATGCATACCGTTCCAGTACTGCCTTCGCCGATTTTAAGAAAATTTTCCAAATTCTCTCTTGGATCGCCTCTACTTACCTATGATTTAAAATAACGAAACAATATGTTTAAAGCATCGTGTTTTTATTCGTAGGAAATATTTCATGTTCTTACCACCATCTGTAAAGCAGCTCGAAATTGTTCATGAGTGAGCCTTTGTTCTGCTGTTTGCTTGTTAGATGTATTCGAGCTTGAACTAACTGCTAAATTTCCTGAAGATATAGCGCTTTTCATATTCTGATTTTGATCCGGAGTTGAACTACTTCCGGAAGATGGCATATTCATCTTTGATAAATTATGCATCGATTGAGATGTTTCGATAGGTTTCTTCATATGTGATTGTAAAATTGACGAATTATCTGGTGTACCATACGCTTGCGAATACTTATTAACGTTATGAGAACTCAATTGACTCAACGGACGTTGCGAAGCAATGGATCCTACAGGTGATATTTTAGGTTGTAGCTTATGCAAAAGGGTATTTTGAGTCATCTGTTGGTCCCTCGAAGACGGCTCGATGTTAGGAACCTACGTAAAGAACATATGTTTATCGTTAAATATGTAATATGAAAATTTCTAATAAGCAAACATTAATTACCTGTATGTTTCCATTGTATTGACCAGAAACTGTGGTCACCTGAGTATTTAATCTGTGAAATTCAGGATCCGCGAGCTGAGGAGTACTTGGACTTTGCGTAGAACATTGTAGGGTAGTAATTGGACTCAAATTTTGGAAATTTAAAGATAAATTAGGAGCGTTTGATCCAGGATGCGTTAAATTCGGAGATGATTGCATATTTGGATTGAGATTCTGAAGGTTTGGAATCATATTTTGGGCATGAGGATTTAATCCACCTACAACATTGGAGGGATTCTGTCTCAGCTTATCTAAGTAATTGTGTTGCTTTCCAAAGTTGGCATATCCTTGTACTTGGTTAGCATTGGATGGAATTTCTTGACCTTCGGGCACAGATGGTGGCAAATTACTGTTGTGCCTATAGCGTGAATAGTGTAAATAGAAAAACAGTAAAGTATTTAACATTTTTAATTCAGTAATTAACTTTGTAAGTAAAAAAAGAGTAACCTATAATCCCTTCTTAGCCTTGGTGGACTCGAAGAGCGAAGAGAATTAGACCTTGCTACAGTACTGGTTTTAGGTAATCCATTTTCAGTACTTTTATCACTGATAGGTGTCCTTCCTTTTGGATCATTATGACCTCGAACAATGGTCTTTAAGTCAAGAATTTCAGTTGGTGTAATTTCACTTGGATCTACAAGAGGTAAAGGTCTGTTCGTAGACTTTAAAATTTGATTGTTTCCAACAATAGATGCCCATTGTAGCGGTAGTCCAATGAATTTTCCTTCTCTTTTATCAAATCCTGTATGTACACGATGTTCAAAGTTTGTTGGAGTTGATATTTGTGGTTTCTTTTTCTTTTTGGTAAACATTGCCTTTTCTGTAACAAGTAAAATTAAGATATTTAAAGTGTCATCTGTATCAAATATCATGTCAATTTAAGTGTATGTGTGCGTGCGTATATTTGTTTGTACGATGTTTAGTCTAAGAAATAGTTACTTGTTTTAAATGAGATAGAATACGTTCGAATCTGTCATTCGTTCTTCGAAAAAGTTTGCATTCCAGTAGTTAATTTTGACACCTTATCGGATGCACAGTTTACGAGGGTTATTAACGGAAATCTATTTTAAAAGAAGAAAAATTTATAACGCGCGTCGCTGCTTAAAATTCAAAGAAAATAACAGAGACGAAGGGAAGCCAAATGACAGCAACGCCTACCAGTACGTAATGCGGCCGCCTTAAAGTGGTTTCTTTCAACTGTTGGTTGAATCTTCCAGTACTTGTTGTTTTCTGCTAACGTTACAGCTCTTTAGAAATATATCAAAATTGAAATAATGCCGAACCATAGAGAATTGAGCAATTAAAATAGGTAAATACGGCATTTAGACTTTCGACAGGTCGTTCACACACCGGCGCTCCGCGCGGAGAGCTTACGAATCTTACCTGGCATTTGGCTCGTGACAATTTACTTAAATGTGCGTGAGGTAGCACCTGCACCGAGATTACCACGAAGAACGTAACGCACAGAAAACTGTGTCGAGAGAAAGCGATTGCCGATCGCGATTCGGAAAGAAAAGGTACGCCGATTTACGATCAGCATAGAGTAGACGTTGTACAAATATGTTGTTTTTTCTATTTAGCAATAATAAGTAGTACCTTTCAAACTAGAAGCGAAATGGTCCTAAAATAAAATTGAATATAAATGAAACGGAAGTGCGCATCGAATTTTAAGCGGTTGCAATTTTAACAGTAATTTGCAATTTACTTGTAATCTAATCGAAATCAATAAAAGTATTACATCCTATATTTCCATCATCACCGTCCTTGCTTAGAAATCTACTTTCAAAAAGTAGAAAAGCATTTTGCTACTGAACAATGTAAAATTGAAAAAAGCTCTTTGCATAATCAGTTGTATAATCTTAATAAAGGAATAAAAATGTTATATGCACAGCATCGAGCAACGTTTGTAGGTAGATGGTGGGGGAGAAATAAGCCTATACAGACATATATGAGGCCCCTTCTTTCACATTGTCATTTTCCCTATGCCACCTGTGGGATGGAGTGGTAGCCCTCGGAAGGGGCAGCCTTCGTGGAGGGCCCTGAACCCGATAGTAAGTTTAAGAATTGGTTTGTAGTTTATTTATCTTTCATTCTTTATTTATGTATTTATCTTCTTAACGTAGTGAATAAACTCATTAAGAGACTGAACGTGTCGATTTTCTCCTACCCCTTACATTCCAGCATCCCTTACATCACGGCTTCTCTTACATCCCTGCAACCCTTACACCCCTGCAACCGTTAAATTTCTTTTTTTTTAGGCTTTCTACCGAATTGCTGAAAGATTTTAGTGTTTCCTTGGGGTGGAGAAAAAATGACGATACGGATCGTAAGAGGTGACAGGTGGGTAGGAGTTTCTATTAACAATTGCAGAAGTTCAACGAACAACAGGGGTCCTTGACACCCCGGAAGCCATAATGTCGGTATGTAAACAGTGTCAACGATAAACCGGGGTCCCAGATACCCCGAATGCCATAATACCGGTATACAGGGAGTGTACGGTGCTACGGGGTCCCAGACACCCCAGGTTCGAAGCAGGTCAAACCCATCACTATCCCGAACAAGTCAGTTTCACGATTTGTTCGTTTTCCGTTCTTATATTTCGCTAGATCCGATCAAACCCATCACTATTCCGAACAAGTGAGTTTCAGGATTTGTTCGTTTTCCGTTCTTATATTTCGCTAGATCCGCTCAAACACATCACTACTCCGAACAAGTAAGTTTCACGATTTGTTTGTTTTTCGTTCTTATATTTCGCTAGATCCGCTCAAACCCATCACTATTCCGAACAAGTAAGTTTCACGATTTGTTTGTTTTTCGTTCTTATATTTCGCTAGATCCGCTCAAACCCATCACTATTCCGAACAAGTAAGTTTCACGATTTGTTCGTTTTTCGTTCTTATATTTCGCTAGTTGCGTGGGGTCCTTGAAACCCCAGATACCATAATGTCGGTATGCGGAATCATCGGCCCTTCGGGGTCCTTAGAACCCCGCGACAATATAATTTAGATATGCAGAATCGTCGGTGCCTGGGGTCTTTAGAACCCCGCGATCAATATAATTTAGGTATACAGAATCGTCGGTGCTTGGGGTCCTTAGAACCCCGGGTGGTATAATATGAGTATGCAGAGATACTGGCTGGTGTTTCGGGTTCCTTAAGACCCCAATATGATATCAGGGCGGTACGTAGAGATAGTGACTGGTGCTTCGGGGTCCTCAGAACCCCGGATGGTATAATATAGGTATGTAGAGATACTGGCTGGTGTTTCGGGTTCCTTAAGACCCCAATATGGTACCAGGGCGGTACGTAGAGATAGTGACTGGTGTTTCGGGGTCCTTAGAACCCCGGATGGTATAATATGGATATGTAGAGATACTGGCTGGTGTTTCGGGTTCCTTAAGACCCCAATATGATATCAGGGCGGTACGTAGAGATAGTGACTGGTGTTGCGGGGTCCTTAGAACCCCGGATGGTATAATATGGATATGTAGAGATACTGGCTGGTGTTTCGGGTTCCTTAAGACCCCAATATGATATCAGGGCGGTACGTAGAGATAGTGACTGGTGCTTCGGGGTCCTTAGAACCCCGGATGGTATAATATAGGTATGTAGAGATACTGGCTGGTGTTTCGGGTTCCTTAAGACCCCAATATGGTACCAGGGCGGTACGTAGAGATAGTGACTGGTGTTTCGGGGTCCTTAGAACCCCGGATGGTATAATATGGATATGTAGAGATACTGGCTGGTGTTTCGGGTTCCTTAAGACCCCAATATGATATCAGGGCGGTGCGTAGAGATAGTGACTGGTGCTTCGGGGTCCGTAGAACCCCGGATGGTATAATATAGGTATGTCGAGATACTGGCTGGTGTTTCGGGTTCCTTAAGACCCCAATATGATATCAGGGCGGTACGTAGAGATAGTGACTGGTGTTTTGGGGACCTTAGAACCCCGGATGGTATAATATGGATATGTAGAGATACTGGCTGGTGTTTCGGGTTCCTTAAGACCCCAATATGATATCAGGGCGGTACGTAGAGATAGTGACTGGTGCTTCGGGGTCCTTAGAACCCCGGATGGTATAATATAGGTATGTAGAGATACTGGCTGGTGTTTCGGGTTCCTTAAGACCCCAATATGGTACCAGGGCGGTACGTAGAGATAGTGACTGGTGTTTCGGGGTCCTTAGAACCCCGGATGGTATAATATGGATATGTAGAGATACTGGCTGGTGTTTCGGGTTCCTTAAGACCCCAATATGATATCAGGGCGGTACGTAGAGATAGTGACTGGTGTTGCGGGGTCCTTAGAACCCCGGATGGTATAATATAGGTATGTAGAGATACTGGCTGGTGTTTCGGGTTCCTTAAGACCCCAATATGATATCAGGGCGGTACGTAGAGATAGTGACTGGTGCTTCGGGGTCCTTAGAACCCCGGATGGTATAATATAGGTATGTAGAGATACTGGCTGGTGTTTCGGGTTCCTTAAGACCCCAATATGGTACCAGGGCGGTACGTAGAGATAGTGACTGGTGTTTTGGGGTCCTTAGAACCCCGGATGGTATAATATGGATATGTAGAGATACTGGCTGGTGTTTCGGGTTCCTTAAGACCCCAATATGATATCAGGGCGGTACGTAGAGATAGTGACTGGTGCTTCGGGGTCCTTAGAACCCCGGATGGTATAATATAGGTATGTCGAGATGCTGGCTGGTGTTTCGGGTTCCTTAAGACCCCTATATGATATCAGGTCCGTACGTAGAGATATTGACTGGTGCTTTGGGGACCTTGGCACCCCGGATGCTATAATGTTGGTACGCAGAGATACTTACCTGCGTTTCGCGGTCCTTAAGACCCCAATATGATATCAGGTCGGTACATAGAGGGCGCTATTGGCGCAGCGGGTTCCCTAACACCGCAGGATGAAATCAGGTGCGTATGAAGAGGGCACAACAAATATAATTATTTCCAGAGATTATTTAATTTACTTCATTTATTTTTTTTTGCTTATTAAATAAGCTCATCGAAGTGGAATAACATTTATGATTATATCCCTCTTCCGGGCCTCAGCCGAGGACACCATTTATTTTACTTTTCCCAGTTATTTATATAATTTCATCCCTCATTATAGGCCGAGGCGATCTCTGTATCCCTTACATCCCTGCATTCCTTCCATCCCAGCATTCCTTATATTCCTGCAAACCTTAAATTGCTTTTTTTTTTTTTTTTTTTTTTAACGTGGTGGAAATCTTCAGAAAGACACCTTCAGCTCCCCTGGGGAGGGGCCGAAGGTAGTGTGGGATTTTTACCCACTAAAACCACCACGGTGGCCCGCACTAGGGCTGAATGGAGGGTCTTTTGACCCTTCGCCAAGTGCCAAACTCCGCCTACATCGGGGGCCACACCCGATGCTGGCACTCCTTGGGCCGCGTGCAATAGTGACCGGGGCCCCAGCCCCGGACTCCTGCGGCATTCCTTTACATCCCCCGTTTCGATACATCTCTGCATCCCTTACATCCCTGCATTCCTTTCATCCATACATTCATTTCACCCCTACATTCCCTTCATACTACATTGTTATCATCCTTACATTCACTTCATCCCGGCATTCCTTTCATCGCTTCATCCCTTACATCCCTACATTCCTTACATCCCTGCATTCCTTTCATCCCTACATTGTTATCATCCCTACATTCTCTTCATCCCTACATTCCTTTCATCGCTTCATCCCTTACATCCCTACATTCTCTTCATCCCTACATTCCTTTCATCGCTTCATCCCTACATTCCTTACATCGCTTCATCCCTTACATACCTACATTCCTTACATCCCCGCATTCCTTTCATCCCTACATTCCTTCCATCGCTTCATCCCTACATTCCTTCCATCGCTTCATCCCTTACATGCCTACATTCTCTTCATCCCTACATTCCTTTCATCGCTTCATCCCTACATTCCTTACATCGCTTCATCCCTTACATCCCTACATTCCTTACATCCCTGCATTCCTTTCATCCCTACATTCCTTCCATCGCTTCATCCCTTACATGCCTACATTCTCTTCATCCCTACATTCCTTTCATCGCTTCATCCCTACATTCCTTACATCGCTTCATCCCTTACATCCCTGCATTCCTTTCATCCCTACATTCCTTCCATCGCTTCATCCCTTCATCCCTACATTCCTTCCATCGCTTCATCCCTTACATCCCTGCATTCCTTTCATCCCTACATTCCTTCCATCGCTTCATCCCTTCATCCCTACATTCCTTCCATCGCTTCATCCCTTCATCCCTACATTGCTCACATCTCTGCATCCCTTATAATAAATATATTACAAAGACGTCTTCGAGTAAGGTTTTTTTTTCAAAGGTTTCACGAAAATCTCGAAAAAAGCGCCCCCTAGCGGCAAAAATGTGAACTAAAATTTCGATGTTGAATCAGCGCCATCTGGTTTTGGAAAAAGGAACTAAAGCATGCTCAATTTTTGGCCCTCTGGCGGCAAAAATGTGAACTAATATTTCGATGTCGAATCAGCGCCATCTGGTTTTGGAAAAAGGAACTAAAGCATGCTCAATTTTTGGCCCTCTGGCGGCAAAAATGTGAACTAAAACTTCGATGTCGAATCAGCGCCATCTGGTTTTGGAAAAAGGAACTAAAGCATGCCCAATTTTTGGCCCTCTGGCGGCAAAAATGTGAACTAAAATTTCAATGTCGAATCAGCGCCATCTGGTTTTGGAAAAAGGAACTAAAGCTTGCTCCACTTTTGGCCCTCTCGCGGCAAAAATGTGAACTAAAATTTTCAGGCCGAAGCAGCGCCCTCTGGCGGTGAAAAAAGGAACTAAATTTTGCAAAATATTTCCGAGAAACTAACTTACCTTTACTTACCTTTACCTACCTTTACTCGTAGCATCTTTGTATTATATTTATTATAAGGGATGCAGAGATGTAAGGAATGTAGGGATAAAAGGAGTGTGGGGATGTAAGGGATAGAGCGATGTAAGGCATGCAGGGATGAAAAGAATGTAGGGATGTAAGGGATGAAGCGAGGTAAGGATTGTGGGGATGAAAGGGATGAAGCGATGTAAGGAATATAGGGATGAAAAGAATGTAGGGATGTAAGGGATGAAGCGATGTAAGGAATGTAGGCATGTAAGGGATGAAGCGATGTAAGGAATGTAGGGATGAAAAGAATGTAGGGATGTAAGGGATGAAGCGGTGTAAGGAATGTATGGATGAAAAGAATGCAATGATGTAAGGGATGAAGCGATGTAAGGAATGTAGGGATGAAAAGAATGTAAGGATGTAAGGGATGAAGCGGTGTAAGGAATGTGTGGATGAAAAGAATGCAATGATGTAAGGGATGAAGCCATGTAAGGAATGTAGGGATAAAAAGAATGTAGGAATGTAAGGGATGAAGCGATGTAAGGAATGTAGGGATGAAAATAATGTAGAGATGTAAGGGATAAAAAGAATGTAGGAATGTAAGGGATGAAGCGATGTAAGGAATGTAGGGATGAAAATAATGTAGAGATGTAAGGGATGAAGCGATGTAAGAAATGTAGGGATGTAAGGAATGTAGGGATAAAAAGAATGTAGGGATGTAAGGGATGAAGCGATGTAAGGAATGCAGGGATGAAAATAATGTAATGATGTAAGGGATAAAGCGATGTAAGGAATGTAGGGATGTAAGGGATGAAGCGATGTAAGGGTTGCTGGGATGTGCGGAAAGCGGTGATATAAGGGTGTAGTGATATAGAGGAATCAGAGATATTATGGGTGCAAACGGGAGTAATAAAATCAACACGATCGTCCTCCTAAGGAGTTTATTCAATAAGCTAAGAATGTAATTACAGCAAATTAAATGAACGCAGAAAATAAAATAAGGGTATCTGTATGCCTTTAGCTAGGCATCTGGAGCTCCTACTCCAGGCGCAAGGGCTGTCTGACACCCCACGATGATATTTGCCGATGCGCAGAGAGAGTCGCAGCGGTCCCTGACACCCCAAAATGATATTAGATCGCTACGCTGTGTCGCAGGGGTCCTTGACACTCCAAGATGATATTTTGTCGATGCCCAGAGATAGTTGCCAAGGTCCCTGAAACCCCAAAACGATATTAGGTCTGTGCGTAAAGAGAGTCGCTGGGGTCCCTAACACCCCTGATGCCATCATATCGATATTTCATTTCATTTAATTTCAGGTTTCCCTATTTAACGGTGGCGTACTCTAAGGACTTTACATCGGTCCCTTTTTGCCCATCGAAAATTATCAGCCACGCGCGTGTACGCGTGATTTTTGAAATCTCTAGTCATTCGCACCGTACGTTACTTCATACATTCGCCGTACTTTTTCTTCTGTTTCTTATCCTTACTTTTACATCATACTACCTTGCTCCATTACAACCCCCTTTCAGTCGCCTCTTACGACAGGCAGAGGATACCGTGGCCGTATTCTGATCCCCCCGAGCCACAGGGGGCACCATATCGATATGCAAGGAGTATTAATGGTGCTTCGGCGTCCCTGAGACCCCAAGCCATCGACCATTGCGCCATTTATACAAAAACGGCGCAAACTATTCGTTAACTTACCGACTTCCGAAGGTTCGATTGCCGACTATCGGGAGTTCAGTCGATAATTCGGTAATTTATTGAGTAGTTTCCGCCGCTTTTGTATAGATAGCGCAATGGTCGAACTTTAAAAATACTTAATTCTAGGCGGTCTTCTTAAAATATAACTTCGACAAATAATTATTCTAATAAATTTTCGGTCTTGTCGAATTAAAAAAAATAAACCCTTCTCCTTCGACGTCCAAAGACAGACTGACGCTCCTTAGCGCGTTGTCGGAGATACAGTATCAATCCTAATAAACTCTTTCTAATGAATTTGCGTTTACTATTAACGCAAATAGAAACATAAAAAGACCAGCTGTCTAGCAAAGAATAGTCAGGTAATGAATTGAATAGGGCGTGTCTTTATTTCATCGTTTTTACACCGTTGCCTTTTGTATCTCTTATACGCTGAATAGAAATCGATTTCCTACTCGATGCAATTACATATGCAACACTCTGTTTTTCCAAGAAATATTTACTCGCTATCGCTGAGTTATGCTTGATATTAAAATGCAGGTATAAAAGGAAAGAAAACGAGATTAAGCTGTGATAAAAGGTTTCAAGGGGAACAATAAAAGGAACGCGACAATGGGTATAGTGTGTCGTTAAAAACACGTATACAAAAGGAGATGAAAGAACCTCGATGAAACGATAACTTTCTCCAGATGTATTGGACATACGTACAGATATAGAAATACAAATAGAAACAAAGAATGATTCGTGATTCGTGATTCATAAACCATGAACTATATTCCGTAAGGACTGGGAACATGTTGCCGCGTCGCGATTCGATATCGAATAGAAAATCATTTCCGATAGCAAAGATCAATATGCCAACAACGATGTTTCGTGTACTAACGAGAAAAGACAATAAAATCGGCGCGGTTTTACTACGCACACAGGTACAGGGATACATTAAATATGTGTGTATACATGGTACGTGTGTTTTACTTGTGTGTCTGTACGTGTATACATACGTATATACGCGTATGCGTGTATTATGTACTAGTGTGTGTATATATTTGTATATATATTATATTTATATATAACATCGATCGAAGAAAATTGCCTAATCGGTAGGCTGTGGTCCGCAATGTGGGTATTCGTCGGTGTATCTCTCTGGTCGTGTAGGTACGCACGACGCGTTGAACGAGGAGATGACCGCCGAAAAAAGATTCCCCCGTACACGTTTCCTCGCAATTTCATCGAGATTTTCAATCTCGAAGCGAGGCCTACTTCGTTTAAAGAGACGGTGTTCGGCTCCTTCGAGGAAAGCTCTTTACCTTCGAGGAGCTTTCATTATTAAAGTCGATTATTATCGATCACGAAGGATGGTCAGAAGTTTACATAGATGGACGGATGATCATCGTACCGAACATCGTACTTTCTTCTCGGAACGCGAATCGTTTTTACCTTATTTTTCTTTTTTTTTTTTTTTCATTTTTACGTTTTTTTTTCCTATCGCTTCTACCCTTTTTCTTCCATTACGCGCATTTTATTCCCTATCGAATTGGTCCTTTCAATTACGTGGCCCTGTCTCTGGTGGTTCTCGATTTTCTTCTTTATTTCTTCGCGTTTAACGTCGCTGCCCTCGACGGTGATGAGATCACGAGAAGAGCAGAAGACGGTTTTCGTTGGAAGAGAGAAAAAGAGAGAAAAAGAGAGCATGCATCGAGAGCAAAGTCAGAAGAGAGAAACAAGGTGTGCGTAGGTGTAATGCGTGTGTTTGTTTCAGAAGAGAAGAGATTACAAGTTTTATTCGCGCGTTAGAAAATCGCATCGCAATCGTTTCGCGTTTATAAAAAATGGCCGATGATACGTTTCGATGAATCGGTTTACGAACGAACTCGACTCGTTCCTTGGGATGTAAGATCGCTGGTTGAACCATTCTCGTGCTCGATGGACGGGTAATTATTACATTAAATAACGTTCGAGACCGAGGTACAATTGCTCGACGAGTAACACGCTTACTCGAAACGCGAGCAACAAAATTGCCTAGGAATTTTTTTTTTTCAACGACCACCTGCCTATATTTGTGCGAGTTTAAAAAAGATCGATTTCGTTGCACGAGAATTCGATTTCGCGTTAAATCTTAACAAAATTTGCAACAATTGTATTTTACGGTATTTACCCATTCCTCTCTTCTACTTATCCCCTATTTTCCTTTCTTTCTTCCCTTCCTTCCTTCCTTCCTTCCTTCCTTCCTTCCTTCCTACATTTTCTTGTTTCCTTCGCTTTGGTTACCTTTGTCGACCGAGTAGACGACGAATCAAGTAAGGCGACAAACGTTTGTACTATCGACAAACGTCAAAGCATCGGATCTGCTCTGATAACGATAGAACCGACGTTGGAAGATACGAATAAGTGTTACTCCTGCGTGGTTAGATTTGCGCACGAAATACAGCATACCTACGTCCAAGTGATACGCTTTATCTACTATACACTTACTAATTGTAAGATTCGATGATAACCGAAGATCGGTTACACGTAGCTACGCATCGGTCTACACGATTTCGGAGAACAAGATTCCGTAAGGTTTACGTAATTCGCGTTAGATATCGTAGACAATGGAATGGCGATACATCGAGCATGCGAAGAGAAAAGAGATCGATAAAACGATTGCATCACGACGCCGGGAAAAAAATTGGGAAAAATGGGTAAAGGGGTAGGGACAGTTGACAGGGGATAGAAAAAAGGTGCGCAACGCGCGGCTTTCTGCCGAATTGCCGAAAGATTTTAGTGTTTCTATAGGGGAGGAGAAAAAAAGACGATACGGATCGTAAGGGGTGACAGGTGGGTAGGGGTCTCGATTAACAATTGTAAAAGTTCGAAGAACAACGGGGGTCGTGTTTTAGTCGTCGTAAAAGAAATTAAAGGACGTGTAAATTTTCGCAACTCTTGGACTTGCTGTCCCTCGCCCATACTTTACCTAATAAATTTCGTACCTTCAGGCTGGTACTTGTACGACTACCTCGATATTTTTTCGGCGAATTATTTTCAGAGCAAGATCCTAAAGGCGATTTACTACGATTCTTTCGCGATCTTTTTCGAAAGAGGTCCCTCGTTCGTTCGGGGTTCTCGAGCTTCAAACGAATCTGCGTTAGCAAACCGACCAGAAGTTCGTCGACGTTATGATTGATACCAACGGACGTCTCGATGAACTTGCAATCGTACGATGTAGCCATAGACTTTCCTTCTGCAACAGGAAACGCGGGAGAAATTAATCGTGTATAGAGTTTCGATGCCTGCCTCTTACCTTCGGTCGAAACCAATCGACTGCGAACGAGGTCGACTTTGTTCCCAACTAGAATCACCGCTCTGGCCGATACGTAATCGCTCCGCCATAGAGTCTGCAAAACTTCCTCGGCGATTCGTACCGAGGCTCGATCGGTCGTCGAATAGACGACGCAGTAAGCGTGCGGTTCGTACGTGGCTATGCAATTCTCTGGCTGTAAAGGAAAGGAGAAAAGAAAAAAACCACGAGCCATGGAAGGATCGAGATCGATAACGACCGCGTTCCTTCGCTTCCTTCCGATCCCGTAGTCAAGGTGTCGTCGCCATCTCGACACCAAGTCGATCGATCGCTAAACCGTTTCACGCTCGACCGATCGTTCGTTACGGCTCGATGCTCGTCAATCGCAACCTCGGCTAACGCGTTCGAGCTTACCGATCCACCTGACCGCGGCCCCTTTTTTACGCTCTACCTCGCCCTCTCAAAAGAAAAAAAAAAAAGACGAGATTTCGATCGATCGATCGATCTCGAGAGCGGAACGATTCTTACCGTCATCTCGGCGCAAGAATGATCGATAAAAGTCAGCTCGGATTCTTCGCCGGCCAACAGCACGCTGACCGTTTTCTCTCCCGACTCGTCGTCTGCAAGGAAATCAGCACGAATCTGAGCTTGATAGGTGACAAGGAATACGGGGGAGATTAAAAGAGACTTACTGGCGTGGAGGAAGTCTTACCGATCGATGTGTCGTAAGCGTGAAGATACTCGGAGGTCATGAATTGGGAAACGAGGGAGCTTTTGCCAACGGCCGGAGCTCCGAGCATGAGCACGCGGTACGGCGTTGGTCCCTGAGACGCGCTGCTCTCGCGAGAACTGGCCAACGAGCCGGCTGCGGAGTTCCTCGCCGAGCCAGGATACGAAGCGGTCAGATGTTCCGTGCTGCACCGCCGTTGATTGCCACGCCAAAAGAAAGCGACAAAAGCACGAAAGAAGAACAAGAAAGAAAGAAAGAAGCACGTCACTGTTGTATAAGTGTATGTACATAAATTGTATTTATCCGGGCAATAAATTGGCTAGCTGGTTATAAATCGATGGCCGTTTCCATATTTCCCACCCTAACTAACTAACTAACTAACCACCACCCACCTAGCCTCTTTCAATTTTCTCTTTCGCATGCATCTCTACCAGAGGGACCTTCTACGTATAATCTATTTTTTATTCCCGATCGATTGTACCTCGACGAACGGATCGACGGTGATCAAGGAGGGGCAGAGCCTCCGATAGGGACACTCGTGCGCCTTGCCTTTCTTTCGACGTCGCGGATGGATCCTGTTCTAAAGTCCAACACGTGCGTCTACGTCGCTTGAACGCTTATGCTACACGTAAACTCACGCGTTCGATTTAGAGTAGAACCGTGTGTTTGTCAGAGAAATTTTCGTATCCTAAAAACCCTCCACTCCTTCTGAACGGGCCTCGTGTGTTCCTTCTTTCTTCGACCACAACGATCCTCCTTGTTCGTTCTACCAGCTCTACTACTTATGTTACCAGAGTTATATACCAAGGGACACGGGGGAGGGGTTTCGTAACCGCGCGATATCTTTTGAAAGATCGAGAGAACAGCAAAGTCTCACCTCGAATTGCTCGAAGCGACGCTATTGTTGGATCGGGATCTCCGACTTTTTAACGAGTCACCTCGGTTCACCACCCCTTTACCGGTTATGCTGAAATGCCGTAGTCTGTAGTACTCTTCCTCGACGCCGGTGTTCGGCATGCTCGCCACCCTCGACCTTTGCTGGGGAAGACAGAGATAATTCGCCCTGCCCGACGAACGGCTGCCGGGGGTCTTGACCGACTGGGACCGACTGTGATGTGGGCTGCCGTATCTACGGTCATCAAGTCAACCATCCGATATTCTCTATATCCTAGCTGAACCACTCATGTGCGCGGTTTAATTTATGCGACGGACGAACCTCATCTCGAAGTCGTGTATCTCCTGCAGCGTCAGCGTGTTCGCCACGTCCAACAGTTGCCTCATGTTCTCTTCTCGACGCCTGACGTCCAGCTCCGGGTGCAGCAGTATCGTGGCAGCGCCGGCCGAACCATCCAACGACAGCGACGGTTGTTGAACCACGATCGTTGCCGCTTGCGCCGATCTCTTATTTCCGCTCGCGTTGCCCCCTTTTCGATATTACAAAGCAAACGTTTCGTTACCTCCTCTATCGTCAACGCGTTTTACTTTCTCACTTTCACACTATCGCGTCATCTTTCTCATTTTCGATCAAGATTAATTTATAATATTCTCTTAGCTCATTTCTAAAGCGTTAAGCTTCGAACACATACGCGTGCGTGTTTCCAAGCAGAATTGCCGCCCGTCTACCAAAAAATCGTAAGCAAGTAATTTTTCTTACTTCCCCCTTTAACGATTACGCGTCGCACGGTTTCCTTTGGCCTTCTACTTTCGCCGATATTTCGGGAAAGCGCGCGTATCTTTAGACGGAATGGATTTGCACGCTCGGTTGAGGGTATCGATCCCTGTACCAGGGGTAAATCTTGTCCAAGGAGGGATACGATTAGACGGGTACGGAAGCGGAAGGACGTTCGATAGAGACGAAACGACGAAGAAGCGAAAGAAAGGGTGACGAAGGCGGCAATTCGTTGGAAGCTATCGGTGGCGAATGAAGCGTTGTTAACTACGGTTAAGTCTTACTAAAATCGGCGAAAATGGTGAAATTGGCGAAACATGCGTACCAGCCTATCGAAAATCCAAGAGCTTCTCAAGCTCCGAAATACCGTAGTAGTAATAGTAGATAACAGAGCGATGCAACAACGGATGGGTTTGCGATCGATGATCGGCGATTCCTCTCCTCTCCTCTCCTCTCCTCTCCTCTCTTCTTCTCTCTATTTCTACACAGATATCATTGTACCCTTTCACAAGATTTCCCATTCAATTTCGCTTATTATGAAAACAAAGTAAGATCAGAGAGTGAGAGAGCGAGAGAGAGGGGGAGCGCGAGCCCTAATTTTGACAAGATCGTAAGAATATAAGCGGTAAACGCAACAAGAGGAAAGGAATAAAGGAAAACGTATCGAATGCAGGATGTCGAAAGCAAGTAAAGAGTTTCGATATGTATACTCTACTCGCGATTGAATGCCGATAGGGCAGAAGAGAAAAGGCACGCTTGTGTGTGTGTGTGTGTGTGTAGGTGTGTGTATGACCCGCGGTCTATAAACGAGGCCGGCTCGAACCGAGAGATCGCCGGCTCGATCGAGCGGTTAATTAACTTTGGAAAAGAAAATTTAATAGGAGGCCAAACGCGTATAGCGATGTTCGATCGGATTCGAAGATCCCTCGATTTCGATGACACGGTCTCTGGAAACACAACTCGAGCAGAATCAACTTTAATACCTATTGCGCAAAACGGGAAAAAGAGCCTGACCCATGAATGAATGGTTGAAACGAGGGGATGCGATTCTGAAAGAAAACAATAACATTGATTTTCTTAACGAGAATTGAATTTCAAGTCGATCTTTTCTACTTCGCTCTCGCATTTCTCTCGCGTTTCATCGATTTTTTTAAACGAAGCTATCTTTTCGCTGACGCGACGGTACGCGGTTCGGGGCTCGTTTTTCGCCTGTTTACATTCTTCTATCTCTTTTCAAAGAAAGATTCAGTGACACCATTGAGAAACGTATGTAGGCTGGGTATATGTAAACGTATATCGGTGAAGGGGCCAAGTTTCGATCGTCTCGACTCACCTGCGGCCTTTCCTCGAGATTTCCCGTTACCGGTCCTACCCGGACCGTCGGAGGACCGCTCGATGCTCGCACGCGTTCCTATCAACGACACGTCCAAGGGGTTCGTCGTTACGTTCACGCTTGGCTTCCCTTGGCCCTGTTTCGTCTCGTCGCTCGGTGAATTGGCATCCTCTTGGTTTCTGGTCAGAAGCAACGTCAACATCGGATTCGAGCAATTCGAATCCGGTTGACCCGCGTCCACCGAACCTCTTACGGGTGTGCTGAAAAATAATTTTCTGTTATTCCGATATGCGAAGGCTAGACGGAAGCGAATAAAATTGATGATACGACGCACCTAAAGAAATCGGCCGCTCGAAGATCCGGAAGCGCCGGAGTTCTCCCGGAAACGGACACCCTGGTCTCGTTGAGGAGGCTGGTGGCGTTGGGCATCGCGTCGACGACCGGAAGCGTGACGGTCTCGTCGAGAAGATTCGCGATGCTAGATGCTCGAGCATCGAGACGCGCGTTGTCGGTGTCGGATTTGAAGGTGGCACCGTTCGATGCCGATCCAACGCTCTCCTCGAGTTCCTTCTCGTCGTCGGTCGAGTATTCGATCGGTAGCGAAGACGGAGGTTGGGGTGGTGGTGGCGGGGGTGGCGGCAACGGAGGAGGCGGAGGAATCGGTTCGAGTTCGGTCGTTGAAACGGTGGAGGACGGTGCGGGAGGAGACATCTCCGAGGGGATGTCCATCAAATCGAAACTATCGTCCGGCTGCTCTCCGTCCGTTGTCGTCACCTACGGGATTATGGATTAACGGAACGCAGCCGAAAGGGAAGGAGATGGTTATTTACCATTGTGAGCATCGTGTTGGCGCTGTCGGTGCTGGTGTTGATGGTAGTTTCGGAGGCGGTGCTCGAACCCATGACCACGACCTTTGGAACGGTGCGACAACTTCGACTGCCGCCGGCGGATTTGAAGTGCAGCCTTCGTAGCGCGGAGGCAGCGTGAGACAACAGATCGGTTTCCCGCGAATTATCCGCTCCATTGTGCCGATGGGATGCACCGCTACCGTTCGCACGCGATACCTGCGTTTGCGATTGCGATTGCGATTGCGATTGCGATTCCGACGAGGATTGGGATTGTGATTGCGATTGCGACTGCGACTGCGGCTGCGACTGCGACTGCGACTGCAAATGCGGCTGTGACTGCGACTGCGGCTGCTGCGACTCGGCCCTCGCCGCCGAATCGGTCCCATTGCCCCGTGTGTTACCCTCCTTCTTACGGCCGGCTGACCCGCGACCATCCGCCACACATCCCTGTTCGCAATACCAACCGATCTCTTTTCTCTCCTTTCTCTCCTTTCTCTCCTTTACTCACCCCCCCTGACACCCCCTTTTCAATCGCGTACTCACGTGGTTTCTGTGCTCTGGGGTGGAGGGCGGATTCGGTGTGTTTGGCAGAGAACCCCCTGTGGGGGTGCAATGCCGCAGTCGCGCCAGGGCCGTACGAAGCCCCTCCGTCACGAGGCTCTTCTATACGATCCTAGCGATGCCACCTCTCCTCTTTCTTTCACACCCTCTATCTCGATCTCCTCCTTACTCTATCCTCTCTTTCATAACCCGATGCTTCTTTCTATAATTCCCTTTCTCCTTCTCCTCCTCCTCCTCCTCCTTCTTCCTCTTCGCCCCTTTATCGTGCCTCCCTCCTCCGCCTTCTCCTCCTCCTCCTCCTCCTCCTCTTCTGCACAACAAGCCGCGTAGATCGCTAAGAATTTTTGCCGACAACCTTTACGAACGCGTCACGCACCGTTTTCTCCTCTCGAGCATCGCGGAACAAGGAACGACGCGGTGGAACGAGGATTCGAATGCGTTCGCTCAAACTTTACTCGATACCGTCGCCTTTTTCGCCGAACCGTACGCGTTCTCTTCTCTTCATTCTGCTTTCTATCCCTCGTCTCGGGACTTTGTCTCCTCTATTCGACCGTGACCGTGGTCTGCAAAAGCGAAACGATACCAGGTTGACCCGACCCGACCCGACTCGACTCGACTCGAGCGTACAACGTTGCTAGAACGAGTCAGCTCTAATCGGAAACGGGAAATGGGAAATGGGAAACACGCGAACACGGTACACGCGGTGGCCGGCACGTGATCGGGCAACCACGTTTTGCATATCAGTGTCGACGAAAACCATCACCCTCGCTCGTCAACTCGTGGACTCGTACAAGTAAACGGGAGTTCCGTTCACCGATGCACCAAATATTATCTGGTAACAACGCGTTCGGATCGATAGCGTTTTACTCGTTTTACTTATCGTTGGCCGGCCATCGAATCGACGAGAATTACCTTCTTATCAAAGTCATCGAACCGAGTTCGTAGAGGTCGAAGAGAAGGATGCTCGCGACAGGTGGGAAAACGAAAACACGGTGAAAAAGGGTTGCAAAGTGCAACAACGGCGCATCGCGCGTCTCAGGATGAAGGAAAAATAAGAGTTTCGAGATAGCGCGCAATTTATCGATATTTCTTATTCTCTAAACTTCTTCCGAATATCTCGATATGGAACGATCGGTCGAGTCGATTGTCGGGGGCGATTATCGTTCGACGATACGTGACACGAGGCAGGAGTGTGCGCGTGTTACAGTTCGTACAACGACACCAAACCATGGACGCAACGAACAAATCAGTTTGTCTGTTGTTACGGACAAGAGTGTACAAGCGTTAATGAACACGGAAAAGGTCATTAGAAGAAACGAGTAAAAAGGCAAGGGGGTAGAAAAGGTATAGGGCAAATCTTGATCGAAATGCATCGACTCGAACGGAAATGAGCGGAAGAGAACGAAAGGGGAGGAGAATAGAATAGAGGGAAACATCGTTTGAAATAATTTCACGCGAGTCCCGACATCGAAGCCAGTAAAAAACTAGGTTTACGCCAGATACCTACGATCTGTCGGGCAAAACAACACCTTGCACGTTCGCGTTTCACGGATTACTGGCGTCGAGTGCGAGCGAGCATCGGGAAAGAACACTAGCGCTTGCGCGCTTTTACCCCAAGGGGGTAAAACTACTAAACTAGCAGCACCGTCGCAACCTATACCTGCCCTTATCCTCCCTGCTCGTATTCCTCCTCTTTCCGTTATCTCGCTTCTTCGCTCCTTTGCTCAACCCTGCCCCCTCCTCCTCCTTCGACCCTTATTCTTTCGACCAGCGAGTCAAGAAGTCGTATCCGTAATCCGTGCTCGTTTCGCTTTACCAAATTACTCCCCGGCTATTCCGTCTCCGCGTCTCTTTATACCATGTCTCTGGGTTTTTTTTTCTTATCTTTTCCTTTTTCCTACTAGGTATATAGCCATCGCTCCGAGCCGGTGCTACTACGAAAAGCAAAGGGTGGACCAGGATCGACCAACATCGACCAGTGCTCTCCTATCGACTCGGATCGATCAAACATTGTACGCACGGCCTAGTTTACGCTGCTGGACCAGACACCCACGACCAATCGATCGAGCTTAAACTTTGTTTTTCAAAATAAACGGAAAGATTGGAAGAGATAGCAGAGACGGTGATATCGGCGCTAGCCAGCCGGAATCGATAGGATTCCGCGGAGCGGCAAGTTTGATCGATATCGAAAGCGTTATACCAAAAACGTCGAGCGAGTTCCGACGCGAGTACAAAGCGGTCTATTACCCTCCACGTATTCCTGACAAATTATTATTGAACCTCATAAATCTGAAGAACATCTGCGCAGATGCGCCTCCGTTTCCTACCACCTATCCAGCTAGCTGCCATGCCGTCCGTAGTGCCGTTCACCTCTCGTTCACCTTTGCCCTACATTCTCTCCCTTTCGTCGCTCTACTTTTCACCTTGCACCTTTCCGTTTCTCGACCTCCTGCGTATCCGACGCAGAAACGAACGCGTTTCTTTTTATTCGGCTTTTTAAGGGCGCTAAACGGCGACGGACAAGACGAGGAGCAATGGACATGGAAATCGATGATAGCAGTCGGTCGCGCGCTGTCTCCGTACTTGAACGATTCAACGCGATTTAAACACACACGCCCTCGAATTGACCCGAAGCGTACGCGAGTTGATCGACCGCTTTGTCAAAACACCAACAGCTTACCTATCGATCCAAAGACTGCTCCACGTGCGTCCGCGTGCCGCATCGCGTCGCGTCAACCACCCCCTTACGCTTTTCGCGACATTTTTCTTCCATGCGATTGCTGCTCGAACGAACGAACGAACAATTACATTCTTCGCTAAAATTAACATTTCGAAAAGAATAGATCAATAAATAATTGTTTGAAAATACATTCAACGAATTTGCTTTCTCTGCATCGACCTTTCCTTCCCTTTACTTAAAAATATGATAATAAAAATACACCTCGATCAGCGATACTCGGCCAACTGTTGCCTATTCGACTAAACTCTGTACATATAGCTTCAGGGTTCGAATAAATGTTCTGGAGAAATAGTATCGCGACACCAATTCCTTTATTTCCAGGCGAACAACGCTTTCCAATCGCGACACTTTTAACGTTCCTTTCGTTATCTTTCGAACGGTGTACCCATACTCGGTTGTTTCGCTTAGAAAGAAACGATCGGATCGTGCGACATACGCGACGAAGGCTTACCATACCGCTTCAAAACGCAATCGAAACGACCCGTGTCTTCGTTTTTCATTTTCATCAACTCGCAACATCCATCGGTACAATACGTAGGACCGCCGCGCCGAGACAAGTAACGCGGAAATTTTCTTAATTGCTACTATACTTTAAAACGCGTATCGTCGTCGTCGTCTCCGTCTTCGTCATAGTCGTTGTTGAGAATCGTTCGCATCGTAATGTAATCGTTATTTACTCGACCTCTTAGTTAGTATACACACGCATCGATTCGTTAAATACACTCGTTCTCGCAACATATACGGTGTAAAAATGAAAACAGCGCAATATCTTTCTTTCTGGTCGAGCAGAATTTCATCCGTTCGAATCACGCGTATTCGTGCGTTCTGTCGCCGATTCCAACCGTCTACGTTTCTCAATTCTCTAAACGTACAAACTGCAGGTGTACACGATAGATTACGCTTATTTGCGCTACTTGTCCCGCGCAACGACGATAAGCAGAATTTTCTCGTCTCGAAAAACGAATGCAACAAAATTTGGCTGGAATTTGCGTCGGACACACGGTTACGCGTACGATCCTATTGGAAAAGTAGAAAATATATAATAAATACGGCTCGCGTAGAGATTTGTCTACCGAGAAGGAACGAACGGTCGGATCTAGTGTTAATCGGAGGGGGAGGGAGGGAGAAGAGAATTTCGAATAGACAAGTAAGTTGAGGAGCGACGGAGCGAATAAGTTTCACACTGGGAACAATAGTTTTATGCGTATAAAAATAACAATTTATCTCGATATTAAAAATTTGCCTATCTTACGGGTTAGAACCAACGCATTGTCGTACACGTATATTCTATTTATACGAATTCCGGAACAGTCTCGATTCTTTATAAAATATTTTGTGTATCGCTTGTCACCGTGTGCTAGTGTTTCTCTCTCTCTATGTACGTGTGTATGTGTTCTCTTGCTTTCGAATTCAGCTAAGTGTTACGCGTCTTTGTTGTTTTATGCCGTTCGAGGATAACAAATAGCCGTAGGATGCAACGAGGCTAATGGACAGCGAGAAAACGAATCACCGATTTCGAAAGGAAATAATATTTCTTCGACGCGTTTAGTAATTAAAAGATAAAAAAAAATAAATACGTAATTCGAGTTTACGGTGTGGTTCAATTTCAATGATAATTAAGTCAGCGTCCATTAATGGCCTCGATACAGGATGCTGTTTCCTTCGCGCCTCGACGATGAAACGCGACTGCAAGTGGAAAACTTTATACTCTTTAAAAACAGTCTTCTTTATACACCGCTTAAATTATGAAATATGTACAAAGTGTAGTTGGTTAAGAGTTGTAAAAATTATTCTCTTATCCGTTAATTGTTACGCGTTAAAGTAATCGAATTTATAGTTGTAGGATTATAGCGATTTTACTCGCGATTAATCGAACATGGTCTTGACTCGTTATACCCTGCTTATATTTACAAAAGCTGCGGGTGCACAGTAGCCCGTCGATCGTTAATATATATATATATATATATATACGTCTTTACTTATCGTGCTTTACTTAACTTATTTTCGCGAAAACGATCGAGGTATCGTTGTTCGTATTCTTAACTCTGAAAGTAACGTCCGCGGTTACCCGCCACCTTAACCAACCTTCCCTTTCGTTCAACTTTCCTTAACGTACGTTTATATAAAAAATACCAGTGCAAATGTACAAATTCACAGGATGTAGATATATAGATATTATCGGACAAAAATCCATCGGCCATCGTACGAAACGGACGGGCGTGAGACTTAACTTCTATGATCTAAGTACGTCACTATTCGTATCGAAACGGATAGTAGTAGTCATACTAGTAGTTGTTGTGTAATAGTAGTAGTAGCAATAGTTAGTGGTAATGGTAGTAGTAGCAGCCGGCAGTAGGACATTTTGTAAAAGCAACGCGAGAAATAACGGATCGTTGAAAGATCCGAAAAGCGACTAAAAAAAGGAGAAGACAGACTAATAAAAACGGAAGCAGAAAAGAAATGCGAATACATGGGAATTGAAACGAAGAATGGAATAGAGCGACGAAGAAATGGAACGAGGAGAAGGTAAAACTAGAATATCTAGAAATGAAAGAAATACTTTGTCGAACAAATGATCGATCGCGACTCCCTTAGAGACGAGGCGAATCGATCGTCCAACACGAACCGCTTGCTCTTGGTCTCGATCCTTACGAAAACGATCGAGGATCGTCAAACGGGGTTTAGCAGCCTTCTTCTCTGTTCGTATCGCGTACGCGTTGAAACGCGCGCGATCCTGTTACGAGCATCGATTTCGTTTCACTTGAAACTCGCATATCATCTCAACAAGAGCATGTATGCCGCTGCACAATTTCCCATCGTTCCTAGGAATAAAATTCTGGACAGGGATAAGAGCGACGCTAAGCTGGAAGCTGCCTTTGTTACGTCCTCGCAAACTCCTGGAACAAAGTAAATGAAAAGCAATGTTCATACACAATGTTTAACGATTTGCGACCCTCGTATATCAACGACGCGTTACCTTCCTGTGCTTCTAATTCATAATACTTTAAAAGCCAATATACTGTGCTCGATATATCGCGCATGCGCGAGCTGTTTGATATTTACCGTGTTATCGTATCGTCTGCTAAAAACACCACGTGCTTGCTACTCTCATTGGAGCATTCCCCGGTCACGTGGCTGTTGCCTTTTACACAAGAGTCAAAGCTACCCGTAACAATCGCTCGACCCGATAAAATAATCGACCGAGGGGGTCTTAAAACAAGACAATGGAAAAGGAGCTTTTCGTCCGGAATACCTTGATTGACGAGCGTATAGGAACGTCCATCCTCGACTCGTTCCGTCCGACAAACGTGATCGAATCTCGCCAACCAAAGCTCTTGTTCCGAGAGCTTCGTTCTCCCGGTTTTCCCGGTCGTCGACGATTTTCCTTCGTCACCGTCTAGCCGCATAGAAAGGCAAAAGGTCTTTCCTGGTCCCGGCAAAGTCTGGTCGGTTTTCAGCGACACTATCGTGTACCAAGTACCCTTTTCTTCCCAACTTCCGTGGCAATAATAGGCTGTAACAAAATTTTCTCTTTCGCATTCATTTCCGTTAATTTCTATCGAGAAAGCGCGAAAAAGCGCTCACCTGTTTCTTCGTTATCGCACGTTTTCCCAACGACGATCTCGTTTTGATCGGACGAGGCGCAACCTATTCGAACGCTGCTGCTCCTGCACTGTTCTCCATGTTGCAGCTGCTGTTGTGGTTGCTCTCCATGCTGACGATGATGATGGTGATGATGATGTTGCTGTTGCTGGTGTTGTCGTTGCTGCTGCTCGTGCGATTCCTTCGGCGTTACGTCTTCGTGCCAAGTTCGTCTTTTGGTGATCCTCGAAGATCGTTTCTCGCTACGACGCTGACGGCGGAAGGACGCGTTAGCCAAATGGAACGGGCCGAATCCAAGGATCATGTATCGTCCGGGATTAGGACACTTTCTCTGATGCAACGAGGAGCCTGCGCGATGAACATTGATCCACGATCGTTAAGGTTATGGCTATCGATCGTTAACGGGGTCGAATCGCGTCACTTACTTATTAACGTGGTGTACGGCATCGTGGATGTATCCACGAGGGAACAGGCATCGTCTGGCATTATGGCCTTTTGGTCTACGAACGATAAAAGAGAAACGAGGGAAACGATTGCCAAGACGGAACATGGAAAACTCGAACGGGAAAAATATCCAACACTCACCCGATTGCTGTAGTTCTATAACGTGATGATCCCTTTTATGGAATATCATGCAAACGTAGCCGATGTCGCTGCAACGATCGATCGCTATTAACCTGTTTCTCTATTTGAAAACATCGTCGCTTATTATATCAAATACTTACCAACCACTGGTCACGTGAGCGATCAATTTTACTTTGTACACCTGCGCGTTTTCCGTCGGATGCAATTTTTCCAGATTATGGCAGACGATCTTCTCCTCGTGAAACGTGTCCTCTTCGGTATTTTGTACTCTGACTTTCAGCGTGGCATTCTTGTTGGTAAAATGATAAACTTTAGTGCCGTCTAGAGAATGCCAATCGTGATGTTCGGTGATCCAAGAAGGATATTTGCATCTGTTGTGCTCTTTGTCGACTGGGGATGCAACGAGAGGAAAACTTAAGGTCCCGCTGAGATTAATTAAAAAATCATCGAGAAATAAACAACCCTCCTCTACCTTTCGTCAACTTGATCGTAGGCGATCCCTCGGAAACTGTAGTTAGGCCGTTGCAAGTCGGTTCACCGGACTGAGCGAGCAAATACACCACCTTCCCTTGATGATGCGTTTTCTCCTCGTATAGGAAACATCTGTTTGAATTGTAAAATCAAGAGATCGCAACGACAACGATAAACGAGCACATCCCTTCAAAGTAAATACCTGTAAGTTTTCTCGGCACCGGACACGCTTCTTCCTTTCAACGTTCCAACGAGATATTTGTTACGACCGTCGTTCCACACGGCTAGACACTGTAACTCTTCCGCTGAAAATAAACGGGGAAATGTTTTATTCGCCAGACATTCGGTCGGTGGTAAGTAAAGCGCGTTAGCTGGCATCCGATAAAACTCGGCTAGAAGTCGCGAGATATCCGAGACTCACTGTTACTCTCGCTTCGCTCGATATCCGGACATGCTTGATACTTGAGAAGCAATTTGCTTTCATCGGTACATTTCTCGCCGAGGCTGATGGGCATCGAACACTCGCCGTATCCTTTGTCGTAAGTGAAGGTAAAGGATTGACCGGTGAATGGGCACGGTATCGGTTTCGAATTCTCGCGGAACATCGAGTAAAGAGTATCGTCCGACTTGATGTTCACGCACATCTCCTCCAGATTCGTGTAATCCTGCTGGCACCAGCCTGGCCAACAGAGATCGAGAAAACATTAGCAACAGGATGGAAGAGGAGAAAATGCGAAAACCTGTCTCGACTAACCTTCCCGAAATTGAATCACATTTTCGTGTCGGTCGTTCACGATAATGCAATGATAACATTTCTCGCTGCTGAAAATACAATGAATTCGTTACGATTTATACCTTGCTTTTTTAAGAATCTCCTATCCCTGAATACTTACTAAACTATGTAAGACTGTCCCGATCGTTCCACGCACGTCTTTTCGCCTAAAACGGTCGCGTTTACGGTAATCGAACCCGGTTTTCCATACTGATACCATTCTCCGGTCCAAGTGGTTGGGAACTCGCAGGAACCTGAAATCATATTTTTTTACTTTTACCCTTGGGCGTCGTTTTAATTTCGCGCCTCCTGTTTGCTTGGAAGAAGAAATAAAGTAACTCGTCGTGGCTAGTATCCCTTTCATAAAGAAAGGAAAACGAAAGCAGCAACTAGAGACGAAATTATTTTTAGCGAGCGACAAAAGTCTTTCTTTCTTCCTTCGATCGAATCATCGTCAAACATGTTAGTTTCTTTAATTACTCTCAACGTACTCACCGTTGATAGAGGGTATGTCACCCAACGATAAAATTAACAGTATCAACATGGTCGATGGGTGACAAACGCTTTGTATTTGCCGTGAAACGGAAGCCAGTCCCAGCATCCTGAAATACCCAGCAAACTGTTAGTTTACGATAAACATTCTATTTACAATGAAATATATAGAAAATTGGAGCATTGTTACAAAGAGATACTTTGTTCGGTTCGAGGAACGATTCGATCGCGAAATGAATCACGGAACGCGTCGATTCGAAGAAAAGAAAATACATAGTCGTTATCGATAAGGACTATTCTCAGGTAATTATTTGTTTAAACGCACCAGCGATTCGATCGTATCGCTTGTCCGCGGTCGGAAATACGAGCCGCGATCCAGCGACGATCGGAGAAACAGGTAAAAGCGTTCATCTCGATTGATGGTGATGGTAAAAGTAACTGGCTTTCAAACAGTCGGGAAACATAGCTGCGAACGGAACGTCCGGCAAGGATATGCATTATTTAACGAAGTACACGTGTCTCGATTCGTGTCGTTCAACGTGTTCTCCCTCGTGTACCTATTCACTGTTCTCTTTCGTTCGAACGATGCGCGGATGTCTACGAATCGGCGCATCGCCGCGCTTCTAAACGTCAAACTCGTGCTCCACCAGTTTAACCACCCTCCTTCCTACCTCCCTAACCCACCCTCCATCCATCCATCCCTCTTCTATCGCTACTCGCCTCTCTCTTCTTTCCCTTTTTAATTTACCCGGAAAATTAACACACCGATCGATAACTATGGTTTTTCTCTAATTTCAATTGTCACGAACGTTCCCCTGGAGATGAGGAAGTTATGAGGAAGCTTTTTCAACGTCGAGCGTCTGATCGAATAACCACGTAATCTTTTTACCAATCGCCAGTACTTGAAAATAAAATTCTATCTACATAATATATAGCATCGGACCGGTGTTCTTTCGGTCATCGTCAATGGGGAACTAACCTTTTCGCGTTCGGCATCGAAGAATGGAAGGCGACTCTGAGGCAAAGCAACCGCAAGACTCCAAAACGTATCACATGATGTTTACCGAGTACAGCTCCATAGATTGCGTATTCGAAATATCACGATTTTGCGGTGTTTAAATAATCTATCAGGACTTTGAAGTGTTTCCAATAGGCGAGTCGTGTAATTACACCGATCGAGAGGATAACTCCGCCGGCATGCGAACAAGAATTTTCAGAGGCAACCAAACTATTTTCTCGAACGATTGGTTCGGTCTGGTCAAAGGAACGCGTTCCATGCGACCGAGTTTCCTACCAAAAGAACAGGATTCGTCGAGCCGAACACAAAAGACCAACGCACCATTCTTTTTACCATCACCAACACCATCACTAGCACCCCGGTCACTGGAACAAGACCCTCCGACACTACGAAACACTAGTTTCTTTAGAACTTGTCAAATATATGCCTAAAGATCTGTTAGACGTTTCGTTGAGCCAGATTTTTCAGTGTCGTTCGATCGGTGGCAAGAACGGAGTGACCGGACGCGTTCTGTTACTCACGATTTTCACGAGCTTCAACTAGATCCGACTACATTAGACGATTTACCACTGTGCGTCGTTTCCCATATTCGAGGCTGTTTGTTCGTTCGTTTACTCATTTGCTTGCTCGCCTATGGAAACAATGGCGGCGACCGATGGACGGCGAGCAAGGCGCCGCTCCAACTATTTCTACGGTACGATGAGACACCGTCGAGAACGCCTGTATGCACGCCTACACGCATCGGTCACGCGTCCCTGTATACTCTATACCGTATACTGTATTCCGTCGATGATCGTCGATTCGCGTGGCACACCGGACAAATTTACAGCCTTTCCCGAATATTTTCCCCCCACCCTTCTCCTTCCCCTTTCTCTTTTCCATTCCACGTTCAAGGCGGTATCCTTCCTTTTCTCACATCTCTTTTCCATGCTTCTTCTTCTTCTTCGGTTAAATCGACGAAACAAATAGGGAAATGTCGGTTATAGTAACAACGCTGCTACTATACCGAACGAACATTACTAGACGACGCAGAAATTGTTAAATAAAATTCGAAAAAGAAGGAAAAAATCATTTGCTGTTCAATCTTTCGTGCATGAATCTAAAAATAACTAAAATAACAACTGAAAATTGATTATCAAACTGGACGAAACAACTAGGAACTTTGTTCGATGCCAGTGTTGCCAACGCAAAACGCGCGAAAACGAGCAACCGGCGCCAAGTGGTTATTTAAATAGGGATTACGTTCGGTCGGTTCGACTCGGCTTTTCTCGATTCTCTTCGATTCGATTCGATACGATGCGTTCCAAACAGGGCTAATAGAGGGCTACGAACCATGAGAAAGCGTTCAGTTAATTTTACGGCAAGAAAGTCGCGTGGTTATCCGTACGTATTACAGTATTATATTAGGAAGAGAAAAGAAGTTTTAAGTATAAGAAAAAATAAAAATAAAGAATAAAAATACAATCGAACGTACAGTGGTGGTTGAACATTTAATACATTCGATTCGTATTTTAAACCGTTCCTTTTCTTTGCTCGAACGATTTGCTGCTTGTCTTGCTCAAGAAAACGGATCGCCATTACACTTTCTAGCGTGCTAATAGTTTCTCTAAGCGATTCGTTCATGGTTTATCAGTCAAGTACAATACTTTCTGCATTGCGCAATTATTCATTATCCACGTTACTTTATATCTTGAAAAATGATTTATACCTTGCTTAAATCGACGATCTCTACTGAACGAAGCTTAATTTTGTTGTGCTTGTTTGTTGTGCATTTCAAATGTTCTGTGCTCGTATGATCTACCTGTTCGCATATGTGATACACGCGCGCATGCGCCTACTATATTACACTATCGTGGATCGTAGATCTAGTCGATTAATTGTAACTCTTGAAGACAGTGATCAATCGATATCTTACTGAGCGACGCGTTCGATAACAGTGCTCGATTACTGTCGATCTTTGAATAAAAGAATCTCGATTCGTTGGTCGAAAATCCGACTCGAATCGAATCGAATCGAATCGAATTGACGAACGAATGCGCGAAGAGGTATGAAATTGAACAGACAACCGTACGGCGCATGTATATAATCTAATAGTAAGAAATAAATTGATTCTATGCGATAGAAGAATGCTATATAGGTAAGATGTTCTTTCTCCTGGACATATTAATAGTCTTCCGCATTATGACAGTTGACCTCTGCGTTGATCCGATAACGTTTTGACACTTCCGTTCGTTATTCTCATCAATCATTTCCTACCACAGAAACCAGCATGCCATTAGATATTCTAAACGACTCTACGATCGATCAATGATTTAAATAATTTTCTGTTTAAAGAGTTTGTTCAAATAACAACCAAGGAATAATATTGCAAGTCTTATTTCGTACTGCTCCTCGAAAAATCTTTCAATTTACAATGAGAACGTTAATTACGCGATAGCAAACCTCCGAATAGCAAATACTTTATAGTATCATCTTCGATTTTAACCGACCTTGGTCACAAATATTTTACATTTCAGACAAGAAAATGAAATGTTTAGCATTTGACGACCGAACGATCTGAACAAAACATGTAATCGCTTTAATTAATAATTCCACTTCTTTTTCCTATTCCTGCTTTTTTTTCGAAAAAACAAGGAAAAGATGAAAGAAGCGATTCACTGACATTTACATCGCTAAGTGATTCAGTCGAACCGGATCGTAATAAATTTCTAAATAAAATAAATAAAAGATATATGGAAAAGGAGAGAAAGAATGAAGAGCATTTGAAAAGTTAAGATGCATGTAGGTCACGAAAAGCTGTTGAGCGCAGGTCCGTCGGGAAAGAAACGCGACTTTTCGATCGTTGCTGGTTGCCTCGCAAAATACGTCGGTAGGTAGGTAGGTAGGTAGGTTGGTAGGTTGATAGGTTGGTAGGTTGGTAGGTAGATAGATAGATAGGTCGACGGACGGAACACGAAGAGAACGCCACACGTGTACAAATGTTGTTGAACATTTTCTTCGTCACGGTACGTTTTTGCTAATCTTTTCTTCTTGATATCTTCCTTTGACGCGTTTACCTCGCATTCGCTGCGTCCTCTATCAATCGAAATACAATCACGAAATTCTTCTATCTCTCGTCGTGCAATGTTTTCCACCCGATACCGTCGCGTTCAAAACGACGACGCTGCAGTTATTATACGTGCACCTATATGTATACGTTTAGTAATCATGCGGTTCGTATTCATGCTCGGAGAGACGGTTTATACGTTTTTCAAAGTAATTCGTTCAACCATTCGTCTGGATCGCTTCGAATCGATTCTGGTTAAAAAACTGTTTGAAAAAGAGGTCGCAGCAAATAATCAAGGAGCAAAAACATTGCGCCAGTATCGCGGTACATTAATTTTTACTATATCTACAGATAATATGTAACATGTATTACAGAGTTGTATTCAAATTTTAGTAAAGTAAGACAACGAAATGTCTTTTTTCGCTTGGAAAGGAAGTACACGGTCGGAAAGTGGCGAGCACACTGGACGAAATTTACAAGACGGTCTTTTTCAAATAGCCTCTCAAGCTTGCCATATATTGGTACAAGTAAGTTTTTTCATAATCATCACGCGTGTCAACTCTTTACCCGGTCAGGTTAAATCAATAATTATTTTTTCCTTTCCTTCTTTCGTTGATTCCAAATTGATCAAGAAAAGAGTTGCTTCATAGGCTCGCATTATTCTGACTAATCGTGCGGTATTTGATTCGAAAGGTGAACAATACGCACAACGTTTCGTACGGAGGAAGCAACAACGTAAAGAATATCGCATACTCAAAATGTTCCGGCAAAGACGGGGACTCGATAGGTCTGGCGACTTGTTCCGCGAGCAGAGCACCAGGCTCCTCCGTGAAATCGTACACGAAATACGCAAAGGAGCGGGGCAAAGACCAGGATGTTGTCGTTCTATTGCCTCATCGTAAGAGCAGAACGCCTCTGGTTAAACACAAATTATCCGTATGTATGATTACATATGAAATTTCACATTTTACCGTCTCTTATCCTTAAAAGGCGTTCATCTAATCTGGTTGCAGACAGTCTCGGAGAACGCGCGATTGGAATTGAATCCGTCGAACTGCGGTCACGGTGGCAGTGCCGGTGGCGGAAGCGTCGGCATCGGCGTCGGCGTCGGCGTCGGTGCAACGAACGTTAACAATAACGTCGCGGACGACGATTTCGAACTATGGGATCAGTCTGGTTTTATGTTGAGGCACGACGTGGACGATCCATTGACGAGTGGCAAGTTAGTGTCGATCAGTTAAAAAGATCTTTCAAGAATTTTATAATTCTGTCGTTCGGTGTGTTTGTTGGGGAAACAGATGGGGAGGTGCGCAAGGATGGTGCAAACCGAGTTGCATCCCGATTACGGTAATACTGATCTTGATAGTGCTGGTCGTTTTATTACCGTTGTTGGATCACGCCGCGGACAAGTACACGTTAAACAACACCAGTTTCGACTTCGACTCGAGCTGTATGAACGGATGCAATTTATCGCTGGTGGAAAGTTTACCGATTGGTATGAATTATAGCAACGGCAATTTTTTCACCGTCGAAAACACTTACGACTCGTGGTTGAGGCTGATCTCGATGGCGCAAGAGAGGATAGAGATAGCCTCGTTCTATTGGACTCTGAGAAGGGAAGACGTGTATCCCGACGACAGCGCGAAACAGGTAATTAGTAAGAGGGGAAAAAATCTCGCGGAACGAATTGACTTGTCACGCGTTCGATCGTTTCAGGGCGAAGAGATTTTTGCCTCGCTTCTTCGAGCGGGTAGAGATCGGAATATCGAATTGACTATAGCGCAAAATCAACCCTCGCGAGTCAGTCCAAATGTCGATACAGAACTATTGGCGAAAAAGGCTAATGCTAAGGTAACGCTTTTACGTTGTAAAGAAAAAGAAATAACTATGGTACGAACAGTATCGCTTTTACAGGTGAGAAGTTTAAACTTTGCGGCTTTACTCGGAGGAGGGGTGCTTCACACAAAATTATGGCTGATCGACAGAACCCACGTGTACGTTGGTTCCGCGAATATGGATTGGCGATCGCTCACCCAGGTGAAAGAGCTCGGTTTGCTCGTTTTAAATTGCAGCTGTCTGGCTAACGATTACGCAAAGATCTTTGACGTAAGTCCGATCGACAGACGATGTAGATTTCGCGAAATGGCAATCGAATTAATAGATATTGTTGGTAACAATATTGCAGGTGTATTGGATGGTCGGCCAAGAGGGCAAAGTGCCGCCGGCATGGCCAGATTCCTTGAGTACAAAGATCAATCTAAAGAATCCGATGAAATTCACCTTCATGGATAACAAGTATAAAACATTTATCTCGGTAAGTGATTAAATTTTTGTGTCAAAACACAATTAAAAAGAAAAAACGATCTCTAAATCCACGTTTCAGAGTTCACCTCCGCCTTTTTCGCCAAAAGGTAGAACCGACGACATCGATGCTATTCTCTATTCCATCGAGAAAGCAGAGAAATTCATTTACATCGCGGTGATGGACTATTTCCCTCTGACCATATTAACTCCTAAAATCAGGTAGGAGTCCACTGGCGTAAACGGGTTTTCTCCTTCAAATACTTACAGCCGTTATCGGTGTTGCGTAATTCAGGTACTGGCCGATTATAGACGACGCTCTTAGAACGGCGGCTGTCGAACGCAAAGTACAGGTACGGCTGTTGATCTCTTCGTGGAAGCATTCAAGAAAATCGGAGATCGCATTCCTGAAATCGCTGGAGGATCTGACGGATAGTTACGCGGGAGTGAAAATCGAAGTGGTCGGTGATCTAAACGTGTACACACATACACAAGTATCGATATCATAAACATGCATGGTCATTTTCTTACCGAGCATATTTTTCAGAGGAGATTCATCGTTCCTACGAATCCAGATTTCGATAAGATACCGTTCTCCAGGGTGAACCACAACAAGTACATGGTAACCGAGACAATCGCGTACATAGGAACGAGCAACTGGTCCGGCGATTATTTTATAAATACCGCAGGCAATTATTCTTATACTGATTTATCATTCTTCTTCGCGAGAGTTATAGGAAATTAAAGATGTTCGATGTTTCGTCAGGTGTTGGCACGGTATTCGAAAGTATCGGCGATCAAACAATGGACAACCTGAGACAACAACTGGAGAACGTATTTCATCGCGACTGGTACTCGGAATACTCTTACGCTCTGAATGAAAGTTCGCAGTGGTCGGAACGAGCGACGAATACAATCGTGGACGATTATTATCTGCGATCGTCCCGCTATGTATTAGCGTGACAATTTCAAGACCGTACAACGATTCTAGGATGACCAGCGGACAAAATTATAATCGCGTCTGTCCGATCCAACGCTCGACGAAGCTTTTAAATGTCACGTCTGTCGTCATTGACAAACTTTTCGATTCCTTTTTTTTTTTTTTTCTTCTTCTTCTTCTTTTTTTCTCGTCTTCTACGAAACGCTCGGCAAATATCGACTTCGAGCTGACATTTTATTTGTTCCGCCTGTGATACGTATGTCGATGTACAAACACACGCATACTTCTTCCATCTTCCTTTGCCATCTTCTTCCGTCTTGTTTATTTCGTATCGTTCCTTCCTCTTCGCTCCCACACCTCGTATCTTCGTCACTTTCCCACCCCCTTCGCTCTGCGCCCAACGTTGTCTCTTTCATCGTATATGCGCGCGTACGATTATCTTCCCAACCCATCCGTTTATCTATGGTCCTCGCGCTCGTCCACGCGCAAACAGGTTCGCACCTACGTACGCGTATGCATAAACACGTACACGGACGCGTCGGTACAAGTGTAGAGCCAACACATATTCGCACGCGTATTAATCACGAAAGACGACTACATTTGAAATCTTAAAGCTATAAGAACGATCTTATATAACGAATGTCTCTGTGCCTTGCTTAAAGTGCCCTTGCAAATCTTTTCTACAAAGGATCGTTTTTTCTACTTAAAACGTATGTAAATCGTAACTACACGACGGCCATCCGTTTAAGAACAGGCCTGTTCAATAAATACAAGTCTACTCGATCGTTTCGAAACCAAGCCTAGCTTATTTACGCCTTATTCTAGGAAGAAGAATAACGAACGAGATAAATAGTAACAGTGGAGCATTAAATTTATGCGCATACGTGTATAAGTTTTCACTAAATTATCGTAATTACTATGTTCCTTATTTTTTTTTCTTACTTTCTATTCCCCACTTTATTTCCTATTTTCATTCGCGTTATCCGCGGTGAGACTCGTTCGAAATAGCCGTCCTTAAAGGGATCAAAAATTTACATGTATTTCGAATATTTGCATATCTCTCAATTTTCGAAAGACTACATTTCAACGTGCACACTAATATTTCTCGTTAGAGTTAAATCATGCAATTTAACGTTCTCTGTTTTATAATTTCTTTTTTATTAGTACGAATTACAATGTACGTATATAAATTGACGTATCTTGTGGTAAAAAGGTTGCCTCCAGCGTTCAAGGAAGAGCCAGTGTCATTATTGTGTTTGTGCGCATAAACACACTGTTTCGAACGTGACTATTCGTTCCATAAGAAGAACTCTGTAACCATGAAAGACAGCGGCATTCTTTTCGCAGCTAGGTATATTCAAATTAGCACGTTCGTGCGCTAACAAATATATATATATTACGTTAATTGTGTTAATCTGTTTGTCCGTTGCGAAATGGGATTCGTTATAAACCGTGTTTGATCAGACTTTAGCGGGAATAATGAGATTCATGATACGTCGCCCTTTCTTTATCTCTTCCTTACACTAGTCGCTTTTCTTTTCTCTCCTCCAGCGACTCCGCTGATTTTTGTCCTCCTGTTCGCGTTCCTTGCCATCACAGATATCACTCGGCCTTTAAGTTTTGTCTACACATTTCGTTCCTATACTTTCGCCTTCTTGGGTACCACTTTTGTCCTCAAGAAAGTAGGTTATACGCATATTATGTAAATATACTATACTATATATTAATAATAAATACACAGTATAGAGTACAGAATGTACATAATTATTATCCTATGCAAAGATTTTATATTCAATAATTAGATGTGGAGTAGACAGGATGTTAAGAAGAACGCGATGCAGGATAACCGGGTGGAGATAAGCTAAATCGGAGAAAAAGTAATCGGTCCGAGAAACTCGAACTGGAAGTCGTACGTCACATGTACCTAATTGCCTATTTTTTCGATAATTATGTTAAAACAATTATCACGGTAACTTTTTCATAAAAACTTGACGCGGTGCTAGAGGAATGAATATATTATTATAAACGACCCTCATTGCTTTATCCTTTAATTACTTAATTGTTAATTAATCGTTATCATTATGAAGAAATAATGCTGCGAGATGAAAAAAGAAACAAGGTACAGTTAATGAAATCCAATTTGACGCGAGAAAAAATGACGAGTGGATAAAAAGAATTCGTAAAATTCAATGCTGGTATCGCAACGTAAGTACAATTTTCAGCGGCGACCGTTTCGGTCAACGTTGGCAGAATATCGGCCGATCCGATACGGTTCGCGTAACTCTGAATTCCGAAGGTACGATTTTTTTTTTTTTGCGATACCCGCAGAAATTCTGCTCGAACGCTGATAAACGGCCCGAAATTCGTGCCGCGAACCGTGATTGCGGAGCAGTGTTCTTCCGACAGATTCCGCGAAGGAAACGCGCGCGAAACTCGCGTCGAAGCGCTGCCTTGAAACGTCTTCGATGTTTTCACCTATCTCTCTCGCACTCTTTCTCTTTTTTCCTTTCTTTTTCGATTTCTGTTTCTATTCTTATATCCCTTTCCCCTCCTGTCGAATGCACTCTTCCTTTTTCCCCTGATCCTCCGATTTTTGTTCCCGGTGAATTTCCCGGATTACGAAGTTGGATTACAATGATCAATGAGCGATTATGCGAGTATAAGAATTCGGTGCGAGATAAAAAAAAAGTACCAAAATGGGGAGAGGCAAACCGGGAGGAAAACTTAACGATGACGAGGACGATGACGAGGACGATAACGATTACGACAATAGGAACGAGGAACGAAAGAACGTTACGAAAAAAAGAGGTGGTTGACTGGGGGTCGAGTGCGATCGAATGGTCAAGAGAGGGGAATCAGAGTCAAAAGGCGGTGCGAAGGGGCCAGGGGACGAAGCAGAGTAGAAGGAGAAGAAAAGAAAAAGCATGAGCAACAACGGCACAGGTGACAATTCCGAGGTGTATCGCTTGCAAAAGACTCGAGGTGGCATAACAGCAGGATCGGTAGATTCGCGTCAAGAGAAAGTTTCCAAGGTATACCTAACGTTCATTTCAGATATATTAAGTGATACGGGATAGTAGGTGTTCACCGATTTACCGATCGGACATGGTCAGTCAGTGAAACTGTGAATCGTTCAAACTCATTACGCGTGGGGTGCAGAGGGTCGCAGAGGGTGTGCGACCACGATTTTCAAGGTAGAAGATCGGTAACGTATTAGGACGATCGACGATTGGCGAATAAGTGTTATACAGATTCGCTGAATAAATTTTTCCACAATGGTAACGTAAAAACCAATGGCAAGAATCGAAACGCGACTTTCTTCGTCGCGTTAAAATTCATGTCGAGCACGACAAAGAATCGCGTCAAGTCTGGAAAATCATTTGGACGATTCGAGTGAAATACGACCACTTGGTAGAGGTATGAGCGGACGTAACTCGAGGCGTTTAGCGGCCCGTGATGGGACATTCTTACCTTCGAACAGGAATATTTAACGGAAGATCCCGTTACCTGTTAAGCGTATCTCGCGCAGCATCCGTACCGTTACTTCGCTCTAACTTTCTACGTTATCGCTTTCATAGATTTCTTTTTTCGTTTTCTTTCGGTGAAACGGCCCTGATTCTAGCGTGGATGCTTTATCTTTACGCGTCACGTTGCGAGCAGCGTGCCGCACAGTATGGCACGGCACAGTATGGCACGGCACGGCACGGCACGGCGCGACGCTTCTAAAATCGCTGATGCGTGCATGAACAACGATCGGGACTCGAGATTCGTGGTGGAAAAACTTTCGAGGAAATTAGGTCGCGTTAAGAAACGTGAGATCGCTTACGGACGAGACGAAGAGTTAAAAGCAATCGATGACGTAGTCCCGAACTTTGATCCAGGCTGCAGGCGGTTTACGGAACAAGCGTTTCCTACATTCGGCACCTTGGCTAGGAACCAGTCACAGCCAATAGAACAGAAAGAATATAAAGGAGGAGGAGCAAGGGGCCCACATCCTCGGACCGAGATCGACCGTGATCGAGAGAAAACGCGCTTTCGTATAACTACTTACGTGCCTCGGTCTATTCATACTTTTTCTTCTAATTTCAACCAGCCGAGCAGTATAACCAGCCGTTTGTTTACTCGCAATCTTAGGAAAAACGAGAGAGAAACGGTTTCCCTGTCGTAGAGCGATAAAAATAGTAATAATAGTGGTAAGCGTTTCACTCGGTCCGTGGTTATAAAACGAGTGTCCATCCGTTGGTTCCTACATCTGTCTGTTCGTCTTTCGATTCGGAACACGGGAAAGACAGCGACCAAGTTCACGATCAACTTTCACTCCATGACGGTACGCGGTTTCTCTTCGGCTAGCTATCGCGACAGCACGCAACGAGTAGCGCTTTTCAAATTACTCGGACCCAATTAAACCAGCCGCGATATCATTTTATTCTCTGCTTCAGTTGTCGAGCATTGTCACGGAAACGATAGGCGGGAAGCGGCAAGCGAACAACGGCGAACGGCGAAACATCGACGCGATGGTGGAAGTTTTGTCGGAGCCGTGTGGCCAGGAAACGGCGGTACTGGAAAACGGCTTCAACCCCCACGAGAACGTGACCGAACGTCTGCCACGGGAGAATCTTTACGAGTCGATCTTGGAGGAGCCGAAACTCAGCCCGATCCAGAGCTTCTACAACGGGCAAAGCATCTTCGTGACCGGTGGCACGGGGTTCATGGGCAAGTTGCTGATAGAGAAGCTTCTTCGAGAATGCCCCGGAATCTCGTGTATCTATTTGTTGATACGCCCGAAGAAGGGAAAGGACATGCATCAACGCGTCGAAGAAATTTTCGACGATCCGGTATAATCTTTCTCCTTTCTCTTTTTCTCTATTTGTCTTCCGGTTCCTCGATGCGCAAATAGATATGTATGTACTTGTTACCGTTTCCTTGAAATGCTTGACAGCCGATGATTTCTAACGTTCGCTTTCCCTCGACCTATCTAGCAATTTCGCGATCAAATTCTCTCCTTTCTCTTCTTTCTTTTCCGCTTGCACCGTTGATTTTCCTTTTTCCGGCTTTCGTTGAATTACGCGATCGAGCCTGATAATCCATGTTTGCATAGCTCTTCGACAAAGTGAAGGAGAAGGTTCCGAAATTTCGGCATCAGATCGTCGCGATTGCCGGGGACTGCTGCGAACCGGGTCTCGGCCTTTCCCCCACGGACAGATCGACGATAACGCGACAAGTGTCGATCGTTTTTCACGTCGCGGCGACGGTCAGATTCGACGAGAAAATGAAATTGGCCGTACCGATCAACGTCCGCAGCCCCAGAGACACGATAGATCTCTGCAAGGAGGTGACCTGCTTGAAGGTGAGCAATCTCTCCGTGTACGAATTGCACGAATCGTCCGACAATCTCGAACCCTCCTTCATTTTCTCATTGTCAGTCGTTCGTACACGTGTCGACGGCGTACGCAAACTGCCCGCACGATTACATCGAGGAGAGAGTGTACGACCCGCCCATGGAAGCGAACAAGTTGATGACTCTGGTGGACTGTTTAGACGAGAAACTGATCGACGAAATCACTCCGCGGTGAGCGAAGGCAAAATGCCGATACCAAATGTCTCTATCCCTCGCCATTAATCATGATTTTTTATTCACAGACTACTAGGTAACTGGCCAAACACCTACACCTTCACTAAAGCGATAGCCGAAAGCATCATCGAAAAAGAGGCCGGCGATATGCCCGTTGGAATATTCCGTCCTGCGATCGGTATGTGATCTGCGTAGAGTTGATTAAAAGAAGAGGGGATAATTGGAAAATCGGATACTTTCAGTGGTATCGACGTATCGAGAACCTCTACGTGGGTGGATCGACAACTTGTACGGACCGACCGGTGTCGTGGCTGGTGCAGGTAGCGGAGTCCTGCGATCGATTCATTGCGACGGATCGATACAAGCCAACGTGGTACCCGGTGATCTGACAGTGAACGCTTTGATCGCCTGCGCCTGGGACGTTGCGAAACGTCGAGAGTAAGAGAAATTAAACTTTTATCTATTGTCTTTGCGTTTTTCGTCACGTTTCTCTTGATCTTTGCCTGAACTTACAGAGCCACCGCTACCGCTACCAACACGGACCAAAAGAAGGAGAATAATATACCGGTTTACCATTACGTCTCGACGGACAATCCTATAACGTACGAGCAGTTGAAATGTATGTCCGAAAAATATGGTCTCCAATTTCCTACCGAAAAAGCGATATGGTACTACAGCTTTCGAAACACCAAGTACAAATTGGTGCACTTCTTCTACGTCTACTTTTTACATCTACTACCGGCGCTCTTGATCGATACCGTCACGCTTTGTTTAGGAAAACAACCGAGGTAATTCCCTTCTACTTCTCATCTTCCTCCTTCTTAATATCATCGTCAACATGTTCACGAGTCCACTAATCCGTATCGCTAATCCTTTCTCTTTTCAAAGAATGCTGAAGATCTACAAAAAGATACACAAGTTCATGGACGTGCTGAAATATTTCGCGACGAAGGAATGGAAGTTTTCCAACGACAATTTTAAAGCGCTACTGAACAAAATGACTCCTGAAGATTACAAGGAACACTTTGCCTGCGATATCAAAAATGTTAATTGGGATCGTTACTTCCAAACGTACGTGAAGGGGATTCGCATTTATCTGATAAAGGACCCCCTGGACACACTTCCGCAGGCGCTAGTTAAATGGCAGAGGTAAGTCTCCCTAGCGCGCGAATATCGATTAACCGTTTCTTTACCATTTTTTATTACTTTCCAGATTGTACTGGATTCATCAGGCGTTGAAATTAATCGTCGCCTACGGTGTTCTACGGATATGTTGGCTAGCCGCGTTTCATATGTTCCGGGGTTACGTATGGAAATCTACGTAGCTAATCCAGCAAATCGACGTCGTTAGAACGTTGTTAGCTCCGACGAATTCGAGCGTCGCTCATCTCGTCCATCGGTGCTGGTATCTTTGATCGAAAGCGCGATTAAGCTTTCTGTGGCTCAACAGTCTGAACAGCTCGGAAGAACGAAAGGGGAAAGAAGAAAACCAAGGGAGCCATACTAATTGCCGCATCCCGTTGTTCCTTCTATTCTCATCTATTTCTCGACCATCATCGAACTAGACAAGAGAACAAATGCGCTTCCTTCCATTTCTCTATTCTTTTATCTTTCTTTCTTTTACGAACGTTCTTATAAGACGACCATTTTACTTGTGCAAACAGCGCCCGTATTTCGACTGTCTTTTATACGTGTACATTTGTTGTATTTTACATTTCCGTTTGTAATAAAGAGAACTTTTCTTCTTTGTTTTTTTTTTTTTTACAGAAATCAAATTGTCTTCATTTCTTCTTCCTATGCACTTGCTTTTGGGCATAAATCCCCACTACCGGTTGCTCTCGAATAGGCAACGTATTGTCTCTTTTCTCTTCCTCCTCTCTCTTGAACCGTTTCGAAGGTCAGAAAAAAAAATTGCAAGGAACGTCGTTGCATTTAGTACTGCGCGTTTTCTCTTGCAACGCGCGCCACCGTCCCAAAAGTCATCTGGATCGTACGGAAGTTTGCGTAGAAGAAGAGGCCGATCGAGAAACGGCAGCCACAGAGAGAACTAACGCAACCGGGGGTGAAAAGGGTTCGAGAAATGATCGAGGAGAACGCGTCGCTGGTTGAAACGTTTTACGCTGGTCAGAGCGTGTTGGTGACAGGTAAAAATTTCCGCGACGATGCGATACGCAATAAAACGAAAAAATGATATGTGCGCGCAGGAGGGACCGGATTCCTGGGAAAACTGTTGATCGAGAAACTGCTTCGAACGTGCACGGGGATCAAGCGCGTTTACGCGTTGGCACGCTCGAAAAAGAATGAATCGGCGCGTGAACGTTTCGAAAGAATATTCGACGAAGCCGTAAGTATTCGATTAGCCCAGATTGCGTTGTCAAAGGCACCGACTAATTTCACTTTCTCCGGTTATACGTATGCGCCGTGAAAAAGGTATTCGATCGTCTCAGAGAGAAGGTACCGAAGTTTCGTCAGAAGTTCCGGGTTGTTTCCGGCGACTGTGCGTTGCCCGGACTTGGTTTGTCATCGGAAGACGTGGATTTGTTAACGCGGGAGATCTCGGTGGTGTTCAACGTAGCGGCCACTGTGCGATTCGATGAAAAATTAAAAAAGGCGATCGCGGTCAATGTGACCGGGACGAAGGAACTGATGGACCTGTGCAAACGAATGCCGGCCTTACAGGTAAATTCCATACCGCCCTCTCTCTCTCTCCGTCGTTTTTAACCGCTTGATTTTAAGGTCGTGATACACGTATCGACCGCCTACAGCAATTGCAATCGCAAGAATGTCGCTGAGAAATTTTACCCCGCTCCTATATCCGGTAAGTATACTATTCTTCTGTATTTCTTTCTTCGCGAAGATCCGAAAAATATTGGGTATCGGTGTTTGACCAGCTGAAGACACGATGGAGTTGGCCGTGAATTTGACGGAGCAGGAACTGAATCGTCTGACGAAAACGCTGCTAGGTACCTTTCCGAATACGTACGTTTATACAAAGTGCATTGCGGAACAATTGGTGCGCCGATACGGAAAGGATTTGCCTGTTGGAATATTTCGTCCCGCCATAGGTAATATCCTAATATTTTTAGGTAAACGATATCAATTGTTTATTATCCATCTTTCTTCTCTTCCGCTTCCTGTAATCAGTGCTCTCGACGTACAAAGAGCCGATAGAGGGTTGGGTGGACAACGTGTACGGACCCACCGGAGGTCTCGCAGCGGCTGGTATCGGCCTCATGAGGACCATGAACATGGATAAGAACTGCGTCGCTGAATTGATCCCAGCCGATTACACCGTCAATGCTCTTATCGTTATCGCTTGGGCAGTTGCGACGAAGCGTTACAGTAGCACCGGAAGTGATCCTCCTATCTATAATTATCATTCTTCGTGGGGTACCACCGGCATCACCTGGGGTCGATACATGAATCTTGCTGTGAAACATGGAAGGCAAGTCCCAAGTGTTCGTAGCGTCTGGTGCTACACATTCACCCCCGCTAAGAGTATTTACGCGTACTTCGTCTTGATCGTGCTCCTCCACTTGCTACCCGCCACGCTCGTTGATATTGCGAGAATCATTACTGGCAAAAGACCTAGGTGATTTTTAATTCCTCTTTCGCTACGTGGTCAACTTTGCCGCAAGTAATAACATACTCTGTGTTTCTTTCTCACAGAATTCTAAAAATGTACAAAAAACTGCACAAATTCTGCGCTGTTACCAGCTACTTTGGTACACACGAATGGAACTTCTCTTATGACAATACCAAGAATCTTTGGGATAGCCTTTGTCCGACCGATCAAGCTCTGTTTACGTTTTCGATGAGCAAATTTGACTGGGATGATTTCATGTACAAATGCGTGCGCGGACTGAGGATACACATTTTCAAAGACGATCCGAGCACGATAGATCGCGCGAAACTGCGAATGGCCAGGTAACCCAGTCGAATCATCTACAAACGAAGCGATACATATCGCATCCTGAATGATATTAACTCGTTACGTTTTCATTTTTCAGATTCACCGTTCTCCATTATCTTCTCAAGTACACTGTCTTCCTCTTCGTCATTTGGTTTTCTTATTATACCGCGTACATACTTTACGACGCGTTTATCGCTATTCGCGTTACTGCTGCTAATCGACTGTTTCAGGTTCCCGATACTTGTATCGCGTGACGCGTTTTTCCTGCTCGTAAGATAACGATCAAGATCATTAATATATTCGTTCTCATTTCCTGTACGATACACAACAATCGCGAAATTTCTATTAACGTCAATGAAATATGCACGTCGCGTTCTCTTCGTTTCAAGCGCATTCCTTCGACGAAGCATCGTGTGCAATTTCAAATTTCGCGTAGCTGTTGCACCTCGCAAATCAGCGTTATATTTTCGATATCTCGTTTACGTTTTTCGTTTGTTTGTCGAAGAACAACGAATGGACAATGGTCAGCGGATAACCATCTAACGGAAATGAACGTAAAATGTGTCTCGCGATCGCTTTGTACGTATTAACAGCTACTTTCGGAATACTCTCAAACTTAGCTATTGCGATCGGTATATTCCTTTTAACGATCTTGGGAAGAATGATCTACTATTTGTACGCTGCTTTTCATGTATTAGTGGATCTGTTTGACAGAATTTTGAATCGACCATCCGCCAATTCCTATTCCGAACAACCCCCCAATTGAGAAGAAACATACCCTCTTTCCGTTCTTTTCACGAATTAATTAAAAAGCCGTCCTATGTAAGTTCCACGCAATTTTATATTATTAATAAAAATCAGTTACTTGAATAATCGTATAATTAATCTCCTCCTTCCTAGAGACATAGCATTTTATTTTTTGTAATTTTAGCTACATATAGCTTAATGCTACGTTCGTATAACGATATAAAATTCTACGTATAAAAACATTTATCAACGATTTTTCGTCACTAAAATATTGGACGGATTTTCAAGTAAATGGACGGACGGATGGAAAAGAGATGAAAGGTTAGACTTACGGATAGAAGGCACTGGAGCCAAGGCAGGATCTTGATAACGGCTCGTCTGCGGACCGTCTCGTCGTGTTTCATATATTCTAAAGCGGGATGCGATTTACCTGAATCGCTTTCCAATTCTCGCGTTAAACACGACCAAGCACAAAAGGTATCGTCATGTTTGTATTTAATTGGCAGGCATCGTCGACACCGCGCTATGCGGGGTCGTTGGACGAGAACCGGCGATAGAGTGAGTAGTAGATGCGTTCAACGACTGCATAGTGCCGATCTGAAATGAAACAGAGAGAACGATGGAAACGGAATCCTTTTCCCTTTTCAAACATCCGTCGTGACTTACCCTTAAATGCGCCAAATCTTCTAATCTCGTTAGGTCAGACAATTCCAAGTATAAAGAATATACAATTAACCATCCATAAATGGAAATACAAATGAATATTATCCACAACAGACACATAGCAATGTTATAAGCAAATATCATATCGTTTACCACGCTAGAAAATACGAAAGAAAATAATCTGAAGACAGTGAAAGCTGCAAAACAGTACAACCATGGCACCGTTTTCTTTTCGTATTCCTTCCTTAAGGCAGTGATTAGCATCAACGAGGTTGCAAATACCGCCACTGCGGCAAGCATGGAGAACAAAGAAAAGACAACCAGGGCATTACGAACTGAAACAAAGTGGTGAATTTCAGTTCTGTACTTATAATATTTTCTGCGTACGATTTTTTTTCCGATTTTTCTTACCGTGTCGATTACCCACGTAAACGAATTCGTACGATATCACGTAGTAACCGTAGTGAGTCGAACCTGGTGCAGCTTGCGAGAGACAATAAAGATCAAATATCGAGGTACAAATGGTAAAAACCGCCAAACACTGAAACAAAATATTCAGTTCCTCGATTAATTTATTTAAGTACGATTTACTGAAATGCTCAATTGAATACCAACCAGTGAAAATATCGCTGTAAACATCGCACCTCTTTGAATGTCAAGCACATAGGCGTGCGTTAAAATTGGTTTCTGATACCAAGGTGTGATTTTGACACTACGCATCGATCGTGATGATTTCAAATTCGCACTGCTACGCGTGGTAACGTGGGAATACACCGAGGGTGTACCCATGCTGGGAGATTTTTTTCCATAATTCATTGTCACGGTAATCTCTCTTATTTTATGGTTAAGTTACACAAATTAACGTGCTTTACTTCAATGACGCTATTTCCCAACGATGTCTCTTCACCGTTTACTTATAACTTGGAACTACATGAAAAACTTTAGTCTAATTTAATTAAATGCTTTTCTTAAAAACGTCAACATAAAGTCACACTTACACACATTGTTTCGGTTGTTGTTGATTACGGCCGACGCCCGATGTTTCAAATCAAACCTAAATACTTATTCACAAGTCTGGAAACTCCTACGATGGGAGACGCACAGAAGTTTCGTGAATCTCCCGCTAGCGGCCCTTTCCTACCTCGCGCCATATGCAATTGGCAGCTTTGTAAAAATATGGCGTCTAGACAGTTTCAGACAGAAACGTAAATTGTAAAAAGCGTTATAATAATATAAATATGTAAAATGATTCTTTTTTTTTTTTATTTCAATGTTCGTGATAAAAATCATAACAAACAGATTAATGAAATTAAACGGACACAGCACATCGGAAACCAAGATTTCCAGCTGATGTATCAGGTGTATTTTGACTTCGCGCCGCACATCTGTATCTAAAACAATAACTCTCGTGACACAAATAAGAACCACCTTTTTTTACTTTGTCTGTACCATGAGGTGGACCAGTCTGAAAATAAACGTTACATTAATTGTTTTTCCGTAAAGTAACAATCCTGATAGATCTATGGAAAATATGTATACACACGGGATTGTTGGATCCTCCACGATTCGTAACTTGGACGCTCCACCAATCTGAAGTCCACTCCCAAACGTTCCCTACCATATTACGTAAGCCATATTTGTTTCGCGGGAATTCTGTAACAGGTGAAGTACCCTCGTACCCATCTTCTTTGGAATTAATGCTCGGAAAATCACCCTGCCACGTGTTTGCCCTGAAAATACAATTCTCAGTCAGTAAAATATTTTTTTTCTATTTTAACGCAAAAATTATTCGCGTTCACCTGTATTGACCATTCGGGGTTAATTTATTTCCCCACGGGTACAATCTATCGGAAAGCCCTCCCCGACAGGCCACTTCCCATTCAGCTTCGGTAGGTAATCGTTTACCCAACCACTTACAATAGGCGACAGCGTCGTTCCACGACACATGGACAACAGGGTGATCCATTCTATCTGAATCATTCGCGATTTTACTTTCTGACGTTTCGAATTAAAAGTCACGACGAATTAGGGAAAAAGAATCGAATATACGCACACGTTATATCGGATCGAGGGCCTTCCGGATGCTGCCAGGTTGCATTTTTTATTTGCAGCCACCAAGGGGCCCGAGCAACAGCAGCCGATGCGTTTGCCCGAAGTTCTTCCTGTAATAATCCCGCGAATACGAACGAATCTCCAAACTTTTCAGCTTCTGTTCGATAGCCGGTTGCATTAACAAACCTAGCAAAATCATGGTTGCTCACTTCCAACTCGTCTATATAAAAACTATCGAGATGTATTTCTCGTTTCGGCGCTTCGCCATCAGCTACGAATACTGGATCGTTCGTTCCGATCGTAAATCTTCCCCCTTCTATCTTGGCCATGTTCTTTGGAAGATCATTGTGATCGATGATATTTCTCGAACAATCATCAGAATTACTCGCTAAACAATAGTTTTGCGTTCCTTCTTTATTATCTTCCTTTATGGTTGTTCTGCTGTTGCTGCAACCACAGTCGACAGATTCCTTGTTCGTGGCGTCAGTTTCACAGCTTCCCGCCACTACAAAATACAACGCGAGAACTGTGTTTGCACGAACGAGCAACATTGTTGATTTTCACTTTAGCTTTGAAAAATTGTCGCAGTCAAAAGCTACCACGAGAGGCACGAATAATTATACTAACTGCCAACTCGAGTTGTCACATTTTGCGGTTGATTGCAGACGACAACACTGACACTGAACAGCAGAGAAAGTAAAGATCGGGAGATGCTGCCATCTACGAAGGCTCGATCTTTTACATCTGTTCGATGTGGATATGCGTGATTCGCCGTCGCGCGATACATAACCTATCGTTAAATGCCACGTACCATGTGTCTGTCACTTGCATAGGATGTCTAAAATATTTTTCTGTTTATCGTGATATTGGCCTATGACCGTAACAATATCGCTAGACGAAGGAAACTCGTGGCCAGTTCGGAGTACGCGTAGACGCGTGTACAATTATAATGACTTCCTCAAGACGTTTCAAACTGTTGTTTTGTGCTGTCGGTATTTTCGTATGTTATTTCTACTTTGGCATGTTGCAAGAAAAAATTACTCGAGGACAGTATGGAGATGACGGTGAAAAATTCACCTATATGTTCTCTCTTGTTTTCTTCCAATGTTTAATTAATTATTTATTCGCCAAGACTACTTTACTTACGGTGTTGAAACAGGGCGAAGACACTACTCCGCAATCGTATTATGTGACATCTTCCCTCACATATTTACTCGCGATGGTGTGCAGTACTATGGCCCTGCAATTTGTTAGTTATCCAACGCAAGTAATCGGAAAAGCCGGTAAACCGATTCCCGTGATGATACTCGGAGTACTATTAGGAAATAAGGTATCGCTTGTGTCTCCTTTATTTCCTTCTTTGTTTCCATTGTTTTCAACCCCTTCTTCTCTTGCTCTTCTCGAAAATGTTGCATATTTCCCACTAACACATCCTTCGTTCTCTTCATTTTGATCTAAGGATTTCCTGCGATGAAAATTTCCTTAATCCTGTATTAACTTGTTTTTCCACCCAAGAACATTGATCAACAGAAGCTGGAACTATTAACCCAATGACTACAAAGATTCTATGTATGTTTCATTTGTTACAGCTATCAAGGAAATATAATTTGTAACAATTTGTCCAATTTCCTTGCAGGTATATCCAGTTAGGAAATACTTGTTTGTGTTCTTAGTCGTCATTGGAGTAGCTTTATTCATGTACAAAGATGTCAATCCATCTAAGAAGCAAACAGAGAGTCAAACAACATTTGGAGAACTGTTGCTGTTATTATCCCTGACAATGGACGGTTTAACTAGCGCCGTACAGGAAAGAATGAAAGCAGAGCATAGTTCCAAGTCTGGACACATGATGTTGAACATGAACTTTTGGTCCGTATTGTTCAGCGGAATCGTCATCCTAGCTTCCGGAGAACTTTTTCAATTCATCCAGTTTTTACATAGATATCCTTCCACCGTATGGCACATAGTTACATTTTCTATAACGGGAGCGCTCGGACAATATTTCATATTTTTGACCGTTACAGAATTTGGCCCGTTACCGTGTTCCATTATAACGACGACCAGAAAGTTTTTCACTGTCTTAGGTTCGATACTGATCTTTGGTAATACTTTGACGTTCAAACAGTGGCTGGGCACGTTCATAGTGTTTGCCGGGCTGTTCTTAGACGCGTTTTATGGTAGAAGCAAATCGTCGAAAAAGGATGTAGTAAAGTAGCAAATCAACGCAAGTGCGTGGGATCGCGAATCTTCAAACGGTACATGATCTCGTTACTTGACACGCGATAACCGTACGCGTCTTACGAGATTTGTGTAACCGGATTATATCATGTTACAAGAATGTACGAATATTACAGACATGTTTTTATACTTGTAAATTAAACGTTAAAGAAATGTTTAACGATGCGGTTGTATCGTTACATATATGTAATATACATGTAATGTGGGTATGTACGTATGTATGATGTGTGAATTGCTTGTTTGGAAAAATGCGATCAACTAATGTACATTGCGAGGATGCAACAGAAAAGAGAAACGATGTTATAATTCTTGATAATAATTCGTGCAGCAAACAAACGAGTAAGCACGAAACGAGGAAAATATACAACCATTCTATATATAATCGAATGTAGTTTCATTTTTGATTTCAATGAAATCCTGATATTGGACGAAGAAATTGAAAGAAAAGAAAATGCAAGCAGGCGGACGTGGAAGAATAATTAATGTGCGCGTGGCGGGCGACTCGCTCATCAAAATCAAAAAGCTGATTCCAGTTCGGTTTGTTAAATGTTTTGCAAACGACCGGTTTTAAAATCAAATCTCGTTATTGTTATCGACAACGACGACAACGTCGACGATGGTCAAATAGATAATAACGGCACATGGATGGCCGTTTGGAAGGGAGCGTAATCAGTTAAATGTACCATAAATACGTAAGCTGTTTCTGAAAAAGTAGTTTAGTCTACTCCTTTAACAAAAGGTGTGTCGAACATTGTCGTTCGACCGACTATAATTCATATAATTGAAATAGTGGACCGCGATATGAATATACAGTTCTCTAAATGTTGCGCGTGTATCGTTGCGTTATCAATATGTTTCCCGGCTACTTACGCGTTTACTGAAAACGGTGAGTGCTATTACTTGGCCGGCAATTTGAACGATACGTGCCGATACGAGTGACGAGCGTGTTCATTTTCCTTTTAGTAATTTTCATTATTTCTATTATCGTGATATAAGTAAGATTGTTAGAAATGCGAAACAAGGTAGAAACCGGTAACTTCTTTCCTTTCCAGGAGAAGACGCGTTCAGTTTGCTTGTATCACGATTTCGGAAGCACTCTCGGTAATTTTCGTTTATTCGATAAAGAGGAGAAAAAGGTTTCGTTGTAGGGTCATCGTCTCTGGATGATTTGTCGCAGACGGTTCGTGCGGCATTTGGAAAAACGGAAGAAATATGGGAAGTAAAGAAGGAACCGTTGGACAAAGGGGAACAGAGAACATATTTAACCGAGGAAAATGAAAATTGCACGGATCGTTCGATTCATGATTTTCCCGCGGATTTGTTCACGGACGAGCAACGTCGACAAGGGGCAGTGGTGTTACACGCGTTCTTTGGATTCTATTGTTTCGTGTTGACGGCATTCATTTGCCACGATTACCTGTTACCGTCTGTCGAACTTATCTGTACCAACATGAACATAAGCACCGACGTTGCTGGCGCGACATTTCTCGCGATGGCCAGCTCTTTTCCGGAAATGTTCGTGAACGTGGTTGGAACGTTCCTGACCGAATCGGATCTGGGCGCAGGGACCGTGGTCGGTAGCGCGGTCTTCGATACTTTCGCAACCCCTGCTTGCGGAGCGTTGACGGCTCTCTGTGTAAGTATACGACACCCCGAATTATTCTTGGTATCTTGCTCAAACGAACTTCGTAATTCGGCTTAACAAAAATTCACAGTAAGCCAAGTTAAGCCGAGCTTCATCATTTTATTAACTGCATATTGATCAAACGATTATCTTTTTTTCTTTAACGATGCTGTTTTCGTCCGATAAAGGACGATAAACATCTTTCGCTTTAATTAAGTATTTTTCCGTTTTGCTTAATGATGTCACCCCGGTTCATAGGCAATCTCCTTGGAATGGCGCGTATTGACACGGGATTGCACGATGTACGTGATATCTGTCGGAACGCTGGTATTAATAATGTGGGATCAACGGATAGTTTGGTACGAAGCCGTCAGCTTGCTAGTATTATTCTTCGCCTATCTAGTATTGCTGTTTGCCGGTAAAAGTATCCTAGGTTGTTACCGCGAAACCTCTTGTTCCAGTTCCAAAAAGAAGCGTAAGTAGGTACATGGAGTATAACTTTTACATATATGCATATCTCCCGTTTCGAATCGAAAGAAAAGCGAGTAAGAGGAGCCCGCTTAATTGATTGATTAGGTTTCGACATTGACGGTAACAACTCGACTCCCAATGAATCGTACAAATCGCAGAACGATTCGGTCGTAAATCATCCGGAAAAGCGTAAGGACGGAGGCAACGAAGCGGAGAACGGAGGAGAAGGATCTTTGGAGAAATTGGCGGAACCTTCGGAAGCAGGTATTATACTATTTCGTTTAGAAGATCCTTCTCGAAGAATAGGATGAACGCGTCTTCGTTTATTCGCAGCAAGTCCGTTCGTTTGGCCGGAGGAACGATCTCTGACCAAGAAATGTTGGTTCCTCTTCTGTTGGCCGTTGAAATTTCTGCTGTTCGCGACGATACCGGATTGCAGAACAGAACGGTTGATGAAATGGTATCCGTTGACGTTCGTCATGTGCGTGATTTGGATCGGGTTATCTTCCTATTTTGTCTCTTGGATGATGACCGTGGTCGGTGACACCGCAGGAATCCCAGATTCCATAATGGGCATTACGTTTTTAGCTGCCGGAGGAAATATACCGGAGATGGCCTCCATTGTCATTTTAGCAAGACAGGGTAAGCAGGGAAGCGGTGCTTCTTCTTTTGTTTTCTATTTTCCTTTACAGTTGGCCGAGGATTCACTGGCGCGGAAGTAATCCGGCGCTATCGATCGTTGAACGATATTTTTGTTGTCCGCTTAGGTGACGGAAACATGGCGATGAGCAATACATTGGGGGCAAATATTCTCGACATCTTGCTATGCCTGGGTCTACCATGGACGATAAAGTGTCTGATGTCTGGGAAAGACGTGGAAATCGTTTCAGGAGCTCTGTCCTACAGCGTACTTTCTATCGTGATTTGCATAATCGCGCTCTACGCGGTCATAGCATTCTTCGGCTTCAAATTGAACAAAAAAGTGGGATTAATCTGTCTGTTGTTGTACACGATATTCTTGGTGTTCGCCATTCTTGTAGAAATGAATGTATTTTACTTGGTTAATTTACCGATGTGCGATTAACGAAACGAACAATTAGTTTCTTCGGTCTTTTATCTCGTTACGCTCGCACGTAAGTACCTAAATACTTATTTATATAAGTACTTGACATAATGCCGGGGTAATCTAACACGATTGCCGTTTCGCCTGTTTTATACGGTATCGAATCGCTCGTCAACCTAAACGAGAATCATTTGCACGTTATCAAGGTACATAATCTTTCGCTGTATCTCTATCTCATTCTTTTACCTTTTTTTCTATTCTTACATTGTTTCATCGTCACGATAAGTATAGGTATGTAACAGTTGTACGCTCGTTAACTCATCTACTTACTTGAAAAGGTAAACCGAACACAGAATCGAAGGAAGAAATCAAGATTTTGACGCATATTCAAACGATATTGAATAGAGAATAATTTATTTTGACGAGTCGAAAGTAAAAGGTACTTACTTTGTTAGAAAGAATAGCGCGCAACGAGAACGGAAGTCGATTGCGCACCATTTTTGCTTGAAATTCTATTTAAAAAATACTCGATTGTTCGCTATTGCGAATGAAAAGTTGAAATATTGCTGGTCGAAAAAATATCTCGAGTAAGGAGGAAATTAAAAACGCAAGCGTTGGCTGTTGTACAGCCATTTATAGCGAAAAAGAGAAAGAGGAAAACTAAACGATAGAACAACAAAGTATTTGGGAGGCATAAAGAACGAGCTATAAGATGACACGCCTGTTCTTTTCTTTTTTTATTGAATACCCTCAAAATAGTCCCCCTAATAAGTATTTAATATATTGCTTACAGAGTTGGTACAAGTTTTCGAAAGACTTTAAAAATGTTGTTACTCTAATTAATAGCATCTCTTTTCCGCGTCGCGTTTCTCTGAACATCAACCTGTTTGATTTTCTTTCGAAAGTCAGAGAAAAGAAAGTAGCCGATGGGAAGCGGATCGAAGAAACGTGGGCAACGCGATCGAGCACCGGATTAACGATAAGAACAGCAGCAACAACAAGATCAATAAATTCTATATCGGCCCGTTGGATTACAGCGATTTTTTCACAGCGTTTCAGGATAAAGGTTGAATAAACACGCGCCCACGTATAAAACAGGCTACTTGTATTAAATACTTTTATTTCTGTCCAATCTGATTAGCTGGTATCGTGTAACGGAAGCGAGGTAGGTACGTGTAATTACGTGTCGTTGACGAGTGATCGCGTTTGCCCGTATACCTGACCGCTGTAAATTGTAAATGGTAGGTAAATTGCAAATTGTAAATTGTAAAGTTGTTAATTGTATATACGTTCGTTCGCGTATCACGATTTACAATGGATGAAATTCATAAGATGTGGTATATTAGAGTTTGAAATTTACTTGAATTATGTTCTCGTTTGCGCGGTGCTTAAGCTAATCGCTTATCGTTTGCGACACAATGGCCGATTAAGTCAATTGGACGCGAAGGTCAGATCGAAACTCGACTGAGGCCGGCTCGATCGATCGTATCGCGATTAACACCATTCTTTTAGATATTTTCACGTAAACGTGCTTGTACGATAACGCGATTGGTGGTCGTGTAAGCGACGATGGCTAATGCGTACAAGTTCAATCGTTGGATAAGATAGCCGATAATTGGCTTGACGAAATTTACAGTGGCCGGAAATGAAAAAAATGAAAAAAAAAGGTCCTATCTCGACGTTCAAGATTTTTAGATTCGACTCCTTTTTTAAAAATAAAATCACAAATCATTCTCGACTCGTTCGATTACTCTCTCTATCTTCGATCCTGACGAGATAACGTCGCCTCCCGGACAGCATTTCTCCTTCAACTCTTTTCCATTTGGCTCTACGTAATACACGAGCTCGATTTTATTTACCGAACGATTAAAATTCTTTCGCAGTATCGCGAGACTTTTCGATTTTCTCGATTCTCCGAACTGCTCCTCCATCGACTCGATCGTTTTTACAAAGCTGAGATTTCGCTGTTCTCTTGAAAGCACTTACAGTTATCATTATCATCTTTCATGAAGTGTTTGCGCGTGAAATAAAACACGAGTCGAGACATTTCGTATACCGTTAAGGATAACTTCGCACCAGCTGGTCTGAAACAGAAAGGACGAAAGGACGAAACGCTTGACCGTGTGGCAGTTGAATATATGTACATATCTTGTAATCGGTTCGATCCTATAGCTTTGCTAGCCGTTCGCTCGTTCGAGTGTCACGGTAAATACGGTACTTATCGAATTAATGTTACTTCGATAAAAATACCATCGATTATTAACGTCAGAATAAAATTTTCGAGCAATTAGCATAATCGACGTTGGTAACGCGATCGGCACTTGGTGACGAGTGACGGCATTTGCTGTTGATGATAGTTGATCGATTGGCTATTGAAATCGATTTGACGAGCATCGAAACGCGTGCCTGGGATTTTAAAAAATGCCAAACGTTCAGGGGATGGCAACAATTAGTATTGTAATCAGGATCGTTGAAGAATCAATGATCACTCCTCGTCTTACTTATTGTTAATTAATATGCGATGGCTGTCTGTAACTTTCTTCTCGATCGAAAGTATCTTCCCTCTTTCTCTTCTTTCGCATCTCTCTCCGACCATCCTGTCTTCGCTTATTTGCTGCTATCGAAAAATCGAATTTTTTCAGCAACGATGCGGTTTTCATCGATCGATTTCACGCGGCGTTACACGCCGCCCATTTTTTTTGTACGGACGGTTTGGATTCAAAGAGTCGACTGCGAGAGTCGAGACAGCTTTTCGCGCGATTCGCTCGAGTTACGGATCCATCCGATTCGTACGAAATGCGTGGAAAGTGAAATCTTGATACTTTATCCTTTGTTCCGCGTGATCCTATCGTTCGTGCTCTCGGTACTTTTCATCTATATATATATATATTTACATAATCGTCTAACTATTTACCGCAACTACGTACATCTACCTATTTACGCGTCTATCCGCCTACGTACTTTTTACCTATCTAACATAGCTGTCCAGTTAGCTAACCAGCTATTTCACCACGTCGAATCAACCAGTCAGCTAATCGGTTAGCTATCCATCTTAGTCCTTTGCGTTAACGAGAAAAGGGCCGAACAAATGCTCTCTGTACAACGGGAAACGAGCAATCGCGCGATACTCGTATTCAATTTGTTAACAAGTACGGGTGCATGTAAGTGTTTGCGCGGCAAAATTACACTCCCGTAACGATCCTCGATGTTGAACGGTTTCTCTCATCGATTCGAATTATTCGATTATGCCCGTCTTAAGCAATGTACTTCATTCACGCGATATGTATGCAAGTGTTAATGTGCAATTGTGTGCCGTTCATCGATCGAACGGACAATAAAACGGTGCGAATGAATTATTCAAAGCTGAAAAAATTATTTGCAATAGTACTCGCGCTTTACAGAATTGTAATAAAGATGCTACGATATCTTCTATCTACCGTCTTCAATGAACACTTTGTACAGTGAATTCGTGGATAAATATTTTCGATTCATAGAAAATCTCGATTCGTCGTATCATTTTGCAACGATAATAATAATTAACGTGGCAATTACCGAATCGTTTTCAAATCTCTTCTCCGTTCGTATCACCGAGATCGGTGAAACAAATTTCACGACTGTATTAGAAACTGATAATCGTATGCGGAATTAATCTACTAATAACCGTTATTAATAAGTATTTATCGTGATCGGTAATGGTAATTATAAATCGTAAGTCGTAAGTCGAAAGTGTTATGTAAGTCGAAAGTCACGGAGTCGTAAGTCGTAAGTGAAAATCGTCGCGAGTCGTAATCGCAATTGTAACCGTTAACGTAACCGTAAGTATTGTCGATTGATTAATGCGAATATAAGTGGTGTATTCGCGGCATGGGGCGACGCGCAAGTCGATCGCGTGGATTTTCGAAAGTTTCTTTCGGGCTTGACCCGACTTGGCTCGGATCGATTTGCTTTATACAAGTATTTAAGTATATCGAACGGATCGGCTGTTGTTTTTTTCATCCAGTTCGATTCAAAGCAACATGAAAATATGCATAGACGTATGGAAACGTGTGAATGCAGTTTCATTGTATCTCGCAAAATGGTAGTTTCCCAGTCAGCTCCTTGGTCTGTTCTTGATCCTGACTGTTCGCAGCCTCGCTTTTCGGGCTGGCTCCATCCTCCAGAGAGCCCCCACCACTTCCGTGGGGGCAAATTGATTGTCATCTAAGCGCCAGGGTTGAGATCATCGGAGGTCGGGCTGGTTTGTTGTCCAGAATCCTTTCGATTTCGCTCATTATGTTGGCATTCAATTTTGGAATAAGCTAGAAGAATATGTAAAATTTCAAAGGGTAACAAGGGAAATATCTAGGAGAGATTACCTGTAAACTCTGAAGACTCTCGTACAGTTGGTCTATGTTTGATGCACCGAGAAGAAGGCACTGAACACTTTCATTCTTTAAGGACCACGCGATGGCCAACTGGCCGAACGAGCAACCGAGTCGTTCGGCCAGTGCACACACGTCCCGTAATTTGTCGGAATATTTCCGTGTCTCCTCGTCGCCAGACTTCTCTTTCCAGCCGTATTCCTGCTGAAACACCGGGTAAAGAAACACCGAAATGATCCCATTCATCTTAAGTACAGACAAAAGGAACCTTTACCTTTGTCAACTCAAGTACGCACCTCTTTGTACAAAGATTGCGTTTCGTCCTCTGTCCAACTGAACGACGAATACTTATTCTGAAATCGTAAACGTTGCAATCGTTAATCGTCCGGGATAAATTCGTCTTTCTACCTTTGAATCGTCAATATCATCAAGAGAGAGAGAGAGAAGAAGAAGAAGAATACAATTTTATTTCCCGTATTCTTCGCATTTTGTTCACGTTACCTTATAAGAAGATCTCGATAAAAAAGAAACTCCATAGTCTTCTGGTTTCGCGGAAACCATTCCAATGGTGACCGTGGACCACGCCATCAGTCCAACCCCTGAAAAAAAAAAGAGATTCATGTTTTATGAAAGCAAAGTGCATCGGGCCATCGATGAGAAACAGATTCGAATGAGTTACCAATCTTGTTGTACAATTCCGGCATATAAAGTTCTGGCTTTTCTCTATAAAACAGATGATACTCGGCTTGTTCCACGATCGGTGTGACGCAATTGAATTGACGACAATTCGTGTAAGCTTCCATGATCTCCACCGGTGTCCAACGAGACGTTCCCCAGTACATAACCCATCCCTTGCTTATCACATAATTCATAGCGCGTACTATCTCTGAAAGAAATCCGAACAAGATAATACAAACACAGCCGACGATGCATGTAGTATAAAACGAGGATGTTTAATCGTGAACAAACCTTCCATCGGACACATAGGATCGACTTTATGAATCATTACGATGTCGATGTAGGATAATTGTAATCTGACCAAAGATGCTTGGACCGATTCGATAATGTGTTTTCGTGACAATCCACGACCCTCCGCCCTGTGTTAAGATTTTCTTAATACGCGTATCGAATTTATTATTGAGAAATTTACGATGCAATCGTTTACTTGGTATTCCAGTATATCTTGGTGGTAACGACGTAACTGGAGCGATTCCAAGCTCGTCGCAACAAAATTCGTCCGAATTGAATCTCTGCTCTGTGACCGCTGTGGGCCTCGCTCAAGTCGAACACATTTATCCCACTATCGTAGGCAAGCGCGACCACAGCTTCGGCAGCTTCTTCGTTACCGCATCCTCCTATGCCAAAAGTCGTCCACGTACCTACGCGTGTAAAGCAACTTTGTTAGCTTACTCGTCTTCCTTCGGTTTCACGACACGTTTACTTTTCCTTTCCTTTCCTTTCCTTTTCTTTCCTATGCTATAACGACATCGCATTTTCCTTCACCTACCGCCTCCGCATAGGACTAGGACGACCGCTATCGGAATCTTATTACTAACGCTTACCTTTCGTCAACGATTAATTAGTAATTTCTCAATGTGTTCCTTTGTTTCATACTTTAACGAGCCATTGCTAGACACATTTTGCCTTTCGTTACCTTTCGTTTACCGGTTGCCCTCGTCTATCCTGTAACCTTTCCCATGAAAACACATACGAGAAGCTTACATGCTTACAAATCGTTGAAAAGAAGCATTGACAAACATTAAATATGCGAAGAAAAAAAGAAGAAGATATATTGAAAAGTGTATAGATATACATATTTAGGAGACACAGAAGGATAGAGGAAAACATAAAGAAGGATGAGTCTAACTGTGTTTCTGTGGATAGTCGATCGATCTGATTAACAAGTGACAAACTATGGTATTATCTGTGAATATGAATGTAAGTTAAAGCATACATTGAAATGGAATAAAACGGATGGGTAGCCGCGATTCTGTTCGTTTCTACGAAAGTGGGGGAAAACATTCAGCGTACCTAATCCAACATTGGAAACACGTAGACCGCTTTTGCCCAAGTTGCGGTAGCGAATACCTGGCGAAGGATGCTGTAAGCGTTGCGCTTGTGCGGCAATGCAGTTAGTCAGTAGCTGTTCCTTCGTTCCAGCGGTATTGCTGCAGTGTACACCGCCGTCGACACCGCCGCCACCGACGACGCCACCGCCGACGCCACCACCGCCACCGACGCCACCGACGCCGCCACCGACGCCGCCACCGCTACCACCGTTGAACTCTTCCATGCAATCCAGACTCGCTATGGGTGCACGGCAGCTGCGCGTACAAAATATACGCCGACTATTAATAGGACAGGATCGATCGAATGCTCGATATTAACGCGCAAACGTTTTCATCTACCACCACGAACCGATGAAAATCGTACGTTTTCCTTTAAATTGCCCTATTCAGACTGACAATGAGATTCGTCCCACTGTCCGCATACACCTGCATCGATCGATCAGAAATCGTCCGATCGACGTACGCTTGACCCAGATAGACAGGTGTTTCGCGGTCTTACAAAACTGTCCATCTCGATTTCGCGCCGCGTTTCGTCGCGTCGATAAGAAAAGTATTCACTCACCGATAAATAGTGGGCAGCGGATAATAGTCGTCATCCTCCATACTACTGTTCGTATTCGCATTGTTATTCGTATCGTTTCCTGCCGTGGACGTGGTACCAAGATTGCACAACATTAAACGAGACATCGTCGAGCGATGATGATTTGAAACGTCTTTGAGAAGGCAGAAGAATCGTGGAGAGACGCGAGCGCAGCGCACAGGAAAGATCCGATCGATCTATCAAATACGAGACGACGATTCTGATTCGTACTCGAAGAAAATGGGGAACTTTCTCGATCGTCGCTTCTCACAATCGCCTCTCATAATTCGTCAACGAACTGCTCGCATTCACACGTTTCGTAGATTTTACTACGATCGAAAGGAAACACAGAAAGTAGGAGAGACAAAGATATAGAGAGAAGAGAACGTCGGGGTCACTCGAGGAGCATCGGTCGATCGTTAAATGCACCTGAAACGATTCGTTTCGGTTAGCCGATACTTTTTCAAATTTTCCTATATTTATTGCGCGTACGTTTTATATTATAGGCACTAGTTTCTCTTTGCTCTTATTATGTTATTTAGGCACCACAGTAAAGAACGTAAACATGGTGGTTCTTGTACGGTTATTCGGCTAGATCTTGTAACATAATCGAGGTTGCGATCGAGGTGCTAATGAAAAACCGTAAGAGGTAATAATCTTTCGAGAAAGTACATGCCACTCGTTACGATAGATAGAGAGGAACGGGGTGGTCGATATGAATTTCGATATGTACTATACGATTGCTACTCGAGGGAGACGGATAGACGATCACCGACTCGATTTTCACCACTAATCAACCACTAACCGACCGACTGAGTTTATGAGAAGCACCATTCACGGCGATTTACTAGCTTACAAGGAAATTCAACAGCTAGATTAACAACGACGTTGCTTTCGTAACTTCCATGATTTCTATCATTCCGATCGTTTCCATCGTTTCCATCGATTCCATCAATTCGATTAATTTCATCGATTCGGATCGCAGCGTTTGGCGTCGATGGTAACGCGTTGATTTCCACTTCCGTTTCCGTTTCCAACTTTGATCCCAACTTTTTCGATTTCGGTTTAGCTCTCGATCTTGGCTTCGACTTCCTCGATCTGATTTTCAGTCGCAACTGCAAGCCCGGATACCGCGCCAGTTCCAGCATCAACCGACGTGCTCGATCGTATAAAAGCATTCGACGCGGACTATCTTAACAATTTTTGTTCCGACTTTGAATAGTTGTCGCCTCTTGCTAACGAAACACCTTCCTTTCGCATCGTCGATCTACGATTCACCGTTACGTTTCCACCGATATCGGACGGGCTTCGTCGAATCAACGAATTATCGATGGTGGAAAATAAAGGATGTAAATCACCGGAACGCGAAACGAAAATTTGGTAAAAATATTAGGATCTTATTGCAGAGACGGCGAGTGTTATGCCTCCTACGTGGTAAGCAACACTGCACAACTTCGATACACCGCGACTCCCTCCTTTTCGGCAATAGGTCAGGAGCGTGCGTGCTTTCGCGTTTCTCTTCTCTTTCGCGAATCCTCCGGTTTCGGTTTCGGTTTCGGCCGAACTGTTTGCGCACGCCCGCGGCTGCGCACCCTTCGTCTTCACCCTACCACCCCTGTCTTCCTACCCTCCGTCCTCCTCTCTCCGTTCCTCGCGACACACAGGGTTGCGGTTGTTTTCAGAGCGCATGACGTTACCCACGTCGCATTCAACGCATTCAGCGCATTCGCCGCATTTGTCGCATCGAGCCTCCCTTAGAATTATTTACATCTCTCTCGACTGTCTTTTGTTACACGGCCCACGAGGGCCCGCCGTGACCCACAATGGGCCGTGCCTTCTTTCCTATCATTTTTCTATCCTTTCCCTACCCGTACTCTTTCTTCTCCCTTCGTCGGAAACGAATCGATTCGTCGCGATTAAATCTTCCGACTATCGTAAGGGAGCAGGCGTTTCGGTCCGGATAAATATAGCGTTTTAGTATCGCGCACGATACTCGCAAGAGCACCCCTCCTGCATGGAGATTCGTGCCCGATATATCTATCTACCTATCTTAAACGCATGCGTATACGCGAACAGAAACGGAATAGACGCCCGCGTAAAGCGTGTATGTTGCAACGAGTGGGTAAAAAAACGCGTGGTTAACTATGGAGCGCAAGGGTGTGCGAATAGAAAACGAAACGGTAACAATCTCCGCGACAACGCCGCATTGCGGATCCGATGTGGTGACGTGCAACTGACCCCTTCCTTCTTCAACCGTTTTGTGGCCGCCCACGTTGTTTGACCTACCGACCTAATACAAGCTCGACCTACTGTCACCTGACCCAACACACCGATCCACTTCTGATTACGCTTCACCCTTTGTTACAATCTCTCGATAACGCGACCCCCCGGCTATGTCAACCCTCTCGGCAAACGTTTCATCGACGAACCCGCCACGTAAAATATTTCTCGAGAACGCTGATAAACGCGTACGACGCGGTTCCACCCGAATCTCTACAGACTCCGCTTTCGCAACCCTCTAGCGCTCCTCTAAGTACCTACCTGTCGATAATCTGCAGCGATCCGACGCGTTTCTGCTCCTCGCTGAAACGAACCTGCGTCGCGTGGCCGATCCTGTTCCCTTCTCGAATTCCTACATGTACATATACTCCTTCTTCGTTGAAATCGTGCCAAACGTTTCGAAAACATTGATTACAATTGCCAACAGACGGAATCGCATTCTCCTAGTGTATTCCATCGCGTCTTTGCAAACCCTTAACGATCGATCGACGCTATCGATTCGAACGCCGGCCTAGAGAAAAGAAAAGTTTACCTTGGAAAAACGAACCGATCGATAGCTTCGTTTTAATAACTTATTACAGTACTTTATTATTAAACTTGTTAAGTTCGTAGATTACCTAAACGTACACACCACCCTGCGGGAAATTTCAGTACACGCCAAATAACTTTTTCGTCGAATAAAGACTCGGCGCGTAATCTTCACGTTTCGCTAATCGATTATCATAATTTATGCGTAACTCGATGATCGATTAACGTAAACTTTGTTCGATTATGCGCAATTCGCGCGTGTACGGGAATGCGTGTAGACATAAACGCACCTTCTTACATACGTGTTATGCAACGTTCACAAAATTACGTGTCTGTGGAAGCGGCAGTCTTTTCTACGCTATCGTACGCTATATACCGATCAGACATGTATTCGTTACGCGCACTTTTTCTTCCTTAATCTTCCTTTCTTTTCTTTCCCCTACCATCTTTCGTCTTCTTTCGTTACAATTGTTTATCTATTGTTTCGTCGATGTGTCACCCAAAACTAATTAAACACAACAAATGTTTATCTCTTTGTCACGACCGCGTCATACTTTCGAAATGCGTATACGCACGAGAAAATATCATGCGATAACGAGTGTCTTTACCATTTACCAGAGTACAAACATCTCCTCTTCTCTTTTCTTCTTCTTCTCCTTCTTCTTCTTCTTCTTCTTCTTCTTCTTCTTCCTCCTCCTCTTCTATCTCCTTCACTTCTTTCTCAGCTTTCTTCTTCCTCTTCGATCTTACGAACAATTCTTCTTCTCCTTCTTTTTTTCTTCTTTTTCTTCCTGGTGTTCTTTGTTGCATCTTTTAATACTCATGTTTCTTAATCGTTGATAGTTAGACGATAGCGCAATAGAAAATATTCGACAGATGGAAATGGTATGAACGAGAAAGTTTAGAATCGATCGTAACGTAGAAAGTAGGCTCGTACGCGGAGAAAGGACTAAAGAGACGGTACCAAAGTGAAAAAAAGAAATAAGAGAGGGGAGAAGAGAAGAGTTAAAAGGTATATGGTTCCGAGTAGATAGAAAGAAATATGAATTGTTCCTGGTCGGTTGGTTCGCGCGGGGAGGAAATAACGGTCGAATAATGGGGGTGAAAAGAGTCTGGTAGAAGCGAGACGAGAGATAAAGTAGTTTCGCATAATATAAAACAGCATTGTTCGGTTCACCGTGTTGCTCGTAAGTTTCCATAGGTAACGTACGAGAGGACTCGATTAAAAACCGTGTGGAATATCATTAAGCGACTCTACTTTCTTGACCGTATCACTTGACCGTCCTCTGGCACGTGGGTAAATTCACCCTGAAGAATACATTCAGTTCTATCAACGATGCTAATATCAGAAATACCGCGTACATACATAAACAGGCTCGCCCTACTTTTCTATCGAGCTGAAACTTGTTCGAAGCGAAAGCAATATAAAGCAACATCAATGTCGACAATAACGATATAGCGCTGTACTCGAGCCCGCCAGAGTTTATACTGATGTAATGTTTTCCAGGTTGCGTAGGTGAGAACGATGATTTAATTAGCCACGGCAGACCAAGGCACAACAATATATCGAACGTGTTCGATCCTATCGAGTTGCTGATACCCATCGAACCGTGTCCTGATGAAAAAAAAAAAAAAGAAACAAATTCATCCAAGATTTAGTTAATTAAATTTTCCCAATTTTCCACTTTACCTTGTTTCGCCACTATTACGCTCGACACAGCCTCTGGAACGCTGGTACCAGCCGCGAGAAAAGTGATACCCATCACGGAGTCCGGTATCTTCAGAGTGTCACCTGAACATCGAACAGTCTCAGTTTCCCTGCCACCTACTCTTTACCGATACCAATCTCTCCCCTTACCGATTATAGTGATCATCCATGCGACAACGTAGCTCAAAGATCCAATCCAAATGATGCACATGAGAAACGTGACCGGAAACCAATTCTTGAATCGAGGCTTCTCGCAGTCCGGTATGGTGCACATGAAAATCAAATGAATCGGCCAGGTCAAAATCCAGGCTGTTTTTCTTATCCATCCAGCTCGTGCCGGCCAGACCAGCAGCTCGTACTCGTAATCTGTACACAATTTTGAAAAAAGACGCAACACTTTCGCTCATTCTCTTCTCTTCTCTTCCCTTTCGGTTCCGTACCGAAAGGTATCGAACGCAAGCTACGTATCGCGTATATCAACTTTCTTCTTTACAATCGAAAACACTTACTAGGCTCGGGGTTCTCTTCTTGAGTTTTCGTTCCTCCGTTTTGCAACGGCACGTCTATGTGTTCAGCTTGATCGCCGATCGATTGCACCTTATCAGAACCAGCTAAGCGAATCTCTGTGCTACCCTCTGAAACGAAATTTCTTCACATTTCCTTCTTATCGGTCGAACGGATTAAAATTTATTACCGATATGCTCTCACCTGTACCGGCGACTCGATGATCATCCGACAGGGACTGATCAGCGTTGTGCGCACGGAATCGCGTGCATCGCTGAAACGATTTGTCCCAGTACATGACGGCGATGTAAACGATGTACAGTAAGACTAGCGTTAACGCTTCGTACCATTCCACTCGCTCGTCGTGTATAATACATATCAGAATGGCGACCGTAACGCCGTACGCTAGACAATCTCTGCTGACCGGCCACCAGTCCAATGGAACTACCTGTTTAGATCGCGTATTTAGATCCTGGAGAACGTCTCGTTCAGATCCCTGGACACTTACCATTCCAGCACCGATACCGCAGCATGCCGGTACCGCGAGAATATTGAATACAGCCGAGCCTACTATTGTTCCAACACCGATGTCACCTTCGGTGATGAACGTGCCGATCGCGTTGACGAAAAGTTCCGGTGCCGATGTAGCCGCAGCCATGAAGGTAGCGCCCGCGACATCCTTCGACATCGAGAGGGCTGTAATCAATCGACGAGATTCGATGGTTAGCTTCGTTGTTGCTAGTTTCAATGTTAATTACACATTTTCTTACCGTGACATATCTTTTCCACGGCGGGTACAAAAAATTTATCGCACACTACCGCTAACGCAATGAACAGGTAAAGGGAAACGACCACGTGTACCACCACGGCTCCGTCCTGCCTCTGCTTCTCGTTGAAAATATCATGTGGAAAGTCTTCTATCGCCGGTGGTGTACAATTTATGCCTGAAACGTGAAAAATAAGTTAGCGGATTGAACAACAGGTAGATATACAGGTGTAATGTAAACGAGAATCGTCGTTAAAATGAATAAAAATTTCTTTTTCTCCTTTTTCGCCGATTCGTTGTATCGAACGAGGAAGTGGCAGTAACACCATCACCATCACCATCACCACAATAAAAAGCAACAATGTTAGACGGATTAGAAGGATTCAGCTGGTCGTATTACAATTCGTATCGTTAACCGATTTCGGCCTAGGCTATTACGTAAGTTTCGACGACCTTGCGTAGCTGGTACAGCGCACTTGGACACAAACGTCGAATACACGCTCCACTCGGTGATTACACGATAATTGGTTGCATTCGCTCTACTAGCTACGGTCAGCACAAATATAATCAGTTCACTGACCTTCGTCGTTCCTCTATTGAATTTGTTTCTCCGTCAAATTTCTTGCCCGTCGAGCTGGAACTGTCCTGGTATAGCGACAGCGACGATAATCGTCATTCCGAATACCGTTCACGAGCAATTATACCCCAAAATAAACGAATACGTACAGTATTCATCGACGTGTTTACGATCGGATCGATATAATTTTTTGGTCCGCATCTAACATCGATTTAAAATATTTCGTAGAAAAAAAAGAAATTTTTGTTTAAGGGGGTGATAATATTCTGTGGATATAACAGAGTAGGTACAGATGCGACAGAGTAGATAAATCAACGATAAAATGTACGATTGGCGCCCCGTTTCTTGTCACTCGAAAATCAGTCAAAGCCATCGGTATTTTTCACGATAAACTTTCGAAAGTTACCTATGATCAAAAAGTTCGATAAATACTGCGTTTCTACGGAATCTATCCGTTCGTAGCTTTCAATAGTTAACGGAGAACCTGATCGGTAGTTTCAAGGAAGTTTCAACTATACCACCGCTGTTGCGTATATTTCGAGGAGAGACACTTTATCAATTTGATGGGTCAATCAATTTCCTTCTGTTTTTTTTTTTTTCTCCAACTTTTATTCGTCGATCTTAACAATCGATTTTTCTCCTATGACTTCTTGTAATCGACGTAATGAACCAAACGATGCACGTATTGGTGTCTCGTACAGGTTACACAGCTGTATAGTTGATGTGACTTCCTACCGATTAAGCAACCTAAAGAAGTTAAATTGCTCTCATTCAAGTTGGCAGAGGAGATGCCATTCATGTCTAATGTACGTCGTATAAACTAGATATAACGTGGCTCGGCTATTCGGTGTCGAACGGTTTCGTCTCGTTGGAAACAAACGATGGCCACCGGAGCTCGATTGCCGATCATTAATCGTCGCTCCTTAATTGGCGACGCGTTGGTTCATCCTTCTACGGACGGTAGCGCGTCTCTTAAAAAAAAAGAAACAGATCAAAGTTCCGTTGATCGGTGATCGTTGTTCGACGTTTGTCATTTTCGTCAAAATTAATAGTAAAAAAAAAAAAATAAAAGGCGCGAAGCTCTTAATTTCATCCGATACCGCCGTATATATGTAGATACAGTACAAGTATCGTGAAAGTTATTTTAAATTTTCACAATTATTCCATTTGTTTTTCTGCTTGATATTATTATCGACCAGTCGAGTACCATTTCTTGCATTACCAAAACGAATAGTTTGCAAAGGTACAAATGAAATTAGAATGATGGTAATTTACAAATGTGAACAACACGCAGCCTACACCGCCATTTACCTTACGAATAGATGCATAAATGAATAAATGAATTGTAACGCGTTCATCGACATGATCCACTATGCCGTTGTAACATTTTTCTACACTACGATCGTTAACTTACCAAATCTCTTTGAAAAAAGAAATAAACATAAAATATTACGAACGATGAAATAAGCGAAGAGAGAGAGAGAAATTTATCAATGATTTAAGTTGTTTCGAAGAATCTCAACAAACAAGTGGCATCGATGTACAAAAAAAAGAACCCTTTCTAAACGTTACGCGAAAGTAAACCCTTTTCTCGCTACGCGCGATCATTTCCGATCGAATATCCTTTTGTCCGTGTTTAGGAACGACAACTGTAAACCAAATTACAAGCAATTCTACGCGATATAGAATGCCACACGACACTCCTGAAATGTTTAATGATTTGTATTAAAATGTACCATTTCTTACTCTTGCACCCCCTCTTTCCCCCTCCGCACCACCCTAACTATTCATCTATCTATTTATCTATCCGTCCATCTTTTCTTTATTCAATCCTGTATCTTGATCCTTCTTCCCTTATTCCTCCTCTGGCCAATCTTTCACTCGATTCGAATCTTTTTATCCTTCTTCCTTCTCTCTAACATTTTCTTACGTTCAATGTTCTTCCGTTGTTGTCGATGCCGATATCTAAGCACTATCTATCCTGCGGTTCCTCTTCCTCCACCTCCTCCTCCTCCACCCTATCCTCCTCCTCCTTCTCTTTCTCCTCCTTCCTTCTGGTCTTGCTTCACTTCCTTTTTGCTCGATACCTCGATTTCCGGTATCATTTTAATCCTCTATTATCCTGTTTCATCGTTCACGATTCTTGAAACACACCCCCTTCGCCGATCGAGCGTTCACGTGTGAACCGAAACCCGATTTACCGTGAAATAAACATCGATTTTCTCTAGTATTCAAAATATATCCAACAAACCTCCTCCCAAGTCAGACGTATCCATGTTGTCAATCCCGTTGTCACACATATACTACATTAACAACTACTCCGAAGTCCGGCACCGTTTGTCGGAATCGCCCCTCCCTCTGCTGACTCTTCTCTTCTCATCTCTCGCGCATCGCGCCTGCTGAATCGTGCCGCGGTCAAAATGCGAAATCGTCATTGCACTAATCGTCGTTATGGCTTCCTTGGAAATTGAACGTTCGTCCGTTCGTCCGCACGAATATTTCGTTCGGACACGCCGCCGTTGCGGAGCAGAATTATTTCCTTGTTTTCCGATCGTTCCGTTACCGATCCTATTCACGCTTCGCTTCGGCTATACGACACGGTTGGAAAAATACGAAAGCTCGTGCTTAAACGTTTGCCGAATGGAAGAAAATGTTCTCCATCGAAACAGAAACAGGGGGGGGGGGCACGAAATGAATTTCACGCGGAAAGAGGGTGGCGGATACCGCTGAACCGCGATCGTATATCCCTTTGACAGTAGCGCGACCACGCGATGATACATTGCTCGTTTATCGAGAAATTTCACGCAAAAAAGAAACATTCAACTTTCTGACGCATAATGAGATAAAGAAATAACCCGACTCCGCGTGCAAGCGACAACAATCGTCCGCAAGATGCGTAGAAGAAACTAACAGGCAACGCGAGCACTTAACAAATCGTGCGATCTAAGTACGATCTAAGTTAGCCATTCCTCGTCCCTAGTTTTCACCGAACATGTATTTAATTAGTTAGGTGCTCCAGTAGCAGGATTACCGTTCGGATTATCAGTAAAGGGATGTCACGATTCGCTTCGAGTAATATCTTATCTGTGTACAATTGAGACCGATAATGCTCGTAAACGACAAAACATCGATGCGGTTTACCGTTCGAGTTAGCGAATGAAAATTAGTATCGCACGGAACGGCACGTCGCGCATCGTTGATTCGATTACCGAAGCTTCTTTTCAATTAATTGACATTGATCAATTTTACAATGGCGCGAAGACACAGGCAAACGATTGGATATAAAATATTCAGTATAATCCTCGTTCCAACGATCTACCTGATTTACATAAATACGTTAACGTTATTTATTCCGAACGATACGGATTCGAGTGCAAGTCGTCACCCTACGGATGCGCGTAAGTTTACATTTTACAAGATCTCTTTCCTTTCCATTCCTACTCGTTCGTCGTCATCGTCGTCGATCGACGAACGAGTTTCCTCTTTAAATCCATATCTTTTTCTTTTTTTTTTTCTATTATAATTTCCTTGCTCATTGATCGTAAACAGAATTAAAAGGGTGAAGACAAAGGGTGCGGAAGAGAGAGAGAAATGAAAATTTCTAATGAATCGTTACGTAATACAGGTACTCCTGTCATCTATGTATAGTCTTACGCGTCGCGATACAATTCTTAAGCTGCTAAAAAAAAACCAAACGTTTACAAAAGAAATAACTACAAATTATCTTATCCTCTTTCACCTTTTCATTCATCTATCTTCTTATCTCTTCTCCGAGTCGCGACCAAGTACACGTGTGTACGATATTATTATACACATCTTTACACCCGATAAACACGCTCTTACCGATCGCTCCAGTCTTTTGTCCTATTTTCTTCAAGGATTTCGAAAATTGCTGCAAGTCGAACCGATGGAGCCTGGAGGAAACGAAACTATCAATTGTACCCCTCCAGCGATCAAAGAATTCCCATCCGATGGACTTACGCGGGATCAAAGGGAATCCGGGTATATAGCTATACATTTCGTGATAGCCATTTATATGTTCCTCTTGCTAGCTATCGTTTGCGACGATTTCTTTGTGCCATCGATCAAAAAGATCTGCGACAGTAAGTTGACCGTACACCGGTGTGTCACGCATCCTCTAGCAAACAGATATAACGTACCATTTTGCGGGTGCAAGTTTAGTGCACTCATACGTGCACTTGTGTTCCGTTACTCTCGTCGAAAGGACAAATGCTCGCAAAGCGATTTCCATTTTCAGAGATAAACGTGACGGAGGATGTCGCAGGGGCGACGATTATGGCGGCGGCTAGTTCTAGTCCGGAACTGTTCATCAATATCGTAGGAACATTTGTGACGGAAGGAGATTTAGGTGTCGGTACTATCGTTGGTTCCGCGGTCTTCAACATTTTAGCCGTACCTGCTTGTTGCGGTTTATTCGCTAAACAGGTGCGATATTTCCTTCGTTCTTCAACTTTACCGATGCTAATCGAACAAGCTTATTCTCGTAGATATTAAATTTGGAATGGTGGCCTGTCACTCGTGACACTATCGCCTATACAATCACGGTTGTCTTATTAATTTTGACCCTACGGGATGGTCGGGTTTACTGGTACGAAGCGGTCATCCTTGTACTATTTTACATTTTATACATCTTGGGTAAGTGAAAGTAAATTATCCACCAATTAATTTCATTTTCAAAAATTTCTAATAATCAACAATGTTCTCCTTTCAGTAATGTGTTGCAATCGAAATATCCAAGGTCTCCTCAAGCGGGCAACAACTATGAGAAGAAAGTACAGAAACCTTTCCGAAAAGAGTCCCTTGCTTTCTACTGGTACGATCATTCTTCGTTCGTTTCATATTTTTATGTAGAAAAATAAGCTCTCGTTGTTTCAGATCTCGTTAAAGATACAGACTTCCATGTAATGGAATCGGGCGAGGACGACGAGACGCGTAAGTAGCAGAGATTACACGAAATTATTCTCTATTTCTTTGTCTTCATTTTCAAATGGTTTCTAGTTGAAATCGTAAACATGACAAACTGGCCAAGTTCGACGTGCGAGAAGATATGGTGGATGATCACTTGGCCGATTAATTTAATTCTCCTCATCACGATACCCGACTGTAGGAGAAGTAGATTGAAATCTTGGTATCCTCTTACTTTTTTCATGTGTATAATATGGATAGCAACTACTTCGTACGTAGTCGGATGGGTCATCACCGTGATCGGTACGTTCCTCGAGATATCCTTATTTTCACCTACATTCTTAAACGTTTATTGCGAATTTCCTCAATTTAACCGGCCCATTTTCAAGCAATTTTATTGTAAATTCTGTTAGTAAGCTGGTAAACCAATTTGAACGGTAATTTTTCAAACAGCTTCATTTTTATATCGTCGCGTGACGATCGATCATTATTACAGGCGATACGTTTAAAATTCCGGACTCCATAATGGGATTGACCTTTCTCGCAGCAGGAATGAGCGTACCGGAGGCTGTGTCAAGCGTTATCGTTGCGAATCAAGGTAATTCTTTCTACAGTCCGATTTTCACCTTATTTCACCGCTATCACTATCATGGTCACCGATAACGATAACAAAAACGACAACAAGAATCGCAACACTAATAAATCCGTCTATCGGTTAGATTTCGGTTAAATTTTCTAATCAAACTCTTTCTGAAACATCACAGACAATGGCTTACTACCATCTCTTCTGATAATCGATGTGATCGTCGAGAAAATAGTAGTATAGAAATAACGAATAACAATCGCGATAACGCTATCGCAAATAGCCAATTAGTTTCCTATGCGATAATGCGACACGTGGTATTATTACGACGTTATTATCAAATTAGCCCGATCTTGGAACCACTAATTGGTTTCTTCTCCTCGATTAACCATTAATTACAGTCAACTATGAATGTTCGCATGACAAACTAACACGCGTCTCTCAATCTGGCATTTAGTCTCATTTAATAATAAATAATCGCCACTTTAGAAGCTTCGCCAATTCGATCGAATAACGACTTCTTTTGTTTTTTTGTTTTTTTTTCCAACATTTTCAGGACACGGAGCTATGGGGATAAGCAACTCGATCGGTTCGAACGTGTTCGATGTTCTGCTTTGTCTCGGATTACCGTGGTTTCTTAAAACAGCCTTCTTCCCCACGGTACCCCATGAACATTACATAATCATTAATTCTCACGGGCTTGTTTATAGCGCGGTATCCTTATTTTCTACCCTTACCGTATTTTACCTGTCTCTTCTCATCGGCAAATTTAAGCTGACACGAGCTGTTGGAATCGCTTGTCTCATAATGTACGTAATTTTCTTAGCGTTCGCCTCTGTGTTGGAACTAAACATGTTCTTTGTAGTTAATTTACCAATATGCGTACATTGATTTCTGTAGATACATACCTTCCTACCTATGTGTTTTTAATCCTGTTTACGGCTTATTCTTGACTGATTATGAGATACCACGATACTAGGAGATTTCGACGTTCTACCTTACAGACGCTCAGCTGTGTCCTTGTAGAATCGTTGGGAAGTCGTACACGTACGCTTCCCCGACTCGATGCCGAATCTTTTATCCTTCACAAACGATCATTTAATCTTTTCGCATCGACTTTTCCCACTATTCTTATTTTACGAGTGTTTCTTGTATGCAAGTGTGTATGTCTGTTCGTATGCATGTACCTGACATTCATATAATATGTACGTATATCTATACTCATCGCTATTTGTTAAAATCTTAATAAATCATTTATAAATCAAATAAAAATGTCCACAGCTTGAATGTACAAAGCAATGACGAGGAGAAAGAAAACTCGATTCTCTCGTATTTTTTATCCTTTACCGAACAAACTCGTTCGTTTTTATTTCGTGTTTTCAAACACTTCTCTTTACCAAATGTCGACGTTTTACAAAAATGTATAAAAACATCTTGTCGATGAAAAATACACAAGACACGCGTTTATTCCAAATATGGTAAAACGTTTCAAAGCTGACCGCAATCGGCAATTACAATTTTCTGATGCGTTTTTCCACTCGGGGAACCGTAACTTTCAACTTTTCTGACTACATCCATACCTTCTACTACAGAGCCAAAAACTACGTGCTTGTTATCCAACCATGCTGTTTTTATAGTAGTTAGAAAGAACTGGGAACCATTGGTATTCGGTCCAGAATTTGCCATGGACAATATACCAGGTCCGGTATGTTTCAATTCGAAATTTTCGTCTTCGAATTTATCTCCGTAAATAGATTTCCTTCCGGTACCGTTATGATTAATAAAGTCACCGCCTTGACACATAAAATTAGGAATCACTCTGTGAAAAGTACTGGCCTTGTATCCAAAACCTTTCTCTCCGGTACAAAGAGCGCGAAAATTCTCTGCCGTTTTCGGAACAACGTCTGCACGTAATTCCATTATGATACGACCCAACGGTTTATCGTCGGCAGTTATGTCGAAATATACTCGAGGTAAACCCATTGTGTAACCTTTCTTTACTCCTTCTTTCTCGAACGTACTCCAATATTACCAAAGCGTAGCGGTGGCGCTAATTAATTGATCCAACTATCGCTTTCTTCCTTTTCCTCTGCGTTCTTTTTACTATTCCCTACGATAAACATCAAAGATATTCGATTAAAATGTTTAATCACAACAATTAACAAGGTTATTTCTCTTTACATACCTGTAAACGTAAATCTACTGCGCCACCAACGGAGCAACGTAGTACCAAATCGAACATGAACCATGTGCCACAATGACAACTGTTTCTGAAACTTGTTCAATGTCTATGGAAATATTGTTTGAGACAGTTAGACAGCAAAATAAGTAAAGATGGCAACTACCGTGGATTCAGTTAGAGAAAAAGCTCTCCAGGATTATAGAAAAAAACTCCTGGAGCATAAAGAAGTAGAATCACGTTTAAAAGAGAGTAAGCTGTACTTACAGTTGATATTTAGTTTGCTTAGTTACTCAACAAATCACATCAAATATTTAACCTCAATTTTGTACATAGAATGTTGTTCTCAATACATACATGATATATGTTTTCCTTTTCTAGTGAGAGAACATCTCAAAGATTTAACCAAGCAGTATGATAAATCTGAAAATGATCTAAAAGCTTTACAAAGCGTTGGACAGGTAATACATAAGCTTTGTTTCTAATATATTTTACATTATAGTTACCTATTAAAAACACGTAACATTTGTGCTATTAGATTGTTGGAGAGGTGTTGAAACAACTTACAGAAGAGAAGTGTAAGTTTATAATTCCATGTAACATACGTATGCGTTTAAACGTACAGGTATATAAATCCTTATATTTATAGTTATAGTAAAAGCAACAAACGGCCCGCGTTACGTTGTTGGTTGCCGAAGACAGCTTGATAAGAATAAACTTAAATCTGGAACAAGAGTAGCTCTTGATATGACTACACTTACCATAATGCGTTACCTACCTCGGGAGGTAAAATTTATTTCATTACTATTTAAGCTCAGCTCCGCCGAATGTACGCGTAATATTTATTGTATCGCTTAGGTTGATCCATTAGTTTACAACATGTCTCACGAAGATCCTGGCGATGTTACCTATGGTGCGATCGGTGGTTTAAGCGAACAGATACGTGAACTGAGAGAAGTTATAGAATTACCATTATTAAATCCTGAACTGTTTCAAAGAGTGGGTATTACACCTCCAAAAGGTTGTCTTTTATATGGTCCTCCTGGAACTGGAAAAACATTGCTAGCTAGAGCAGTTGCTAGTCAGTTGGATGCAAACTTCTTGAAAGTTGTATCAAGTGCTATCGTTGACAAATACATAGGCGAATCAGCGAGATTAATCCGCGAAATGTTTAATTATGCACGAGATCACCAACCATGCATTATATTTATGGATGAAATTGATGCTATTGGTACGAATATTGTTATTAATTAAAAGAAAAAGGTACATTTTTCATCTGCTCAATTACCTTTTATATAGGTGGACGTAGATTTTCTGAAGGTACAAGTGCCGATCGAGAAATTCAAAGAACTTTAATGGAACTGTTGAATCAGATGGATGGTTTTGATTCTTTGGGTCAAGTTAAGATGATAATGGCTACAAACAGGCCAGATACTTTAGATCCTGCTTTGTTACGACCAGGCAGATTGGATAGAAAAATTGAGATTCCTCTACCTAATGAACAAGCGCGTTTAGAAATTTTAAAGATTCATGCTGCCCCTATATCTAAGCACGGAGAAATCGGTAATTTTTCATTCTATTTTCTTCCACTATTTTCTTGTTATATTTTATATATTATAATGTACTAATTTTGAATTTAATTTAGATTATGAAGCAGTAGTTAAACTTTCGGATGGATTTAATGGTGCCGATTTAAGGAACGTCTGTACTGAAGCTGGATTATTTGCGATAAGATTAGAAAGAGAATATGTAATACAAGAAGATTTTATGAAGGCTGTAAGAAAAGTTTCAGATAATAAGAAACTTGAATCCAAATTAGATTATAAACCAGTTTAGTTGAAGAATTTGTAATAATCTTAAAACTCAATTCAATATAACCAATATATTGGGTCAATAAAACGAACTTACTTTATTGTAATACTAGTTGTATTTTATAATGAAAACATATGTCAAAATGCTTTAACAAATGCTTCACGAATTTCTGAATAATACATAAAATTTATAAGAAATCGTCTGTCCATATTTAATTTTACTTTATATGGTTTCAATATAAAAAACAATTTATAATTCACCTGACATATGTTACTCAGAAATACTTCCAAGTCGTGTTTTTTTCCTTTGCAAATACTCTTGAACATTGTCGTATTTTCTTTTATATAAAATTGAAAATAAATTTTGTTGAACAGTATCTTTCTTTAATGTTTTCCAGAAGCTATTTAACTGATTTATTTTATAATCCATTCCATTGCTAGGTACAAAATTGTCTTTAAATTCATATATTTTAAATCCATGGTCATTTAATAACCATAAGTTTTGTTTATGAATATAACATTCTAGTGGTTCACTGTCTGTAACTATAGACTGCAAATAATTTATTTCAAAGTTTGACATTGTACCATTGACAATGTAAACCAGTAACAATGGACTACTATAAAAGCTCATTACTGCTAAAGATGATGTTGCAGTTATGGCTGAAAGCCTTAAATGTTTAACAGGTAAAATTTCAATAGTTTCTTCCAAATGACAACCTTGGAACTGCTGATTAAATTCTTCAATGTCACTTTTAGATATTTTGTCATTAAAATCAACAGATAATAATTCTTTTCCAATTTTATAATCCCACAGTATAAGTTTGCCATCTCCTCCGCAAGATACCAAAATACTTTTGTCATGAGGTAATTCCAAAATATTTGTTACAAATTTTTGGTGTCCTAAACAGTAGCACATAATGTTGTACGAATTTGGAAACATTGACACTCTAATCTTTTCATCTCTGTCTGTTGTAATAATATAGTTATCATCTTCTGTAATTAATACATCAAGTAACATTGATAAATGTCCTAAAAGCAAGATTCCATTGCCAGGTCTCTTACTAGAAAATAAGTAAACATCTCCTGCTTTATCAGCAACAACTATGTCATTAATTGGAGTAAATGTTACTTTGCTAGCTGCTCTAGGAAGCACTTCATTCAATATAAGTTTTTGGCTTTTCCTTTCATATAAACAGAGCTGTTTACGATTTGTACAGACCAAAAAATAGTTTCCATCATTTGAAAACATTACATTTGTAATGGTGTGAAAAGTTTCAATATTTACATTATTATGTACATCCATTTTTTTGTCAGTTTGCAATTCGGGTAAATGAATTACAGTTTCTGTATTATCTTGAATGTTATACACAATGATTTCCTCATTGTTACACAAAACAACGTCTGAATCGTGTATGCAAAAGCTCATAATTAAAATATAAATTTCTCTGAACAACAAATATTTGTAATGCAACTGTAATTGCAATTACTATAACTATATCTTATTACAGAACTGTGGAGTTGTAATTAAAAGAACTCATTTTTCAACTGCACGCTGCATGTCTTATTTTATAGACGGATATAAAAAAGTAATCAAATCATCACGTGTTGTATAAGAAACTCATGGTATACAAACAATACAACTTGTACAAACACTACCAACCTAAGAACTTCCATTCACTTCCATTCCAGTAAGACTAAAATGAGGCCTGAAAATACTCTGCAACTCTGTAACAAAGATCTTTGAAATTAACAACAAAGAAGAACCTATTATTTTAATAAATAATATAACATATGTTTAAATCATCAACTTCGATTTATACGTTAAATATACATATATATATGTAAATCTAGAATACCTGTTGTATGTACACTTTCTATTATCATTGTGATCATAGTGCATCGGTCATATATATATAATGTATATCTTTGTCTCCGATTTCTGATTACAACACTCACAAGATGTTTATTTATCACCTAAATATGTTTATGAAGCATTGTTTGCTCAGATTGCAATAAATATGTACCGTACTTGGTGCAAAAAATCATTAGTGTCTATCAAACTGCTTCCAGCGTAAGCATGGGTTACTAATACAAAGGAACACAAAAGACCTTATCAACTTCCTTTGTTGTATGCTTCATAAATTTTAAGTAGCGCGTAGCAGATTAAAGAGTTTTCACGTTGAAATTTTTATACCTATAAAAAACGAAGTGAAATCTTATATTTTCGATATGTGGAAACCATTTGAAGCTGGTAGTTCACCAGTTGACTGGTGTGAAAGTAATTACAGTATTTCTTCTAGTATTGCAGAATTTATGAATACGGTTTGTATTTTATACCAACAAAAATAAATGTCTTTAATATTAACAGGAAGGTTTATACTTGTTATTTTGCTTGTAGTTGAGTAATGTGGTATTTTTATTACTCCCTCCTGTTCTCATGCATCTCTTTAGAGACTATGGAAGATTTATAAATCCTGGAATTCATGTAATTTGGTTTTTACTAATGGTAGTAGGTCTTAGCAGTGCATACTTTCATGCTACTTTGTCTCTTATTGGTGAGTAGTTGAGAATCATATGTTTTACCAGGTATGAATAAATATAAATGTCATTTGTTGTCTTACAATAGGACAATTGTTAGATGAATTAGCAATCTTATGGGTGTACATGGCTGGTTTTTGCATGTTCTTTCCAAGAAGGTATTTTCCACATATTTTACATAATGATAGAAAACTTCTTGCTATATGTGCAACTTTACCAACTTTGATTGCAACTGGTTTATCATTTATACATCCTGCAATAAATGCATTTGCATTAATGAGTCTTGGCATACCTGCATTTGGATTTATGATCATTGAATTAAAAAGGTAAAATACTTAATACCTATGTAATATAATTCAGCAGATAATTATATGAATGGTGCATGTTTTTCTTCAGGACAAAATCAATGAGGGTGTATAGACTGGGTTTAAGATGCGGTGCTGTATGGCTACTAGCTGTTGTTTGCTGGCTGAACGATCGTTTATTTTGTGATACTTGGTTAAATCTGAATTTTCCTTACTTACATGCACTTTGGCATTTATTTATTTTCATTGCAAGTTATACAGCAGCTGTACTTTTTGCATATTTTTCTGTAAAAGAAGAGAAACCACACCAATCAGCTGTGCTAAAATACTGGCCAAAGGATGATTTTGAACTTGGTATACCATATGTAACCATTAAAAGTTATATTAAACTTGATACAAATACAAACATATAAGTATCAACATCAATATTGTAAAGACTGCTTTAAAATGATTAAATAATGATTAATAATTTGAAATACTTACTTAAATTAAAGTAAGTATTAAAGTATGCTGTTTACTTTTTTGACTTAAAATTTAACTTTATATCAGTGTTTTTTTATAAAAAGAAACATATTTTACAATCTCTACTTAAAAAAAAATAGTCTCGCCTTTTTAATTTGTGATAACAATCTAGTTATGTTACTTTTTGTACAAGTAGATGTGATTAATACATTAAAGTAATACCTTTATAGGTGTAATATCAACATAGTGTATATGAGCATTTATTCTCTTAATAAATATGAATTGATGTTATAATGTATTTATGTACTGCAAGCAAACACTGAATCTTAATTCACCTGAAATGATCAATTTATCAAACTTGTTATTACATGTACCTTTAAAGTAATTACTTTAATTACATTACCTAAGAGAAACATATTAATTGTGTTAAATCAATAAGTTCTTTTTTTTAAAAGAACAGTTTTATTATACTTTGTCTAGATTTCATACAACAGATTTTAATAAATTTAATATTTTATACATACACTTTGTATCTATGTATATTTAAATAAAAAGATCAATATTTTATTTACTGTTGTTACAAACACATTGTAAATAAAAATTTGAAATACATACATTTATAAAAATAAAAGAATAGTATATTTGTTATTTTATTCTGAGATTCTGCAAAATTAACTTTGTTCTCCTTTATAAATAACAATATTCTTGTCAGTTTCATGAATTTTTACCTCATACAGAAGAGATGGATTTGGCATAACTTTTTTCAATTCATTATAAACATATATAGCTAGGTTTTCAGTAGTTGAAACAACATTTTTAAAATAAGGTACATCTTTATCCAAGTTCTTATGATCTAATTGATCCATTAACACTTTCTTCATATATAGCTTTAAATGTGATAAGTTCATCACCATACCTGTTACAGGATCCACAGGTCCGCATACTGTAACTTCAACTAAAATGAAATAAACATGTGGTGAGAAGTTTTGAATTTTTATGAAACTACTATAATTACCTGTGTAATTGTGGCCATGTCCCCAATAGTTATTACACTTTCCATATACATTTTTATTTTCTTCATCAGTTAAATTGTTGCTGAAAAGAAAAATTATTCATTTAATAAAAGAATTTCATACAAATTATATGAATGTAAAATGATTGATAATACTTGTGCAAACGATGACAGCTAGATATCACTTCTTTTCTTGTCAAATAAGCAATCGGGCGTGACATCGTTTGTTGCTGATTGCAAATATGAGATTGCGATATGTTACACGATTATAAATATGGAAAAAAAGCATGTAAGGAAAGGGAGAGAGCAAGAAGAATTGTTCAAGGATACTGATAATCGTGGAAACTTTTTAATTATATAGCATTATTCATAAGAAATCTAATTCTTGACTCAATATATCATAACAAGAAAGTTATCTGTTTCTTTTACACGAAGTATAAGTGCGACTGATCGAAATTTGAATAAAAAAATATATATACGGAAACATTTTATCTGGCAAAGTATATATAAGACAGAAACAGATAACAAATTTGCTTAGGTGGAGATATAGTTGAACCAATCGAATTACAGCAATTGTATATCAGACTTAAAAGAATCTTTTTGTGACAGGACCTTATGGTTAAGGTTGCGCCGTCGCTACTCTCGGCGTGTGGCATAAATGACCCTGCATTGAAAAAATACAATTATAATTTATAAACTTTCATTCTTTTTAATAAATTTTTAAACATCCGTTGTTTTAATGTGAACATAAATTTCATTCCAAACGATTGCTTTTATATAAATCTAAAAATGTCATGCCGGTAACGCCCTGGAGCTTGTAACAATTAGTCATTTTGTGGAATGTGTAATGTGTAACACTGTTTAGCATAGAGGATAAAAAATTGGTTCAAATAATAACATCCTATAAAAATGGATAGTAAAGGCAGAAAAATTATTGTTTGTGATAATGGAACAGGGGTAAGATTATGATTTGATATCTATTTTTCCAAACATTTTTCTTGTTTTTAAGATTTCTGATTGTATCAAACTTATTGTACTGTACTGTTCTGTTTTGTTATTTTCAGTTTGTAAAATGTGGATATGCAGGAGCAAATTTTCCAGCACATATATTTCCATCCATAGTGGGACGTCCTATTATTAGAGCTGTTAATAAAATAGGGGACATTGATGTGAAGGTACATCTCTTAATTTTTCAATTAGACCAAAAATATGTATCACTATCTCTGTTGATCATTAGAAGAGCAATTGTTACCATAATTTATGGATAAACTTTATCATTTTATATTCAGTATCTAAAAGTCCTTTCCTATAATCATAGGTAAATATTTATAATTGGCAATATAACAAAAATTTATTAATAAATTTACTTAATTTTCAGCAAGAATATTGTATTCGTGTAAGTCATTTCATAATATTACAATGTGTGACCCAATGTTTACATTTGATTGAAAATGCATTTATCATTTGTTAACCCTTTTCACTAACAAATATCAAAATGGATTACACATGTTAAAAGTAAGGGAGACCTTATTCTCAAGATTTCTAGAGATAGAGATATAAGATCTTTGATAAAATTATTATCAATGATTAATATAATCTGAAACTCATTGATTTTATTCTAATTGTTGGCAACAAATTTACCCGTTACATTATGAATCATGTCTGTTATTTGAGACTTATTTATATGGGTTCATATATATATATATATAAATATATGATATTTTTTATAACTGTCTAATGTACTTATGTCTTTACATTTGCTTTCATAGGATGTGCTTAATATGCCTGTAAGTTTACTGCATTTTCTGATGCTAATATATATGTTTATCAATACTACATCATGCTTCAAAAAACAAAGATTCATGGAGCAGTAGCTTTTATATTCAAAAAACTATATATATAGTCGCAATTTTTATTTATAGTTATGTTGTGAGTTATATTACAAAAATTAGAGTGTGCTGTTGAAATACTAACAATTTATATTAACACACATATATCTCTTAATATGACAAAACATTTAGTTATATTTGATTTATTGTATTTTGTTACTACAGGATTTAATGGTTGGGGATGAAGCAAGTAAACTTCGTTCTATGTTGGAGATTAGTTATCCAATGCAAAATGGAATTGTTAGGTGTGTATGTGAATGTACCTAATCTGCATGCATTTTGAAATATTAAATTATTAAAATGCTTAATAGAAACTGGGAGGACATGTGTCATGTGTGGGATTACACATTTGGAAAGGAAAAGATGAATATTAATCCTAGAGAGTGTAAAATTTTGTTAACAGAACCACCAATGAATCCTATCACAAATCGAGAAAAAATGATCGAGGTAATACATCATTGTAGATGTAAATTTTTCGTACAAGAAGAATTTAAACATATGAAATAATTTTAGGTAATGTTTGAAAAGTATGGCTTTGCTGGAACATACATTGCAATTCAGGCAGTACTTACACTGTATGCTCAAGGGTTGATTAGCGGTGTTGTGGTAGATTCTGGGGACGGTGTTACTCATATTTGTCCTGTATTTGAAGAATATGCTTTACCTCATCTTACGCGACGGCTAGATATAGCTGGTCGAGATATTACCATGTATTTAATTAAACTTCTATTGTTACGTGGCTATGCGTTTAATCATTCTGCTGACTTTGAAACAGTTAGAATGTTGAAAGAAAAATTATGTTATATCGGATACAATATTGAAACTGAAGAAAAATTAGCACTTGAAACGACCGTTTTAGTAGAATCATATACTGTAAGTATACCATTGATGTATAATATAAAGTTTTTGTAATGGACAGTAGAATTAAATTTCTAAAGAGTAATAATCAAATCTTTTTAGCTTCCTGATGGAAGGGTAATCAAAGTAGGTGGTGAAAGATTTGCAGCACCAGAAGCTTTATTTCAACCTCATTTAATAAATGTTGAAGCTCAAGGAATTGCTGAATTAGTATTTAGTACTATTCAGGCAGCTGATATTGATATAAGGAGTGAATTATATAAACACATTGTTCTAAGTGGTGGTAGTACAATGTACCCAGGACTTCCATCTAGGCTTGAAAGAGAAATTAAACAACTTTATCTACAAAGAGTATTAAAAAATGATACCTCGAAATTAAATGTAAATGCTTGGATATCAATTTTGACATTAATTCGGATGAATGTTTGTTTACCGTTTGATATCTTTTCAGAAATTTAAGATTAAAATCGAAGATTCGCCAAGACGTAAAGATATGGTTTTCATGGGTGGTGCTGTATTAGCGGAAATAACAAAGGATCGAGATTCAGTATGGATAACGAGAGAAGAATATGAAGAAAAGGGTCTTAGTGTATTAAAAAAGTTAGGTTCTTATGAATCATAAGGACATAGTCATTGAAAGATAGAAAAGAGATATGCATTTTTTTTTATATTTAAAGTCATTCGAAAGTTAGGTGCAAAGTGTTTATATTTTACTTGTACAAATAATTTATACTAAATTATTTGTTTCAAGCAAATATAAGCCACAATTATAGTTGAGAAGTATGTAACGTAGTATTATAAATTTAAAAATGTTAAAAATTTTTTAAATGAAATTTCATTCTATAAGTATAATTCGTTAAATTCGACTAATACATTGATTTAAACTTGTAACTAATTTCGGGAATATTCCATATCTCATATTGGAATAATTATCCTGATACACGTAATACATTTCCAGACGATATACATTGTAAATATATTTGTTACAGATACTTCCTTTTTTTATGAAATTAAACCTTTTAATTAACAAACATACATTACGAATTGTGAATAACTGCATGTTTAATTTTTTCAGGTTACAATAATTTTATATAATTCATGTGTTGTGTATAAATACAGTATCAAATGAAGCAGGATTACCTAGGGAAAACGACGCTTCCACCCCATAACGCCTAGAGGAAAGGGTAAGCTTTCGGGAAAGGTCAGGAACTCTGAAATCCCGAAGAAGCTTACGGGAAGGGGTGGCTTCGTCGTTTTCTCTGGAAAAACCTACTTAGCTCGATTCTGTGCATTCATAAAAAACCAATTTGTTAATATAATGGCTAAAATTAAATAATTGAAATTGTAAATATCATAATAGCGTTAGATTTTACAATCTTTTATGGACAAACATTTTATCCTAAAAAATTATTTAAAATATTAACTATAATTTCAATTATAACATTTTTTAGTACATGATACATTTTTTGAGTCAAATTGATAACTAACAATTTTTGAGAAATACTTTCGATTTTGGCCATTACTATAATTTATAACAACTAGTTCGTAAGAAAGCAAAAAACATTTATATACCTCTGTATCCTCTTTTAGTGGTTTCAAAGTGGATTAATAATTAAATGTTAACATATTCCGTATGTTTTAAGATATGTATGAGAAATCATGTATTAAATTTCAGAAGTCAGATATTAGTAGAACTAAATTAAAACTTTCGGACTCTTAAACAAAGAGGGTATGAGGTAACATTACGTATGATGTATATATAAAATATAAGATGAATTTTTTAAATTTTAGTTAAGTAATTTGTAGAAATAAACTTATTTCTTATGAAAATTTTTCCACTAATTTTAAAACCCTGTACATATTTAATTATTAAAATTGTACAGCATATAAGCATTTTTTAGTTGCAAAAATGAAGTTAAAGACGTTTAATTCAAAGTTTGTAAATACTGCTATCAAACAAAATGTTAAGGAAATTTGTTCAGAGTAATGAATACTATATGTTTACAGCAAATCTACAACAGTCTTTATTATGTTTCTTGATTTGACCTTCATATCGTGTATCACGTACACACTTTATATATATAAATAAAAATAACAATATAATTTGTATTATATTATTCGTTCAACGAGAGAACACACCTGTTTCGCGTAGCTCAGGGAACCCTCTACTTTTACCTCTAACTTCGTCATCATATACATGATGGACAAAAGTATATGAAAAGTGATAATGTCGAAGGTCAAAAAGTATATCAAATGTAAAATCACTGCGCGAACCAATCATTGTTAATATGGACAGAATGAACGAAAACTCGTCGTATAACAGGGATGGTCTTTCGTTGAATGAATAATACAGTTTTATGTTTAATTGAATATATAATGTAACAATAGATAAATGTGTATGTATTCAATCTGTTAAGATTTGTACAAGTGACTTATGACAGCATTCTGTATAACAATAAAGTAACAAGCTGTTATTCAAAGAAGTAAATACAATTTACAAACAGTGCTTTAGCGCGTGTGTTTCATATCGTAAAGTTATTTTGGAAGTGTATATGTATAATAATACGTTTATACACTTTAATAAATGACTTTCAATATAACACTTTGTATTTTTTTTTTTTTTTTTTTTCTTAATTAAGTTCTCTTTATCTCTCACTCTCTAGCTCTCCCTCTCTCTCTCTCTCTCTCCCCCCTTCCCGGCATTTCATATTAAGCAAATAAAAAAAAAAATAGTATATAAAACACTTTCATTTATATCGAAAAAATTGTTGCATCCAATTTTTTATATCGTGTAACTTCTAATTTTTTTTGTTTGATATATTAATACATCAAACGCGCGAGGCTGATTTGATGTGATAAACGAGGAATTGGATGGAAAATATGGAAGTACTATTAATTACCTTTAGAATGTGATTGGTTTATCCTTACATTGATCAATACAAAAACTAGTAAACCGTTTAAGGAACTTTGGATACTCCCTTTTATAAACAGCACGTAAGACAGAAGCTGGGGCCCATCCGCCAGGATTAACTACAATTAATAACATGTTATATGTAAAACAGGATAAATAATATACGGAAAAAGATACTAACCAACAGAACAATATGTTATTTTGCATGTGATATTTTCCCTTTTTATTTCGCCATCATCCTTTGGAGGATCAATAAAGGTTTGACATACGAGACAAACGGTTAAATAAACTCTTACACATTTTCCTGTGTTTGGCTGCAAATATTTTAAGATATATAAGTTTTTAATAAAATAAAAAAATATGATAAATGGATACGAAACCAACCGGGTAATCGGGATGTTCTGTACTATGATTGCAAACTATCCATAGATCATGAGCATCAGGATCTTGATCATCAGAGACTCGACGTATATGAGACCAAAACAATGCATCTCTTTGACTCGCTGGCCAAATTCGTTTATGCGATTGTAGAAATATCAAAGTGTCTTTGGAAATGTTCTCAACCACTGTCATGTCTTCTAGCGTAGCTTCCCAGCCTGTTCGGTATTCTGGGCTAAAGAATATCTCGCAAACCTCATGACCAGTAACGCCTTTCACAACATGACAGGCTTTTAATGGATCTACTACTAAACCATCTGCTTCTTCTTCGCGTCTATACATTCGCATATCACCATCTTCTGCAAATAATTGCCATCCACCTGCTCCTACTCCAAGCCGTGCATAATGCAACTGTTGCATTGTTATTCTCTCAATCTAAAAATAAACGCAATAATTAATAAAATAAATTTGTATAATTTAAACATGTATAACTCTTTCGTGCAATAAATCGGTTACTTCTGGCCAAAGTCTATGCTTAGCTGCCGGCATAGTAGGTGAAGTTAAAATCGAAACTGATTTTTGTTTCAAACGATCTCTCAATTGATTTTCTTCATCAATTTTATCTAAACCAGTTTCTACTGCATCGTAAAATTCTTCGTCACATAGAGCGCTATGCGGACCTTCCTTAAGTATAGAAATTTTCGTTTAAATATTTCGTTTATATTAGATATTCTTCTGACTCAATTAACTCAAGAAATTTATAAAGTCAAACCTCGTAATCTGGACCTCCGTGTATAAGGACTCTAGGTCTAGGAGAATCACTTTGTTGCATTGCAATTTGATCTTTCAAAGCTTTATGAACTTCTTGTATTTTTCGCTTTTTTTCAACTTCTTTTTCCCATCGACGACGCCATGCATCTTCCCGCTGCACCATTAACTCAACACAGTGTTGCAGTGTTGCTAATACACCTTCACTTGTTGCTTTAAATGTTATTGCTTCACCTTTAAAATCTACTGACTGTGCAGCTGGATTAAACATTGTCTCAACTTTATTTTCTGAAATAATAATTCATTTGAAACAAATCAATTTGAAATATAAAACAACTGAATACAAGACAAATGAATGTACAGAGACATAAACTATTTATTTTATATACCTTTCGTGGAAATATTTTTAGCATTTTCTGCACAATTATCAAAATACTTTTGCAGAGTATCAATTTGTTTGATCAAAATATCCCTGAAAGTTTCAAGTTCTGCTAATTTTTCTTTCAATCCTCGGACTCCGCGTTTGGTAAAACTACCCGCGCTCGTGATAGACTGTGTATTTGATACAAGCGAAATGGCACTACCATGTCGCTTTAAACTGTTTTCACTTCCATAACCAGATTCAGACTATTTAGGACAAATATATACAATTTAATGAAATGAAAGTAACTAAAATAATTACTTTTTCAATTCATACAACAAAGTTATGATACCTTGTAAGATTTTAACACATCGACCCAACGTTGTTTTTCCTCTGGACTGTTTGCTCTTAGATACCATACTAAACAGTCATTTACGGACACATCAAATCTACACTCATCAAATTCGTGTGCCTAATAAAATAAAGAATGAAAAGCAACATCATAAATTCTTGCTAACATTATTAAGAGAATATGAATATATAAAACTAATTCTGTTATATTGACTCATACCTTAATATTAGCTTTATACAAACTTATAGAGCCTCGACATCCAAATCCACTGTCCTGTTCAGATTTATAATAAGATAAAGTACCATCTTTGAGAACAATAAATCTAGTTTGCCAGCCATGTATATAATTTGTCCATTTGGATAGTGTACCCTGAAGTTCTGGAACTACAACTCCGTCGGAACCTTCTTCATCTATATCATCAGCATCTATTTCTGCTTCCATACACTCGTTATCCTCGTTGACGAGACGAACAGTTTCTATTTCATCGGCCATTCTTACATGTGAATTTTACTTTCAGGGTTAATTACGCTTAAGATAAACTCAACATACCCGTTGGAATATTTTTAAAATAATCCTAACGCGGGATTATCTATCGGTAACTGTATAATATGTTAGCAGTTAAAAAATTGCAAGGTAATCGGTCAGTTCATAGGATACGTATCAAAACATGTTAACCGTTAATTATTATACATAACCTTATGCAAAACGTCTTATTAAATAAACCAGACATCAACAACTCGTCTTTTTGGCAAATAACAAGACTATAAGTGGCAAATAGAAATCAACAGTTTCATTTAAGCAGTATTTCTATGAAATGTACATACTTAAACTCTATCATCTTCGTTGATTGGTTATACTCTTCTAAACTAATCAATTAAAACATCAATAATTGTAATTTACATTAAATATTGAAATAATCTGCTTAAATTAACAACGATAAAACTGTATAACAGAATTTCCACAGTATAATTTAATTTCTTTTTTTCTACAATAGAATTGAATACCGTACTTACAAATGGTGTATCGACTTGAAAGTGTCGAGAATTGTATCGAAAAATGCACATTGTAGTTTGAAACTGTATTTGAGGACCGCCAAGTTCATTAAATCGTTGCAAATACACGTGAGGAAGATACGGTTGGATCTGCAGTATCCATAAAAATGATGATAGTTACAGTACTTTTTACTCTATTTTGTGTAATATCAAATGCTTCAGTCCATAGATTAAACGTACCCAGAGTTTTATTACCAGTATTTAATGATTTTGCTGTAAATTTTACACTAGAAGTTACCGATGGTGCTTGTTATCAATGGTAATTATTATTTCTATTATAACGTTAGCACATTCTACTCGTTCAGGATCATTTTTATCAATAAAATGTAAACTCTTTTCATTGTTTAAGTTTTCCTTTCAGTTGAATATAATTCATGACCCTATAACCCTATTTTTATCTATTTTGTTTATTGCACAAATACAAGTTGTAACAATATAAATGTACATTGAAAATTTTTTTAATAATAGGTCAACATCACGTTTAGATATTATTCAATTAATTCCTATAAATGAAAATGTTGAAAGAACATGTTCTTCTGCTATTTTGATTCAAACAATAACAAGAGAGGCTACCAGAAATACAGCAATAGTACTTGCAGAAGATGTTAATAATGGCCAATTTTTACGATGTGATGTTATTGTTGATGCAATTTTCTCATTAAATCTTGTTACAACTACAAGGGAGTTATATATAGAAGAAGCACCAGAAGCATTTGAAGTACGGGCATATGATGAACAAGGTATCAACATCATCTATATTTATAAATGTTAATCTGTACAAAATTCTAATTGTAATATGTTTCAAAAGGAAATGAGTTTACAACTCTTGGTGGAGTAGAATTTCTTTGGAGCATAGATGTAGCTGACAAACACAGGGCAGATGGTAAAACACCAAATGATGTTCTGAGATTCATGACTTATCAAGAGTCACAATATGAAACTCCACCAACTGTTGCTGCCTTAGATGCAACTGGTAAAAAGGGGCATATTGTATTGTTAGAAGGAATAAAAACTGGCACAGCAAAGGTATTAATACATAACAATATTTTCTATCTGCAGTTGTTATAGGAAAAGTAGAACATTTTATTCTATTCTAGGTTTCTGTGAGATTGCCTTATCCAGAATACAAGCATGTACCACCAATAGAAGTTGAATTAATTGTAATAGCTAATTTAATCATCATTCCATCAGACATAACAGTAATGGTATATGATAGTTTCAGATATAAAATAATGCAAGTAAGTGTGTTTATAACAAATGTATGCACACGATATTAACTAAGTTATCAGTCTACAATTCAGCTATTTGTTAATATCTTTGCAGGCTCGTCATGGCCGTTTAGAAGAAATAAGTTTACCATCTAACCAATACTATTTAGAAGCAGAAAACCCAGATATTTTAAAAATTGATAATGACCATGATTCTGCATATGCGAAATTTTATGGTCGTACTAAAGTATTCTTGCACGATAAAAATGTTCGCGATGAGTATCCCGTTATTTTGCCATCTGCTATAGTTAACGTGAACGATGTGGCTTACATAAATCTTGCTGTTTTGCCTAATAGAAATTGGGGCTTGATACTTGGTCGCACTCATGAAATTGTAGTTGAATTATATGATAGCAAAGATCATAAATTTTATATCGGAGAAGGTGTTGAAGTATCAGTAAAATTAGATGAACACTATTTTGAACCAAAATTAATCACACAAAATGGAACTTACATTGTTGGTGTGCCTATTGCATGCGGGACAATGACTGTTGAGGCCACCCTTTATGGTATAATTGACAAACATGGTAAAAAGGTTTCTTTCGCGTCGCGTCCTAGTACAAGAACTGAACTTTTGATTCATACTCCAGTTACCATTCAACCTAAAGTACTAGCTGTTCCGTGGGATTTTAAAGCTAAATCACGGTAAATTATTGTTTCCGATATATCATTACTTATTATGTTAATGAAGTAATCATGATTGTATAACATGCTGTTATTATAGGTACGATATCGTGTTAAAAGCAAGTGGAGGAGATGGATCATACGTGTGGTCAAGTAGACATCCGTCGATAGTAACAGTTTCTCAAAATGGAGGAATACGAATTTTAGCAGCAGGCGCGACAGAGATAACCGTTGCAATGACTAGAAATCAGTATAATAAAGATACAGCAAGAGTATATGTATTGCCACCTTCGAAGTTAAAAGTAATAGAATACAGTATGGAAGCAGCAGTAGGAGAACCAATTTATCTCCACATCGCATTATACGGGAAATTAATTAATGGAACAGACTCGAAAGAAATTCCTTTCAACGACTGTAGAGATATCAGTTTTGAAACGTACATTCCAGATGGTAATTTTAAACAAAATGATAGCAAGATCATAGAACCTGTTGGGATAGCATGCGCTGTTATAGCGGTCTCTAGCGTAGATGTTGGAACATCTGAAGTGACTGTAGTGTATAATGCTAATGGCCAATATTTAACTGATAATATCACTGTATCCGCCTATGAACCGCTAATAGCAGTACATCCAAGTAGTAAGGAAAGTTTGTTGGCAGTGGGATCTTCGAGAAAAATAGTTTTTAAAGGTGGACCCCATCCACGGAATAGCAAGCCTCAGAGTTACACGCGAAATATTGAAGTATCTGAAAAAAAGATTGCCGAAGTGATAGAACACGAAAATTCACCGACCGCATTATATGACTTATCTGTTTTTGAAGTAATGTGTAAAGCACTTGGTGAAGTGACGTTGACGTACACAATTTCGAATATCCCTTTGTTACCGAATTGCAAAAGTACACATGCATCTGAAACGGTACGAATTATTTGTGGGAAACCCAGACACATTTACTTACAACCTGAGTTTAAAGACAGTAAAAACTGTCCTATTAGTTTTAATACCGAAAGGATAATGGCGCATAGCGATAAAAATTTAAAACTTATCACTATAATAAAAGATGGAAAAGGCAGAATCTTTGATAACATTACGAGTTTACATATTGAATGGGATTTGAAACCATCGTCCGTAGGTTTTGTTGAAGTGCCTTCGGGTACTATAGAAGAAACATTTACAGATATGAACGTAATTTTATCCAAGTATTATTATCAAAATATTATTTTCAAAAAGCATTTCGGTACTCTCAGTTTAACAGCCACAGTTACTGGCTATCAAAAGTATATACTGAGTAAATTGAAGATAGTACCTGAATGGCCACCTTTTGCAATTGAGAGTGAAAGAAGAATTTATGAAACTCCGCTTATAGAGACTTCCATGGAAATTGTTCTAGTTAATGATACTAGCATCAATCCTAACAAATTAATGATACTAAATGATCCTACCGTCAAGTATTACTTACAAGTGAGTCAAGGTTCTGGCTATTACGAATTCGTACTAAGTGCAGATGACATTGCAGATGTGCGGTACATAGAGTCAACGAAAGCAATTAGCGTTACTCCAAAAAAATTCGGAGCACTCCATTTATCTTTGATAGATCTCTGTTTGCCTTCAAAACCGGCTGAAGCTGTGATCGAAGTGCAACAACTTGCCGTCATAGAAATTGAAACGGTGAATAAAATCGAGAAAGGAAAATGCATAGTCGCTACGTTGAAACTTTACGATACAAATGGCCATATTATAAAATTACCATCCTTAAATGCGTTAGAATTTAAAGCAGAAATCGATAACGAATGCATAGAAGTTAAACAATTGCCTGCTAACGAACATGGTAATCCTCCTTATTCTCAATTATTGTACATGATACATGGAATAGGCGAAGGTGAATCTCAGTTGACTTTCGTGAACAAAGGAGGTGAACAAGAAATACAAAGTGAATCGGTAACCATTCAAGTTTTCCTTCCTTTAAAAGTTTTCCCAAAAAATTTGACTATACTAGTAGGAACCGTTTATCAAGTACAAACGACCGGTGGTCCGTCAAACGCAGAAATTGAATTTTCTACAAAAAACAGTGATGTTTTGAACGTCGATTATAATGGTATATTCGAAGGGAAATCAGTTGGTCAAACAAAAATAATTGTCAGAGCTATTGGTCTGAATGCCAGAGGTAACAAAGTCATTTACTCTGAGGACTATGCAGATATACATGTACTGTATCTCGAAGGAGTTAAAATTGTTGTTCCAACAAGTCGAGTAAAAGCTGGTGCAACGTTTCCACTTTGGGCATTTGGTATCCCAGAACATTTAACACCGCTTGTCATAGGATCTATGCATTTACCTTTAACATTCATGTGGTCATCCAGTGATTCTAATTTAATAACTTTACATAATATGTACGAAGGTACTGGTATTAACATCAGATACCAAAATGAAGTATCTTTAAGAGCGAAAGCTATTGGCCCGGGATTAGCAACAATTTATTTAAATGTTACAATGCCGTCTAATATATTAGCCGGTTTCAAAAATGATGTAACATACAGTACATTTGTAAAAGTTGAAATTTTTGAAGAGTTGCGTTTAACTCATCTTGGATTACTCCTTAATGTGCCAATGATATTGATGTCTCCAAATTCTGTTTTAAAATTACAAACGAATCGCGACAAACATGGTTCAACTACTTATAAAATATTGTCGAATATGCATGGAAACGATTCAGAGGATTCATATGCTTTAACACCGGCATCTAAGACTGTTAGTATTGATAAGAACGGCGTTATAAAAGCCGGTGAAAGTTTGGGAAAAATAGTCATTTCTATCACGAACACAGAGGCGTATAATTTAAAGCAAACGATAACTGTCATTGTCGAAGTAAGATTTTTAAACATTTTAAGGTACAAATTTGTTTGAAAATCTTAAAAGGATATATTTATTTCAATTATTCTGTTCGTAGGTTAAACCCATTCATTATATGATGCTGTCTTTAAAATCAGTCTTACGAATACGAAATGGTGAAGAATTAAACATGTTACCCAAGGGTATGGAATTAGATTATATCCTTGAATATTATGATAACGTTGGAACAAAGTTTCATGCAGCTGAGGTTGATGCAAAAACTATATCGAATCGCGCTGATCTTGCATCTTTCATTACAACTTCTAAAAATATAGTTACTGCAAAATTTATTGAGAATGGAGATCTTGTTGTAAAGGCATACAATGAAAGATATCCAAATGCAATGTTTGATTATGTACATATGATGATCGGCGATATAGTTTTCCCAACAAAGGTATTTTATATGTAATTAAAAAACTATTTTATTCTTTCTAATAGTACCATCTTATTATATGTGTATCAAATATTTATGTTATATTATAGACAACACTAACCGTGGGTGATGTAGTATGCTTCTCAATGCCACTTCTATCTCCTGACGGTGATCCTGGTTATTGGCAATCATCAGCTCCTGAAATATTGACCGTGGATCCTATTACAGGAATAGGGCGAGCTAAAAATGTGGGCTATGCGGTAGTAAAACACAGTCTTGCAACTCATATGCAAGGTGAAATAGAAGTTAACATCCAGCCTATTGCAAAGGTATTGTACATCCAATGAATTCTGTAAATTTGCATATTCATCAAGTCTAAACTTACACATGATTTTATTTACAGATATCGATCGTACCATTGAGAGGTAGAAATATCACAGGAACTGAAACATTTAGTGTTCCTCTAGTTCTTAAAAGTAAAGATGAACAAGTTAAAGAAAATAATATCTTGTCCAGAGGATTGGGTGGTTGTAGAACGTTCACTTCGTTTGCTTTAACTTCGTTCCCTTATACCTGCAATGTACAATTTCTGTCATCTACCTCATCCATTGGAGTGAAGGATTTGTTCCTGGTTAAACCACGATTCGATATTACAACTGGTTAGTATTACCTAGAGCATTTTTAACAATTTAATATTACATAATCGGTTTTAATTATTTTTTACAGGTTTCTATTATTGTGATGTAATACCAATAGATTCCCCAAATATAGTTTCTAGTACGGTAGAGAGTCGCGTTCAAATAAACGCACAAAGCAGAGATATCGAGGCTGTACCTTTAGAAGTAACTTATCTTCCACCTGTCTACGTTGAAGCTAAAGAAATTGTATTTGTTAATACTCATTCTCAAACCATACCAACCGCAACACTTGAGATGTATGGTTTGCAATCGGTGTTAGACCATCTTAACGTGAGTTCGGTTTCTTTTAGAGCTTCAACTAGGTTTGTAATATGTTTATTCACAGCAATCTCTTTGCAGATCGATGTTCCAGATGGAATAGCCATAAGTGCTCGTCAATACATTTCAAAATCTACAATGCAATACAAGTTACGGTTAATGCATAATCAGGACGAGATTCAAGGTCAAAAAGTTATCATTACAAATGATATTACAAAACAAAATATATCGGTAAGAAAAGAAAAATCACGCGCTAAAGTGTTTAGTACCTAATTACCATAAATATAATTTATTTGTATTCTTTAGCTTTTTGTACGTATAACGAAATATGAAAATTTTATACCATTGTCCGGGATTCATTGGGTGGATTATATGTATTTCCATCGTTACACGTTTGGAACATTTGCTGTTATTGTGATTACTTGCTTCTATAGTAAGTCTTCCTATATTTTAAATTGTTTAATCTGTTTCTGATATACCATATGAATATTTCTCTAACGTTCTCCTCTACTTGATGTTGCAGTATGGAAAAACAAGATGGCAAATATTGATTTAAATATAAAAAATAGATCAGTGTTCGGTACGTATATATAAATGTGTTTATTTTTATTGTCATAGCTTACTGATTAAATGTTTAATATTGCATTTTTATAGTTGACAAATGTCCACCACAATTGAAAAAGACTAGTACGCCATGTTCGACAACATTCAATAGTACAAACGTTTCTGTTCCACGAACTCCAATTACGCCAATAAGACCATTCTCGGCATTCGACCCTGTTTATGGTGATCCTCGGGGTCTTTATTCGACAAGTAAACGAAATCGATCAATGAATACCTAATAAATAATATAGTGGCAAAACAATGACTTCAATGTAAAAATACATTGTACTTATAATGAAATTATAACATATTAACTAGGCTCGTTTATGAACAAATATTCAATTATCAGAAACTGGTGCCTTATTGCCATAAACTCATTTTTACTAGGATATGTTATTTTGTGTGAAATAGACTTTTTACGTTGTTTTGTAGCGATAATATCGTTATATTAATATTACTTAATAGATATATAAGATATTGTACATTTTGTAATATAAACCTTAAGTTATATCATTTTATACATTGGTAGAAAAACCATAGTAATTTCATGCAAGTACATTTCAAGAACACATTGGTCGTATTTACTTTACACGTTTGAGGTATATGGTTCCTAGTCATATAACTGATATGCAAGAGTAACATTTAGGTTTTTTATACGTATGATCTCGAGTGACAATGCAAACGTAGCATCAGTAATTTATTACATTCTTTTATTCATTTCTGTCACTTGTATGGTAACATGTTTTCAAGTATCATATGTAATTTATGTACTATTCATGTATAATACATCATTTTATAACTTTGAAGTTCTTTAAATATAATTTTCCTCATTTAATGATTGAACAATTTTTCATCTTGTTTTTTTCTACAGATGTTACTGGTTTTATTCATGTAAAGAGGTAGAATTAAGTATAATGTTTAATAAACATGTATTATACATTAAGAAAAATAAACACATTTTTAAAATTCCTTTGTGAAATTTTACCTGGTGGAACAACAAATATAAGTTATTTATAAATAACGTTTATTATAAAATTAGATGTATACAAGAATGGAACAGTCAAGTTTCTTGTAAGTATGAGTAGAAAATTTCCTTCAAATGACTTAAAATGAATCAGTGTTTCTTTGTAGTTTTAAGTAATTTTTCATATTTACTTTTACTAGAATACCACAATGCAAATGGAATGGCTAATGAAGGTAATGTCATCACAGCAAATGCAGCCCAGTCAACCTGAAATAAAAATATTTTGTTGCATTTATTAACATATTAATATTTTATTTATAATTACTTACCACATGAGAGGAAAATTGTTTATCATAATCTCTAAATGATACAATGATTGCTTCACCAGGCTCACTGCTTGATGCAAATTGTAATCTAGGAGCATCCTCCTTACGTCTGTATAAAATTTCTGCAGATGTGAAATTGAAATATCCAAATTTGCGTGGTCTCACAACAACTGTGTGACTGACATTCGTGTAAGGTGGAACACGGTCTATCCTCGCATTTATTTCTCCACTCACATGAGTGAAATGGTCAGGATGGAAAGAATTGTCTGTGATTTCAACCTCTAATGCAGCTGCATTTCCAACATTGTAAACTGTATACTATGAACAATAGCACTGTTATAAACATGTTAAGTATAATTTGAAAATACAGAGAATATAGTTAGGTAATTACTTTGATTACAATGTCCATATTTTCTACAAGATATTTGTTAAGAAGCTGTTTAGATATTAATAATCTTGCAGCTTCTTCTTCTTCTTCTGCATGTGCGATGAACAATAAAGCAGCAAAAGCTGCAAATATTAAGTACCACTTCATGCTGGAATGATACAATAACTATTACATAAAACTTTTAAAACAGTACATATATTATTTATAAAAAGCCGCTACTCAATACCATTCAAAAAAGTGAAATATTGTGGTTCTTTATTTAAAAATATTTCAAATAGAGGCTAAAATTTACTTAAAAAATATTTTATATTGTATTAGAAAAGTTGTGAAATTATATTTATGATTATAATTATACATGTTTTACTTAATTTTACCTTGATTTTACCTTTTTACACAAGAGAACTTATGTCACTTACGACAACGAAACAACTACTACCGCATGAACTGGAAGATACATTTCAGAGAAGTGCCAACAACACACACTTTGATGCCACGTTTCGTTGAAGGAAAATATACTCGTGCACGCAATTAACTTCCGGTAACGGGATGTTAATAAAATGGCGGTAAGAACAAATCATTTCTGCAGTTAATATGCAACAAATGTAATAAATATAGAGAAAAGATTATTTGATTCATTTATAATACAATTGATATGCTATCTGTAACACTGATATATTTTATAAAACGAATAAAACAAACGAAATATAAGATTATTTAGGTGATAATGCAAGAATAGAGTAAATGATCGTGCGATCGAGCGCAGAAAATGAATCAACTGCGCCCTACAGAAAATATGAGAAACTAAATTTCTGGTCTGTTTTACCTTTTGCACGTCTTTCGCGAGTGAATAATGAACGAAATCGTAGTATAACCTTTTTACGATTTGGGTAATATAAAGACCAGATTAACACTGAAATTTCTTTGCAATTTGTTCAGTAGGGGCGGCGTAATTTGGGAACTTGTTTCTGTAAAATTTTCAACGTGATGCAAGCTTCGAGACTGAACTCCGAATTCCGCATCGGTAAAACAGAAGCTGATTTAAGCGCCACTTGAATTATTGCATCCAACATAATTATTACATAATTAAACAATACTGACCATGCATTCATTATTATTAATTTTTCTTTCCGTAAAATTGTGATACACTTCAGAATCTCAAAGGCATAGTTCCTGAAAAAAATATAACAGCGATTAAATAGAAAAAAAAAAAGCATTTTCGCAGCCAATTAGCTCGTATTATTTGCTGCATAATTAATAAATGTACCATAGAAATAATGATACAGTTATTAATTAGTCATCAAATAATAACGATTGCCCAGGTCTCACCACGGGGAGGTTGCTGCGGGTGGAGACCCGCCCTACCTCATCCCATCCACCCTCCATTTATGCAAATTTTTATTTTTATTCAATAACATCATCCTTTTGATGCACATTTGCAAAACGTTTTTGACGATTGTGCAAACGAACAACAAAAGGTGCATTATTTTTATTCACTACCTACCTATCTACTTATCTATACATATATTTACGTAGATTTTTGCTTTTTATTCCTATCTCAATATTTTTTAATTTTGATTTTGATTACAGATCTGTAATTAATAAATATGCAATTGCATATTTGTCCTACATACTTATATTACTAAGAATGCCTAACTAAACGAGCGCTCGTAATTATATTAAAAATTCGCTTAAATCTAACGCTTCCTAATTAAACACTGCAGTGTTTGACGATTATATCTTAATGACTATATACATAAATAAGTCCAATGAATTTGTTGATTTTGTTGTCCTCACCAGAATAGTTCCTGAAATAAAACTGAAATGGATTAAACATAATTTAAGAAAATAATAAAGCTCATGTAGCCTCAATCATAAATTTACAACCTGCCTGAAACAAACAGAAAAGGATTAAATACAATTTTCAAAAATAGTACGGTTCAAATATTACCACTTATAAGAACCATTTTTCCTTTTCAATCATTTTCACCTTATTTTACTTAATTGGATACATTGAATTCCATTTATGGGCACTAGATTTTATATTACATTTCTTCCAGTCGATTATCCGATATTATTATTTCATAATTCCTATAAAGATATTTCTCTGTAACAGAAACTGATTAATTGAATCCAGATAAAGACAAAGAAAAATTAATAGCTGGAAAGAAGATACATTAGTAACAATAAAATTTTATAAAAGTCAGAGTGGTTGTTAATAATTCAAAATCAATTTGATACGAAATATGAATTTAAAGCAAACTTCAGTATGAAAATAAAGAGAAAAAAATTCACAAAAATATATACTTGAGTTAAGAACATTAATTATTTCATTTTATTGTATTTAATATTCGTTCATTTTGCGACAAATAGCACACGATATTTTAATTGAAACAACTGCCTTCTACTGCAATATATAGTACGTACAACCACGACTCTACTCGACTTTATTGCATTATATTATTCAATACACCTTTCAATGCAAATTTATTGTAAATAGAAAAACTGAAAAAAAGTCACGAGTGGACTTTGCTTTTCAGGAAAAGAATTTGAAAATTTATAAAAGTAATTTAATTAGCTTCTCCGTAAGCTTGAAACAACACATCACGATCAAAAATTAAAACTAAACAAGGCGAACAACAATTATCCACTACTTTTGTTTAATTAAAGTAGAATAAAAATTTAATAAGCTATCTCGAATGAACAAATATTCCTTGAAATAAATTATCACCAATCATCAAAAAATAAAATGAATTTCCATTTTAAATAAAACTTTGATTAAAGTTCTCTTTAAAACTTGATCGTATCTAATAATAGCCTGAAAACATTAAATTCATATAATTATTTAACAGTATTTCCAATAACCGAATGCTCAAAATTTTCAAAATTAAAAAATGGGAAGAAAAAAGAATGGGGGCATGGCAGTGGGAGGGAGGGTACAGGGGAACCTGAAAAGAAAAGTGACTGCCCATAAGAGCAATCCCTAAGCAAACCCTATAAAACAAACCGAAATCACACCGCAACACTAATTTCAAAATAGCAAACATTCTGAACTATGACAAAACATCGGCTGGCAACGAAGGGTTTCACGCCCCCTAGACTTACGCCAGACGCTACATACCACCCACCCCGCCTGGACGTCGTAACGCCAGGACAGAGTGCACCCCTTCGCTAAGAGCGCTACCCGCCCGTCCAACACGTTGCATCCAACGGTGTCAGATTGACGGACGCCCATAGTATAGACAAAAGGACTACAGTTTAGAATATGGTAACATATTTTCATATGTTCCATATTCTAAAGCTGCGCCTGCAAAGGCCTAGTAATGCATGGGTATATCTCCCAGAGATGGTGTTCACGGTCTTAGGCCGCGGAATCCTTGACTAGCAATGGATTCCCACCGAATGTGAGTCATAGTTACTTCCACTAATTTAATAACAATCGCGAATTCAGTCGCAACACTAATTTCATTAATTATATAATATGTACAAAAGCGTACGCGTGAAGGCTGCTCCATTAGACGCAACACTAAGCTGAAAAAAAGAAAAAAAGAGAAAACGCGAACTGTAACGCAACACTAGTAAAATCTACCGAATTTTGTAAGACGCAACACTAATCTAAAAAAGGGGTACAGCCAATCCAAGGCTGTACCACGGCAGATGGTCCATAGCTGCCTTATGGACCATGGCAACTCCACTGGATCGTTTTTGGGCATTTCTAATGCAAAACGCGAATATTCATTACCGCAACACTAATTAGCAGGGAACTCTATTAACTAATGCAAAGCAATCGCGTATTTATAAGTCGCAACACTGGGAAACAATCGCGCTAATGTCTATCGCAACGCTATCTTTAACAGACATGCAATTAAAATGCAGAAAAGGGGGATTCTCAAACCGTGAATTTTTTACTCGCAACACTAATTTTATTAATTATATAATATGTACAAAAGCGTACGCGTGAAGGCTGCTCCATTATACGCAACACTAAGCTGAAAAAAAGAAAAAAGGAGAAAACGCGAACTGTAACGCAACACTAGTAAAATCTACCGAATTTTGTAAGACGCAACACTAATCTAAAAAAGGGGTACAGCCAATCCAAGGCTGTATCATGGCAGCTGGTCCATAGCTGCCTTATGGACCATGGCAACTCCGCTGGATCGTTTTTGGGCATTTCATCATATATCGCAACTCTAATGCAAAACGCGAATATTCATTACCGCAACACTAATTAGCAGGGAACTCTATAAACTAATGCAAAGCAATCGCGTATTTATAAGTCGCAACACTGGGAAACAATCGCGCTAATATCATTCGCAACGCTATCTTTAACAGACATGCAATTAAAATGCAAAAAAGGGGGATTCTCAAACCGTGAATTTTTTACTCGCAACACTAAAGCAATCAACATTAAAAATCAAAACTCTCATAAATCTTAAAGCAATCAACATTGAAAAGTTAAATTCCATTTTAAAGCAATGCAAGAAAGAAACACGATATTTAAAGTTCGCAACACTAAATTGAAAACGCGATTTGCCCAAAATCATGGGGGTCACGGGCCCCCTCTTCTCCTGAAATTACAAAACTACAACTACAGGCAAGCACAGTGACAAAGTAGTAACGATAATGATTTCCCATCCTTTTTTGCAAAAGGATGCAAAATCATTAGTAGTTCCCCTCTTGAAAGACAGTTTGTCGGGGCGCTTCGGCATATAGCCTTTTCTTTCTTCGGGCGGTCCACCCACCTGAAACTTATATCTAAAGCTCGAGACTTGCAAATTCGCAAAACAGAAAAAAAAAACAATCAACAAAAAAGAAAAATCGCGAAACTCTAATTGACACGTGGACGAAAAAGGATTTTATATAAATCGTTGTTCGTGCACACGTGCCGTGCTCGAGCAGAACTTGTGCGTTTCGTACCATCGCGACCGCGTATGACGACTTATGAAGTCGCCAAAAATTTGAAAAATTGTACAGATAGCATCGAAGGCGAACGACATACTCCGTTCGTATCGATTGCATCGTCAATTCTTCAAATATATTCCAGGTACAGGTTGATCACGCGAAATCGCGCCTACCCGACCAAGAGACTGTGACAACCTGTCCCGGCCCTACCTACTTACAATCTATCACACACACCAGAAGGTATACTACCTACCTACCTAACCCTATATTTAAAAAAGGCAAAATCACATTCTCACAAAAATTCATTCCACGACCCCCATACACTCCACCCGGGCGCAAAGCCTAAACTAGGGAGAACGTCCCGGGACGCCTCCGTCACCCGAGTTTCATCTCACATCACACTCTACGGTACGTACCATTTTTCACTGAAATCGTCTGGCAAGGCTAGCAATCATTGCGTATAATGATAATTACAAAATTTAATTAACTACTTTGATATAAAATATTTCATAGTAATGGTAATAATCATGGTAATAGTAATGATAACCATAGTATTTGGTTTATACGTTCATCGTACATCTTGTTGAATAAAATATTATTTCAAATTAAAAGTAAATGAAAAAGTTATTAA